AACCCTTTAGATTAAGCTCAAAAATAGCATGAGACACCAGATAACCTGGAAGAACCACCTTGTAGTTCCTCAGAAATACCGATGGCTAAAAACGAAGCTATTTCTTATAGTAACTACAAGAAATTCCAGAGGGAGCTTTCTACCTTTACAAAGCCTAGACTCCATGACTTCACCGTGTTCATGATCTGTGTTGTCATCACTCTTAAAAGCATCATCCTGCGTAACTGTGCAGGAAATATGCTGGTGTATTGACATGGGAGTACCACTGAGTACCACTCAGGGAGACATTAGTAGCCTGCAGAGAACAAGCATGGCCCAATGGTAACATAAACTGTTAACTGTAGATACTGATGCTTTCGTTTGAGGAGAACTGAGTCCATGTCATAAAAGCAGAACTCCCAAAGGTCATTAAGCCATTAAGGGTCTGCTGTGCACCCACCTCAGTCAACGTGAGTGACCATTATAATCATGAACCCTCTTAGCCCTCTCTGTTCTGTTGTGATCTGTGGTAGAAGTAAACTCAAAACCCACAGTAAAAAGCTTTGTGGTCTTTGTGCTCTGGCATACCAAATCTGCCTCACGTGTACCAAAAAAATTATACAAAAAAATACACATACTTAGCTGAAAAGGATTACATTGAAATCATTTTCCCACCCAGATTATTACAAATACCCAGAATGCAAAACTTATTCTACTTCTGAAAAAACACTCACAGACTTCCAAGAGCAGCAATTCTAGTAATTGTCAGGCCTGCACGTTGGCTCAGAGGGACCGTCTTTGAAATTGGCCTCATTTAAAAACAGAACAGTTTATTCAAAATGACTACTGAACTGCACTATAGATTGTGATGATGAAGCTTTATCATTATCATTATTTTGATTGTTATAATCTAATATCTATGTATTTATTTATCCATTATTTTAAAGAATGTTCCTAAATTTGTTTCAATATTCAGCTGTGGCTCAGTGGGTAGACTTGGTCGCCTCTAGGAGTCTAGGGTTTAAGTCCGGAGTATAGACTGTATATACTATGGACAAATTAGTTCCGCCTTCCGCCAGTATACAGATTTGAAGCCGAAAAGCTCTCAGGAATTCCGTGTTTTCTCTACACTTCCTGAAACCAACATTGCGCAGTAGTGTTGTACACACGCTACAACTTGCGCAGTAGCATTATACGTATTTGGCGGAAGAGTCGCCAAGAGTCGTTGTGATGACAGCTCACACAGCGTATCCCCCGGGTGAGCTACGCAATCTTTGTCTGACCATAGGCTGTATCAAGTGTCAATCATAGAAAACATGAACCCCCTAATAACTTTTAAAAACGAAGCTTTACAGAAAAAAAAGAGGACTTGAGCACAAACCAGTCTTACAGTAACTACATGTCAACATCGCAACCAGGGGGGAGAAAAATTTATATTCTGTGTAATAAATTTATAAAGTTTGTCCACAGCTCCATTGGGATGGCTTGTGGAGGCGGGATTAATGACTTATACTGCAGCCCGTCACCAGAGGGTGCTGTTCTTGGAGTGGCTTCACCCAGCAAGGAGGCAGACGGCATCCATTCTATATACAGTCTAAGGTCCAGAGCTGTTCATGTTCTCAAGACACTTGACCCTGCCTGCCCCCTCCTGGCTGCATTGTCAGCTTCTTTAAAACTCAGGCGGTGTAATCAAGTTTTCTTTTTTCTGCTCTTTGCTTCTGTCCGACCCTCTTAAAATGAAACCACTTGGCCGCGATGACAACAATTTCCAATTTCACGGCCCTGTTCTCCTCTCAATGATTTAAATTAACATTTTTCAAGGTGGCAAACAACTTACCACAGCAGACTTGACATTAATTTACTCTCAATCTCACAACGAGTAAAACTGAAAAGTTAAAGTTGAACAGAAGTACCAGAATTACTTCTCAAACTCTCTCTAGAGTCCTTCAGTAAACCAAAAGGTACCATGAAATACTTGACCTAAAAGTGTGTGTATATTTTTCACACTTCAATCAGGGGTCATATATGGGTTACATTCATGTGTGTACATTTATTTTATGTCTGTGCGTAGAGTTGATAAAGCTAAAATCATTTTGGTGGACTTACTTTTGAGACTGAGGGCTCAACATCCATCTCTGTGGAAGATCCTTGCATTGAAACCTGTGCATACATTATACTGCCTATATCCTTACGATTGTACAAATCGAATGAGAGCTGTAAGAACAAGCTGTCTCTCTTCAAGGCATGTAGGAGTTATGAGAAAATGAACAAAAGAGAAAAAAGTAGGCATGTGTGCTGACATGATGAAACATTTTGAGAAAAGCAGAGGATTGCCAGTGCCTTTAAGGATCCTATTTATAAAGAGAAACTAACTGTTCTGGAAATTCTCAGTCAGTCATCACTCAGCTGGTAGCATTAATCCCTGATCCGCTGTCTCACTCTCACATAACATTGCTTATTATGAGTGGTTGTGCCCAATGCAGGTTTTCTATTGGCCCAAAACTGATTATCAGATGATTTTGCCAGGTACAGAGTGTAGGCAGGAGCAGGGGTTTTTTCACTAAGATACACACTCTCTCGCACATATCTTATCTTCTATAAGCAGATGTGCATGTTCTACACGTCTTCAGAGCAACTTAATACACCTTGACAAAGTAACATGTCTGTGAGAGTGCCAGGAAGGTGTTTAAAAAAAATCCTGTCTCACCATCACTCAGCTCTCATTTTCAATTCAGTGCTCACCAAAACTCTCCAAGTACAGCTCTGCTATCCTTGTCTGCTTAGTGTCTCTGGGACTGGGACTTGAAAACTGCCCTGGACTCTGATGGAGCTTAACCCGCAACAATCGGTATTATCTTTCAGAGATGAAAACTCAACATAGAGAAGAGATAGTGACATGAGATCCTTGAGCGTATTAAATCATGTTGCTAAACCATGCACGTCACTAAACAACAAAATGTTTTTTTTTTCCTGCAACCACATACGCTAAGATGCCAATATATTTCAGAGGAACTCAGGGGGAAAGCATGTTTTGAAATGGATGGCATTACACTGCTTAGTCTGTTAAGTCATTCTGGATTCTGCTGCAGTGACAGTGAGCAAAACAGAAGCTTTAGCTCTTTCTCACCCAATACTTGCCTCTCTTGCTCTATTTGCTCCTTCTCTCCGTCTCCTTTCCTATCCTCCTAAACATTCAACAAATAAATTAGGTTTAGTTTGATACAAAAGCAAACGGAGTATTTGTGATGCAGATGAAAGCAAGAGGAGGTTGGGAAGAATCCGTATTTGATAACGGGGCTTAAATATATTCCTTTCTTATGTAAAATCAGGGTTAATTTCACTGCAATGAATTCAGGGGAAGCAGAAGCTGCCTTGGCATAATAATTCTGTCATCTCCTAGCTATACCTGTCAGCTGTCCACCTTTTTCACCAGGTTCATTCTGCCTCTCTTCCTGTGCTGACAGTTAAAAGGCAAACAGAACAAGAATAACTGGTTAAGGCATTATTAATTTTTTTTTCAGTTAAACATGAGGGACTTGTTGGCAGTGTAGACGGGTTACATCATATTAGTTTTAATGTCTTTCCTGAGTCTGGCTGCTTACTTTAAAAAATCATATAACTATGGGAAAATGTTTTAAGAATTGCTCACTTAAAAATCAAAGTCTGATAATACACTTCATGTAAATGATGCACTTAAATACAGCAAGATAACAATTAAATGCCACATTTATGGGTGCTATGAATAATTTGCAGGATCAATATGGTCAGGTTATTTAAAAAGGGTTTATTCTCTAACTATTCCTTATTTTCTTCCAGCTTATCTGGACTTAAATTCTTTTTGTATGATTAGGTAGTAACTTTATCTAAGGAGCACATATTCGGAGCTTTGCTTCACATGTGCTGGTCCACCTGTCCATAATTTCTTGTTTTTCCCTTTATCCCAAATTATTATTGTAGATAGGGAAGACTGGGGACAGTTGCAACACTTTTTGCTTTTCTCTTAATTACTCAATCTGATTTGGACTAGGCCAACCATTTATTTATAATGTAAATTTACATCTGTCCTCTAATTCCTCATACTATTTAAATGTCATTACATCAGACAGATTTTTCACAATCATCATCCAAAAAAAAAAAGAAAAGAAAAAAAAAGTCAACTGTTGCGACCGACCCCATCCCTGGAATGGTAGCAACATCTCACAAATCCATTTGATTTCGATTTTCTTTTCTCTATTTTTTTGTCTCAATGAGCATATTGGTCTGAGAATACGTATTATTTATGATATTATAACGATAATTTGATATAAAACATATTACGGTATTATTTATTCATTAATCTAATATCAAATATTGAGCTTTGTTTCTTTCTGCATAAAACATGGCCTACTTTGAGTCAATGTGCTGCTGTTACGGATACTATTCAATCTTTCTACATGTAAATGTTAGCCAGTGGGGAGGGTCCAACTGAGCATCTGTGGTATCAGTATCATCAATCTAGCATGTTTCTGATTGGAGAAATAAGCCTTGTTGCAACTGTCCCTGGTCTCCCCTACACGACGATGGCACAGCACAGTAACAGAAAGCAAGCTCCGTTTTCTGAATAGGTGAAACAATGGTAGCAGAATTAGCTTTGAATTAAAGAAAAAAATCTGAACTAACGCAGAAAATTTGTATTTTTCTCCTGAACAAACTTCTCTCTTTCATCAGAGGTAATCATCTCCTTAATTCAGAGAAGCAGAGCGGACCTCTTTCTCTACTTGAATGGATACGCTTCCAGAGATCTTCTATAATACTACTATAACGTGCACCTGTTCTCATATAACTAGGCTGAGAGTCATGAGCTGCTTGAGAAATGAGTTGGACAATAATCATTTCTCAAATAGTGTCTGATAAATCCATTCAAATAAACATACAATGGAAAGAAATAACGAAAGAAGGATCCAGCACCTGACCATTCTGTCTTGAATTCGTGTTGTGTGACTCATCTTGCCAATAGGCAACCTTCGATTGTATGATCACGTGATCGAGTCTTGGCGTTACAGAGGAGGGAGATCCAAAGCGAAGGTAGACCGTTCAGGTATTCATATATTACTTACCATCGCTATTACAAAATATCTGCGTTACCGTGCAGGTCAGGAAATGGTGTTGTTGTCTTTGTTGGCTATGTTCTTCACAGACACAGTTCAAGAGGACTTTCAAGAATGTTTTATTAGCTGCTTTCTAAAATTAAAGGTTTGCTATTCCAAAAGCTACTAGTCAACCTAGCTAAGGTAGCTGTTGCCTCGTGTCAGTAAATTTATAAATAAACTACATTTACAAATATATGACTCATGCGATATATACTGAGATTAAAGTGATATAATATAACTGGACTTAATGTGGCTAATACTAAGCTCACGATAGACCGTTATGACAGCTAATATCTCTATAACGCATTATAAATATGTGTATAATGTGATATAATCACGTTATAGCACTGTATAACTATAGTTATAAACACTCATAAATGTGTTATGCTTATTGCTATAAACCCTCATGATAATTAATGGGTGTTTATAACGATAGTTTCAAGTTTCTAAGCAAATTACAACACATCATAAATATATGTATAATGCATTATACACTCACCGGCCACTTTATTAGGTACACCATGCTAGTAACAGGTTGGACCCCCTTTTGCCTTCAGAACTGCCTCAATTCTTCGTGGCATAGATTCAACAAGGTGCTGGAAGCATTCCTCAGAGAGCTTGGTCCATATTGACATGATGGCATCACACAGTTGCCGCAGATTTGTCGGCTGCACATCCATGATGCGAATCTCCCGTTCCACCACATCCCAAAGATGCTCTATTGGATTGAGATCTGGTGACTGTGGAGGCCATTTGAGTACAGTGAACTCATTGTCATGTTCAAGAAACCAGTCTGAGATGATTCCAGCTTTATGACATGGCGCATTATCCTGCTGAAAGTAGCCATCAGAAGTTGGGTACATTGTGGTCATAAAGGGATGGACATGGTCAGCAACAATACTCAGGTAGGCTGTGGCGTTGCAACGATGCTCAATTGGTACCAAGGGGCCCAAAGAGTGCCAAGAAAATATTCCCCACACCATGACACCACCACCACCAGCCTGAACCGTTGATACAAGGCAGGATGGATCCATGCTTTCATGTTGTCGACGCCAAATTCTGACCCTACCATCCGAATGTCGCAGCAGAAATCGAGACTCATCAGACCAGGCAACGTTTTTCCAATCTTCTATTGTCCAATTTCGATGAGCTTGTGCAAATTGTAGCCTCAGTTTCCTGTTCTTAGCTGAAAGGAGTGGCACCTGGCGTGATCTTCTGCTGCTGTAGCCCATCTGCCTCAAAGTTCGACGCACTGTGCGTTCAGAGATGCTCTTCTGCCTACCTTGGTTGTAACGGGTGGTTATTTGAGTCACTGTTGCCTTTCTATCAGCTCGAACCAGTCTGGCCATTCTCCTCTGACCTCTGGCATCAACAAGGCATTTCCGCCCACAGAGCTGCCGCTCACTGGATATTTTTTCTTTTTCAGACCATTCTCTGTAAACCCTAGAGATGGTTGTGCGTGAAAATCCCAGTAGATCAGCAGTTTCTGAAATACTCAGACCAGCCCTTCTGGCACCAACAACCATGCCACGTTCAAAGTCACTCAAATCACCTTTCTTCCCCATACTGATGCTCGGTTTGAACTGCAGGAGATTGTCTTGACCATGTCTACATGCCTAAATGCACTAAGTTGCCGCCATGTGATTGGCTGATTAGAAATTAAGTGTTAACGAGCAGTTGGACAGGTGTACCTAATAAAGTGGCCGGTGAGTGTATATGTGGGCATTGTCAGTGAGTTGCTAACAGTTATAACATACTACAATACCTGACCTTGTAAGTCATGATAAAATGCTTTATAATGTGTTATGATTATTGCTATAAAGCATTATGATCATTTATGAGCGTTTATAAGTATAGTAATACAGTGCTATGATGTGATTATTATACATATTTAGAATGCATTATAGAGATAGGCGTCAAGTAAAGTGTCACTGTCTCTCCAAACTCTCTTATTTGGTGCAACTGCTCTTTCATTAATTTTGGACACTATTTGTGCGAGTTAATCCCTGTGTCAAACAAATAACGTCTGGCAGGACCAGTCACAGATTTACAGTAACAGATTTAAATCATGTCAGTTACATCAAGAAATAGAAATAAAATCACAGTGAAGCTCTTGAACTTTGAGTTAAAACAGCAAAATAAATTTTGGTCCAAATATTTGGTTCATTTCATTATCCAGGTCCATTATGTTTCAATGAACTTATATACTGCTCTAAAGCAGTGGTTCTCAAGTCCAGTCCTCGAAGCCTACTTTCCTGCATGTTTTGGATGTTTCCCTGCTCCAACACACCTGATTCAAATAATCAGCTCGTTATGAAGCCATTACAGAGCTTGATAACGAGCTGATCATTTAAATCAGGTGTGTTGGAGCAGGGAAACATCCAAAACATGCAGGACAGTGGGCCTCGAGGACTGGACTTGAGAACCACTGCTCTAAAGTGATAGGCCTAAGACCCCGTCTCAGTCTTGTGAAAATTATGAAGCAATGTTTTGCTTTTTCTCCTATTTCACCAGATTGCTCTACTATTACAAATGTTATTCCTCTTCTTTTTTTAGGTGTGGAAATGAAAGGATTAGTTGTACTGATATGTGTCAGAGTCTGTTAAATAAGGGATTGGAAGGGAATGTCAGTAATGATGAGGCGAGTAAGAAGACAAGAATAGACAAACATTTCTCTGTGAAAGAGAGAAAGTGTTATAGTCTGTTTGCACATTATATTCCTTTTTTGACATATCCCTCATCGCATCCCTTAACTCTCACCATTTGACATCTACAGCTACTGACTGAAAAAATGAAAAAGCTTTGGTTTTTAGAGCCTTCCTCAAACAAAATAAGTGATGTGAAGTTGAAGGAATATGAATTTGCAACCCCTTAACTCTTGGACAATTTTTCTACCAACTTTGGAGCTGAGCACATGCTCTACTTTAACCACCTTTATATACTTTGTACTGCTGTAGTGACCTATTTTTCCCCCAGGAATCATTATAGTTCCTATTACTGGGAAAATGTATTCCTTGCATCATAGCGGTGTAAATCAGAGTGTTCAGAGTTTTTGAGAGCAGAACAGTGCTGTGAGCTGATCACTTAACTGCAGTGTTCTTTAAAAAGACATCTTTAAATCACTGATCTATTAGTTCACCAAAATTGTAGTCCTTTTTGTATTTACAGTTTTGAGTTCACCAACCTTTGCACCCGAATGCTTATGTATTTTGTTCTTGTCGTTTTTAGATGTCCATGGAAAACAGAATAAGACAAACAGGCTCATCTAACTCTGGTAACCCAGTTTACTGGCCCTCCCTGTTCCCGCGGCAACCAGCCAGGGTTTTGATTGTGGAGGCATCGCCACCGTGGTGGTCGAAGACACGAACAGTGCTCTGTGATGCTCTGGATAATTTCCTGTCCCTGGCTTGTAGTCTGGATGGACCCTGTAGGGTGCCCTTACTCAGCCTGTATGCTATCAGCAGGCAGCAGGAATGTCTACTGCCATTTGTGGTAAGACCAATGACATTCTTGGTCCTTCTCTCTCAAATATCTCTCTTTGTTGTTGTTTTTTTGTAACCTGCAATACTTCTAATTTCTAACCTTCTTCTTCGTCTTCTCTTATTATAGCAGGTTCGTGGTAACTTGGCCCGGTTGCGTTCCTGTGTAGAGGAGCTGAGATCTATCCCAGAGGAAGGCTGCATCAGAGGAGCAGCCAAAGGAGTTGAGCTGCTTAGACAGTCAGTGTTGGACAGTTTGCAACAGTTTAAACAGTACTTCAGACACACCAGTAACAGCACCCAGGCAAGCAACAACACATTTTTGGAGGTGAGTATAGAGTGACGCTTTTTTACATGCTCAGCTGACACATGCACGACCAGTACATGGGAGGAGAGTTTCTCTAAAACTTCAAACATTATAAAAAACTCTTAAATGTAAAAGCTCTATCTATTAGGGGTGTTCGATACGATATTGATATCAGATATCGGTCTGATATTAGCAAAAAAAATTTGAATCTCGGGTTGTATCGATATCGATGTATTGTCAAAAGAGGTCCATTCCAGACTCCGCTCGAGCACCTCTATCTAACAGCACCCGGACCCAGCTTGTAGAGCTCACGTTATCACAACAACAGTACTAAGGTACTAACAAAGTAGAAAGGAGTAGGGGTGATGTCGGCCCTGTGGCTGTATTTTTCATTAAAATCCAAAAAAGACATTGCAGCTGAGAGCAAAACTTGTCATGCACAAGTTTGTGGCAATTTCGGATTAATATCGGTATCAGACAATACTAATGGCTACAATATCGGTGTGGTACTGGAGGTAAAAAAAAGTTGTATCAGGACACCCCTACTATCTATATGAAGTATAGTGTTGGTAGTTATAAATAAGCAATGTCTTAAGAGTTTTTCTAGTTTTTCCATAGCTTTTTGGTAGCTAAAAAAAGCTCACCCTATAAGATGAGAAGAACTTGATTGCACTTTACATGCTGATGATGTTTTGATAAATTACTTTTTTAATGAGAGCATTTGCTAGAACTACTCTTAACTAACTTTTTGTATATAAATCAGAGCCCCAGCAATAATTTGGTGCACCCTGCAAGCCTATTTTTTTAGACTAATTCTACATGTCAGCAAATGACCGTTTAAGGGAAATGAGGAAATTAGCAGAAATCGCTGAGTGTTGTCACTGTCCTTTCTGTTGAATGTGAACATATCCTCTCTGGTACAGGGCTCTGAAGTGTTAAAAGAGGATTTCTCAAATCCAACCAGCTTTATTAGGGAGCTCTGGACAGATGATTACACTAAGACCCACTGTTTCCGACAGCAGCAGCAGATATGAATAGCAGTGTTAGGAAACATAGAGACACTAAGCAGACAACAACCCAGTGTGTGTGTGTGTGTGTGTGTGTGTGTGTGTGTGTGTGTGTGTGTGTGTGTGTGTGTGTGTTGCTGATCCACTTACATAACATATGCATTTTTTAATATCTTTGTGTCCCTATTTATGATTTGCATCAGGCCTCAGCAGCATTTTCTATTTTTGGCCAAACAGCAGGAAGTGTTTCACTGCAGCTGTTTAGTGTTCAGCATTAGCTAAACATTTGTTTAGCTGTTTTTTTCCCTTAAAAAACACACTGGGAATACAGCTACACCAATATTTGGCTTCTGTGAACTGGAAAAAATTTCATCGGTTGCAGATTCAAAAGTCTATGATGTCTAGTTTTTCAGAGCGATCACATAAAAGTATTTCATACTTGAGTTGATGCAATTCAAGCTGTTATGGTCTAATTTTTTTTTTTTTTTTTCCCTACAGGTGACTGTGGTGACCAGCCAGCCAGGGCAGAGCATTGTACGCCATTTGGAGAAGGGACTCAAAGATGCTGACCTGGTGTCACTGAAGCGGCTCCTGGTGGTACAGATCGCAAGTACAGCAGACTGGGGCCAAGAAAACTCTTCACCTGCGGCAAAAGACTCTGAGGCAGAAGGTAAGAAACAAATAGAGTTATATACAGGAACACAAACTGTCATCCTACTATTTACAGCTAGTGTTTGTGAGGTAAACTCCCTAAGCAGACAAGCAAAGGCGCCTTTGAATGTTTATTGGAAGCCTGCTATCTAGACTTTTTATCCCCCTCTCTTTCAACATACCAAACTTTGGGATTCATCTCTTCAAATACGAGTGCTTGGAAGACATGTCACAATTTATTGACCTTGGCTACTGTCCAAACATTTAATAATCCTCTTGAATTAAATAACTTCATTATTGGATTGGAGTTTTACATAGAATTTCAAGTAGTGAGATCTGAATGAGTAAAAGTGCAATAAAGACTTGGATGAAAAAAGAGTGGAAAATAAGAAGAGACAGAGAGAGAAAGTTAACAAATTATGAATATGAGGAAGAAAAAAAAGAGTTTAGGACAACAAAAGGAAATAAAAGAGGGATGGGGTAAACACAGGGTAGTTTTTCTTGTTCAGATTACTTTGGGATGAAAGTTTAAACTGCCTGTAACTGTGTTCAGAAGTGCTTATCCTCACATGAGTTCAAGATCAAGGGAACATGATACTAATGTTGTTGGAGCTTACTCAACTTTCTCAACAATATCAGTTTTATAATTCCTCTGAGTGTTACATCATCAACCTCTTACTTTTATTTCAATTATATATATAAAGTGAAATATTTTGTATCTTTTAATCAGATTTTCTCCATCGAGCTTTGCCCCCTGGAGTTCACCCTGGTTTATGGGGACCTTCCTAAACTAGATGCACGTTATTGTAAAAAAAAAAATTTGAACTCAAAATTTTTATTCTATCCTTAACCAGCATTATTTGTATAATAGGAATCATGTAAATCTATCCCAATATGACCTGAAACTGATGTCACTAATAGTAGTGTCCAGTAGGGGTGGGAATCACTAGTGAACCCACAATATGATATTATCACGATACTTGGACCACAATAAGATATCATTGCGATTTATACAATTTTTTCGACTGTTTAGCTAATTTAGCATTTGGCTTTCCTTTATGTTTGTCTTATTTGTGCTGTATTTTATTTTCATGTAGTACATCTTACAGTTCTTACACATATTTGTTGAACTAACTTTCTCCTGCTCTATAATGTCACCTCTGCCAACCTCACTGGACAAACGGTTGATTTTATTTTTCCATTATCATAGATTTGACTTCATGTTAGCAATTAATTAGAAAAATCAATACTTGGTAAATGAGACGATATATCACAAGACAAAATATCGCGGTACTATGCTGTTTCGATTTTTCCTCCCACCCCTAGTGTCTAGTTTCATACAAAGCCACACTGGTGTATCTGTAGCTTAAAAAAAAAAAAGTTCACTCAAAGCAGAGGAGAGAGTTTAACTGACTCACTAAAGCAGAGTCTCCATACACTGTTGAAACCTCATGATCTTGTTCTGTGTTTATTTTAGGCCAACATAATGAAAGGAAATATTTTCAGAATGATAATAAGGGTGGATCTTTACCTAATGGTCTTGCAGACACTGGCTGGCGTTGTTGAGTCTCCCTCTATTGTCTAATAAAACTATTCAGTTTCCTCACCAATGTGTTAAAAAAAGCAAAGCCACTGAGCTGAGATTTGTTTGGAATGAGGCCATGGAGAGATTACTATGTACTGCAGTTTGATGACAGCAGAGACAACACTCTTCTGGCTGCTTTGAGGTGACTCACAGCATTCCTCTGTCTATAAGTGTTCATAGCGCAGGATATTTGGAACATAACTCTCTCTTGTGGTTTTTCTTAATGCAACCTATTCCCTTCTAATTAAGTCAATCAAAGCGGTGCTACAGACCGCTGATGCTGTGTTACAGCTGTTTCATTAGAAGTGGTTTGTTCCAGAGGAGAAAACATGATTGATGGCCACATAACATCTCTGCAATGTAACCCTTCTTAAGTAACTATTTAAAAAACAAAAGACTGGAAAAGAAAAACACTCACCACTCATAGGAGGGGCTTGTGGGTTCTGGTGCCATGTGAGTTGGGTGGTAGCTGAAGGCAGGCACCTCGGCAGTCCGATCCTTAGCTGCATAAGCTAGCTTTAGGGATGTGGAATGTCACCTCTCTGGCAGGGAAGGAGCCCGGTGTGCAAGGTGCAGAGGCCCTGAAAGATCAAGGATCCTTCCTATAAAAGCAGATACGGTCATATTTTTTTAAGTTAAGTTTGTACTGATGTATTTAATTTTTACAATGCAGTTTTGCAGCCACATATAGAAAAAAAAAAGAGATTAAAGTGATTAACTTAGCAGAATAAAGTCATTAGTAACAAGAATAAAGTCATTAGTATAGAGAATAAATCTGAATAAAATAATTCCTTATGAAAAAAAAGTCAGAATAAAGTCCTTATATTCTAACCTGGTGATTAAGATGACAGTTGTTACTTTATTACGACTTTATTCTCATAAATGAGTAATGATTTTATTACAACTTCATTCTCGTAAGTAATAACTTTATTAGGACTTTATTCTTGTAAATTAGTGATGATTTTATTACAACTTTATTCTCGTAATTACTTTATTGCGACTTTACTCTCGTAAATTAGTATTGATTTTATTATGACTTTGTTCTCACAAGAATAAAGACGTGAAGTAATTACTTATAAGAAATGATTTTATTGACTTTATTCTTTTTAGCAATGACTTTATTTTCTGTAAAGATTTTGACTTTTTTTTTTTGGACTTATTATTTATTTACGTCCAGAGAAATCCAGTTCCAGTGACTGATTACATATTTATTTACTCATAAACTCAATAAAATCTTGTTGACATAGAAAACCTGTAAAGCCTAATTTCTGTACACAGAAAATTCCCAGGAGGAATTTGTAAAGGCATTGGTATCAATAAAATTTTATCAATGGTCATCCCTAATTAGGAGAAGTGTAAATATTTCACAAACACTTAACTTATTATAACATCATTGGCTTAAAAGCTCACACTGAGTCCTATTTTGTTTTCGCTGAAAGATCTGATCAAAAGTGAGAGGCAGATTTAAACTGACAGCCCAACAGCAAATCTCTGAGCTGTCTCATAGTAAATAAGGATTAGAGTTTATTATAGTATATCCCCTGATCCTCTCCATATCCTTGAATATCTCCATTCTTTCTTTTCTTTTCTGTCTCTCTCTTCTCAAACTGCTTGTCCAGTTAGTACAAAGTATAAGAAGCTTTCATAAGGACATCAGAGAGTTGTTGTGGTAAGATCCAGTAAATGAGGACATCATGTGAATTCAGTTTTACGTTATCAAGCATGTTTGTATACTCCAATGCTGATACGCTGTTGTGTTAGTCCAGTGGGCTTCAGCATACTTGTGCTTTAAAACTGGTGACTACACAGTTTGTCCTTGTAACATTGTTCTAGATTTAGATTTAAGTAAATATTAAATCCTTTAATTTATCATGTATGTATGAGTGCTAAAGGAATCAACCCAATCGCAAATTGCCAACTCCCAATCAGTATTAAAGCCAGGTAGACCCTTATCTGGCACATTACCACTGCAGTGTAGACCTTACTAGAGTTTTCCAGAGTCATCCAGTTTCTCAGTTGTGTGGATAGAACTTTTAATGTAGACACGGCCATTTTCAAGCTAAAACACAAAAAACTCGCCAGGAGAGGCCAGAAGTTTTGGTCTAAAGGGTCCGAGGGACAACAGAAAATGCCAGTTATCTCAGAAGTGACTGATGCAAGAAGATGATCTCATGGTAAAAATCAATCAGCCAATGACAGCAAGGCCAGTGAAGAAGGTTGGAGGGAGTTCACCCAAGGATAATGAGCTAGAACGAGCTGTGGAAGATATATTAGGCAAGACCAAGCTTCTGTGTTAGAGCCACATAGGACACACTACCTTGCCCAGCCAACCTAACACAGTGGTCTCGGTTTAGAGGAGCTGTATGGCTCGTCCAGATCTTCGCCACATTCTGTCTGGCTGCAAGATGGCTTTGGCCCAGGGGTGTTACAGATGGCGGCACAACCAGGTGCTACGAAAACTGGCAGAACACTCGAGATTCTTAGAGTTCTCGCATGTATGGCGAAGTATGTCCCATTTGTACCAGCAGGACAAATGCTAAAAAACCTTCTCACACAGGGAAAGAGCATCACTATTGACCACAGGAAGTGAATGATCATTCAGACCTGGACAAGCAGCTTAGGTTATTTTAAATGAATGCCCAGGAAGGTACAAAGGAGCCAAACTTGAGCATCATACTCTACCTGCCAATTAATGGGTGTGAGATGGACTAGAAGTTTACTTTAACAACAGCAACACAGAGGGTCCAGCTACAGGTCATTGATAGCCAAAGCAAAAGATGCTTCTGAATGGCTTCATGATGTATTAAATACAGACATTTTTTCAGAGATATGGCCCCTATAAATTATTTTTTAAGATTTTGGCATCCTTAATTTTATTTCTCAGGGTGTCTTAAAGGTCTTATGGTGTAAGAACCTTGTAGGATCAATTTGGGACCCTTTGAAACAGGTATCTTAATTGGCTGTGGGACCTGCATCCCTAATTGCTGCTTGAGCATCTCTTTGTTTCTTTTCCTGTACTCTATTTAATGTAAGCAGACACAGACTGTGTGTCTCTTATCTGGGCTTTCAAGCAACTTAGGTAAGGCAAGGTCATCTTCCCCGTCTTTTTAAAAGGTTCCTTATCCCTCCAATCTCTTAACCTGCTCCCATATTTGCTCTGCAGTCTGTTTTTTTGCGTCACATTACTCTGTCTATGTCTGGACATTGTCCTTGTGGTTGGTTGGATATTTTACAAAACAAGTGTGTGACTCAGCACAGTTGCTATCTGTTGTCTTCGGAAGTTTTAAAAAGGTGGACTAGTGTTATAATTTATCATACCACCACCACATTTTTTTCAAATTCTGCTTTCCTCTACCGGAGGACTCTGCTCTACCCTCTAGTGTGCCTCCATAAATACCATATGCAGAGCTCCTCTCATCATCTGCCCTCCTGTCTATTTCAAAAATCTTCAAAGAAGTCATCCAGCTGCCATCCTCTCAGAGTCTCTCTGTCCTCCTTTTCCATCGAACTCTCTCCTGTTACCCAATTCTGCTTGAAACCACATAGCTGATCTGTTGCCACTGCCACTCACTTTGCAGTTGCTGCTTTACTCACATTCACATTACTCAATCTGCAAACTAAGACATGATTTATTTGAATGAACACAAGGAAAGTGGTGAAACAACTTATGAGCCTCCATTACAAATTTTCCCCCTCTTGAGAATTTATCTCCTTTTTTTCTCTCTGCTCGCCATTAGTTCTTAAAGGGATATTCTGGTGTAAAATTAAGTTTTGTCAAACATACTGTAACACCAAGTTAGACACCCCCTCAAGAGATAAATGTTGCCAACTGCTCAAATACCAACTTTAGTATCGGCGTTGGCCTACGTCTCCACCATCAAACATCTTTTAGCTTTGCCTGGTTTCTTTAGCAAAGAGATCAAACACAACTTACCCACTCTCCTCCAGCAGCCGCTTATTTTGCGGGGGAGCCCTGACGAGTTGATCACAGAGTGCAGCGGAGTTTTGCAGCTCAAGGAAGAACATTTATGATCATTACTTCATGGAAATGCAATCAGAGTTCTTGTGTATCTTGTACGTGCACTGCAGACGTGGTAGTTGTTCTGCCTTAGCATCTCTGTCTGATTGCATTTCAGTGAAGTAATAATCATCTCCGCTGCACTTGGTGATTGACTCGTCAGGGCTCCCCCACAAACAAGCGGCTGCAGTAAGAGAGTGAATGAGTTGTGTTTAGTCTCTTTGCTAAAGAAATCAGGCAAAAATAAAAATATGTTTAGTGGCTAGTACTTTGGCTGTGTCCCTATATGTACTGTTGATGAAGTTAGGTGCTGTTCTGAGCATTATTGGTGGCTATAGAGTGGCATTTTGGTCGAGGTTTGCGCGTGGATCCATAGACCGATGTGTATTGCTATTGTGCTGTCGTTACTAAAGTTGGTATAACTAGAAGAGCAAGCGGTCGGCAACATTCATCTCTCAAAAGGGGTGTCTAACTCGGTGTTACGATGTGTTTGACCCTAACTTAATTTTACGCCAGAATATCTCTTTCATGATAAAAGCCGGATAACAGCCCTTGTCTCGTCCTCTCAAGTGTTTTTATTGTGCTCCTGACCTTATGACTTTATCAGAGATGTCTGCTAGAGAGGTTATGCAGCCACCAGTGTGTTGAGCGCTGGAGCAAACACCAGATGATAAAAGTCCTATTTATCAAAATCTCAAACTACATCAACGTACTGTTCATCATCAAGGCATAAACAGGCATGCTTCAAACAAACACAGAGTGCATGCTGTCAGTGACTGTCTGTATTTGAAATAAAGATGTCAGAGGGAAACTCCAGCTTTAATATTATTGCTTTTTGTTGATTTATTGATTTCATTAACTGATACTTAATTTTACCCCAAAGGAAACACATGCAATTCCCTAATTTAAAAGACACACAAAAACCTCTGCCCAGTCTTTCCTTTTGTAGTACTTTGTTAACATCCTTTATTAAAACAAAGCTAAGATTTAAACAAACACGGAAACTCTTCAGACAGAAAGTGACTAATCACCCTTTTCCACAGAGACAGGAAACACAGCCAATGAACCGAGAAAAGATTTAGAAGTAGACAATTATCACTCACGGTTTTAACACATTCAGATAAGAACATAATTACATCACTCCAGCTCTCTGCCTCTCCAAACACACATGTCAATGTTAACTATGATCACATATCCTCCTCACTCACTGATGTATTGCTTTGCAGAATCCAGTTTGGCTCAGATTGAAGTCTTTAAACCTCTGTGAGAATAATGTTCCTCATTTGCTCTCTCTCTCTTTATATCTCCCCCTCACTCACTCTCTCTCTCTCTCTCACACACACACACACACACACACACACACATATACACACACACACACACACACACACACACACACACACACACACACACCAGTACATATATATTTAGACACCTCAAGGTCTGAATAAAAGCCAACAGTTTGGTCCATCTCCTACCACCCATCTTTCCTTCACCCTGTCTCTTTCTTCTGTGTAATTTATACTTAGCTCTCTTTCTGTCTACATCAGTATTTCTGTATCTTTACAATCCCTCTTTCTCTCGCTCTCACTGTCTCCTCCTCCTTTTCCAATTCCCTAGATATGCATTATCTGAGGGAGTGGCGATTGATTTTCTCCAACCCATTTTCCTCCATCTCAGTCTATTTCTCAAGGATTTCTCCTCCCTTCTCTGCGCTGCCATTCCTAAGAAGACAAAACAAATCCCATCGTTTCCCTCTGTCCTGTGTAATAGATTTTTATTTTGTTGTCTCTTATTTTCTAACTTTAAATTCTTAACCTGCAGTCAGGGTAATTAAGCCGATTCAATGCCCAATTTTCCTCTTCTGACAAAAGTAGCCCAAGTCCCTTTTTTTGGTGTGCGTCTGAGATTATCTTTCCAGATTTTCATGTAAGATCGTTTCAGAGGGATTTTTCCTTCCTTGATCAGCTTAGATGGAGCAGTGGACACACTGAGTTAAAGTCTTAAATATTCAACACGCTCACTATTCATGATCTGATACCCTGTTGTGTTGGGGAACAGTAGAACAGAGACTGAGTGGACTGTTGCCAATTCCCACTGACAATTCTCAGAAATGTTTGAGTTTGAAAGTGAGAAATGTTGCATAATCTCCAGTTTTGGTTGTCTTTGAATTGAATCTGTTATTTTATGGTGTGCCGTTTATTATTGGACCTCAGGAAGACTTGCTTTGTCTTGGCAAAAGCTAATGGGGATCCAAATGAACAATAAACAATTGTCATATCTTTACTCCCCTCATACTAATAATGCAAAAATCTGTGAATCTCTGGCAGACCCAAACAGCAGGTTCAGACACAGTGGTATTTTCTACGTCACAAATCTAAGCTCCGCCCCCAGAGCCTCACTATGCAGGCAAGACTCAGAGAAGTAGAGAGGACGATGGCAGAACAAGCATTTGCGTTAGCTTGTAAGAAAGCTAATTATGATATTAGCTTTAATCATGTCTCCAAAGACGTTAGTTTCTGAGAGGCATATAGCTCCTATGTTACCTGCTACTTCTACTACACCTGCAATGTTAGGCTGCAAGCTAGCATGAAGAGGAGTGTGCAGAGCAGCGCTGTCTCCGCCAACGACCCAGAGGCCTATAGCTAATGAGCAACTGGAGCTCTGCAGAAGAAAAGACCTTGAAAATAACACAGGTAATATGATTTTGGCTAAAAACTTCATAATCACAATTGACAGACCACTGACACCACTTTAAGAGAAAAAAAAAGGATTGAAGTGGGACTTTCAAGTCCTCAAAGGTCCTTTAAAACAAGCTAGACAAAAAATAGCAATGCAACAGGACAGCAAGTAGTCATCATATCGACTCTTTAATCCATCCTAAGTGCAAGTATGCTCATTTAACACCTAAGAGGGGAACTAATTCTAGGAAGAACTCTCAAAACTTCACCCCATGACTACAAGTAGCTTTTGTACTTAACTTTTATGACTGGTGAAAGATTTAATGACATCTATTTAATTCCTGGAACATCCCGTTTCTCATTTTCTCCCAAAAAGTCTCTCGCAGTTTTAGCCCTCTTAGTTCAATTTGTACCCTGGTCAATGCTTGCTGTTCCCTCCATCATCTTCTAGTCCCATTAGTCTCCTGACGGCCCATTAACTATTTAACACCGGAAAAAGGGAAAAAGAGATGAAGAGGCTGTTAAGTTGATGTCTACTCTGCAGTGATAAATTAACATTGGGGGCTGACAATGGAGAAAAACAAGGAAAGAAGGGTGGGGCAGGTCTGTTGGGACTCTTCTGGTGATAAGTGGGAAAAGAAAGGAAAGAAGAGCAATGACTTCCTGTCCTCTGAGGGAAGAAATTTGCATTAAGGTCTTTAAAACTGCGGGTAAGGAATCAGATGAAGACAATCAGACAGACAGCCTCTTTAACTTTCTTTAATAAGACAGTTAGTGCAAATCAGGAAATCAGTGCCGTTGAGGTTTCTGCTCAAAGAGTGCACAGGTGCAGCTTTATTGAGTCTCTGCTGTTTATTGTGTTACTACGACCAGGCAGCAAAAATAAGTGATTGGAGTGTGCTTCCATCTAGTGGTCATTAAGAAAAACAGACTTGTCCTGCTGAGGCTGTATGTGTGTAAAATAAACTCTTACTTGGTGAGCTTAAACTATATTTAATGAAGAATGAATTATAATTGTAAACCCTGATTTTTTTTAGCTAAGTTAAGCTGTTATCGATGCTGCTCTGTGTTCATTTTAAGATCATCTGATGTTGGGAGCTGAGGTCGACCTGCAGCAGGTGGAGAACAGTGTGCTCGCACTGGAAACGGTCCTAAAGGCGTGGTTTCAGGAGCAAGGAGGAGACACGGAGCACCTCCACCTCCTGCTGCCCAGTCCACTTGACAATCCCCTTCCAGGTTTAAGTACTGCTGACAAGCTCACATTCACAATTCCTATGATGTTATCAGTAACATGAGCTGAACTGATGGTGACAAAACAAAATTTAAGTAAAACTTTTTAATATTACTTTTAAATATAAGAACTTTTGCATTGTTTGATGCATTTTTTTACAGACATAACAGATGATATGAAGTAAACCGATTACTCTTATTGTTGAGTATGTTTTTTTTTTTTGTCATGTTTGTCACCTGTTCAGTGTGCATTAAGTGCGATATGCAGGAGCGCCTCATAAGCCCCGCCTTAATACCCTTCAACCCCAATCTGGGAGTGAAGACAGGGAACATCAGGGACCTCGGGCACATCACAAAGGGAACAGCCAACCAGAGCCAAGCGCCTCAGAGACTCAAAGCAATTAAGTAAGAGACATGGCTGATAAAGAGACAACTACCGTAACAAGTCGTCCTTATTTTCTGTCCACCTATCAGCACACAGAGAGTTTCAGTCAGAAGTAATAACAGTTAGTACTCAACCACACGTGTGTTGCAGAGAAATTTACATGACTGATAGAGATTCAACAAGGATTCAGCATTAGTAATTACAAAAGAAAACAAAGACTCATAAAGCCTCTTTTCTATTCAGCTGTGCTTTGATGTAAAATGGACAATTTTCCCTCACCTATCACACTAAGTAAAGGCTAAACTCATGTGAAGTACTTTCAGTTTGCATCAATATTTTTTTCTTTACCAAACTTTTCCCACACATGAGTGAATAATGTTGTCTGAGAGGCCAGGATAAATTCTTTAATAATTGGAATTATGAGTGACATCTCTCACAGCCTGATTAGGAGTTTAGACATCTTGAGCGAGACGTGAGCCGTGCATACCAGTGGACATCAGATCCCCCCTTTATGGTCTTATCCTGCAAACAATATCTGTACTACAATAGATAATAAGATGAATAATTAAATTTAATCTATACCTAGATGTGATCCCCTCCTCTATTTCTTTTGGATTTGTGGAATAATGCAACAATGAGTCATATGTACATGCATGGTAATATGTGTGCATCTACATATACTTGTTTGTATCCTGCCCGTCTATGAATGGCTCCATTCTGATAGTAACCATTAGTGGAATATTTCATAGATGAGAATCTCCCATCACATCACAGTCTCCTTTGTTCAGCTGGAGGCATCTACACTCATGACTGTAAGAGCCAGGAGCCATGCCTGAGAGCCCTTATCTAGGATTTCTCTGAACTTGTTAGTGATGAAATGTTATTATTCTAGGACTCTAGTCATCTGGAACAGCTGTGGCTCAAAAGTAGAGGGGTAGATTGGTGGTTTGATCCCACCCCCTTTGTCAAAATGTCACTTGATTTACAAAATTACAAAAAAAAAAACAAGACTGTTATGCTTGCAGTTCGATGGAAATGAAGGTGGAAATGAAGCAGCACTAATTTTGTATTTTGACTGGTATTACCATAACATTTTAAACATATGGACAGACTCCTCTTTTAATTCTGAAAAGCTGCATTTTACATACACTATCAAAATGCATTATACACATTAAGATAGTTTTGGATATTCAAATATCAAATCAATTAATCAAATCGTAGTTGAAATTATCTGTTTTTTTGCCTGCTTGCTTGAGTAAGCAAACTAATTTGAACAAACAACATAAAGGCTGCATATTTTTGCATTTGAGTTGTAAATACTTAAGCCTCAGTTTAGCATATTTTCTGTCCATATTTCACGTGTTGTGTCGGCCAAAAATATTGTCAGTTGTTTTTGTAAGCAGTATCGTTTTGAGTTGGATTTCATAAAGGTGCACCACCTTGTGTGCAAAAAACTCTGTTGTTTGAAAGCTTGAATTATTAATGTTAAAATGCACATAGATAAAAGTATCACATAGAAAGGCAGCTAAAAAAAAAAAAAATACTAAATAAGAATAAAAAATTTGAATTGTTCTGAGAAAAAAGGTCTGAATTCTGAATCATCTTTGACATCAAGAAGTTTTCTCCACAGTATTATAAGTCTTCTTTTAAAAATAGCAGTTTAGTTTATAGACAGTAAGTTTATGCCCTTCATTTTGTGTCTCCACGGTAACCGGTATTGTGGTTTTTGTGTGTGGACATGCTGTAGGACCCTGCGTGCAGATGGAGTGTGTGAGAGTATGTTGTATGGCCTACCACTGGTGATCTGCCCCACCACCTGCTGGCAGCTGGACTGGGATGAAATGGAGACGAACCACAACCTGTTCCACGCTCTTTGCCACACACTCCAGGTGTGTGATTAAGGACCATCATCTAAAAAATAAAAAAAAACAGATTTATGTAAATGTCCTGCTTAGGATTTTGTGGCTTTCAGTTGCTGTACCTTGTATTTTATAGATTAGGTATTTTCCTATACTACTGTCTGCGGTTGTTGACACATTCCAGAGTAAAACAAAAAGGGAAAGAAAGAAATAAAAAGCAACATAAAACTTACTTCCAAAGAACACACGAAGCAAAATCCAAACAAAGACACAAAAACCACCAGGAGATGAAAGATTCACGGATAAAAGATCACAGGGAACAGGCTGACATGCGCACACACATCAACAAATAATGAACCAAACAAGACAAAGGGGAAGACAGGGACTATATACACAGTGGATAACGAGCAACAGGTGGGGCAAACAAGACACAGGTGAAACTCATTGGTGATTAATGAGGGAGGGAAAACTAGGGAAGTAAAACCAGACTAGAAACACAAGAGCTGCGTCCGAATTGCCAAGTAGTAGTCGAAGTAGTAGTCGAAGTAGTATCTAGCATGTCCGAATTGGCCACCGGAGCGAGTAGCATGCTACTTCAGATACTACTTCAGATACTAGACACGCCCACATTGTAGGTTGGTCTCGGTGCATCCTACGGGCATGCTACTGACCCAAAATGCACCACGGGCTTCTTCTTCGTCCTCTTAAAAGTTGTAGAAGCGCATGTGATGCTAGCGCCACCAGCTGCTCTGCCTATTTAAAAGTGTCGCGAACGCCGGCTGGCCACAACAGCGCGCACCATGTCGCGGGACCGCAGCAGTACAGATGTAAGTTTCATGTAACTTCACACACTGTCCTAAAAATGTGCGGTTGTATCTCTTTGTCGTGTCATGGTGTCATATTTGCCCAAGTAATCATTTTATGAGCAAATATGTGGCGACATCATGGAGGTAAAGCTCACTTATTCCATCATTAAACTGCACAGCTGCAGTACTACAGCCAGGCCCGCAGATGAGGGGCTTCAGTTACCACTGTCTGCACGGGCGCAGTACCTACTCTCTGCCTGCGGGGGTCGTCTTTCCCCACCGCTCGTCTAGTGTGTCCGAATTGGGCAAACGTGTTTAGTATGTAGGAGTAGGATCTAGCAGTAGCACGTAGCAGTAGCATGTAGTATCCGAGCGGGCAGTTCGGACGCAGCACAGGAGTCAACTACTACAAAATAAAACAGGAAACACTGAAAACTGATAACAGGAACAATAGGGAACAGGAAAAATAGGGGAAAACACACAGAGAATACATCATGACAGTTAGTGTTTGCATAATCAAAAATCAGTTTTTGATTGACCCCTGAGAATATAAACTCTTAGACCGCCAGATTTCCCTTTAAATTTTCTTCAGCACCTTAAAAAATTGTCATAGTTTAAATCATAAGCCATAAAGTATTTTGCCACTTGCTGTTAATCCTACGTTTAAAAAAAGTTAAAAATCAAAAATCAAAACTTAGTGATGTACTTCTCATTGTTGATACCTAAATGCCCAAACTGTACTGCCAGACCAAACACCCTCAGTGCCTTTGTGCTGCGTTCATGTATCTAACATAGTCAGTGAGGAAATATTTATTAAACATAGCTTGATTCTTAAAAAGTGACTAAACTCGTTTGTCTTTAACACCAGCACATTAAGCAACCAGCAGTCCTAGAGAAATAACAGGCGTCCATAGAAGTTAAAGGGCAATTTACAAGCTTGTGACTTCACTTTCCAGTGATCCCTGCAGCTGAGATAGCTGCAGAGGTAGAAACAATCTCCTGTCAACATGGTTGCAGCTGTGCATGCTTTGGGAACCAACTGGAGTATGTCAGCGCATATCAAGACAGTTTTTGGCTTCACATCTCACGATAAATAAACAAATATGTTGATTAGTCTAAATACGGTCATTGGGTGATATCGTCTTAGAAAGTTAGAGTTTTAATGTGTACGTCTTTATGCAAGTAGCATTTTTTTGTGAAATACACCTTTAGTCATCCTGTGTGCAAAACTCATGAGTAAAATGGTTTGATGTTTAATTCTTTTTTTTCCTTTTTCAGAGTCGTGACTTGTTCCTGCTGCTGCAGGTGGAGCCCACACAGAAGTCTCCTGCTGGAGGCCCGGGTCAGTATGTGTGTGATCACGGGTGTGTTTGTGAGAACAGCGTTAAACTGTGAATGTTATCATTCTTTGTGATTACAGTAACATGCTCTGTGTATGTGTGTACAACACAGGTGTGTATTCTCACTATATACTCCAGCCATCCCCCTCTCTGTCCCTCCTTCTGAAACCTGTGGTCTCTAGAGAACTGCTGCTGCCCTGTTCACTGCCTGTACAAACTCAAGAACCGACACCAGATGCTCTGGATGTTTTACAGGTTTGGTGACCTTTGGTCATTTAAAACAAAACATAGAAGTAGACAGAGGGTCCTGAACGGAAAAGCAGAAATAGAGACTACAATGCAAATACTGACACCAGAGACAATCACATGGTTGATGCTGGAAACATGTTTTCACACCTTCTGAATAGCAATTGAAACCAATAACATTAATCAATCAATCAATGCAATTCTGTTAAATGCTCATACCGACTGCATTTTGTGTTGTATGTAAATATGTATAGTTGTATAGTATCATTTTTCTGGGTGCTAGGTGTTAATGTGTATGTAAGTGTATGCAAACAAAGACACCTAAGACGCACATATTTATATATATTTATAAAAGGCACATACGGCAGAAATTGGCAAAAACTAGCTTGACTCGACTTGATTCAAAAAGGTTAGCAGTAGGGCTGGGCGATAAACCAAAAATTTACCGATACCAAAATTTATGACAATAACAGATGACATTTTGCCCATGTCAATATGTTCAGTGTCAAAAAAAATTATAAATAAAAGTTGGTGGCTGAATTAGACGAAGTTAATAGTTAAATGTGGGAGGTGGTGAGCAGCTTGTGGAGTAGTTATCGTCTGTTTTTTGTTATTGAGGTGAACTGCTCAGTATATTATAATATTGACATGAGGTCATATCGCCCAGCCCTAGTTAGCAGGCTAACTAAAAGTCACATGCACCTAATAGAAATGACAGAGCCCAGCTTTGTGCCTAATTAAAAAGAGGGATTCCTGAAAACTGATAACAAACTCGTGCTTACTTTTCACCATCATAGGCGCACACAGCTTATGAAAATCAAACCTCTCTCTTTGTCTCTCTCTTGCTCTCAATCTGTTTTCAAAATCACATGAAACACACTTGTACTGTTGTAAAACCCCAGGATAAAAATAGCCATACCATGATCCTGTGTTTTTGTCTGTTATTTATTTTAGTCGAGTAATCCATTGCCTATAAACCAAGCTAACAGGATGGCATCAGGATACAGTTTTGTGTCAGCTCTTGCCTCACACATTAATAGCTCTATGTCGTTTGGTTGAGTGACTTTATTTGCATGTTATTGCATCAGAGAGCATTTTCAAATCTAACAAAGAAATGTTGTGTCTGTCTTTTCCTATCAGGGTTGCCTCAGTCAGCTGGATGAGGAGTTTATTTTTAACCCTCTTTCTCTGAGCAGTAACCTGTACCAGCACCTGAAGGGTCGAGGTCTTCTCTCACAGCCAAGATACCCATACAGGTAATCAGAGTCTGATGGATGAACTATATCAGTGTAGCTGACAAGATCTTTACATTCACAATGATGGCTGTAATGTAATATTACAGATTTAGGTTAGAAATGCTTAAATTACAAGGGCTGATTTCAGGCTGCAGCCAACTGGAGCCCACAGAGACCAATCTCAACCACCAGAGGGCCCTAAACCCACAGGCAGGAGACCTCCACGGCAGGTAAACACACCTTTCATCGCAGCTTCATAACTGTTAAAATAGTCATGCGCTTGACGTACAAAGTGGCACAATGATCATGACGGTTCACAGTGATAAGAGTTGATGGCAGTCGGACAACATCGAACAGGAAGAGTTTTTTGATGAATCTCATCTCAGGGTTGTGTGAAGGGAGTGTGCGGTTCACTAATGCAACTTCCCTCTTACCCTAAATGCCATGTTGACTCGAAAGATGGAAGTACTGACCGTGTGACTGTCAACACACAATTACAAAAACAGTCGTTTTCATCGATGAGAAAATAACACTGATGGTGAATAGAATTTAGCAGAGTCTTGAAATTATTGAAACTAGTCATGTAATCTCCAAAGAAACACTTCATACCATGTAAAAAGTCCTGGATTTAAACTCTTTAAAACCCTACTGAACTATAAAGTAAAGTAAAGCAGTAAAAGCTTTGCCATATGAATATGAGTTTGTTTTGATTAACTCATCAAAAGATTTGGGACCTGAATAAACAAAGAAGAGTTAAGGGTATGCAGTGTTTCATGGCAAACAGTTTAAAATATCAGACAATCTTTTAGTGCAGTTCTTTAGTACTAGAATACTAGAAGTTTAATTTTAACACTAAATTAATATGAAACTTCTATTCAACTCAAAAGTAAATAAACACGTAAAATGCCAATAAAGTAAAAAAGAAGACGATATTATGAAGTCAAAGTGGATAAAACTTAATAAAACTGTATTTTTACATTCATCTCAATATGCGAAGTGTTTTTTTTTAAGGTGTTTTTAGTTGGTGTAAAAAAAAAAATAAAGCCTGCTGTGGAGGCAAAGAGTCCAAACATGTAACTTGTAGAATAACCCACTTTCACACTAGTGTGTGTTCATTTTCACAGGCATTGTCTGACTGTGACAGCGTGACATTTTATCTTCGAGTTGTATTGTTGTATCAAGATGCATGACCTGAAAGTGTGTAGCAGTTGGGACAGTGACTCATCAGGGGTGATAAGGCTGCTGACATGCAAATAGTTGAGTGCAGCTGAAAAACACAGAGGAAATATCTGTCTGTTTCTCTGTCTGTCCGTCTGCGTCTGTTCTTAGGCATGCTTCCTCCACTTTGCTGGAACTTAACTTTTCACTTTTGTCACCTTTTTCATGTTTTCTTCTTCACTTTGCTTCCCTAAGCATTTCCTCCCTCTCTTTCATCTAACTCCATCTTTTCTTCATTTACATATCAAAGAAAATGCCCAAAAACTTAAAGTCAAACTGAATAAAAATAACTAAGTGTTTACACATTTTTACACAATCTTTTATCTTGAAATATAAGGAGCTGTTCTTTTGTCATCCCAGCCGCAGAATCAGTGTCGCCAACCGGGAACAAACAGCAGGGTCAGGGCCACCGTGGCTCCTTTCCCCTCTTCCTCCTCCCACTCGTCCTCTTCCTCCTTTGGTCCTCCTCCTGCAAAGGCATCTCGTCCCACTCTGAAGCTCCTCAGCACCAGGACCGGCAGTGGAGGTTGGGAGACGCCAGCTCCTTTACATCAGGAGACGGACAACAGTGATGATGACCCTGTGGTAATACTGTAAGAATGCTTGTGGGTGGAGGAGAGTGGACCAAGAGTGTAGAAAACAAGCAAGGAGCGAGACAGGAAGTGTAGTGTATCCTAACTAAGTACTTTCATATGTACATTTCAGCGTCCTGACGTGGCTTTCAGCTCAACTGCATAAGACTTTAAGTAAAAAAGGAAACATCTATCGTCAAAGTGTCACATACTGTGAGCACACATACGTTTTTAATACACCCTGGGTGGTTACAGCTTCTTTTTCATGTCATGTCTATTTATTCTCACCGCAAAAGCAGTATTAGCTTGAGCTGAATTTAACTGGCCTCTGTGAGTGTGCGTGTGTGAGAGAGGAAAGTTACAACTCGCTGCATCTGCAGATTGCTGCGGCGGCAGGACTTTATAATAAGAAAAAATGTGCGAAGATGAAAAGAAGGGAAACAACTGAACAGTTTAAGCCTGAAAGAGTTTCAGAAGAATCATCTGCATGTGACAGCAGACAATGTATTTTTTATTTGGGGGTGTGTACGCCACATCAAAAATACATCTCTCCCCCTCATTATAATCCATTTATAATAAAGCAGATATGCTGTAGCTATATTACTTGACTTTAGACAGTATAGTGCTTTAGCTGTCTACCACAAATTCCATTTCCATTCTGCCCTTGAGCCCTGGTCCGAACACAGCTCCACTGTTTTAATGAGACACAGAATCAAGCAGCAGACAGAGGGGCCTCTCTGCTCTCCTTCACCCCCACAGCAAGTCCTCTCTCTGGGGGTTGAAAGTCAGTATTATGGGGGCGTGGAAGGATTAAGTACAGAAGCAAGACTACACTTTAAAAATGTGTTCTTCAATTCATAAAATACAGGAAGTAGCTTTTTTTGTTGTTGTTGTTGACATGTTACTATTAGTTTCATACTGACGTTGTCGTTTCTTTATGACTTTCACGCACAATAAATCATACTCGGTTTACACTCACACACTCAAGCAGCTTAGTTATCCATACACACACACACTCAAACAATCTCCATCCAGTCCACCCTTTTGTTGAACCTTGTACCACCATCAGGGACTCCCCACTACACAGCAGCCAATGACTTCATGACACCGTGACGTCACAGCATTTCCGCATTCACCAATGATATCAACAACGACCCTTTTGTCTCTCCCAGACCTCAAAGTCTACCCGCTGATATTTTGCTCTTGTCTGTTCTCTTTATAACCTTCACATGTTGAGTGAAGTTAAGATGATTTTATAAATGTGTGTAAACTGAAGTAAAAAAGGCAAATCTGGCTCTGAAAGGGTCAAAAGGCTAAAGCCAAAGTTCCTGTTGTTAATACGATCAAACTCCTCTTTAAATCTCACTACTGTTAAGTCAAGTGTTCCTTACGGTGTTTCCAAACCTGTTCAGAGTTTCATTTAACACCAGGTGTCTGGCTAATATTTCAAGTGTTTGTTAATAAAGTTCAAATCAGTTTGTTTTGATTGAACCAATGTGACTTCTATCACCTTTGGCTCTTTTCACCTGCATTTGCATCTTTGAAAATATTTGAACTTGATTTGTTGACTCTTTGTGAGTTGTTATTCAGTCTGTTGTGTTATTTGATGAATTTATATTATATTTTAATATGTCATATAAATGTATTCATGAACCTTTCCTCTAATGTTTGTATTCACACCGTTTATCAGTTGTAAACATTGAAAATAGTACTTTGTCAAAGGATTTTCATGATGAATTAAACTTACCTTAATGTCTTTAAGCTTCAGTACTAATTACTGACATTTTACAAACACAGATAGTTCTATCAAAAGGATTGTGCATATTTATGATAAGTTTAGACTATCACCTATAGTAGTATATGGGCAGATTGATCATTCTTTGTACAAATAACTCTGAGTAGAGAGAGACCTTGTAAACATGGAAACCATTTTAAAGATCTGAAAATGAAAGCGGGTCATTTGGTTGAATTTGGGTGAACATACAGCACTAAAAACCTAAAGTCCAGTAAGGTGATGCCAGATCAGAGGGTTTTGTTTTCTTATTTGAATCATTAAATCAAGATAAATCTCAATCATAGTGTCTCGTGTCGTGAAACTTCACCTGTCCCAACTTTATTTTTAGGAAATTGTCCAACTGGTCAAAAGATCAAAATCTACTCCTTTTATCCATATAGGTGTCTAAAACACTAGGTTGAGACTGTTGTTGGTTGTTGTCCAGCTGAGTGCAGACTAAGTTTTAATCTTGGTTCACATAAGTGGAGAGACGACCTCTCACTGCTCCAATTTGCTTGATTTTGTGGACACGCAGTACAACTATGTGTGTGTATGTGTGTGTTTCAGACAGCAAAGACAGCACACACTGTCTTGGTCCTACTTTGGCTCATAAGTTCTGTATTTTTAGAAGTGATTGTCATGGCTTCCTGTTTCTTGGAACTTAAAATATTTTGTCGTTTCAGAAAGTATTTTGCATTTTTTCCATTCGGCTCTAAAAATTACAATCCTGTTAGTCTATCGGGCTAAAAGTGCAGAACCATTTCCTTTTTTAAAATCAGATTTGATATCTGAGTCAGGTCAGTAGAACTTCCTGGTTTGCTCCCGTTATCCTGTTTTCTTTACGAGGAAGATGAGAAAAGTTAAACTACATTACTGTCTCACAAAACATCTCTTTCCTGTAATTGTCTTCTGGCCACAGTAGCGCTGGGCTCTAACGCGCTTGCAGCAGCAAAGAAGAAACATAAATAATGGTCGCGATTCACCTTCAGGTCACAGGTTGAGAATAATCAACTCTCTCACAAGTACAGATGACTGAGAAAAGAAAGAGGAAGTGCATCTTAGTGAGGAGGAAGTGAAGAGTTGCAGTTACAGGACCTGAAGTATGATCCTTATGACAGACTTCTAGAAGTTCCATACATCTATGCAGGTTTGGACAGCTTAGCAAAATCTAGACACCAAAACCAGACCCTTTTTCTAAATCTGCACATAATCCTGACATTATAAACTTTTTAGAAAATGCTCTTTATGTCCATATTTTCAGTACCTGTCACAGAACAATGCAGACTAAAGTACCCTGTCATGAGAAAACTGCATGATGACTGGAAAATGTATTTCCTTTGGTTAGCGGAAAGTTAAGAGAGAAAGTGAAACTCTCCTCTAAGTACATATAACTGGTCTGCAGAGTTAAAAACAAGCAAACAGTACGTTTTGGTTGTTTTTGAAAATAAAGCACACAACTCCAAACACACAAACGTGGAACTTCTCTTATTTTCTGTGGGTGTGTTCTGTAAATAGAATATGGAAATGAAGCTGCCCTTTGGCTAAAGGGCTTTAATATTTAACAGTGCAGCTGACAGATGTAAAACTTCCTTTTATTGTAGCCTACATGATGTCGCATGTAACTGACATACACTGTCAACGATTACATAGACAGGTGTGTGCCTTTCCAAATCATGTCCGATCAACTTAATTGACCACAGGTGGACTCCAATCAAGTGGAAACACCTGACGCATGACGAGTGCAATCAGGATGTACCTGAGCTGTGAATACTTGTACATTTATATTTTTGTTTTTTATTTTTAATAAATTCACAAAAGTTTCAAACAACCTTTTTCACTTTGTCATTTTGGGTAATCGTTTGTCAAATTTTGTGGTAAAACATAAATTTAACTTGTTAGAGTCCAATAAGTAACACTGACCTTGAATGTAAAGAAAAAAAATGTAATAAAACCCAAAATCTAACAACTGGTCGACAATGTCAAAGGATGCTGAGCCAAAAATGTAGCAATTTATAACATTTTAGGTCAGTTGTTACATTTCAGGTTTTATTACATTTTTTTTGTTACAATTTGGGTTCAACATTTTGTTACATTATTGACAAATTGTTACATTTCAGGCTTTATTACATTTATTTTTATAATATTTTGGGTGTTATTAGATTTTTTATTACATTTTGGGCTCAACATCTTGTTATATTATTGACAAATTATTACATTTCAGGCTTTATCAGATTTATTTTTATAACATTTTGGGTGTTACTTTTTTTATCACATTTTGGGCTTAATGTTTTGTTACATTATTGACAAAGTATTACATTTCAGGCTTTATCAGATTAATTTGTTTTTTATTTTGGGTGTTATTAATTTTTTTTTATTACATTTTGGGCTCAACATCTTGTTATATTATTTAAAAATTATTACATTTCAGGCTTTATTAGATTAATTTTTATAACATTTTAGGTCATTGTTACATATCGGGCTCTAACACGGCTGTAACTCAAAAAAAAAGTGTAAAAAGTGCAGCATTGTGAATTCTACCACCCACACACTTGAACCAAGCACAGAGGTGTGTTGATAGGGCACGACTGACTGAGAAAAACTCCCGCTTTGGGGAAGTGTGTGTGTGAATGGTAAGTTCCTCACAGAAGAATCAGGGCCTGAAAGTCTGAAAGTGAGTCTGAAAGGATTCAGGAGTTCATATTTGAAAAGTGCTTTCTATTGCAGCAGACTTTGCAGTTTTTTACTATGAGCAGATGTCAACTTGGTAGCTGAAAGATTGAATCATAAAGAAATCACCGGATCTTTGACCTTTAATGAGTTTGCTTTTAAAATGTCACTACTGAAAAAGCTTTTTTATAACTAATAAGAGAAGGAATAAATAGAGATGTCGAGCTTGAAACGTCGTTACTGTCCTCAATATTGTTGTGGTAGTAGTCAGAGAAGCTGTTTTCACTTCAGTGCCTCTTGTTGTTGGATCTCGACAAATTGACAAGAACGACATGTTAGTGAGAGACAGACGTAGGTAGGTAGGTTTAAACTGACCCAAGTTTAACAATGTGTATATGTGTGTGTGGTGTCTAGATGCAGAGCTGCAGAGACCTCAAATCAGTAGATAAAAGTGTCTGGCTAAAGATAGCACGACGCGGCTAAAAAGAGTAACTGTGTCTGTTTGATGGACACAGATAAACCCACATAAGCATTTCTTTCTTAGTCCTGTAAAGTCAAATCTTTCCGAGCCACTACATCAACCAATCTCCGCATAATTTGAAGCGTTAACGGGCGTCATGGTGGAAAAACTGATCTGAAACTATCAAGTGGTCTGTCTGCAATGGTATCTGTATGAGGCTGCCAACCTTGTATGAGTCATTTAGAAATGTACATTAGATAATGGTAGCACTGGAGGAACACATCATTCGACCATGAGATGAAGAAGAAGTAGATATTTATCTTTTAAGGACAAAACAGAGGCCAACGGCTGCTGACTTCAAAATGTAGGTCAATGATTGGAGCATAGAAGAAGAAGAAGAAGAGAAGTAAAGGAAGAGGTAGAAGAAGAAGAAAAAAAAGAGTCTACATATGGAGAAACTTAACTTTATAAGAACCTAAAATTGGTTGAAAAGATTAGATATTTATCGTTTGAGGACAAAACAGTGGCCAATGGTTGCTTACTTCAAAATGTAGGTCTATGTTTGGAGCATATCAGGTACCAAAGGTTAAATTCACCTCATCTCTGCTATGAATTTTTATCATTAAAAAAGCACAAAATCACTGGACCTTCCCTTTGCATGAGAAATTTAACAATCGGGGAATCCATCAACATGCTTTCTATATGAAAACTTACAGATAGAAGAAAATCAAACACACCAACTTTAAAAGAAAACAATCACAAATTCAATAGTTGTCAATGAATAGTCATTTGACAAGTTGAACCCATAAAGTCACAACTTCATGTAAAATTCCTTCATCCATCATCAATACTAGAGTCAAGCTGTCACTTTCAACTTTCTGGCTCGTTCCTTCGCCCACAAACATCGAGCACTGACTGTAAATGTGTAAACTGCTCGATTTGGATATTCAAAAGGGCAGCAAACATTGATAAGATTAAAACACCGCCGTGTACTGTTTCTAGAGAGTGTATGTGGAGGACTTTTTTCCAGGGAGTTCACTCAGAGTTTGATGAGAAAGACAGAAGTTTGTCGACACTCTTTCTTTTTTTCTTACTGCGCTGTGAAAGGACGGGGCTGTAATCCAGTTACTTTTAGACGACTATCCTGTCCAAAGTTCTCTAGCAGCAGGTGGGGAAAAAAAAGAAAAAAAAAACAGGGATGAAGAAGGATGACGGGGATAAAAAGAGCTGCAGCTGTGACAGGAACAATCTGTACCTGATATGCAAGCCAACCAGACACAGACAGGTTCATCCAGCAAGTATTTATCATGTCAGCTTTTTTACATCTGTTTTACCTTTCTTTAATTCTCGCTGTCTCTCGCTCCCATCATCCTCTGCTCATTCCTCAACATGTCGCTGACTTGTTTTTTAGCACTTTCCCCCAGTTTTTCATCGTGCATTTCTGCCCCTGTGGTCACGGTATCTCCTTGCAGTTAAAATGCAGAGCGTGTCTGACACAAACCAGCCGCCATTAACTGTTGCCAGAGCAACCAAACAACAGAGTTAGGGCAGAAAAGGAAGGAAGAAAGACAAGAAAGAAAGAACGTCTTTGTTGCGATTGTTGAGGCTCAACTTTAACGGTGTGATTAAGTGGTTGGAAACCAACTGCAACAACAAAAACAGAGCGTGGCAGAGGGAGCGAGGTGAAGGATGAGGTCAGACTGTTTAACGGTCTTGATTGGTCCAGGACATGGAGTCTTTGAAACCTCCAAACTTTGTCTCCTTTTTCTTGATGGGACAAACACAGAGTAAAAGCAAACAGAGGCGTCCTTTCACTTATAGATCCACAGGGGAGAGTGGTTAAAAGTTTCTGAAGAAGTTTTTTATTATAAGTCATATTTACACACAGCACAGCTGCTCTGAAGACATACATTCACATACTGAGACGTTACAATTACAAAGTATATCCAAATATTGATTTCTAAAATATGAACCTTTGCAGAGAGCCACTTTTGAGTCACCTCAAAGATAGGGTCTTCATGTCTCAAGAATCCACATTTTAATATTCAGTCACCCCTAAGATAAGCGCATATTGCGAGTAAATGTCCTGGGCCGATAACTACTAAACCTCTGAGTTTTCCTGGTTTAGGGACAATGAGGAAAGCCACTAACGCTGACAGAAAACAATCAATCTTTCTCTGGACTCCTGGCCTTAAATATAACCTATAAAAAAAATCCTGCAGTCATATTGTCCCAAATTGCAGAGAAATACAAACGCAGCAGTGCAAAAACATGTTTCACAGTCCTGTCATACTCATGGCACACATTTAGTGGAAGAAGTGCCAAGCCGCGCTCTCAGCTTGTTAAAGTGAAGCCTGTCGGCTATGCTCCTTGGCAAATGTGTATTTGTGTTGAAGTGTGTGTGCGTCCAAGTGAAGTGGCTGGTTCCAACCACACTGTGGATTGGTACTTCAATTATGGGTTTGACCAGGCAAACACTCACTCCTTCTCCAAAACAGACTCACAGAGGGTGGCCCTTCCAGATTTCAGCTCGGAGTTTCAGATGCGTGCATTTTGTGGGCTTCTTAAGAGTCTCAAATACTTACTCCACAGTCAGAAGAAATGTGCTCACACCTTCCAGAAAATACAATCTCAAAATTTTCATTCAGACATCTCCCAGATTGTCATAGATTATATCAGGTGATCTCAACAACGGAGTGTGTTGTTGGGCATACCACGAGTTAGCAGGTTGAGTTTTCTGCTTGGAGACTTTACTGTACAGCTCTCTCCCTTCTCTTCCTTTGTCTTCTCCCCCTCCCAGATTATTGTTGTTGTTTACATTGCTCCCTGGTCCTCCGTGTTTCCCAGGAGGAAGTGGCACTGGTTCCTTCCGAGCAAAAATGCTTCTGCTTGGTTTTGGGGCAGTGATGGGTTTGGGCCACCTTGGAGTTGGAGGTTGCGGTGTGCCACGACTCAGGCCTAGCTGTACTGAAGAGTTTCTCGGGGGATCTGATGCTTTCCCATGAGAGGGGGTACTGTAATTCCCTTCCAGCGCCTCTTCCTGTCTCCTCTGAACACTCGAATCCACCCAGGCCTCATCGTAGAGACTTACCCCTGAAACGACTGAGATAGTAGACCCTCCCTTGGCGCAGCCCTCTGGTTCATCGTATATGTGCTCCAGAGGAAGAGTAGATGAAGCCCCGTCTGCTTGACTTCCTGGGGGCTGCCTGTTACTATTAACCCCTCTGCCTCCTTCTGTGGCCCCGTTCAGACTCAGTGCCCCCGTCCTGAGATTGACCTCTTGGCTGATGTGATCATAAACATGTGAATACAGGTCTGGTGGCTTTCTGTGGTTGTTCCCATCATGGTGTTGTTGCCCTTGGACCCCGCCTCCTGAAGCCTCATCTCCAACTGGCCGAAGGCGTGGAGTAGGCACTGGAGCCGGGTTGCTGGTTTTGCTTTGACCCTTGATGCTGTCCACTGGGTCGGAGTAAAGACAGTCAGCGCTGTGTGGAGGAAGACGAACTGCATCTGCTGGTTCAGAGTAAAGACCTGCATGTTCATCGGCTGGGGTTAGACCTTTGGTTGCTGCCTGCCCTCTGGGAGACTTAGGAGGAGTCCCCCCTCCTCCCAAATGGCTCAAAATGGCTGGTGGTTCAGGTAAACTCCTCCCTTTAAGTGCTGATGTTCCTTGCCCTCTTCCTCCTCCTCCTCCTCCTCCTCCTCCATCTCCACCTTCTCTCTTCCCAAGCACACCATCAGCAGAGCCCGGTTTGCTCCCTCCTGAATCCCCATCTGCCTCCCGACTGCTGCAGCTACTGCTATCTCCACTCCCTGCCACCATGCCGCAAGGAGCAGCATTGCGGATGTGCTGGAGTGAGGCAGGGCAGTCTGGGTCAAAGTTCATAGGACAGCTGAGGTGCCGGTCCTCTGCCATTGCCTTCTGGGACTGGATAGCCTGGTCCACAAGTAGGAAGATCTCGTTGCCTTGCTTTGTCTCGAAAGTGAAGTTACCGGGGCCTGAGTCACAGCGTCGACCAGCCTCGAATGAGAACATCACCTAGACAACAAAAAAAGAAGTCAAAAGGCCTGAATGTTAATACTTTAATATCAAAATGGACAAATAATAAATACTGAATGTTAGTACTTAAATATAAATATGGATGTATACATACTAAATGTTAGTACTTTAATCTTAATATGTATAAATAAATACTGGATGCAATGAAACGTTTCCTAATCTTAAAAAAATAAATAAATAAATAAATAAATAAATAAATAAAGGTTAAATAAATATTTTAAAAAATTAAAAAATTCCCCTCCCCCAACCATCAATGATTACTTGTCGTTTTCTTTCACTGAAATGATGCTTTTTTCCTTCCTTCTTCCCCTTAATTCTCTGTCCTCAGCAAATATGATGTGATATTTAAAATCACTTTTTTCTTTCAAACTATTTTTGATTTTTTCCTTTTTTGTACAAATGCCAACTCACACATATCCATTTTTATATCGTTTCTCTCGTCTGGTATAAAAATTTCCCATCAAACATCCGAACACCCACCCGGTCTCGTCCATATCTTCTCAGCAGCTTGTAAGGCCACATCTGCATGTTCCTCTTCGTCTTCGGATCCTTCAAGATTAAAACGTCGCTTTCTGCTTTCAGCCAGTAGCTGCCCGTCAGCCCACAGCGCTCTGATGCATCAGTACGTTGAACGGTCACCCAAAACTCATTAACTGCAAATAGACGACAGGGGAAATGTTACTATTAGATTACATTTTATTCTCTGAAATGCTTATAAATAGTTTAATATGAATTCAATCTCCATTTTTCTTTGGGTTGCAGCATTAAAGTGAATTTCTCTTTCTCTGTATATGGCTGTTGACATGTTTGATAGAACTCTGCTGAGGAGGCGATCTTTCCTTTTCACTCCCAGGTTAATAAAGGTCAAACAGACCTAATAACAAAGTGTATCTCTTTAAAATACACATTAAAAAGAAGTATTTGTCTCCCTACCCTCCTCTCTGGAGTAATAGATAAGGTTTTCAGACATCTGCAGGTCCTTGGGTCCACCATTAGAGTCTGCAGCGGTACTGTCACTGCTGCCGCTGCCGCCTCCTCTCTGTGCACACATAAAACATCAACAGTGAATAAACATTATTCAGCCAGGCTCACCCCTTCAAGAAAGACCATCTTTTGTGACAGTTTTACTCATGATGCTGTTTTCACTTTTGTTTAAGATCACGAGTTTATGTTTGTCTGCACAGATGCATCGTCATGACAAATAAGTGAGGAAATATAATGAGGCTGGGAGCTTTCTAATATAAGAGAGCTGAAAGAGTGAAGCAGAGAAGCAGGGAGAAGAAGTCTTCCTCTTGGAAACTCCCTCTTGGCTTCCTTTGAGCGAGTGTGTCTGTGTGTCTAAGGGCGTTCAACAAAAGCACGAGCCTGAATAGAAACCCCAGGGCAACGTGGGAAATTTTGGACGACTTACAATGTTGTTGTGAACTCCTGATGAAAACTAAATCTCAGGCAGCAAGTCTCTCATTTCTTTATTAATTTGACCTCACTACGCAGATTTTTGTTTGTGTTCAAAATAGTCAAAATAATATTCTTCAATAGTGTTAAAGACAGACAAAAAACACTGAAAAGGTTGGACATACACACACAAAAACATTCCCACTGTTTTTTAAATTAAACACACAGTCAGTTTTCTTCATTTGACAAACATGCAAATAAGAGAAAAGTGTAAGAATACCTGAAACGCGATGTCACACATGGTATCCATCCAGTCCTTGGCGGCATTTTTCTCTGCAGCGAACACGTGCGTCTTGTCGTTGGTCTCCACACAGAACGCTGCCATGTTTTCTTTGGGACAGTTCTCCATCAGGGCCGGCAGGATGGAAATACATTCAGACAAACGGATGATCTTCTTGTCAAGCTTCCTGGTTTTCTCATTGGACCCGCTTCCTGAGCCCCCGCCGGCCCCACCGCCTCCTCCTGAGGGTGAGTCAAAGAACTCCAGGCGGGCAATGCCGTTTTGACTGGCAGGGTAGAGGACGAACCAGTTTTTCTTCCATTTCTGATAAATGTAAAAAGGAAGCATGATTAAAAAGATGAATAAAAACAGCTGTACCAATCATTTTTAACTGAACAATGACACAAATGACTCTGATCTACTATCATACTTTTCAGCCAATTAGTATTTGCATGCTTAACCTTTATCTTAACTCATCTGCTCTGTAGTTGGCAACAGCTGAGTGCAGAACAACACAGACAAATGAAGCCACTGGTTTCAACAGAGTGGGATAATAGCAGAGTTATTATCTTGTCTTAGGACATTTCTGCCTAAGACAAGATAATAACAGAGGAACCTAGGACTGGGCGATATGTCCTCAAATCAATATCACGATATATTGAGCAGTTCATCTCGATAACGATAAAAGGACGACAAATACTCCGCAAGCTGCTCACCCCCTCCCACATGAACTTTGACCACTGCAGCTGCCGCTCCAGCCGCTACAACTTTTGAACCGTTCTCCATCTCCTCACCTGTCATGTCTCTGATGTAGGACCACATTTTAAAGGGACATGAGACCATAGCCTACCTACACACACCCAAAACCAACTTTTATTCATCTTTTTTTTTTTTGACACCTAATACACCGACATGGGCAAAATGACGTTGGTTATGTCGTAAATTTTGGTGTAAATTTTCAGTTTATCGCTCAGCCCTAGAAGAACCATTTTGTTTTTTTCTGATGTGATGCTTGAGCTTTTCTGTGTGTGTGGGATGCAAATTGTGCATTTGGTATATTCTTTGATTGGTAAATAAAATCTTATAGGTTCTGTATAGGTTCTCATTTTTCAGGTCATGGTTATCTAAGGCAGTGGTTCTCAAGTCCAGTCCTCCCTGCTCCAACACACCTGATTCAAATGATTAGCTCATTATCAAGCTCTGTAATGGCTCAATAACGAGCTGATCATTTGAATCAGGTGTGTTGGAGCAGGGAAACATGGTCTAAGGGCAACTAGACTTGGTTGAGATTCTTGACGATGTTTCACCTCATTTCCAAAAAGGCTTCTTCAGTTCAAACAAAGGATTGGAAAATTTATGATGTATAAAAATTAGTCTTAGATCACTAAGAAAGAATTTTCTTTCTCTTGATTAACAATGTCACATTTTTCTTTGTTATTTTTGTTATCTATACAATATTCATGCTAAAGCCACAAGTGGGGGAAGATGGGTAAAAGGTCGCTCTGAAAAAAAAGACAATCAGATCAGAAAAGAATAATTCCTTTGAGTTTCTTTGAGACGGATGTAGAGCAGAGTAAGATGCAGTTACTCACATATAATCAGATTTTGATGAGTAAAATCCACAGAAGTGAGTCATAATGATAGAGTAAATCCTTCTTGATTCAGACCCGCACACTAATTTTTCCACTACAGTCGACCAGTTGCATTGCACCACATTTAAAACATTAGTCACTCGCTCTTTTAGAGAATTTACCAGCTTTGCTTCAACATCAAAAAGACACTGAGTGTTTAGAAATTATGTAAAAGTTCAGTAAAACAAATAAAACTGAGATCAAATTAGACAAAAAATTATAGAGACAAATTTCATCGCCTCACCCTAAACTTTAAAAGCATGAAATGAAATCATAACATTTACATTTTACTTCAATGAATGTGCACTTTTAGTTTTGTCCCGGATTTAAGTTATGTTTTTAACACAGCAACAGTAAAAATAACATTTGGATCTTTAACTCAAGTGAAGAAAAAGATGCGACAGCTGTAAAGATTACACACTTCTAGATCCTAAAACAGTTTTTTTAAAGATGTAGGTTGACTGGGTGCAAACTACATGACAGGTGTGTGGTCTCTCCCTTTGTGTAAAAGAGGAAGCAAAAGCTAACAATGATCTCTTCCTCTGCAGGGACGAAAAAGGACATGACCAAATAACATGACATGCGACGCCAAAAGAGGCAGAGTGAGTGTTTGAAATCCAGATGTTCAGTGCTAACTTTAGAGGTGATGACACCCTACGTATGAGGTTATGTGTGGTCAATAATACAGAAACTTGTCCCTGTCATCCCTCGCCTCCCTCTGAACAGTTTGGTGTAATTGTTTGGTGTCATACTCTGCCTCATCTCAGCTACGTTATCTAAGAGAAGTGAAGTTAAGTGTCCTCTCCTATGTTCACATAGTGAGTTGGTGACATTAGGTCAATGATTTGACAATCCCTCAACTACCTGGGGAAGTTTAGCTTACACTCTGAGTATTAATGGTCCTCTAACCAATAAGATTGTCCTTTTCAGTACCTATACTAGAGTCAACAAAAACATTTTTAAATCCCCACACGTATCCTCTCCATACTTGAGTATATTATATTTACAAAAATCAGTCTAATTTATCATTTATTGTAAATATTTAATGTGAAACGGTATCAAAAATTGGGATCTTAAAAGCCAGCCCTATCAGTTCATGATTGGTTGGATGGAGCAGCAACACTTGCAACAGTAGGTCTACATACTAGTAGTTGGAGCAGCTAATTCACACTTTGCTAGCCCTAAAAAAGACACAGAGTTAGTCGGTTTGTCGCTGTGTAGCGGCGCACTGAGTTCTTCAAAAGTAAAGATAGCTACGGTCCTTAAAGCAACAAGTAGAACTTTATATGTGGATATATGACTTTAAGCTTCATCAGTTTATAAGTCATATTCACACACAAATGAGTTTGATGAACACATGAATGCAAACATCCCAACATGTTACCCTTAAGTTATCAGAGAGGGCAGGAAAAGTGTGGAAGGTCACTACCCAAAATCCTCTTCTGCAAGTTTTTTCACAGCCCTGCATGTCCACAAGTGTGCTGCATCTCTTTGCATTGTCTTAATTATTAAGACCTTGCTATCATGTTGTACATTCTGGACCATCTATTGCACTGCACAAGTAGATGTACACACACGTTTAAACCACCAGACCATCATAGGTGATAATGTTATATAAAGGGAGAGAGAAACATGGTCCTGTGAGGTGTGTGTGAGCGTGTGTGTGTGTGTGTGTGTGTGTGTGTGTGTGTGTGTGAATCAGATGCTCCATATAAGGCAACAGACGGTTATCAGCCGCCTATACTCTGAGTGGAAATTATGCAAAAAAGATCTTGACAGGGAGAACAGCAACTTCCTCACCAGCCTCCTGTTGGTTAACACTGTTGTTTAGGTTCACGGCTGTGCTCACTCTTTAATGCTTCATCACTCTTATATAATTACTGTATCAGCATTGTAAGGGCCCTGCAACACTTAATAGTCAGTCAATTTTCTCATGTTTTTTAATCACATTTGTTTTTTTGTTTTTTTTCTTTTTGAGTGGCAAACCATCTCAGCGCTGGGTCAATGTAGCCACAAAAGTTTAAAAAAAACCCTCTTCAAAGGTGTTTCCTTGAGCAAAAGAGAGAAGTGTTGCTGCCGAGTTTGATTGTAAAAGATAAAGACATGAAATGAAGTCAATCATACATTAGATCTATGTTACTGCCTTAAAATATCTGTCAAACTACTCGTGTATCAGTTTGATGCAAAGATAGATTCTTCACACACTGGCTGTCAGTGTGAAACAACAATGTAAGTGTTTTTCCACGACTCATTTGACAATGAAGACCACAGACTTCAGTTTTTCTCTTTTTTAGTACTAATAACCACATCTTCATTTGTTAACAGTTTTCTTATTTGATTCTAAAATATGAAAATACAAATATTTGAAAATACAATCTGCAGTCTCCATTTTTCAACTAGTTATGAAACTGACTTTAATGAACTTAATGCTGTTGTCTCTTTATGAGCGACTTAAGCAAATATGAGGTAAGTTCACCCTGTCACTGCTGCTTAACTGATTTATCTTTAGTTTCACAGAAGGTGACAAAGTGGAAAGACAAGATGTGCTTTTCATTAGACTTTCCACAGACAAGACATGAAATGAGTTTGTCTGACAGTTGAAAAAAAGGCGGGATGAGATCATCTGCTGTAAGGATTGGATCAATAAGAAGATACGACCAACTACCCACTGAACAATAGACGGCTATTAGACATCTAGTAGAGCTAATTTCAACCATCTAGATTCTGTATATTTTTAGACGGAATTTAGACGTTGCACTTTAACCCAATATTCGATCACTATTTATTTCAAAAAGCAGCTGTGAGTTGATCTGATCTCCAAGTACTTAATCAAAGTAATTATGACAGCCGTTGAGCAATATACAGTGTAGTATAGATATAGCCCCGATTTAGACTTGGTCTAAACTTGGTCTAAATTCAGACATCTAAAAAACGTTCCTTTTTAGACCTGTAGTTGCCTGATTTTAGACCAGTCGTCTAGGCTACATTTAGACGTCTATTAGACCTCTTTTAGATAAAAAAATGCTCAGTGGGTACATTGTTAACAAAGGTCAATAAATCAGCACGATCCAAAAGTTATATGTAGTCGATCTGCTGCCACCAGTTGGACTGAGACAGAGCAAATTCATTGTTAAAATGTTGTGTTCATTTTGTTGATTCCTGCATTCCTGGTAAAAACATGTGCAAGTAATGTTTCATAATGAAAAATCTCTGTCTCCTGCAAGCTCTGGCAACTTCTGGCCCAAAAAGATTCACTGCTGCAGGTTCAATCTGCCAGTGGACCATTTCATCAAGTGAATTTAGACTGAGTTAAGCCGTGTTGAAGGAGGACAAAACTGGCCATGGACAGTTTGTTTTGTGAAAGTCAGTTTGGTTTCTATTATTGATTTCACTTTGAGTCATGTCCGCAGAATCAACTGTCTTTTGTCACATGCTTCATTTTTGGATTATTTAACATCCAAATGATGAAAGATAGCCTCAGAGCTACTTGTTGAAACTGGTTAAAATAGACTTCATGAAACAGAACAATCAGCATCTTGCAAGAGCCGGGGAGGAAAGTTTCACACCAGTTTACCGCCACATATTATGTAACCAATAACAGGTGATATCTAGAGCAAATTTAGACCCACTACACAAAGACTTTGCGGTACAAATAGTCTTGGTGGAACTCAGGCCTATGGATTTCAATGATACCACAAAATATAATGTCCAGTATGTGTGTGTGTGCACTCGCATGCAGACCAGTGAAACTATGTGACAGATGGAAACACTGACCCATTCATTTCGCCATACTGCTGTTTAGTTCAGCTACTCAGCCATGTGGTAGCCGGCCACAGACAGACCTCAGTGACATACAGAAGTGTGTGCGGTTATCTGTGCGAGTGTTCAAGAGAATAAAAATGTGCTCTGTGTGTGATGTGTTGATGCGTATCTATCTCATGAAGTTAGGACAGTGGAAAGCTGTAAAAAAAATGTGTGTTTGTAATCTGAGTGTTTTTTTAAATGCGAATGGGGAGTAGAGGAGTTTATGTGCTATGTGTGAGTTTCTGTGTCACGGTGCGAGAGACAGAGAGAGAGAGAGACCAATGGTTTGACCACATGGCTGCAGCCTTAACCTCAGAGTGCTGCCATTTCTATACAGAAGTGTTTTCAAACATGTCAGGATTCAACAGGACTGCACCGCAGTACAACAGACATGCCACTGAGAACGGAGCTTAGCTACGAGTAAACTGGCATGGTTTTGGTTTGCAATTGTGATGACCTTTGACTGATCAGCTGAACTTTAGAAAGTTGAATAGAAGAGCAGTAAAATGTGATGAATCGTAATAGCAATAAACGAGTTGAGTTGTTCTTAGTTTCTTCGTTGAGTTGGTCTTAAACGCAACATAATCACTGCAACTCAATTGGGTCTACGCAACCCTCAGCTTTGAGCTGCAGAGGAAGTGACTAGACTTTTGAGATTGTTGATATCTATTATGTTATGAAACATTATTACAACAGGGAGGTACTGTGATAATTCTTTGTTCTTTTTTCATTCATATTACATTTTTTATTCAGTTTTTTCTGAAAAGACATCTACTACAGAGTGTACTAGGAGAATCACAAACTACCGTGATACATATGGGTTGCGCTAAAGAAGGATTAGGTGTTTCTAATTTTTGGAAAACATATTAAGCATCTGTAATGTTTGTTGTGATTACAAAATTTAGAGGAATTACAAACCTATTGATCTATTAGGCCAGTGGTTCTCAAGTCCAGTCCTCAAGGCCCACTGACCTGCATGTTTTGAATGTTTCCCTGCTCCAACACACCTGATTCAAATGATCAGCTCATTATCAAGCTCTGGAATGGTTTACTAACGAGCTGATCATTTGAATCAGGTGTGTTGGAGCAGGGAAACATCCAACCACTGTACCACTGTATTGGGCAAATATTACATTAAGGATGACTCTCCAGAGTACAGATGTAGCCTTAGAGTGTTCAATATTATTTTATCCTGACACATCCAGTCTGATCAAGTGTGAGCTAGCTTGTAGCTGAAGCCGCTTTTGTTATCTACCAACTATGAGGACTTGTAGGCCTGAGCATCTTGGGCATGAATATATGTGTGTGGTTATCTAGTTCATACATATTAGTTTTCAACTGCATCTAACACAGCACAAACTTAAGGATGGGTGTACAAATTGTCGCAAGGGTGTGATTACAATTCAGCGCAAAAACTGCGCAGTAGTAAGTATAAACACACTGCTCAGTGCATATATGTAGTCTGAGGTTTGGTAGAGTTTCAAAAGACTCTCATTTGAATTTGCACTTCAATAAAAGCAGGTAGAGACAGAAAGCTTGATTGGATGTTGCTACTGCGCTATTAAGTCACATTTTCCAACCAAACATAAGGTTTTAAACCCTTGAGAGTCTATGTGTCCACCGACAACCCTGTTGCATAATTCAACCAGCTAACCTCACCGCACTTTCAACACTTTAAATTCAGCCAACTTCCAGCTTCCTGTGCTATTCTTCTCGGATGCTTTTTTATCGTTTCTCCTCTCTTCTGTTGGACCAAGCAAAGATATGTTCATATTTTTGATCTTAGTTGTTCGTTTCTGTTGTTTGTAAACCAAACACTGAGACTTTGTTTTAGGAATATGAATATCTATTGTCCAGTGGTGATTTCAGAGCAGGAAACAGGGCCAGAATGTGTTTTTAATCTGTCATATGACTGAAGAGAGAGACAGACACAAAGACCCGCTTACAAATCTGAAAGACCAAACGAGGTCTTAATAAAACTACAGGCAAGGCTGCAGAGAGGCCAAGTCCTAAAAACAAACACAGACACACCTACAAACACATACACACATGCAGACACACAGTCATAACTGATATTTAACTGTCTTCAGTCTTGCTTATCTCAAACCTATCCTTTATAGCCTTTTGTTGCTATTCATACAAAAAAAAAAAAACTTTTTATACTACTCAAACAACTGAGTACTGTTGTGGTTCAAACCCCAGCTCATAAACACATGCATACAATTCTCACAAACAATATCGAAACCAATGCATCAAAACTAGACCAGCACATAAAAACTGTGGTCATTTTCTCTCTTTGTCAGTAAGAGCACACTAACTGCTCTTTGACTGCCTCATTGACAAAAGGGAACAACACAAAACTACAATTAACAGTATGAGCATGAATGGCTATCTCTCTTAAATTCCAACATAAACTTGTTTTATTTCTGTCCTGGTACCTTCATTTAAGCAGATTTAAAACCTCTTTTTTAAGAGTGGCCTGGCCAAATTAGTTACAGTACAGTTAACAAAGTTTCTGACAATGAGCAGTCACGAGAGACGATAAAATACACTAAAACACAGTATAAAGCAGAAAAATGATCAGTCATAAAGCGTCCAGTTTCTTAAATTTGAGGTCTTTTGTCTTCTGTTCAAAGTAAAGTGAGCAGCAAACTAAAAGGCCTTTTTCCCATCTTACTTCTGCAACTTCTGTGATTGTAAGTGCCTTTGTCTTTATCCTCTATCTTTATCTGAACAAATATATGGAACTACTTCATCACCCTGGTTAAGTTCACGGACACAACATGGATATTACCAGACTTCTGGACTGTTAATGTTGGGCAGGCATGTTGACACTTATGGACAAATCCTTCAATCTTTTTGTGTCTCACTGATAATCTAAAACTTTTCAGTGACCTCCTCTGATTACATGCAACTAATTCAATATACTTTCACCACATTTCTATTCCCAGTTAAATTAATACTATAAAAAACCTCACTTCTTATGAGGTTTCTGCCTCTCTTGTCATTTTGTCAACACCAACACCATAATAAGTTGATGGCATAGAGGATTTTTTTTCTCAAGATCTTACCTTTCCAAACTTCTGATGCTGCACATAAAGCTGTCCCTCCTTCACGTGGGTGTCCATGCCCTTGAGCACTCCGGGGACACCCTGCCTCTAGAAAAAACGATGTTTGACTTGAACTTGAAGCACGAAAATCACTTTATATGGGGGTTTTATTTTTCCTCTACCGCCTGACAACTTCCCCCTCCTCACACTTCCGCTCTCAAGTCGTTCAGACGCATTTCTTGTACTCCTCGCGCACAGTTGAATATGTCATGGTGAAATAAAGTGGTCCAAACTGTTGTTGGGTGGACCCGACGAACTTTAATTCTGTCTAAATACTGTCGGTGGGTCGCCTATCTGTGTCGCCGCTTACTCCTCCTGACGGGCTGGACCATTCGAAGTTGTCATGTGAACGCGTGAAGCTTCTGGTTAAAGCTTTCAAAATAAAAGTCTAGTGGCCTACAGAGCTCACCAGTTTGTATTAAAACATATTAAGACATTCATACGTTTTGTTTGTTTGTTATCCAGCGGTGAGGGGTTATTCCTGGTTGTTTTCTTCAGACTTTTACATACTTTTCTCATTATCTTGACTTTACAAAGCTGGTTTTTCCATTAAAAAAGGTTCCTATTCCTATCAGAAATCCCGGCAATCTAGGAAAAGACAAACAAACAGAACAATAGACTGGTCACACAAACCTAATATGTCATGCTACTGCTGCCCACTCCTCATAAAGCTGTATATATTCATTTTATTTTATTTCATTTTATTAATTTATTTATATTTTGCTTTGGTTCCTACTTGCAATAAAGAGATGACCAAATAAATAAGTCAGTATCTCAAAAAGAAACCCCAAATTACTTGTTTTTATGCAAACTTGAGTAAATAAAATTTTGGGGTGCATGCCCACTCAGTGCTCCTGTGCCCACAGCTTCTTATGTCAGTACTCAATAGTGATATTATATGAAATAGTAGCAGCTCACCTTCTGTTGATTAAAATATATGTAGGGGACAATGGGGTAAGATGAGCCATTTTTCATATTTCGGATCACTATATCAAGGCAAGTGTATCTGCATGTATTTCAAGATGTTGTGCATACCTGCAAACCAACAGAATGTGTGTAAACATAACTGTCTTGATAATATAGCATGCCAAAAAAAGTGGTCTCCCACAGTCAATTAACCTTGTGTATGGGGTAAGTTGACCATAGGAGTGGGGTAAGTTGAGCCGTACCCCTCCTACCAAGTCAGGCTGGACGATAAAATGATAACGATATATATCAAAAATTAATTTCCCTCAATATCAAATTAAACATAGTCAATATGCTTTTCGATAGTCGGCATTCTGCCATGTTTTGGTAGACCATGCGAATCGCCAATAAAAAGGAGAGTTCAGCGCGGTCCTCTCCGCGCTGAACTGACCATTCAGTCTGCTTTCTTTAGCCCACGCCTTGGGACAAAACATCGAAGAGACACAAAGACCTCATAGATGCAGTAGCTTATTGTACTTCAAAAGAAATACTACCAATAAGTTAAACTACTACTACTGTTAAATTTCATTTTTTACATTGTGTTATATATCGACTGATATAAAAAATATATTGTGATAAACTTTTTCCCATATCACCCAGCCCTATGACCAAGTCATTTCCAAAAGACAAGTTTCAATGATAGTCTGAAGACAAACTATCAGAATACAATACAAAGTACCTCCTCCTCCTATCTCTTCTCCTTCTTTAAAGACAGTCTTCTATATAATTGCATATTCTGATGTTATGCAAGTGATTATCATCAATCAGAAAGACATTATTCATTAAAATGTCCAGAGTTGTACAGGGGGCTTAAACTGTAGCGTAAATGAGATGTTTGTGAGGATGATTGTTTTCCTGATATTTTATTGTGAAATGAGTTTTAGCTTGAACTCAGCACTGCTCTCAGTCTGTGGTACTTGACACCTTTTTTTTCCTGCAGGAGGAGTGAACTGCGCGTGGTGAGCGCACTTAGCTGCTCCTCTACTTCCTCTCCTCCCACCTCCTCGCTCTTGTGTAACTTCTCTTTTGGTTTAATACACATACACTTTCGAAAACCTACACAAGGTGTGTGTATTAAAAAAAAACAGAAATCATGAAAGGATGGCGTTGATTTTTGCAGCACCACTGCAGGATAACCCAGGCCTACCAATCTAGAATAGTATAATTAAATGCCCAGAAGTATCACTGACCGGTTATGATGTATCCATTCGTGCTTCATTATTCTCTAACCATGAAGGCTGTTTGGTATATTGTGCAGCCAAATAGGCCCTCTGATACTGACAAAGAGAACTTAGTCCTACAATTAATGTTTTGCAGATGCATCCTGCTGGCTCAGCTCTCGGTGAAGCGGGCCCAGTTGAGGTTTCTATTTTGACCCCATTACTCAAAAAAAACGCAGAAGTGCTAGACTACACCTATGTCACTATTATTCTTGACACAGAGTGTGGATTTTTAGACCATGAGTCAGAGACACTTCTGGTGTTTTCTCCTCCCTAATGCATATTAACCTTTATGACTGTTAAAAACACAACTAGCAACAAGTATAGACAACATGTATGATAAAGTTTATGTCTCTCTTCCTTTGAATCTGCTTGATTTAAATGGCAGAGTTAACTCCTTGACACAACTACCACCTACTGGTTCAAAATCTGTATTACAGATAGTGGGGTTCTCGCGATGTTTTCTTTCCCTTAAACGAGATGACAGCGTCGAAGCAGGAACTTAAATATGGCTTCGGTGTTCGGTGGAGTTGACGGGTAAGAATAAGTTGAAACATATAACACACTTTCTCAATTTAGTTTACCTTTGTTTTAAGACATAGAAACATCATACTTAAGGCAAGTTGCCCCAGTTTCGTAGTTGCTGTATCAAATTGAGGGCACTGACAACCCTATCTTCTGTTTTTGGCACTGTGTGGTTTGAGTCTCGTGACTAATTCATCTCTGTCATATATTGTGTAGTACATGCAGTTATAATCAATTACACCTGCGTTTCTTTTTCATTAATGACAGCAATTGCTTTGAAGTCTATTTGGCGTCTGTAAGTTAAAAAAGAATAGAAAGTGCATGTCGTTTTCTCTTGTATTGTGTGTTTTTTAAGCATGTCTGTATTTTTGTATTTCTCAAGTGGAGGGACCCACTCCAAAGCGGTGTTGGTGTCAGCAGATGGAAAGATTTTGGCAGAAACAGAAGGACCATCCACAAACCACTGGGTAAGCAAGAGGACTTGGTTGTATTATCATATTAAAGGGATATTCTGGCGTAAAATTAATTTAGGGCCAAGCACACCATAACACAGAGTTAGACACCCCCTCGAGAGATGTATGTTGCCTACCACTTGCTTCTCTAGTTATACCAACTTTAGAAACTGCCGCACGATAGCAATACACAGCGGTCTGAGGAGCCATAAACAAACCTCAACCAAAACGCCACTCTATAGCCACAAATAATGCTCAGAACAGCACCTAACTTCATCAACAGTACATATAGGGTCGCAGCCACAGCACTAGCCATCAACAGATTTTTAACTGCCTAATATCTTTAACAACGAGTCCAAACACAACTCACCTGCTCTCTTCCAGCAGCTGCTTGTTTGTAGCGAGACCTCAGGCAAGGACTACAGCGGGGTGGCACAGCTCAAGGAAGAGCATTTATGATCATTTTAGCATGGAAATGCAATCAGACTGAGACGCTAAGGCTGGAAAACTACCACGTCTGCAGTTTAAAATATTAATATGGAAATGATAAAGTAATGATCAAAAATGTTCTTCCTTGAGCTGCGTCACCCCGCCGTAGTCTGTAATGGACTGGCCCGAGTTCTTGCTACAAACAAGCGGCTGCTGGAAGAGAGTAGGTGAGTTATGTTGAGTCTCTTTGCTAAAAAAATTAGGCAAAGCTAAAAAGATGTTTGGTGGCTAGGACCCTATATGTACTGTTGATGAAGTTAGGTGCTGTTCTGAGCATTATTTGTGGCTATAGAGTGGCGTTTTGGTTGAGGTTTCTTTATGGCTCCTCAGACCGCTGTGTATTGCTATCATGCGGCTGTTTCTAAAGTTAGTATAACTAGAGAAGCAAGCAGTCGGCAACATTCAACTCCCGAGGGGGTCTTTAACTTGGTGTTACGGTGTGTTTGGCCCTAACTTAATTTTACACCGGAATTTCCCTTTAAGAGAGATTAATGGATGGACAAAAGGACTTTCGGCGAGTTGAACAAATGCTGAGAAACGCTAACACCTCTCATGTAAATTTTTTTGTGTATTTGTATGTGTGAATGTTCAGTTGGTTGGGGTGGACAAATGTATTGAGACCATCAATGACATGGTGCACAGAGCAAAGATGGAGGCTGGGCTGGACCCAAACACACCGCTCTGCTCACTGGTCAGTTAAACTCTATGACAGACACTTGACATTTTTATTAAAAAAGGAGTAAATGTCAAACACAACAGTTTTACACAGACAATTGATTAAATGGGTGTGTGTTTGTGTGTGTGCAGGGCATGTCTCTGAGTGGAGGGGAGCAAAAGGAAGCCATCAACAAACTAATTGCTCAAATGCAAGAAAGGTTTCCCACTCTTAGCCAGCACTATTTCATCACCACTGATGCCGTTGGGGCCATGGCAACAGCCAGCGATTGTGGTGATTATTATTTTCTGCTTTATTGTATTGTACATAACACAAAGCCTGTCACTTTTTAAAATTTGTTCAAAGTTATTTGTTATCATTCTTATTTCAACCATTTTTGACACATTCATGAGAGTAATGTGTAATTAAAATATGAATAAATCTTATGTACATTACCACTGAAGCTACAACTGTACCACCTACCTCGACAGATACAGACACAGCTGAAATTATGACAGTAAAAAGTCATATCAGGGTAAATCTTCGTACTTTACCCTCTTGGGTGTGGTTGTATAAATATATCATATGCGATGTTTCCTTTGAAACTTTATGACTGATCTAGATGAATGCAGTCTTATCTGTGAACACGTGGTACAAGCTCAGCTAACCTCTGCTCTCGTTGTAGGAGGTGTAGTGTTGATATCAGGAACAGGATCTAACTGCAAGTTGATCAACCCTGATGGCTCACAGATTGGCTGTGGGGGCTGGGGTCACATGATGGGTGATGAAGGATCAGGTAATTGTGGTAAAATGTACTTTGCACATGTGTCTCATAAGACAGGTCTATCAATGAGTGATGTACCCATCAATAACTAGATGTTTATCAAGCTTCAGGTTTGCCTGATGATGGCAAGTTGCTTGTAAATATATGGAAAATCCAAGCTCAATTAAATCAACTAACCTTTTTATCATGTCTTTCCAATTCTTAGCATTCTGGATCGCTCACCTGGCCATTAAGACAGTTTTTGATGCCAAAGACAATCTGGTTTCTCCTCCTCATGATGTGACACGAGTCAAGAAAGCCATGGAAGAATACTTTGAGGTCGGACTGCAGTCACACTGAGATATGTTTTGAGAGTTGTCATTACATTTTGTCACCCACCAAGATGTGCAGTTAGGAAAAAGATTGATATTTTTTAATTATTTTGGGTTTTTTTAGGTGTCAGATCTGATGGGCATGCTTCCACACCTGTACAGAAACTTCCAGAAGTCTTATTTTGCAGGTTTCTGCAAGAAATTATCTGAAGGTTGGTGACGTATCACTTCTTGCAAGGTCCTAAAAAAAGAATTTAAAATTGGGGGTCTAATAAAGGGTATTTGTGTTTTTCTATGTGATTCACAGAAGGAGATGATGCTCTCTGTCAGTATGTGTTTACTCAAGCTGGAAGAGTTCTGGCCAAACATGTAGAAGCAGTCTTATCCGAAGCACAAGAGGTAAAACATACAAATACCATGCTTTTTGATTTCAACATCGTCTACATCAATTTCCTTTTTTGGTTATGACAGCCTCTTCTGAGTGGTGACACTGGCCTGCCAATCCTGTGTGTGGGCTCAGTTTGGAAGAGCTGGGAGCTTCTGAAGAAAGGTAAGTCTCAAATCAGGAAAAGAGCAACTCATTTTTTTCCCACCATTTACACACAAATACCAAAAAAAGTGATGTTAAGTTCCACTAAATGCATCTTGGTTCCCTTTTTTTTTTGTTATTTCTGTCTCTGATCAGGCTTCACTGAGGTGTTAGATAAAGTGGCTTCATCTGACAAATTCAAGGGCCGTTTCCGTGGATACAGCCTTCTGACCTTGCAGCAATCTTCTGCCCTTGGTGGTGCATGTCTGGGAGCTAAAAGTATCGGCTGCTCCATTCAAATGGATTTTAAAGCTAATGCCAACATCTTCTACAAACACACTTTTAATAGTCAATAAGGGTACAGCTCTGAATCACTTACATATTACCAACTTATTGATCTTTCAAAGGGAATATGTGTTAGACATTTTTTTATAATAATCCTTACCTCAATAATTTTCTATCAGACTTACCTTTAAATTGAAACCTTTAAATTTGTCCTATCAGAACACAATACTGAATGAAAACATTTGAACTAGGTGCCTATCTGACAGCGCTGTAGCTAAGTTTAAACAGGGGTTGTTATTCTCTTTTCAGACTCTATATTTTTTCTGATACCTCTTTAAATGGCTTTACATGATTTGTTGATCTTTCAATCAGATCTGCTTTACTCAGCATGATCAATATGTCTTGAGTGACAGGATACATTCCATAGTCTTTTAAAGTAGCTGCAATTGAATGTCTTCTTTAAAAAAAACACCCTAGATTCAAGAACTTTGGCTCACTATAGGACTATATCAATCCTCCCCTGTACTTCAAAATTACTTGAGAAAGTTGTACCAAATCAGCTCTGTGACTTTCTCAGCAGCAACAGTTTATTTGAGGATTTAGAGTCTACCATAGCACTAAAACTACACTTCCTGAGTGTGACGAATGATCTACTGATTGTTGTGAACAGTGGTCTTCTCTCAGTTCTTGTTTCGTTAGATCGTATTGCTGCTTTTAATACTATTGGCCATCAGATCCTGTTACAAGGGTTTGAACTACAAATAGGTATTACAGGAACTGCTTTAGATTGGTTTTAGTCTGATTTGTCGGATTGTTCTCAGTTTGTTAATGAAAATTGTTAAGTGCATAACTAGGTCGGTTATGGGGTTCCACAGGGTTCAGTGCTAGGACCAATCCTTTTTCCCCCTTTATATGCATCTTCTAGAAAATATTACTCAGCAAAATGTCAGAAACTTTCACTTTTATGCAGATGACACTCAATTGTACCGATCACCGAAGCCAGAAGAGAGCAATAGATGAACTTCACTTGAAGTCTGTCTTAAAGATGTTAAAACCTTGATGACCAAAAACTTTTTGCTTCTCTATTCTGACAAAACTGAAGTTACTGTTCTTGGCCCCAAACACTTAAAGAGAGACGTTTTCTTGTGATATAATGCAGTAGGTGGCACCAGTCTGGCACCCAGCAGCACTGTTGAGAATCAGGGAGTTCTTCTGGACCAGGATATGTCCTTTAACTCCCACATTTGAACACTCCCAAATTTGAACACTTGGTCTTTGAAAATTTTGTACCGGTACAGCCTTTTTTTTGTCACTTGTCTTGGTATAACACTTGTTGATTTCATGCTTCATAAATACAGATTGATTGATTGGTAGTGATGAAGTTACTGATTGTGAAATGATCTTGCAACAATCCATCATGATTAAAGATGTGCTTTATCTTGAAGTCTTGTTTACATCATATATAACATTTTTTATGGCAGTTTTTTTAACTTTATTGTACTGTACCATAAATCCTCGCACTTTAAGGAAGCTTTTTTACATTTGTCATTCATGACGAAACTGTAAACAATTGATTAAGATGTGACTCAAAATAAAGAATCAAACCAATGCTCTGTCAAGTTTGTGTTTTGAAAGTTTGTACTTCAGTAAATGAGTTTGACTTTAAAGCTTACGGCATCATTTGACTTTGAGTGTCAATTTTATGTTGTATTTTTTACATTTTTGACAGGGCTTGATTTTGTCAAACCATATGTTGGTCATGTGGCCCTCATCCTGGGGCATGCAAATTTCAGAGCACAACCGTGTCTGTTGGATTCTGATATCCACATTTTCCTCTCACTTGGTTATCTATTGGTCTCTCAAGACAAAAATATCTCATCTTTTGTGTACAAATAGATTTGATGTAGGTATAACTGTGTCTCCTGATCCAATGCCCACATGCTGCTCTGTTTTTTTGAACAGTCCTGTCTACAAGTTACCAGCTGTGTTAACAGTCGACCGTCAAATTTGTGGCAGTAAAGGGATAGAGAAGCTGTAGAAGTAGAAGTAGCAGTATTCTATGTGTTGTCTGGGGAAACAGAATAAATCCTGTTTGGGTTTAATCAAAAACATTTATATCAACATTCCACTGTCTCCAACACTGAGAGTCTGACTCAGTCCAGTTTGGCTTTCCTGGTGTGAGAAGAGGAGTCAGAAAACATCAGATGATTTCAGCAAGACACCTGGAGGTAAAAGCTATGAGACTGACTCATTATTACTGCCTTTCATCTTTGATAATGCAAAATGTAAAAGAGTGTCTGATTAACTGTTCAGGTTATTTTTCAGTATGTTTTGAATTGAATTTAGGAGGTTAAAAACTCATTTAGAGAAGTTAACGTATTGCTCCTGTTTCTTATCTCAAGCTCACTGTTGACTCTTTCCTTTCTTTGACAAACTTTACCACAATATCAGCAATACTGTGAACCATGCCTGCACAACAAAAATCTCTGCTTGTGTTAAACAAAGACTTAAAATAATGCAGTATTTTAAAAAATGCCTACACTTCTGAGTGTCAGAGTTACTACACAAAAAAATATCTCCCACAAGATAATGCAAAAAATTAAACACACTTGAATGATATTTTCAAATATTTATGTTAAAATTTTGTACATAGAGAGCAAAGTTTATCAGTCAGGTTTTCTTGTATGTTTAACATACTTGGCCAATAAGTCAACACCTCCATATCGGAGTCCATGGTCTTTTATTTATACATATAGCATGATATGGGCCAGCTTAATTTCCTTAACACTTTAAATTTAGATCCAACACAGACTCTAACATAACCCTGAATTTTTACTTTATGTTAAAAATGATACTTTGACAGTGGTGTCATAGGACTATGTTGTACAGGGTACACTTGACTTCACTATAACAGAGATTTTGTGACAAAAGAAACGGATCTACCACAAAAGACTTCAACTTTACAGGGTTAAATAAAGAGTGGAGTAAGGAGAAAAGACTATTGTTCCCTTTGTCATTGTGGTTTTATCACGAATGCTCCCAGCTGGTGATCCAACAGCAGCTCCATGGTTTGAGTATTTTTGCTTTTTTTTTTTACATAAAGCTTGAAACTTCATTTGAGTTTTTCACTGTAAACTGTAATAATCCAATTCTTGCCTCTTGTACCTCTCCACAGTTTACACACCTCCCCCAAATAAATGCCTCTTACTCTGCTGTTCATTAGTAATAACACAGTAATAAAGAACAGTATTACACCCACCATTGCTACTGATTTGATTAATTTTGCTTTCAAAATTCAAAATGTATTATTTGAGAAATCTCCAATCTATTACAGGGTCTGATAACTTTCTCCACTTGTGTTTACCAAAATATAACTTTATAAAGTTCAACCATTGCTCTGATTCTGCAGGAAATGTAACTCTAATGTGTATTTGAGCTCATCTGCATTTCTGTACATATCAGCCCACCCCCAAAGCACAGAAACTGAATGCATGTTTCTCTCATTCAGACTGTGGGACAAATCCCTCGGGACAGGTTTGTCACCACTTATATGAGAGATTATAGACCATATAGTGAGCACCACCTGCAGAAAAACCGACCAAGGCCCAGAAGAGACGTGAGACCTGCACCTTTCTTCACCAACCCACTTCCGGTTAGATGGATGGATGGATGTATGGATGGATGGAACTGATCGATTAAAACTCATTGTCATGTGTTGTTTCCGCAGACTGGTCATGATTTCTGGACCACATTTTATAGGACGTCTAACAGCGTCTATGGCTCTTCAATCTACCCACAGGTGAACCACACACATGCAGCCACATTATCATCTTTTATCTCCAGCTATATTTCACTAATGTCGCTCCTTCATTCTGCTTTCTATCCCATGAACCTCCTTCAAACTGCTACTCTCCTGCTCCCTTACCCTACCCTACCTAGGCTAGGACACAGGATATAGAAGTTGCTGAGGAGACTCGACCTCTAGTTGGTGTAGGGGAGAGGGGTCAGCTCCACTATGTTCATGGTGGGGAGGGTAAGAGGAAAATCAAGAACACCCATGTACTTTCAAACACACCTGAGCTGGCAGTTTCACTGGGTACTTAGTCCTTTTACTTTTATTGGCAGCGTTGCAGCAACAGGAAACAGAAAGTGAGCCACAGAGGGTGCCTGAGGTTCTGTATGAGGAAGGTAAGATCGATTATGTAATATTTCTAGGAGTATTCATAAAATTCAAGACTGGCTCTCTTTGTTTAAATGTTCTTTTAGTGTTGAAAAAACAGAAATTAGGTCTGCAAATAATTCAAGAGCTTTCAAATTTGAGTGTTGCTATTAGTGATGGGCATTACGGCTCTCTTAAGTGAGCCAGATCTTTCTGCACAGCTCACCAAGACGAGCCGGCTCTTTTGGCTCCCAGACAGCTCTTCATTTTACCATGTGTACATTTTCTAATTCAGCCAAATTTAGCGTTGTTTGGCGTATGATATGTATGTATGTGTACACATACCTCTTAAATAATTCAATACATCCTTTGTACTGAAGTATTCACAAGTAAAAATTACATTTTCTAATATCAGTAAATTGCTGTAGCCAATTGTTTTGCATTTACAGACATTCACTGACTTGCTTGTAGAACCACTCTGCTACACAAAGCAGATTGAAATCCCGTCATTCTGCCTTGTAGTTTATTTCTACAGTCTGTGGGGGAAAAAAGACCCCAAAAAAAGAAAAAAAAATGGGTTACAGATGTTCATGGCTCCCACCGTTCACATTAAAAAGCCAGCTCTTTAAAAAAAAAGAAAGAAAGAAAGAAATGTAGTGAGCTAAGCTTTCTATTAAAAAAAAAAAAAAAAAGAGCCTGCTCTTTGAATTGATTCGTTCGTGACCAACACATCACTGGTTTCTATGCCAAAATAGCCCTCAAGAAAGAGGATCTTTATTCCCCCCAAAATTAAACCCCCAATCTTTTTTTTTCCCTCTTACAAATGTAGGTGTGATGGAGTTGACATCTCGTGTTTGTCCAGCTTGCTATCAAGATCATGTTAGATCTGCCCGTAGAGAGGCTGGGCTGCAGCATCTACCCCACCTTCCTGTCTTTTCCAGTCCACCTACAATAGTCACAGGTAAGACAGCACCCCCTGGTGATCCTACACTCCCTAGCAGAAACATGTCCACTGAGGGAGGTCAGGCAGTTTCTCTCTGTTTCACTTTTAACTTCTTCAATAAAGTAGCTACAGTGCAATGTCCACAATCTCAATATTTTGATATTTCAACAGTTTTTGGCGATCAAAGCGTTAGAGATTCAACAGTAAAAATGAGCGTCCAAATTCAATTCAGGGTAGTCAAAATTAAAATAGTTCAGACTTGCCAAAAAAAAGTTTGGATGTTAACAAGAAAGCTTTAAAGATGTTTAGAGACACATTTGGTTTGTAGGCTGTTCACAGATTTTTCCCTAAATGTTTAAACAATCAGTACATTTTTTTGTGGGGGTGGAATTTTTCATATGTGGTGTAAGTACTTTCTGTGGTCAAATGACTAGAGAACAGCTACAAACCAGTCCATCAATCTCAGCCCCATCGGCTATCATCTAAAACTGAGCTTTCAAGCAGATACATAAGCTTGAAGGGGAAAAAAAAGCAAATTTATCCTTATGTGACAACTCTTAGGATCTGGACTGTATTTCTGCAAACCATCAGCTTTGATTAGGATACTTCTCTTACAAATTTAAAGAGATTACTGTCAATTTTCTTCACAAGAGGGAACAATAAAACCATCTCGGTCGTTTGAATTAGCGTTTGAATTTTTCTAGATGCTGAAAATTTGGACAACAGTACCTTCCTGAGGGATTTAACAACCTATGGACCTGGAAACAGCACCTATCTTCAGCCTTTTCCCAGGCAGTGCAGTTGGTAAGCCGCTGACAATCTTCACTTTTAATAGCATATATTTTTATATTTGTTTGGGTATACCTCTATAGTTGTTGCTTTAAGATGCAAACCTTTCCTTTTGGCATCCATCGTAGCAGCACACTACCCGTGGTCCCAGTACAGTCCACAGTCAACTACAGGGAGCCCAGAAGGGAGCCAGTGTTGACTGAATACCAAGCCAGTTATACTGCTGAGGTAAAAAGGGGACAGGGAGGTTGAGTAACTGTAAGATGATCACTAAAATATGTCCTTTTCATTTCTATCTTTGTGTGTTTACTCCTAGAGGGCCCGGCCTAACATCCAGCAGAATACCTTTTCCTACGTCCATCTTCCTCCTCATCAGATCTGTTACAATCTACTCTAAAAGTCAAACTTCTGTCTTAATACAAAACAGGTTCTCCAAAGCCTCTTTTGTCCGTTTGTTTTTTTGAGTCAGACATGATGTTCCCATCTGAACATTATGTCAACTGAGGTTGCAGTCAAAGCCTGTGAGTCTCAGGTATCTTACCTGAGGATGAGTCATAACACTTCAGGGGACCATCGGCTGGCAAGGAGCTAAAGGAGAATTTGTGTCTCCTTCATAGTTGTTTTGGTAGTTCCCCTTCATCCAAACCTTGCAATCCACTGAAGGATTTAAAAAACAGATTATTTCTCTAGTATCAGGTAAGCAAAGAGGAGCCACATGTACATTTTGTATTGCAGTGGTAGGATAAGTGTTATGATACTTGTGGCTAAAGGTTTTGAGAATGATCCATATACTGATTTTCACAAAATTTGCTGCCTCTTTGTTTTTAGATCTGTTTGTCTGATGTTTTATGGTATACTAAAGAATAATTACAAGAGTTTCTTATCTGTCAAAGGCTTTTATTGACAATTACATTAAGTTTATGCAACTAGTCAATATTTGCAGTGTTTGCCCTTCTTACTCAAGACCTATAGAATTCACCCTAGCATGCTGTCAATCAACTTCTGGGTCAAATCCTGACTGATGGCGGCCCATTCTTGTATAATCAAGGCTTGGAATTTGTCAGGACTTACAGGTTTTTGTTTGTCCACCCAGCTCTTCAGAAATTCTAAAGACATGTAAAGGGTGAATGAATAGGAAGGAATGAGGTTAGGTACATATAAGCTTGACAGCTTCAACCTACTCCTTTTCAATCTCCAAAAGATATTGAATTACTTGTTTTGTCTACTGTACTGTATGTATATTTGATCGAATAAACAATATTGACTACAAGTTCTCAATGTGATAAAGGTCTAGGGAGTTTCTTGGCCATGGACCCAAAATTTTTATGTTTTGTTCCCCAAGTCACTCAGTTATAACTCTTGCCTTATAGCAAGGTGCTGGAAAAGGCATTATTCCTCACCAAACTGTTCTTGGATGGTTGGGAGAAGTTGTTTTGGTACCATTCCTTATTCATCCCTGTGTTCTTGGGCAACATTCTGATCCTGATATATTTTAAGTATTTATTTCTTTAATTTGTTGATTGTAACAGCTAATGAAAACTCAACATTAAGTATACTGAATTTGGGGTTTTCATTGACCGATACAATCATCAAAAAATAGAAATAAAGACTTTAAATGAATCCATCTTTACATGATAAATCTACGACAGTTTATTTTTGAACTGAATTAATGGAATGAATCAACTTTTTGATTCATCCATCTACAGATGGGCCTGTGTATGTATGTTAGGGCTGTCAACGAATATTCAAAATTTAAATTCATATTTTAATATTTAAGAAAAATAAAAAAAGAGAGACTCAAATGTGAAAATTAATATTCCAATATTAAATAAACAGCGGGAAAAAACTGAGTGAGAAAAAAAAAGTGTCTGCTTTGCGAGTGAGCGCAAAAGCCATCCATGGCACATGCAGAGAGAGATGGCGGGATGTTCGGAGAGAGAGGTCCGGACTCCCAACTATCTTTAGAAGCTCAGTTTGGAAATTCTTAGAGTTTTGGGTGGACGCAGTACACGGAAAAAAAAGTCAAATGAGATAAATTCATATGCAAGCTGTGTAAGCCAGATATTCCACCATTTTCGAACCTGTGTTATTTTTAGAACAAGTATTCAAACGTCATTGTAGAGCAATTTTGACAGCCCTGATGTATATTAACATATCTTTATCAAAAGCACCACATATGGGTTACTTGGTTTTACAATACAAGAACTTTATCCTTAAAGGAAATGAAACATGACACAACACTGACCAAAGCATTTGTCTTTAACATCTTTATTCATCTTTTTTCATTATTTTTATTTGTAATGAAATCCATACTCTTGTGTCTTCTGGACCATTTTAACGGCTTCTGTCATCTAACTCATCTAAACAAATCACCAAAAATGATTTCATGTTGTACAATCCACCTGGCGGACATTCCTATTGGCTTCACCAGGGTGCCATTCAACAGCTGTATTCCAACATAGTGTGAGGAAGTTCAATTTTGCCCAACATTTGACTGTACTTCACACTTTTAAGCACACACTTGAGCACTTGTCGAGCAAGTCACAATGGATGTAAAGGAGTACTTTCGCCTATTTCAATTTCAGTGCAGAAGTGTCGACTTAACAGTGATACAGTTAAATACACGAGACATTACTGTTAATACCACATACAAACAGTGGCATGAATGAGCACGTTCAGATCGCCAGATTTTCCCTTATGACAAGAATGTCTCTGCATCTTTAAGCCAAACTGGACCTTGAAGAGATTAGAATCTTATTTTTCTCAAAGCCATCTTCACATGATCTCACTTTTTTCCAAGCAGCTTAAATCTAACAGAGATTATACTTGCACTACGGGGCAATGCTTCTTGGAAAGTCATACCACTATAATCATTTATTGTTAAAAAGATGAACTTCCCCATAAACGTCAACCCACAAAAAGAACAGCAAGGAAGCCGTGTTGCAGCAGCCATTCGGTGCTGCAACTCTGTCCCCTACATATCTTCCTGCAAACAGGACTGAATGAACACCACAGGTTACTGTACCCAGTAGAGACAAATGCCTCATCCTCGAAACTTTAAGAAAAAAAATAGAAGAGGAGAGGATATCTGAAAACCTGATTTGGATATGGACACTTGATCTGATGCTGGACAAAACCAAGATTTCTTAGCAGACAGTGGCAGTGGCTTCACTCCAAGCCAAATCCTCCCCTTGACCACATTTGTTCACTACAGTCCCGTAAATCAAAACTGAACTCAAGATAAAATCTTTAGACGACAACAAAAAAAGACAACTGAGTTTCTCCAAAGATTCAAAATGCTCTGACAAGATCTTTCTCTCTGAACTAAGCTTGACAAATGTTCGGAAACTCAGGCTTCTTTTTTCCGAGAGGCTAGATGACCCTGGACTAACACGTAAATTGGGAAAAAATAATTTCTAAACCATGATTTACACCCATCCGTGTCCAGTTAGCTCACTTCAAAAAAACAAGCACTGAAGGTAGAGGCTGTATTTGATTTGGAACAGTGCCACTGCACATACAAAGAAGAGCTCGCATTTCAAGATGCTCTGGCGCTGTCGTGTCGTAAGAAGCTGAGGACATCGACAGCGCCGAATGTGTTGATTTTCTGTGATGACTCTACAGAGCGGTCGCCACAACTCATCAAGTCCCCTAAACTGTTAGTCACCCTCGAACCTCTCTGTAATGGAAACCCTCAGTCTACTTCAGATGTTAGTTTGTTAAGTTAATCAGAAACAAATTAATAAGAAGTAGTTTTTTTTTTTTTTTAAGTTCATCATAATCTGATTTTTTTTTCTGGCATCACTCCTTGGTAGCTGCCACAGTTCTAAGGGGATGACAATGAGTTCTGCTTCCTCTGTAAACATCAACAAGATCATCTGAAATGCCGTGATGAGTTAGCGCCCCGCAGGAGGGCGGTGCTGGTATTACACCCATCTCCCACCCCTGTTCCCCATGTCCCACAGTTTACAAGAAACAAACAGGAAAATAAAAAGATTAAAGAAACAAAAAAAGAAAAGAAAAATCCCCCCACCCCCCAACTGGGCCTGCCAGCACGCAGTTGGCTTCGAGTGTGTTTGTGGGTGTGTGTGTGTGTGCGTGCATGTGCGTGTGAGAATCAGTGTGTGTGCGGTCTTGGCCGCCAGAGTCTCTGAGAGTGTGTGAGGACAGGTGTATGCATATGTGTGTGCGTGTGGAGGCTCCATGGGGGTGAGGGGGACCCCTAGTATTTCTTCCCCGGGACAAACTCCTTTGCTTCAGGATTCAAGATGCTCTTCCTCTGCAAACAAAGACAAGAACAAAGACAGTAAGAACAGATCTCTTTCAAACTCAACGTGCATTTAGAAGAAGAGTGATGCATCTATCTCGGACTCACCGCCACTTCCTCTAAGTTGCTGTGGTGATCGCTGACAGACAGGCCGTTGAGCTGCTGCTGCAGTTGTCCCACCCCCTGGTTGTTGAGGTCACGTGAAGGAATGAACCAATCCTGGTCCTCCTCCTCCAGCATCTCCTGGAAGCAGCGCTCCAAGAACTCCTGCTCCAACAGCTCCTCCTCCACCTGGGAGAGAGACGGGAGGCAGAAGGACAAGATGTAAATGAAAAGGCAAGGACACTGGGAACACGGATGCATGAACTCCTGAGGTAAGATAGGTTTTTACATCACAATCAATTTGAACGTGACTGTTTTGTCGGGTCCCAAATGTTTCACTTATAAAAATCAAAACTAATTCAGCTCTGATTTATTTTATATACTGAAATAAAAGAAAGATTCCTTAAGTCTAAAAAGGGTTTCAGAACACAGTGTAGCAGGGTGGGAGTGGGGGCTGTATGTAGGAGCACATACCTGTCTGTTATACTCTTCTTCATTCTCCATCCACATGTATTCGGCAAATGGGTTGGAGTCATTGCCCTCTCCTGCATGCCCATTGGCCACAGGCTCCTTCCCCTCTTTGCCTGGAGCGCCACCACCTGGTGTCTTGGCCACCTCTGGACCACTCATCTCAGCTGGCTCTGTTCGGGAGACAGCTCTGTGAGTATGGTGCGAAGTAAACAAACTAATGCACTATCAAAACAATGAGACAAAATTTACCCGAGGGTATAAATAAAGTAACCTTTGACCTTTGAAATTCAGCTTTATCGTTTCAATTTGATTTGACCAAGTGCAGAGTGATTAAATGTGGACTTACGATCTAAATTTTCATGAAATTTTGTTAGGAATAAACTTGTGATTGCACCCCCAAACATTGGGAAGTATACTAAAGATACTTTAGAGAATCAGGGGAAACCAACAACAGCCAATTATTCCAACTGCAGGAATCAGGGCAGGCAGGGAGACGCTCTGAGCTGAGAGAGAGCAACACGGAAGACAACGCAGAGTCTACCAGCTCACATCTGGATGAAATTATTGTCATTCTTGTATGAGCATGTTTTTGTTGTGCTGAAATTACACTGTATTTGTTTTAAAATGTCGGCTACTTCTGTTAGCCTCTAAACTGTAATTTACTATATCTCTTAGCATTGAGCTAACAGACTGCATGGATGCAGCAGTTTACTGTAGTTGTAGATTTTTCAGCAAATTCACACTGTTGGAGTAAATTTGCATTTTTCACTTTGGGAATTTGACTTCAGAAGACTGGAAATATAAATGCTTATTCATTATTGTTTTAAAGTTACAGTCCATAGCTTATACCCTGAGTTAGGTTAGACCTGGGTTTCTACTTTAAAAAGATCATTTGTTTAAATACTGTAAATAAACTATTTTAAATAAAACTTTAAAAACATATACTTCTGTTGTAAAAGCTGACTGTATTTGCTTTACTGTTTTTTCTTTTTGGCTATTGCATTGAAGCTTAATCAGTCTGACATTATGTGACTCTAACTAATACTAGACATTAACAGTGACTCAGTGAATTAAAGTTAAGTCATACATACTTATACAATCAGTCATATATACTACTCATCACTTTGCATGGTGTAATCATTTATGCATGAATGAGTCATCCATGAATTCATGATTATCTGAGCATCAACAAACATAAATAAATGCTTATAAAATACACAATATTGTAAAGAGTGTAATGATCGAACTTAACTGATATCAAATATGTTATCATGATATTTCTTAGCTCTAATTAGACTGACAAAAACAAAAAAAAACATTTCTTCAACAACATTAAACTAATAAGAATTTTATATCTCATGATCTGGATGAGGCCCGTCCTGAAATCAGCTGAGATTAAACCTTATTTAAACCTCCTCTGTAAGATCCAAAAATATTTCTCATGGCGTTCACTAAATGAGTGAGAGGTCAAAAGCGTTGCTGACATATCACAACAAGGTGTATGAGTTGCAGCTCTGTGGTAAAAGGCCTGCATGAGGCCTCAGGTCTGTCGAGATATAGAGTAACAATCAGAGACGAGCAAACATGCAGAGCATTAAATCAATCGGCTTCTGCATGGAAAAAAAAATCAACTAAAATGAGGGCATGCTGTTGGTAAAAGTGGTATGCTGCAAAATATCAAAGTTGATCTGAGTCAAGGATGGCATAAAAAAACAGGAAATGTAATGGCAGTAAAAAACAAAAAAACAAAAACATCTTATTTAGACCTCATTTTAAGAAAAAGGAAATAAAAGTTATCACTGAGTTCTATTTCCTTCACTTTAAGAGGTTTGACATGAATGTCTCTGTTTTTTTACCATGAAAAATAGAAATAAAAGAGAAATTTGGGGCTCAGCTCAAATTTCCACATTGGCTTAAAAATATTATTGCTCAAGAGGGATTTTTAAATAACTAATACAACTGTATAAATGAGCTATTGTACAAAAAAATTCGGCGAAATACATACAGAAATTATGACTAAATGTTGGGGTAGCTGTGCCAGGGTAAATCACATGAAGTGCGATTAGAAAGATGTGATTATTTGTCGACTTCTCCTTCTGTAACACACAGAACTCCTGCTCTCATGACAAATGCCAACCCCGGTGACATAATCCTCAGACCTGAAGCCAGCTCCAGCAGACTAGCTATGACTCAACGGTAGTCCTGCGGTGGTATGAGGGGAAAAAAGCCCAAGGGTCAGCCTTCTATACCGTTTCAATGTTTCTCTTGGAAGGGCTCATTTACTTAGGACTCCCTGAAGCTTCTCACTCGATAATAAAACACAGTTCATCATGTTACACCGACGCCTGGTCCTGCTGTTTTTGCTTACACTCGAGGATCAAAATCCACCCAAAATCAACTTGTCTGTACCAAGTCCAGCAGTTTGAGCGTTCATAGTACAGATGTCACGTCCTTCAGAGGAGTTCAGACAAACAGACATTATCTAGGTAGGTTAGTATACCAAGAGGAGGTGTGACGGTTTGTTAGTCTGTATAGATATTATAAAACACTCCGATCATGCAGTAAAAACATTAACACATTTGTTATGTGTGTCAAAGGGGAGTGTCAGGGTAAGGAGTTGAAGACATTTGCCAGAAAAAAAAAAAAAAAAAATGTAATTTTATTTATGTTCCTGCACTAGGAAAAAAAATGAAAATAAAAATAAAAAGTTAAAATAAAATATAAAAGAGAGTAGTTGTCATGATCAAATAGCTTCTACGGCTGCTCACATTTCAACTGGAGTCTTTAAAGTGCTCCTTTCATTCCAATGTAGAAAATTTACTTTATATTACATTTACTGGGAAATTTATACAGCCTGTCAGTCAAAGTAAAATAAAGCAGAAAACAGTTTATCCAACATATCGATAGTACATGGAGATTAGGCTATAAATAGCCTTTGGTAACGTTACATAAACAAGCCGAGAAAAAATTAAAGGATTTTTTTTCCCACACTGAGAATTTGCTTATTTTCTTTTTTTTTTTGGTTCATTTCAATAAGAAAATGAATGTGGGGGGAAAAGAAAAAAAACATTAAAAATATTAAAAATTTATGAAAAAGTAAACAAGATTACTGCGCAATTAGAGATGTCCTCACAAGTCGTGAATTGCTTTAAGCTGAGACTTCACCGCCCCTTTCCGTCAATAGCCACGATTCATCAGAAGTGCGCCTCTCTACTCATGCGAACAAGGACAACATGGTGCATGAACCGTCATGAATAAGCAAGAGCACTGAACTGTAATGGACTGCATGTAGCACTTAACATATCCACTCTGCACAAACATGTGTTGGTCACCATGTAATATTTAGCTACCAGAGTCCTTTATGCGCCATCCCTGCAAACAGAGTGAGATTCAATGATGATACGGGGTTAACTGTGGAAAGGCAGGAATATCTTAGAAACATTAAGAAAGGGAATACCTGGCGATAGCTGAGCTGGAGTATTAAAAAGTAAAATAAGATACCCTAATAAGACAGCTCTAAGCCTATCATAAGCAGAGAGAGAAAAAGAAGTTAAAGCTCCTTATAACAGGCTGTAGTCAGGTCATGTGAACAGCTTGACATATCAATAACTGAATTCCAGGTTTAGAAATGAGACATACGTCTATGATGGAAAAACTCAAAAGATAATTTCAACTGTAAACATAAATTATTATATTAAAATCTGTAAAATTCATAAATCTGAGAGAAGAGTATATCAAAAGGTAAAAAAAAAAACGTAATCTTGTCTTAAATAAGTGTCATCAGACTGAAAAATAACACTAGAACATGAAATTCATGCATGCACAAGAATAGCTGACTCAACATTACTTGACTGATGTATATAACCACTTAAAATAATAACAAATTTCATGGCAAATCGGTGCACACTTTTTATTATTATTATTATTATTTATATATTTTATCAACAAATACCGTTTTTTGGTGCAAACAGGGGACCTCAGGCAAACTGATGAAGGTCTAGTACCGAAACATTGCAAATAAATGATTGATTGCAAGTTGGACAGTGTGTGGGAATCCCTTTGCTACATTTTGGTCTTTTTTCTCCAACCCACCCTATTTGTTTTATAGATGTGCGAAGTTGCATAAAACATAATGAAATATAAGAAATAGTCTTCAAACAAACTAAAATAAGTTGCACCCTGAATGGTAATACTCTGTAATTAATAGATTCAGCGGTGGTTCTTTATTATAGTCGCCACCCTGTACAAAATACAGGACAGACCGAGGGGGAGTGCATTAGAAGGCTTAATGAACTTAATAAACAGCTAACTGGCAAGCTGGTTGTGGGCTTCTACTTCATCAAAAATCATGATTGATGAAAACAAGGTACTCTGTTTTCACCCAAAATGGTATAAGTTGATAAGATATATATAAAAAAATGTATAGATGAGATGTTTAAAGACAAAATGCACTGCAAAATCACGAGTAGAAGAAAACAGAGTATCGGTATAATCATCAGTTTCTGTCATAAAACTCAACTTTGATCAATCTATAAAATACACAATCAGTCAAAGTAAGTAATAAATGATTACATGGCAGATGTTATCTAAATACACTTAATAATGACATGTCTGTTTATTAGTAAAGTTTAAGAAGTACCATGCTGCTCCTCTCATGATTTGCTTTTCCTCAATTTGTTCTGTTTCCTTGGTTTGACTGATAGGTAAGTTGGTTTGTTTAAGTTTTCCATAAATGTTGCAACCAAATTATTATCATTTCTGGCAACGATAACCTAAGATAAAATCTGATATTGTGATAGCCCTATTTATAACTGCTGGGCAAAGATACAAATTGCTCTGCTGTCACTATGAGTTCTTCCAAACAACTGTTTGACAACGTGAAAACAACTAATGGTGATGTTTTATAACACAACGCTTTACATATACAGGTAAACTCATTCATAGCAGTTGTAAAACGGCTCAGTTTGCAGCTAAAGGCAGAGGAATAACGACAAAAAAACAAACATCTTTACGAAACGACAACGTTTTAATGTCCATAGATGTGTAGATGTGCGAGTTAAATCTGATGTTATGGCTGCCAATTGCACAAGACCTTAAGAGACTCAGTGTTCCATTGCGAGAAATTACCTCTTCAACAGATATACGAATTCAAGACAATTGTGAAACACGACAGGTAGAGAGATATACGTGTTACTAAACTGAAATATTCATATTATACGGTTTTAAACTCGGGTATAAACCGCTACATCATAGGTTATGTAATGTAACTGTTGGTGTACAGTATGTAATAGTAGCCATGTCGTAGCGTCGCGCTTGCTAACGTCTATAAGAAGCTAACCTGCTAAACCAGGTGCCCGGGCCTACCTGGAAAGTTGATAAAAGGATTGGCTGGCTTTAGCCGAGGTGATGCTAAGTGGCTAGCTCACGCAAGCTAAAAAAGATTCAATTAGCTGTGCTGTCAATGAACGGGCCTAAGGTGAGAGCTATCAGCAACAACAAAGGGTAGATGGTCGAATAGCGTAAAAGTGCGACTACGTAAAGAGTCGCGATTTAATCAAAAATGAATATCGCCTCAATGTGAATAATATGCCATATTAAAAAGACACGACACGCTATTGTTACGCGTCGAGGTCAAACTCCATTCCCGTTTGGATGCTTGTGGGCCAAACAAAGTCGGCTGCTCCGCTACCAGCTAGCACGCTGCTACAGCATGGCAGCAGCGGCAGCATCAGTGAAGCAGGTCAACAAAACAAGCCTCCGCTTAAGAGATAACAACAGCTTTACACACTCCACAACCAACCAACAAAATTCAATGTTATAAAATACAAATTTACCTGGCATTGTTCTCTTGGTCTTCGCTCGTATGTGTAACGTTACACAAAGTTATTGCAACTACACAGCGTAGACTTCGCGTTCGTCGTTTCTCCAACAAGGATTACTCTGTGCAACGATGCAACGTAGCTCGAGATAGCTAAATCCTGTTAGCCACCTTGCTAACGTTACAAAGCTGGCTCGGTCACGTGGCCAGGTGTTGCATTCGTGTTCTTTCAGGACTGTAGGAATTTCGAAACCTCCCTATTTTAGAAAACAAATTAACTCAATGTTAGTTCGTCGAACGAGCAAAGTTGTTATACCTGATAAATAATAATAATAATGGTTTGAAAAAACAGCATACACCTGCATTCATTTTTTAAACATTTTCAAACACTTGGAATTGATATCTGACTGAATTGATAATTTATTATTATTATTACTTTTTTTCTTTCCTGCCACCTTTTTAATTTTTTTAAATGTTTTTTCTTTGCTCTATTAATATTATAGTAATTATTTTTGTAATTTTTGTTAAATCATAACTCTTACTCTTTCTTCTCTCACTCTTTCCTCAATAAGCATCACAACTCAAAAAAGGGGGCTAAAGAGGGAACAATCTCACTTCACAACACACATAAAAACACCCACCCATCCACACTTAAACACAAACTTGCAACACCTTCTGTATGTATCTACATGTAATGCATTCCAATAAGCATAAGAACTTTATTAATCCCCGAAGGGTAAATTCAATTATGTGTTCCTGCTGTATTTGTCACTCCATTGTCTGTTTGCACTGTATATGTTGTCAACCACCTGTCATAATCTGTCCTACATCACCTAAAAAAAAAAAAAAAGTTGATAACATGACTGACTGAAGCCTTCATTGGTTGAATTGTTTTTAACACGACAGCTTAAGAATTTTTTTTTTGATAGATCCAAATTAATTTTAGAAACATGTGAATTATGAATTACAACCTTAGTGTTACATGTCCTCTTACTTATTTTTATATGATATTGCTGGTAATCTAGATGCAAATCGAGAAATACCGATTTATGTGATAATGATTAAACATTTTTTAAGCCTTTGTTTGTGCTTCTGAATGAAGTGAAAATACATGTTTATTTCTTTTGTTGTTTTGTCTTTATTTTGTGCAATTTGATTAATTTACTTTTGCCCATGCTGTTGCATGGTCCTCTTTAGGTTTTCTAAATATGCTCTAAATGCAGGGATGCATATAAGTCAAATTTTTCATTATGCTGGTCTCCATTTTGTAAATAATTGATATTTTCTGTATATGCAGCTTCAGTAGTTGTCATCTTCAGTTCATGTGCTCTGAAATGCAAATTTTTCGATAAAAACTGTGAATTTATGTTAAAGATTTGAGTCCTTCAAGGTTTTTTTTTCTAAAAAAAAAATTGAATTGGTTTGAATTTTATAAAAGTGGGTCGCGAATTAAGGACCATGGGAAAATGTGGGTCCCAGAATGAGACCAGTCGAGAACCACTGCTATAAAAGACTAGAGCCAACAAAGCTGGCTCTAGTTTAAGTACTGCAGGCCACAGCCACCTTTAAAAATCCGAGGCTCAAAATGGGTATTTGAATGCATCATACGAACAAACATCCTTGAAGCCCCACCACTCCACCGCTGGATTTTTTACCTTCTCACTTTCAAAACAAAAATGCCTGCGTGGCTTCAAAATTAAACGAACTACACTTTAATAACAATACATACCAAGACTTATAAAACTTAAATCGACTTCAAATGACGGAACCAAATTGAAAACACGATAACAACATGCTGCTAAATCATATTATCGTTAGATCGATGTGTAGGCTGGATTGCCCAACTGAGGAAAATAACACATTTGTTTCAACACTATAAACACAGTCAGCATAAACTTCTTAAGTTAGTCCAACTTTAGTACAATTACTAACCTTCTTATCTCGGTCAGTAAAACTTTCTGTAATTAAGGGGAGGACCTTATTTTACCCTCCGTCTTAGCACATTTGCAAGTGACTGCGAGACGAATCTCAACAGTCAAACATTAAAGTGAGATTGTTGCCGGATGAAGAAAATGGGCTCTTGCATAGTAAAGTTCAAAAAGTTTGTTTATTTTTTCTTTTTGAACATCGTTTTCATGCAGCTTTCTATTTCTCCTCTTTTTTAGTGCTTTAGTGCAAGCTTCCCCCTTTACTGAACCAATAACAACACTCACCTCAGAACTTCAAGTGTAGAAGGGGGGATCCACAAGCCAGCTGTTGGGGGAAACGCTCTTTTCCGGTCTGAAATGTCACCAGAAGACGACACGGCGAATTAATTCCTTCCAAGACCCTACTCCGCCAAGTAAACACGTGTCCCTAAAGATGATTTGTTTGCGCTGAAGGCCAAAAGTCTGATAAATCCACAGTTTTTCAGCCCAGACGTCGAGGAGGAAACGTTGTGTCGTGTATCGTTTGTCCAGCTGCACGCTACACTCATTGGTTCTCTGCTACGTCAGTCACCGCTTCCGAGCTTTGCTATTGGTCCAGATAACATCATGCCCCACCCAAGCTCTTCATTCACGTAAGTAAACAAAATATAACCTATTTTTTTCGCTTTCCTCTTTTTTTTCTAATCAGTGTGGCCAGTTATTCTTTGACAACGTGGCTATTTTAGAGAGGTTTGACCCTTACTTTGAACAAACGTATACTTGTTTTGGCTGCAGGGCTGTAAGGTAAAAAAAGATACATCTGCAGCAGACGAAATACAACGTAATCTATTTAATATGTGAGTCTGCAACCCTTAGTCCATTTAATGACTAACGGACATACCTCAAGCTGCAGCCCACTGACATGAAAAGTTTCCGGTGAGCAAGTTGTACCGATGTTATACTGTGTCTCCTGTCATTTACTGCAACACAAAAAATGTAAACACACAAGTGTATAAAAATTTTATAGGGGAGAGTGGGGTAAGAGGAGCCATTTTTCATATTTCAGATCACTACATCAAGGCAATCATAGTTTTGTCTCTAACTAGTGTATCTGCATATATTTAAAGATGTTGTTCATCCCTGCAAACCAACAGAATGATTGTAAACAGAACTGTCTTGATAATATAGTATGCAAAAAAAAGTCGTCTCATATGGTCAACTTCCCCCATGTATGGGGTAAGTTGACCATAAGAGCAGGGTAAGTTGAGCCGTATGTTAAACCCATTTTAACATGAGAATGTCTTTAAGTGATTCAGAACATCTACAGCTGTATTCTTAAAAAGAAAAAGTCACACATTTCACCACTCTGAACTGAAACTCTGATTTTCTCATCAGACTCCTTTACTTTCTCAGTTGACCCTCTGGCTCAACTTACCCCAGAACTACTATTATGACTTTATTAGTCCTCTAAGCTAAAATAGTGGACTGTTATGCTAGGTTTTTGACCTCATGTTGTAGCTCATAGATACCACAATTGATGTATAAAATAAATTTAAAATGATCTTTTTTGGTCGGAACACAACTCTAATAAAACTTATGACAGACTAAATTCACTTTCAAGAGTTAAAAATGTTTTTTTGGAAATAAATATCTAACCCCTTCACCCATGTGCTTCTAACCTTCACAGACTCCACGAATTGATACTCACCTCCTAAATATTTGGTCACACGTTCAATTTCTTTTATTTTCAAGCAACAGGGGGTGGCTCAACTTACCCTTTGGCTCAAATTACCCCACTCTCCCCTACCCATTCATGTCAATAAATTACAATATCATCAAAAACTGTATTTATTTCTGTAATTCCGTTTAAAAAGTGAAACTCTTATTATAAAGGTTTATCACACAGAGACTGGTATATTTCTTTTCAAGTTGTTGATTGTAATGAACATTTAATGAAAACCCCAAATTAAGTTTCTCAGAAAATTCGAATATTACTTCAGACCAATAAAAAAGCGATTTTCAACTCAGCAATGTTGGTCTACTGAAAAGTAAGAACATGTTTAGCACACAATAGTCGGTTTTCCTTTGCATGAATTACTGCAGCAATGCGGCACGACATGGAGGTACTGCTTAGGTGTTATGGGAACTCATGTTGCTCTGAAAGTATCCTTCACCTCTTCTGGTCCGGTGTCTCACATCTTCCTCTTCGCTGTCACCCATTGATTCTCTATGGAGTTCAGATCAGGTGAATCTGTTGGCCAATGAATCGCAGGGAAGCCATGGTCCTTAAACCAGGTATTGATACTTTTGGCAGAAATCAGTATCTCCATAAAGCTGGTGAGCAGAGGGAAACATAAAGTGCTCTAAAACTCCCTGGTAGATGGCTGCGCTGACCTTTGAGCTGATAAAACACAGTGGACCAACACCAGCAGATGACATGGCTCCCAAAACCAACACTGACTGGAGAAACTTTACAAGCAACTTGGATTCTGTGCCTTTCCTCTCTTGCTCCAGACTCTTGGACCTTAATTTCCAAAAGAAATGCAAAACTTTAACATTCGTCATGGCTAATGTTTGCTAGATTTATTATCATATGATTGTATATGACATGTTTGCTTAAAAGAGGAGATTCCCTTGGTCAGCAGTAAAGAGGTTGCATTACCTTAAATTTACAATGGAGGGCAGTGGTAGGTCATACCATCATTTTGTGGCAGCAGTGCAGTGTCAAAACTTTTTATTGTGCTGTAAATCTAAATTAATGTAGCTGGGATCAGGGACATACTATTTACAGCAGAACGGGAATTTTTGCTTAAAAGCACAGCGGTGAGTTTTTTGTTCTTGTGTAAGAAATGCAGAACCCTATAGACCCATAATGTCTGGCTTTTTTATTCTTCATATTTGATGATTATGAATTTAAACTCAGTCACAGCTATACTGATAACTTGTGCATGGGCTTGTTAGTAAGTCAGTTTTGTAAAAGTCAAAGGTTTGTAAGTTTTTTGTCAACAGCTATTAAATGGCATCTGTGTCAAAGTAGCAACAAAGAAGGGGAAAATATGCATTTGATATAATTTAGGAGTAATTTTATTTCATTTCCTCGCACAACACTTTCTTTTTTAAGGGGTCTTTTCTAAGGTAAAAATTCCATTAACAGCAGAGGAAGCTGAAAGGAATACTGAAAATATCACTGAGAGTTGACTACATTTGAAAACACTGACCATCCTGGACTGCTTGGTCTTGAACTTTCCTCCATATCACTCAAAGTAGTGGCTGCAGCAGACTTTCTGTGTGTTCCATATTTTGCTTTGTTTTAGCTGGATACAACATTTATATTGAATACTGTGGAGGAGATGGGGTCATGAAACAAGGGCTCAAGATCACCAGATGTGTCCTTAAGTGTCTTCAATAATCAGGAGACAGACGCTTTTGGCCAGGTTGGCCAAACAGGAGCTGACTTTTAAGAGGAGGGACAGTTGTGGTTAATATTAGGGGCTTGCCCCAAATCTAGGAGGGTTATCTCCATGCAGGAATCACATTTACTTTAGTTTCTAATATAGAAAAGACTCCAAAATATGTCTTAATTTTAAACATTTCAACTCAAAAATATAATTTAACAATGCAACAATATCTAAATCTGCTGAACTTAAATCCTTAAAAAGGAAGTGTGTCTAAAGTCACTGTTTAAAGTGCCAACAAAGAAAAATGTTCCACTCTGAAATGTAAAGCAGTGACCATCATCTTGTTAGACACAACCACAATGGCTGATCTCAATATGTGTTTCCTCTGATACGGCAAATAGACAAACATGGTATAGGGTTTCAGGGTGGCCTCAGGGCTGGCCATTTAGATCTGAGGGATGGTCATGACCACCCCAAGTAACCCTGAGAACCTAAACCTCACAAACGCCCATGAGAAATGCATTTTGAAACCTGAACAGGTCAAATATTTGGATTCGGAATTTCAAATGTGGTTTTCTCTCTGTTGTAAGGGAACCAAGGGTGTCCAAGGAAAAATGGTTGGATGTGAAATGTCTTATTTTGGAGATCACCCAAATAAATTGTCAAAGGAGTACACAGTGAAAAAAAACACTCCAGTTATTCTAACACTGACTCTTCAGTTACACACACAAAAAGGTACTCAACTTTTACTTCCCTCTTCTCCGCTCTGTTGTTACATGATCACCACACCCTTTCTCTCTCTTTCTCCTCCAGCAGTCCCTTTCTACCATAAATTTCCCCTGTCTTTTCTATTGAATCATAAATCATAAATTTCCTTCCTGTTCCCCCTCTCTCTCTTTATTGCACAAAAGCCCAGACTGTGACGGCCATTTCTGTTTGATGTGTGTGGACATGTGTGTTTTTAAAGATCGAGGGTTAAGTATTCCTAAACAGGCAGAGTATCCAAAAGTACAAACACTGGAACTAAAGATTTACAGATACAATACTGCTTTATTATTCCCTGCATAATCTTAATATTCCAAGTATCCAAATAACTGTGGTGGTTCCCAACATGGGGACAAACTTTGTCTGCTCTGAGGTTGTCAGAATTTAATTTAATTGAATAGTTGCTTGAATAGTTTCCTCACTTATTTGATAAAACAAGTGTGTATTGCTGATTTGAGGTCATTTCAAGGTTAACACTCGCCATTTAAAGTTCAAGGAAATCAAATATTACCCAGTGCATGCAGGCAAGAATGATGTATGAATATAAAATTTGACATACAAGAGAAAGTCATTTACCTCATATCTGAGATTAGCTCACTGTGTGGCCCAGCACAAAATTTTTAAGTTATTTAGTAGGTGGGCTTTAAAGGTGCTGGTTTGTTTTTTTTTTTCAACACAATGATGTTAAAAAAATGTATTTGTAAGAGAGAACGCACCCTGCAAAAAAGGATAGAACTTCCAAAATAAAAGCTTTAAAACTGAAAAATCTTCTCATGAAAAATCAACAGTGAGGGTTTTAATGCTACTCAAGAGAGATTAAAAGTTCCCATCCAAGTTGTGTCTGACATTGTGATCTATTTCGAGGAGTTTGAGCATTGTGTGTGTGTGTTTGTATGCATGCCTGCATGTGAATGTTTTGGGTGTGTTTCCATCGCTCGAGGACTTCCAGGGTCCCAAAGATAATGTGGAATTCATGAGAGGAATGCTGTTCAAGGGTTCCTTCCTGTCACCTGACTCCATCACTTCCTTTGTTGAACTTCCTGCGTCTGGACCTCCAAGGAGAAGGGTAAAGCTGCACCTAAACTTGGGGTTAAATTCAGAGTTCAGGGGTTGAAGGTGATGGGGCGTTTGGTTTGTGATGAGTTGGAGATGGTCAAAAACAGATAAGAACAGCAGTTATCAAGTGGTAGTGATGCAAATGTTTGAAAAGTTGGGACTATCGTTGTTAAAGATTTTTAAAAGCACAGCCAAAAGTAAGAAGTAAGTTATGAGAGGATTAAATTATGCAAAATATTGAGGTTATCAATAACTTGATTTGATAGGGAGAGTTGGCATTGGGTAGAAAGAGGCCTGCAAACGGTCAATAGACAAATGTAGAAATAGAACAAAAGAGACCATAAGGCAGAAAAAAAACAAGCAAAAGAAATAAGTGATGGCAGGAACCATATGGGGCCTCTTGGTTTTTGGGCAGCAAGGGGAGACATGCCAGGTAATGGCTTCCAGACACACACACACACAAATGCACCCTAATTCGATTTGGAAAACTGACAGGACAAGGAGACTGAGTGTGTGTGGATGTGTGTGCATATACCAGGGGGGCTTTTTCTTTCACATACTTGAGAGGTCTGGCTTCCTTTGCCCATTGGGAGTGGGGCTGGGTTGTGTTAGAGCGAGAGAAGGAGAGTGTGTGTGTGTGTGTGTGTGTGTGTGTGTGTGTGTGTGTGTGTGTGTGTGTGTGTGTGTGTGTGTGTGTGTGTGTGTGCGTGCGTGCGTGCGTGTGTGTTTGTGTGTGTGCATGTTTGATTTCAAGCTCTGGGAGTTAATGTATGCTTTCAATCACAGCCTCCCAGGGGAGAAATCAACACTGGCTTGCACCAGCTTTGTGAAACTACTCCAAGGTAGGACAGTCAAGTTGCCCCTGAAGATTTTATGACAAGTGGGTAGTTTCTATCAAAATCAGCCAGTGAAAGCAGTTGTACTTTAATTGTCTTGATGGTAGCATCACTATACTGAACAAATTCATAAATTACCAACAGGCTCATCAGTAATCAAAGACACAGTGCGGACATTGTAGTCACTGAATTCCCTTTAAGCTTTTTGACTCAAAAAGCAACAAAATAATGTGGTTGTAGCAAAAATACATTGCTGTCTACCAACTGTATCACCCCCAAATTTTTCAACCAAACCGCATGTAACAAGATATTTGTAAGATTATTTCTTATGTCTTTGATGAAACTGCTTCTATTTTAGCAATGTATTGGTCAGAATTTTCACCACTGTCATGTCTGATAAATATATAGGGTGAATATTTAGTCATCTCTAGATAATTAGCATTGGCAATAGCCTGGCTGCTAGATTGACAGTCAGTCAGACACATAGCTAGCTAGCGAGCTTGCTCAAAAAGCTAGTTAGCTAGCTAGCTAGCTAGCACTGTGACAAAGCTGATGTTAATTGTAGAATTTTTTTTACCCTTTATGTTTTTATTGTTCCAACCCACTTTACTTACCTCAACTCAATCTTATCCTATCTTTGCCTTGGGTTTAGATATGATCTTAAGATAACATTTGTTGTGAATTGGTGTTATATTAGTAAAGATTGATTAATTAAGATTGAAATGTAATTGGTATTGTGTCTAATATAACTTCAGGGCAACCAACAAGTAAATATGAGTCATTTCTAAGAATGGCAAACATTTGGTATGCCGCCCTTTCAGTTCTCTTGTCGGAATATAAAAATACATTGGGCTGTTGTTTTTATTATTAAGTTTCAACAATACACAAACATTTTACAGTCAAAGTTAAAGCAAACTTATATAAACAAAGAGGTGATAGAAACACAATGAAATTGATTCAAAGAGAAGAAGACAGGAAGTAACAAACAGAAGAGGGATACATTTCGAGGAGTGGGATGACTTAACAGGGATACAGTGCCTGTTCAGGAATACTCCACCCTCTATCTATACACACACACACAGACACACACACACACTGAGTAATCTCCCAGTGAGGTAAATCCCCCAGCATTCCCCCTCATGTGCTGTCACAGCCCTCCCACTCCTGCAAGTGGTCTGAGTGTGAGTGGTGTGTGTGTCACCACTATATTCTGACATTCTTTTGCAGAGCAGAGAGGCAGTGAGTCCAGCTGCAGGGAGACAGAGTACAAATCCAACCCAGAAACTCACCAGGATAAGCCAAGAAAAGAAGACGAGGTTGTTGTTTTTTTATTTTATTTCCGGGTTCTTGTGAGTTTTTAAAGTAGAGGATTTTGAATTCGATTGCAAATCTGCCTGAAAGTCATCTGGAAAATCTTGCCTTTTTTTAAACAAAGGGTTTCTATAAAAGCATCTCGCTCCTACATCTCCCTCACTGATGACAGTTTCCAAACTACTGACTGCTTAGACCAAGAATCTGGAAAATCTTCTGGAGAGAAAAAACAGATAGTAGAGTTGCAACAGCACACAAAGAGGTAAGTTAACTCTAAGAAAACATAACTGCTCTATAAAATGCTGATGACGTGTAGGCTTTATGAGACTGAATGCACCCTTAATAAGCAGACATCTTTGTAGTTTAGCTTCTAACTCATACAATTCTTTGTACCATTGTGCATTTTATGCTATTTTGCACCAAAAGCTGCATGCCGAAAGACTCTGTCTCTTTAAAAAACTGTGTTTACAGAATGAAATGTCTTTGCATGTCTGAGCATAAATGTAAATAGTGCCCCAAAAGTGGAGTGTGTTGCACAATCTGCCCATAATACAAGGTCTCTGTGAGGTTAGGGTGCCTCGCTCTGCTTAACCTAAATTAGATCACCACTGTGCATCTGTGAAAGACAGAAAGAAGAAAAGACTTAAAGGGTGGAGGAGGTTTTAAATCACTTAACACTGAGCTTCAAAAATGATGCATTGAGAGGGAATAAGCGGAAAGAAGCAAATAAAAAGTGCAGTGCAAGAATCTTTAAGTAGGAAAAGATGTGGAGTTCAAGCCCCTATCTGGTTTTATCATCAAATTGCAGGAACAGACATTGGGAAAGAGAACCAATGATGCAAACATTATGTTCACATGACCGGCAGAGGCAGAAATAAATACACACAGATGTTGCATGCATATGCGAAGAATAGATGCCAATTTAACTCACTGTCTCTTGATCTTTTTCACTTTCACAGACACTCACCAGCAGGACAAACACATCTTTGTCTCATTACTCTCATGTTTAGTTTGCTCTTGGCTAAAATCAGGGACAGTTCCAACAAGTCTCTGTGCTGTAATACAACTGACACTCCCACAAATCCAATCTATTCCACTCCACTTTATTTATATAGCACATTTTAAAAAACATTCAACTTTACCGAAGTGCTGCACAGTAAAATTAAAAGAACAATCACTGCAGAAAACATCAAGAAAAAATAAATGAAAGCAGGTTAAAAATGTTTTAAAATGAAATAAAATAAATGAAATAAAAACATAAAAACATGAAAGAAATAAGAGTGATAAAAGGACCATAAAAGACATAAAAGGACAGAGATCACACAACTCTAATGCTGAGCTTAAAGCCAAGGAATACACAGAGAGGAAACCAAAAATATATAGAAGCACTATATAACTTTAATGTCACTTAAAGAAAATAGAGCAGCTGAAATATAAGAATGCTGTATCTAATTTTTCGACACTCATGTATCTCTTTGTTCGTCTTTCAGTGCTTAGTTTTATTTTGTGTCACATCATGCTCGCAATCAAAATCATCACATTTTGGAAAGCTCTGCATTTATTAAGCAAGTTCTACCATTCGTCTCAATGTTTCCCTTTAACTAGTGAATAAAAGCTTCTCTTACTGCAAGGTGTAAACACAGACGATCTGCCAGACTCCTGATTCTACATGATTAACAACTATTTACTTTCATAAAGGGATAATAAAATAAAACCTATTAATCATTTAAGATAATTTTATGACAAGATAGAATAATCATCCTGTATGCTTTGGTTTTGGTGTGTTTCCCTGCAGACCCTGGCGCCAGTAAAGATGGCTGACGTGGCAGAGCAAGATGCCAACAGCTTGCAGATACCTGGTAAGAAATGTAGATTAGATAAGATAGAACTTTATTGATGCTTTTGGGAAGGTTCCCCCAGGGAGATTAAAAGTGCATGTGAATGTATGTATGAATGAAAGTAATGGCAGTGTATACAGTTTATACACATTACGATGGTAACTTGTTCAAAATGAATCACCTCTCTCTCTCTCTCTCTCTCTCTGACCTTTCACTGTTCCTCTCCCACCAGGAAATATTACTCACATTAGATTTCAGAGTCAAATCATTCCAGTTCATTTCACAAACCACTCAAGCCTTTGACTAAAAAGCTTTAGGTTGTATTTGCTCATGGCTCAACTCCGCTCTAAATCTGAATATGTATGTGAGTACCTGATGGCAGTACAAGAACAGCTTTCTCTTTCCTCACTGTTCCCTTTTTATGTGACCATTTTTGACTGTGAGTTTGATATTCAACCACGTCCACATATCATATCATTCCTCCTAACTGTTCTGTACATGCATTGATATTTCAGGCGATAACATATCAGCCCCCTCGTCGCCTGCCACAGCAAGAAACGACTGCAGCATCACACCGCTCACACCCTCTCCCTCACCGGTAACTATGTGAACACACCCACATTCACCACAGACACCCCTACCCCCCACCCTGTCCTTTTACTATTCATTTTCTTTATATAGAGCTCTCAAATACAACCTGTAAACCCACATTCAACTCTCACTCTAGTTAGTGGTTTTTAACAACACACTCGTCATTTAAGCTGAGAAAAAGTATCCAACAAAGATGGTGAAGAGATAGTTTGGCACTAACTTGAACATTTACAAACAGAGAAAAAGAGTACGTGCTCAAAAGGTGTAATTTTCTGTCAGGCGTTCAGTCTTACTTTGAAAGGCTAGTATGCAACTATTTGCTTGTAAGTGGTTCACAGTGGAGGATAAGGACAGCAACATTGAGCACTAGTTTGTCACACGGTGATGCATGTCGGCTAGATAAAGAACAGGAAGGAACAAAGGAAATATCAATAAGTAGAAGTCTTAATGTACGGTGGCCGAGAACCACCACTGCTGCAAATAAAAAATAAATGCAAAAAAAAAGAAGTTACAACGGAAGTTACTGATGCAAAAAAAAAAAAAAAAAAATGAAGCCTGCTGCAAATAAAAAAAGAAACGATGCAGATTTAAAAAAGCCAAAACCGAAGTTAACAACACAAAAAAAAAAGTGGCGATGGAAAAAAAAAGTTACCTACTATAAAAATAAAAGGATGCAAATTTTGAAAAAGCCACAACGGAAAGTAAGCTGCTGGGGGCCAATTATGATAATGCATAAGTGTTTTACAATCTAGGCACAGAAGACGACGGCGAGAAGACGAGCAAAGAAGTGGCGGTTCTCAGCCACCGTAGTTATGTTATTGTTGAACATATCATACCAATACAAACTACCGCACAAAACTGTCCCCTTCCATCTGTCATACTTTTGTTCTTTCAGAGGGTGGAGATCAGACCCAGGATGGCCTGTCCATTCTCTGTTGTCGTGGCGATAGACTTCGGGACGACTTCAAGCGGCTATGCTTTCAGCTTCACGCAGGACTCAGAAGCCATACACATGATGAAGTAGGAGTCTGTGTTTCATGATGTCAAATCTTTTTTTTTTTTTTTTTTTAAATAACTTTCTTCCACTTACATCTTTTGTTTTTTTTCTATTCCTTGCAGGCGCTGGGAGGGTGGTGACCCTGGCGTGGCAAATCAGAAAAGCCCAACATGTCTTTTGCTGACTCCAGATTTAAGATTCCACAGTTTTGGGTTTGCCGCACGAGACTTCTACCATGACCTAGATCCAGAGGAGGCTCGGCACTGGCTCTACTTTGATAAGTTCAAGATGAAGATTCACAGTACAAGTGTAAGCAATTGTATATACATATAAAAAAAAAAAAAAGGATGAATGGATCGACTGGAAGACAACTCCACATTTCTATCAGATCTCCCAAAATGAACCCAGCTGATAAATGCTGCAAATTTCCTAGCAGAGATAAAAACTCAGATGTTATGATGTTATGTTATTGGTATACAGTATATTGTAGTCTGTACAGATGATGGTCTTGTTTTATTGATTTGTGGCTGTGTTTGGTGTAGGACCTCACCATGGAGACAGAGCTGGAGGCGGTCAATGGGCGAAGGGTCAGGGCCATCGAGGTGTTTGCTCATGCCCTGCACTTCTTCAGGGAACATGCTCTGAAGGTACGCTTGATACTTCAAATTTGTCTTTGATTGGCTTGCCCTAATGGTCTTATAGTGCATTCCATGTAAGATGTGTGCCCTATATATAGATGCCTCAAGTGTGTGGCCTACATGGTCACATTACCTGTCCTCTCCCCCTCTCCCCTCTTCTCTCTACATTCCTCCCCAACCCAGCAGCGGCATGGTGGCTGTCTAGCATGAGGCTAGTCCTGCCCAAGGTTTCTGCCTGTTAAAAGGAAGTTTTTCCTTGCCACTGTAACTCATGTTAGTTGAGATGGGCCAAAACCCATCTTAGGTTGGTTCTTGATCATCAAACAATGAGCGTGGTCCAGACCTGCTCTTGTTCCTTGAAAAGCGTCTTGAGATGACGACTGTTGTGAATTGGCGCTATATAAATAAAATTTGATTGATTGATTGATTGATTACCAGCCTGTGGCGCCTTTCCCTTCTGTTACTCCCCACTCTCTCTTTAAGCTTTGTACACTGTCCTGTCCTCTCTAAATAAATGCATTAAAAGTCTAAAAGTAAAACATAGAAAATAAAGTGATAAAATAAAAAATATATTATAGCATTACCATGACTCGTGGCGGACTTATGTCCTGCATGTATGGATAATCCTTTAACTTGTAATTCAGCGTTTATAATAAGAGATAGAAGCTCTTATCTTGAGCTCTCCTTGTTTGTTTGTTTTTCACAGTTTTAACTGACTCTGTTATAGGAGGTGAAAGACCAGTCATCATCAGTGCTGGAGGGAGATGAGATCAGATGGGTAATTACCGTCCCAGCTGTATGGAGACAACCTGCCAAACAGTTTATGAGAGAGGCTGCATACCTGGTAAGATACACACAAACACATTCACAATGACAAATGCATAATTATAGACTGGCTGGAGACCATATGAATCTAACTGCTAAATTAAACACTAAAGAAAGCCATTAAAAAGCCCTATTTATCATCCAGCAACAAAAAGGTAACATTTTTACAGGGCTATTACATCCAGTATATGCCCATGGATCATACTCATTGCTCCCACTGAGCAATAGACGGCTATTAGACGTCTAGTTTTTTTTTTAGACCTAATTTCAATCGTCTAGATTCTGTATATTTTTAGACTTAATTTAGACGTTGCACATTGCACTTTGCACAAAAAGCAACTGTGAGTTGCATAACTGATCTCCAAGTACTTAACTAAAATAATTATGATAGCCGTTGAGCAATATACAGTGTAGTATCAATATAGCGCAGATTTAGACTTGATCTAAACTTGGTCTAAATTTAGATGTTTAAGAAACTTTCATTTTTAGACCTGTGGTAGCCTGATTTTAGACCAGTCGTCTAGGCTACATTTAGACGTCTATTAGACCAAAAAAAGCTCTTTTTTAATGTTTTTTCCATAGACTGTATATGGAATGGACAGCGTCTACCTCCTTGCTGGGTGAAGACACTTTGAGAACAGCACCCTCTGTTGATGGGCTGCAGTATAGGTCATAAATCCCGCCTCCGCCAGCAAAGCTTATGGAGCTGTGGACAAACTTTAGAAATATTTTACACAGAATACAATTTTTTTTCCCCCCTGCTTGGGATGTTGACATGTAGTTACTGTAAGACTGGTTTGTGCTCAAGTCCTCTTTTTTTCTGTACAGCTCCGTTTTTAAAAGTTATTAGGGGGTTCATGTTTTCTTTGATTGACACTTGATACAGCCTATGGGCGTTCAGGGATTGCGTAGCTCTCCCGGGGGGATACGCTGTTTGAGCCGAGCGTCATCACAGCGACTCTCAGCAACTGTGTGCCCGCATGCTGGTTTCAGGATATGACAAAAAATCCTGGAAATACAGAGAGCGGAACCAGGTTGTCCATAGTATATACAGTCTATGGTTGTTTCACAGAAAACATGTATATTTAAGGTGAAATAGATCTACTTAATGATGTGTGGTCTAGTTTTTCCTGTTAATCTGAAATATTTAGAATGCTAATTTTTCTGTTAAATTTAGTTTCAGTCATTTAATTTCTTTAAAATCCTCTTAAACTCAATAGATTCTCTTTTTTCTGATTTGTTATTCTTGTGCGATACTTTAAAAATTTTGTCATGTTCCCTCAATAATGTTTGATCTAAAATTTTGAGAGAAATTTCAAAGATCTAACTCAGTGAACTGCTGTTAATAGAGTGTACCCATGCATGTGTTTCTATGCGCAACACTGAATGAGGAGGAACGATTGTGAAATGGAAAGAAAATTATTTTGTCAAGTATAAGATGAAGTCCTCAGCTGTTTGTTTTTTTTTCCAATGAAAGATCCTTTATTCCCACACATCTTGTCTTCCGACCACTGTCGTGGTGTCCTTTCCATCAACAGACACGCTCCTCGACAGAGTTAAAGTGACTTGTAGGAAGTGTGCGTACATGGACAGGAATGCAGCTAGTGCTATCTCAGTACACATCAATGAGAGTGGACCAACCTTTGTGCTTGTGTGACACAGGCATGATACAGAATAGTCCATGGGAAAGACGACATGACCTTTAATTGTTAGCGTCATGCTCTTTCGGTCTGGTTCTCACACCATCATATTTTGATGTTTTTACACCTGCACACACACACAAACACACACACAGTCTGTGTGTTCTGTGAAGTATTATCTCTTTGCCCTTCACTCACCAGGTTGCGAACATAATTAGTCTAATGTTCAAGCACTTTCACATGCTCGTTGACATATACACACCCTGTGCTGGCTCCCAGTTTGAAGCTGTTGGGATGTGTGTACTTCCTGCTGGTGGTGATGTCATCAGAACTGAACAATGAGGGAGACCGGCGTACAAACACAGGAAGTGGTGTCCAGACCCCCGCCCAGTACACCCACACACACGAACACATACATCATTCAGCCACTTAACATTACTTCCATTACAATTCAGGCTCCATCTACCACTATCCTAGATAAATGGTAAATGAACTCAATTTTTGTTTATTTAGCGCCAAATCACAACAGTCGTTATCCCAAGACGCTTTCCAAAATAAAAAGCAGGTCGAGACCACGCTCATTGTTTGATGAATTACCAAGACCCAACCTTAAAGGATATTCCGGTGTAAAATTAATTTAGGGTCAAACACACCGTAACATTGAGTTAGACACCCCCCTCGAGAGATGAATGATGCTGACCACTTGCTTCTCTAGTCATACCAACTTTAGGAACGACCGCACGATAGCAATACACATCGGTCTGAGGATCCATAAATGAACCTCAACCAAAGCGCCACTCTAAAGCCACAAATAATGCTCAGAACAGCACCTAACTTCATCAACAGTACATATAGGGTCCCAGCCACAGCACTAGCCACCAAACACCTTTTGAACTTTGCCAAATTTCTTTAGCACACTCACCTACTCTCTTCCAGCAGATGCTTGTTTGTAGCGAGACCTCAGGCCAGTCCATTTCTTCATGGAATTGTTATCAAACCAAGACGCTAAGACAGCAGAACTACAGCATCTGCAGTGCAAAATTATTAAGATGGTGATTATTACTTAATGGAAATGACCATTAATGTTCTTCCTTGAGCTTCGTCACCCCGCAGCAGTTTGTAATGGACTGGTCTGAGGTCTCACTACAAACAAGGGGCTGCTGGAAGAGAGTAGGTGAGTTGTGTTTAGTCTCTTTGCTAAAGAAATCAGGCAAAGTTAAAAAGATGTTTGGTGGCTAGTGCTGTGGCTAAGACCCTGTATGTACTGTTGATGAAGTTAGGTGCTGTTCTGAGCATTATTTGTGGCTATAGAGTGGCGTTTTGGTTGAGCTTTGTTAATGGCTGTGTATTGCTATCATGCGGTCGTTACTTAAGTTGGTATAACTAGAGAAGCAAGCGGTCAGCAACATTCATCTCTAGAGGGGGTGTCTAACTCAGTGTTTTTGGCTCTAAATTAATTTTACGCCGGAATATCCCTTTAAGATGGGACAGATTTGACCCATCTCATCGAACATGAGTGACATGAGGGGAGAAATACAGAGGGGGGGGATAAGTGTGCTTTTAAGTGTGCTTATGTCTTCTTCTCTTTTCTCCCAGGCTGGTCTGGTGTCTTCAGACTGTCCTGAGCAGCTCCTGATCGCCTTGGAACCTGAAGCTGCATCCATTTACTGCCGTAAGCTCCGCCTCCACCAGGTGATTGACCTGAGCTTGCAGCCACTCACAAATGGCCTCGATATGGACGGCTCCCGGCCCTTTGACTCCAGCTTCAGACAAGGTAGTACAAAGAGAGTGTGTGTGTGTATGTGTGTGTTTGTTGATACTTTTTTCTTTGTGTCTTTTTTGGACTTGGCCATCAGCATAAGTATGAAACCGCAGTGTGTTCCTGGAAATGTTGTGGGTTTTATTTCACTGGGGGATTGTGGTCTGTGCAGAGGATGAATGTGTGTGTAAGAGAAAGGAATAGAGTCCTCTGAGGGTGAAAGTTAGACTTCAGATACTCCTCATGACTATGCAGTTGTGTATATGTGTACATGTGTATGTATGAGGAATAGTACTTTGCTATTATGAAATATCTCTGTACTGACCAATCAAAATGATGTACAGAGAGTGCAATAAATATAATATCTTTACTTGACAGCCACATTAAAAACATGTGTACATTCGACTCAAATGCAGAAAAGGAACAAAGAGCAACGGCGAAGCGAGGGAAACACAGAGACTGCCTCATAATCTAGAGAAAGAACATGCTCGCCAAAATCCCCTGCACAGCCCCACTTATACATATGCATTTACAGACACACACACACACACACACACACACACACTAAGAACATTCATACACACAAAGACACACACACTAAACACAGGATATTGTAATTGGAACAAGGTGCACTGAGACTATGATCTCACCCCCTCCTCGCTTGTCATTCTCCCTCTCCTTCACTCACATTCATTTTGTTGTTTTTTCCATCTTTCTCGCTCGCATTTGTTCCCTTTCTGACTTTCTTTACCAGGTTGTGCAGTTTGGACACACACACACACACACACACACACACACACACACACACACACACACGTAAGAACTTGGCATTACAGTCGTGGTTTTTACTATCTTTAGTTTTTTCCACCTCATTTAGTGACTAAAGATAGCACAAGGGAGTCATTAACACACACATACACACACACATGCACACAGAAACAGAAATATTTTCTTTTCTGTTGTTTCAGTTTGTAAATTGTTTCAAGATTTGCATTTTTATGCCCCCCCCCCAATACAAAACCACACATGCTCATAGTAGCACTTACATTACATTTAGGCTCTTTGTTGCTTGAGGGAGTCTTTAATGCTGTAGTAGGGCTGGGCGATATGGCCTCAAGTTAATATCACAATATATTGAGCAGTTTACGTCAATAACGATAAATGGACAATAACTACTCCACAAGCTGCTCACCCCCTCCCACATTAATGTCATCTACTTCAGCCGCTGCTCCAGCCGCTGCTCCAGCCGCTCCAACTTTTGCACCGTCCTCCATCTCCTCACCTGTCTTTCCCTCTTTGTTACTGACTGGATGGGGTGGAGTCTCAGCCTCTGTAGCGGATAGAAACAAAAGTTCAAAAAGTTTTTGAGAGCTTACACACGTGGCTTTCAAGATAACTATCTTTTAATTTTCCGAACTTTCATCACATTTTAAAAAACCTTGAACAAACAAACTTAAATGAAATATAGCGGCTGTATGAATAAAAGTTAAGACTCTCCACTGGAGAATAACAAACTATTTGCTTTCTATAAAACAAGTAGCAGTCATGATAAAGTGTCCATTCAATAATATAAAAAATAAAGTGTTTAAAGGGTATGTGGCTGCCCAATTATAGGGCTAGTACAAAAGCAGCACTAAAAACTAAAAACTACATAGATAAATCAATCAATAAATACGTGGCTGACAGTGTGTTCATGTCTGTGCTCACCCAAAGTCATGTAACACTCACATAAAACGCTGATAGTATGAGCCAAAGACCTCAATATGAAGAGGTTGTTCACACTGCTGGACACTTCTCCTCTGAAGCTGCTGTCTGCCTCCATCATTGTTTACTTACTCATGAAGCACGTAGCAAGATCCGAGCATGAATCTGGTCGCTTCATTAAGCTTTATTAGCTTATCAGAGGCAGACGGGGATGATGATTTGATTCACCACAACTCCAGAAATTATTAAAAAGCTACAGAATGTCACAAAATGACGTATCCGCACTCCCGACTTGAGGGGTAGAAACGCCTTCATGCTGTCCTGGTTTAAATGGGTTAAAGGGACAACCAACTTTTATTTATTTATTTGATGACGAATATACCGATATCGGCAAAATGACATCAGTTATTGTCGTAAATTTCAGTATCGGTAAATTTTCGTTTTATCGCCCAGCCCTATGCTGTTGGTTCTTGCTTTTTTTTTTTTTTTTTCTTTTTTGTTTGTTTTTTTTCTTGTCACAAATTTTTGTTCTAGCCTTTACTTATTTGTGGACCAAAACACATGGAGCCAGTAAAAAAACCTCCTGAATGAGTTTTATCATTAAAACCAAGCAGCAGAGTCAGAACAACTCTTTTCTTATCTTTCTTTAGCTTCTTTAATCTGTACTGATACGTCATCTTAAAACTATCAAGCAGGGTTTCAAAAGTTCACTCGCACATATGGAAGCATGTCAGTGTTTCTGATTGTTAGACTAGCCGACGTGTATCGTGTATTTCTGTCAATTGTGTTTAAGTGAGCCCTGTTTTCATTGGCCTTCGTCCATGTTCTGGACCTGCCAGTCAGACCATGAACATAAGACAAAGAGAAAGTCTACAGCAAATTGCTCCAGTCATGCAAAAACATCATGACCCTGCTTTTGGTATGTTTTTCTAGTTCAAGAAAGATTTGAAAGACTTAATACAATCCATTTGGTAAATCTATGACCTCATGTGTTATGAAACTTGTTTAAACCTAATTACATGAAGCACAAGTCGAAAACATTCATCTTCATTAGGCTGAAAATGTGGATGTTTATGTTTTGCTCCAGCTAGTTTGCATTGTGTATTAGATAAAGAACAGCTAAAGTGTCTGACTCTGCGCTATGTTTATATAGAGAGGCAAAAAATGTTTGAATTAAGGGAAAGCGGTGCAAGGTGGTGAAAGATGGTAATGACTCTTGGGGCCCAGACAGGAAATAGTTCATGAAAATTTGTGTTGAGTTCAAGCAAGAAAAAAGGGGGCATAGCAGAAGGGAGTAGGATCACATTTGCTTCTCTTTTTGCTGAGCTCCTAGAGCAAAATCATGACTTCTTTCCCACCGGTATAGATTTCAGTTTTTTAAGTGTTGGGCATGCGGCTATTTGGATCACAGCGAGATCCATAGAGATACATGTGTTACCCAGATGATAGACTTTTACGACCACTTAAGGTCAGTGAAAACAGCTTATAAAGACAATGAGGGCACTTATCAAGTTGATTTTTAAATGAGGTTTACTGACACTTGCTTTTACATCGAGCTTGAGACACAGAGCACAGTTAATACGCATCTATGATCATGTTTCTGACCACTTTAAGAAAGTATTAGCTCTCCTTATGCTGTGATTTGTTACTTTTTTAGATGTTAGTTACTCCAGTGCGAATGTTTCCTGCTGGTTGCATTTATTTTTTTTGTCTGTTTTTTTTTTAGGGCAGAGCTTAGGTAACACATCTTGTTTGTAGAAAATAACCACTGATTTGGAAAATGATCCATGTGCGCACTAAGGGTGAACTAAAATCAGAAAGAAAGATAACAAAAACAACACCATACAAGCACTATATTTATCCCCAAAGGGAAATGTATTTGTCTAGACTCTCACGTCTTTCTATCTGGTAACCTGCTGAGCTCATTACTGTTTTTACTGTATAATTATTTGACATTTGCAAATTAAGTTGACATGAAACCAAAAATGGTCAATGTTATACTTTGTTTTCTATATCAAGTACACAATGTTAAAAATAGTGGAAGGCATGAATGATAAAATTTGTTGCTTTGAAATTGCAAGATATCAAAAATGCATCATCAATCTTCACTTTTCATGACAGTAAATAGTATTCTCAGCTTTTGCGACTTATCCTTTCAGTGGTAATGTTCTTTCTTTTTAAACTGTCACATTTGCAGTTTCTTTCCTGAGGTGAAAAAACACATAAACTATTAGCCAAACTCTTTTTTGTCCCCTAATCTTTACTTCCAATGTTTCCTAACTCTCTTCAGCTGTCCTGACAATAAAGGCAGAAAATGCTCAAAAAAAAAACTTTGAAAAACAAACACAAACGCCCACGTTCCGTGAGAGCCCACGTGAAGAATCTAACCATTATCTTGTGCTTCATTATGATGATTTGAACTGATTTAATAATGTCTGTGAGCAGCATTTAAGCCAAATGTAAAAGGTATAAAAACTGAGTTGTTATGCGTGTTTGTTGCAGCACGGGAACAGTTGAGGCGATCCAGACACAGCAGGACCTTCATGGTGGAAAGTGGGACTGGAGAGCTTTGGTCGGAGCTACAGACTGGTAAGACTGCTTGTCTCCGTGTGTGTGCATGAGAGGAACAGACAAATCCAAATGTGAGACGTTTTGATTTGAACCCCATCAGGTCTCCAGTGAGAGGCAGACTATTCCCTAATTTCTACCAACTTCGTATATCATCTTGTCTAGATGCATTCAGTGTCATCCTAAAAGCTTTGCAACAGCTTTACATGATTTACAGCTCAAAAAATTCTTTACTTATCACAGTCTCAGCTCCTTGAACTTCTGTCTCAAGCAACAGAGTTTCTTTATTTATATCAAATGTGTAATGTTGTTATGTAGTTTAGACGTCAAAACTGACAGTTGATGAAGGGCAAAAAATCCCCAACAAGAAAGAGGGTATAGTAGTACCCTCTATCCTCAGTGTATAGTATAGTCACTTCTTCTTTATCGTTTAAATCAACCAATTAATCAATTTTTGTTTCTGTAGTGTTATCCCGAGACTCTTAACAAAAAAAGCTGGTCTAGATCAAACTCTATTTACAAAGATGGGATAAGATTGAGCCTCATCTTGTAAGATAAAACCCAATCCCATCCCATCTTCAGCTACATGAGAGTTTCATCAGACATAAGAAAGAAAAAAAGACACAGCTGCCACTCACCAAATTGGAGCATGGGCGGGATCTCTGCAGGTTTTTACAAGTCAAATTCAAGACTTTTTAAAGATTGTAATGAACACAATTTAAGACCTATTAAGCATCCATACTGACAAAAAAGTACAAAAGACATAAAGGAAATTAAAAACATTTTACATTACTTCAAATCAATCTTTATTCCTTTGGCACATTATTTATTTAAGTAGCAGTTAGACATTTTTAAGACCTTTCAAAATCGTATTTAAGACATTTTATGAGATTTTAAAAGAATTTTAGACATTTTAAGGCCATAAATTCAAATGTTTGGATTTTAGACATTTAAAAACTTTTTAAGACCCCGCGGATACCCTGATGGAGTTATGCTGTTTGGAGATAAAGGGACAATCCAATCAGAACAGGAACAGGAACAGGGCAAGGTCAGGTATTTAGTTCCTCTTGTTTATGGAGACCCTAGCCTAATATATGATATTATACTTGACACATATAAATGCACCAAAGTGCGATAATCCATCTTTCTGTGTCTTGCTGTAACATTCAGTTTCGAATTTGTAATGGTAAAGGAATCAGTCAGTGTTTCCTTGTCTTCTTCTACAGGAGATACTTCACTGAAAGGCGCTGTATAAATAAAGTTTACTTACTTACTTACTTACTTCACACTACATTTCAAACCTCATGGGTCTAAATTAGTGCAGAAAAAGGCATAGAGTTGCTAAGATATCATGGATGTAAATTATACAGGAAAAGCAGACTGTGATTTCAGGTTTATTTGTGAAAACAGTAGCTGAACTTGAAAGTCTGTGATTAGCAGAAAACGACATCTTACTGCAACCGTACAGTCTAGTAAACAGTTACTACTCTCACTCTGAGGTGCACCTTAGACTGCAGAAAGTAGGTCCATTTTTGACATTTAAACACAAATACACAACATTTTTTTAACATGAATAAATATTTACAACTGGCCTGGGATGATATAATCCAACAACAGTACTATAAAAGTCATCCAGATATTCATTTTTACATGCAACCTCTTCTTTCTGTTGAGCCATGACTACAATCTGAGAAGCCACGCGCTCCTACTGACCCTTGCAGCTCCCTTTCCTTAACATACACACCACACACAGGAAGGACCCAGCCCATGGGATTCAGCCTTTGCACTCTAAATAAACTAAAGGACTTGAAGCCTTTTTTTTACCCAGCTGTTTTGTGTCCCTAAAATTTAAATTGTTGTTTTTCACTATTTTTTCTCAACTAATACTCCCTCTGCTGAGTTAGGAGTGTGGTTAGCATAAACCTGTGTAACCGAGCCAAAACTAACTTTTATCATAGAGCATATCACACAAACACACACTCAGAGGGGAGCACAATCATCGCAGATGCCTGGAGGTTGTTTATGTTTCAGGGTCTTGCAGCTGAAGAGTGTCAGGGGAACTACACACACACACAAAAACTCACACAAAAAAACAAAACATTAACATGCTCCATGACTCCATTTTGCCCAGGAGGAAAGGAAAAAAACATACAATCCTACATTAGTTTGAAAAGTTTTGTGAAAATGTGAAACACTCCTTGGACCTGTAGATCGTAAATTTGTGTATGTTTACGTATGTTTCCTGAAGGTGACAGGTATATAGTTGCTGACTGTGGAGGAGGAACAGTTGACCTGACCGTCCATCAGATTGAGCAGCCACAGGGAACTCTAAAAGAGCTCTACAAAGCTTCAGGTACCAACTCTCACAATCTGCTAAAACATACAAACAGCTGTGAGCAAATTTCTCACAGTATCTGAAGCTGTAGTTTTTTCCCCCCTCAGGTGGTCCACATGGAGCTGTGGGTGTCGACCTGGCCTTCGAAGCCATGCTGTGTCAGATCTTTGGCGAGGACTTTGTTCAGACCTTTAAAGCCAAGCGTCCTGCAGCCTGGGTGGACCTCACCATTGCATTTGAGGCGAGGAAACGGACGGCGGCACCAGGCAGGGCCAACGCCCTCAACATCTCCCTGCCCTTCTCTTTCATCGACTTCTACAAGAGACACAGAGGGCAGAGTGTGGAGGCCGCCCTTAGGAGGAGCAAGTACGTCAAGATAGAAATCGAGTTTGATTAAAATAATGAATCAGTTTATGTGTCACAGCAAATGTTCAAAGACTCTGCTCTGTGTGTGTTTGTCAGTATGAACATAGTGAAGTGGTCATCCCAGGGCATGCTGCGGCTGACACAAGAAGCTATGAATGAGCTCTTCCAGCCCACCATCGGCAATATTGTCAAACACATCGGTAAGACACGTTCAAGAACAGAGACGCACGCTAAATGCTTCAAACATGTACATGACTCCAAGAAAACATCTACCCTGTTCTCGTCTTTCCCATATTTCATCATTTGTAATTAGTACACTAACTCAGGCTTTCACCAACTTGACAGCTAGTTGACTACTTCAACCACTAGTCAGTGCTCAGAGCAGGTGTCAACTAGTCTAATAGTCAATACCACAGGGTAAGTGGAATGAAAATGTAATGTATAAATATTTATATTTTTTTTTACTTTCAGTGCATCAGATCTTTCAAACAACTTCTGACCTATTCATCCATATAAAGTTGAATTTTAAAAAAAAAAAATTTTAAGGTTTTTATGTTTTGTTGTTGTTGTGAGAACCCCCGATTTTTTCAATTGGAAAAACACAAAATATGCAATATTTCCAAAAATAAGGTGCAAAGTGAAATAAACACTTGTGACGAAGAAATATCAGCCTTGAACACTATTAATTTTAATGCATTACTATTTTTGGCATGAGCAGAGTTTTAAAATTGACTTACACTCTTAAACCTTGTGTACAGAAACTGTCTAAAAGTGCAATAAAAATGTAATATATTTTTTTTAATTTTCAATGCATCAGAACTTTCCAACAACTTCAGACTTATCCAGAGATATAAAGTTTATTATACATTTTTAATATTTTTTGCACTTGGATCATTCTTTGTGAATCTTTCTTATAGTCAACTTTTAGTTTGAAAAAGTTAGCAAGTGGTTAAAATATGTGGTCATAAATCCCTGAACACCAACACAGAAATCCGTACACTAGAGTGGAAATGTGTCAATAATCCTCAATCACTTTACTACAAAAGAGTTTGTATTGTGGAGTACTAATTATCATTTCTGTTTTACAGACATATTAGGGCAAAACTCCAGCACGTCACATTTTAAAGTTGACATGGCTAGCTCATTATGAAACAGTCAACAATTTACAGATTTAACATAGTGGTCATTTTTGTTTATTATTGAATATTCATTCAGCTTTTTTAAAATCTCCACCAGCTCTTCAAGATAGGAAGAAGCTGGACAGCTGCTAATAGTTACATTTTTAGTTGCTGCTGCTGCTGGAAACAAGCTTGATTAAAGGAGTGAGATCGAACCGAAACAGTAAAGTCACAGCCTGCAAAAATCCCAAAACAATTGAGTCTGTTAATCTCACACAGGATGACAAGATGCTAAAACTGACCATCAAGAGTTTTTTGTTTGTTTGTGTGTGTGCTTTATTTAGATCACAAACCAAAGTAAACCTATGATTTACCAGCATGACTCTAGACTTCAAAAATAAGGCCAAATACTCTTAATCGATTTTTAACGACTGCTTTAAGTCCTCTTCAGTGTCTCTACTCTTCAAGTTCATGACCCAGTTTATTGGAGTTAAAAGCTTTTTGAAAACAGGACGAGGACCCCCAGTTCAAACTATAAACACAACCAAACTCATTCTCAGCAGATACTTGCTGTTTTTAAGTGAAGTGGTTTTTATTCTAACGATCTTTTTTGTTTCCTTCACCAGAGGAACTAATGGCAAAACCAGAGGTGCATGGTGTGCGTTTCCTTTTCCTAGTGGGTGGTTTTGCAGAGTCGCCCATGTTGCAGAAAGCAGTCCAGAAAGCTCTTGGGCGGACATGTCGGATTATCATCCCCCATGATGTTGGACTGACCATCCTGAAGGGTGCTGTGCTGTTTGGACTGGATCCCACAGTGGTGAGGGCTCAATTTGAGTATTTTCAGATTCTGGTGTGGGTTAAGTTTTTGACGTCTGGTCCAATGACTTCTTTCTCACAGGTCAGAGTGCGCCGATGTCCCCTCACATATGGAGTTGGGGTCTTGAACCGGTTTGTGGAAGGGCGCCACCCTCGAGACAAACTTCTGATCAAAGATGGCCGTGAGTGGTGCACTGACATTTTGGACCGCTTCGTCTCCGTTGACCAGTCAGTTGCTCTCGGTGAAGTTGTGAGGCGAAGTTACACACCTGCTCGTCTGGGCCAGCGTAAGATCATCATCAACATCTACTGCAGCACCACAGACGATGTCACGTACATCTCTGACCCTGGAGTCCGGAAGTGCGGGACAATTACTTTAGATTTACCAGAACCATTACCGCTACTAGGAGCGGTGGGAGGAGCAGCAGCCAGAGGAGGGGGCCTTGAGAGGAGAGAGATCAGAGCGACCATGCAGTTTGGAGACACTGAGATCAAAGTCACGGCTGTTGATGTCATGTCTAACCGCACTGTTCGGGCGTCCATAGACTTCCTGTCTAACTGAGGAGGGGCAGGAAGGGGAGACTTGGATTAAAAAACCCAGAAATAATTGATTCATGTGATGATAATTTCAAGAAAAAGCGGTACTTTGGGAGTGGGACAATTATTTCATTTTTGGAAAGACCAAAAATACGACATTTATGCTTTTTGCATCAACTTAGAGTAGAAATAAATCATTAGTAACTTTTAAAACTCAAGACTGGTCCCCACTTTTACCAAATTCTCTTCAGCTGAAAGGTTGGTTATCAAATCTGCACATAAAAAGAAGCGACAGAGTGGAATTCAACAAGTCAACCTACAGTACTGATGCTGTCACCTGGATGAACTCTGTGGGAACCACTGCAGAAACAGAGATTCACTGACAGCCTAATTATCCCCAAGAAAGACACTACATCATTCTTATACTACCTAGAGTGAAAATCACTCATTTACTGTCATTTCTTCATTTCGAGACTGTAGACTCTTCCCTCATAAGTTTGCACAGGAATATCTCAAACAGTACAGTACCTCACTTTAATCTCACTTCACTCATCCATTGAAGAGATAGCAAGACGACTAACTGGAATGCAGCCTGATTTCTACAATGTGAACATGACTGTGCTTCATCTTATTATTATTAGTGCAAACTAAAAACTCTTGGAATAAATCAAATGCCCCACAATGTTTTCTGTTAGGAGGGATTTGTTTCCATCTCGAAGTCCTTTTTTATATATTTGTATTTAAGCTTGAACTAAAATGGTAAATTAAAGTCAACCAGACCCAATAAAACTATGTTGATTTGTGCAGAACTTAGTATGAATTTTATGTTTAAATCTCTCTGAAGGTTCAATGCATGGAAATAAAGGTGGAGTGCAAAGAAAAGCAACAAAATAGAGAGTTTTTATACAGAAGCGTATTACTGTCACTTTAAAAAAAGGAAACTTTTGAGTACTTTTTTTTTCTTCGCAGTTTTTTTGAGTAATTTTTTTCTTCTTTTTGTTTTTCTATTTTTTCTTCTTTTTTTACTAATATTTTCCCCCTTTTTCTTTTTTCTACAAATTACGTCTACGAAACTTTTTTTAAATTTTTTTCTTCAGTTTTTTTGAGTAATTTTTTTCTTCTTTCTGTTTTTCTATTTTTTCTTTTACTAAATTTTTTTCCCTCTTTCTGTTTTTCCTACACATTTTTATTCTGTTTTTTGTACTTTTTTTTTTTTTAGTCTTTATGTTTTCTACACTTTTTCTTTTTCCTGACTAAGCAAGATACTTAAAATCCTGGTGGAATCTCATACAATCAGATAACGTTAACCCCTGCAGCTGCTCCAAATCAGCAGATTCTCCAGTTCCTAGATGACTTCGACTATGGGGTCAATGACAGTAACGCATGTTATTAGTTAAACATAGGGTATGCAAATCCTGAGGTGCCTGCGCAAAGTAGACAAACTTATGACGATTTCATCTTTGTGACTTAAAGGAGTATCTCCCAGTGTCTCAAACCCAAAAGAAAGTCAAACTTGATTAAACTAAAAGAGAGGGCCATGTTTGCTTCCAATAAATCGAGCAGAAGGGGGATGAAAGCATTTTTTTAAATAATCATGATCCCAAAGAATAGAAAAAACAATTAGTCTGAAAAACAAAACAAATATCTGAAAAACAGGAAAGAAAAAACAAAGTCTGAGAATCAAAACAAAAAATTGTCTGAATGGTGAATGCAATACACTTCTGTACTTTTTCCAAGTATACTGCAAGAATATTGTTTCATAGAAGCAGAAAAATTCATTTTTAAATTGTTCTTGTATCACACAAAAAGTTGAAGTCTATACATTTAATTTCCTCTCTGAATGGTTGTTTTTATACTTCACATCTATCATTAATATATCTATAAAATATATAAAAAATGTGTTGCTGTTGTAAAAACATGTTCTCTCTCCTTCACCAGACAGTAATGAAAACACAGGAGCGGCCAACAGTCTGATTTCAGCGGTGAGTTTATTGATAAGAATGGTCCAATAAATAGTCTCACACAGAACAACAAGTGACTGGTTCGGAACTGCCCGGCATCCCATCAGTGCTTTACGTTCCCGTTACATTTCAATCAGTAACATCAACAAAACCCATTTAGAAATATGTTGAAGAGCTCGTCGAGGGCCAGCATGGAGGGGACGAGAGTGTGTTTCAAAGCCAAGTGAAGGACTGGCAATGTCGGATATCGATCATCAGTGAAAAAGCTAATAAAAGGAAAACAGGTGTTACTGTCTACTGGGGAAACGTAGAAAACAATAGTGTCAACCATCTAAAAAACAATCAAATAATTTGTCTTGAATTTGAAAGATGGGCTCTACCTTGTCCTCCTTTTATTAACTACTTTTAAGTATTTGAAATGTTCTGTTTTATCTAGAGTTTAAATCCAAACGTGTAGAGCTCTTTCAACTCTTTCCTGTATCTGTATTAACTCTTAACTGGATTGGTACTGGGGATTCAAACTTCTAGCTGCATCTGGATTTCAATACCAGTTTAAAATGGGATTATGTTGCTGCTTCTGATCAGTGTGCGTGAGGTCTGCCTCTTCCTCGGCCCCGGCCGGCGCCACCTGGAGGACCGTCGACGGAGCTGCGTGGGTTTTTGATCGTTTCATCCACTGACAGGATGAGGCAGGCTGCCTCTGATGCTGCCGTCAGAGCGTTTATCCGCACAATGGAGGGCTCCCACACACAGCTGACAAAGTTGTCTGCGATGTCTTCATTGTTGATGTCCACTCCGTACCACATACCGCCCTGCAGCGAGATGACAAACAGAATCAGACCTAATTTCTCTCCTTTAGAAAAATCAATCTGAAATAAAAATCTTTTTTCCCTACCTGGGCATGTTTTGCGCGCAGTTTGTTCAGGATGTTGGTGGCATCGAAGCCGGCGTTGTCACACAGCTGTCTGGGGATGACCTCTAAGGCCTTGGCGTACGCTCCGATCAGCAGCTGCTGTTTTCCTGGGATTGTTCTGGAGTAATCGCGCAGGTACTTGGACAGCTCCATCTCGATGGCTCCTCCGCCTGCTACGATGGAATCATTCTGGGAATACATCAAATAGTCAAAATAGTCAAAAGATGGGCCGAGTTATTCAGAGGAAAGAGAATCTGATATTTGGAATATTTCTTTAACCCCTGACATGAGTCACTTTACTAAAGATGAAACATCTGAAATCCTGGTTTGATCATATGCCATAACAACCTTTTCACACACCATGAAAACAGGCAAACGTCCGCTCCCTTCTCAACTGACCTTGATGGCTCTGCGTACGATCATGATGGCATCGTGCAGTGATCGCTCTGTCTCCTCTGTGAACTGTTCTGCCCCTCCTCTCAGGATGATGGTGCACGTCTTCGCCTTCGGACAGCCTCTGAAGAAATTATATCTGCGAGGACAAACAAACGGCGGGTTAGAGAAGCCAGTGACGGACAATTTCCTCTGAGAATCTTGATCTGGTGATTTGAACTGGTCCTCCATACCTTTCTCCTCCAACCTGGACCTCTTCGAAGAGTTCGCACTGTCCCAGGACGTCATCTGTCATGGCACCCACTGAGGTCTGGATGGAGCCGCCGCAGGCCTGAGGGTCAAATAACACACAGAGGTTTATCGAATCCTGATACGTACTGCTCGTCTCAAAGGTTTTCCTATCATTCAGATCGACTTCTCTGTCCTACCATCATGGTCCTCTTCAGATCCTCCTCCTGTACCCTGCCAGCACAGAACAAGTCTCTGTCGGCGAAGTACTGGGTGGCCACGTCTCCGATGGGTAACTTGGACAAAACCACCTTGGCTCCTGACTGGTAGATCTTCTCCAGTTTATCGTACAGGATGTTCCACTCTGCGTCCACGATGGCTTGGTAGTCCTGCAGATGAAAGGGGACGGGGTTAAAAATTGAGGTTGCAAGAAAGAGACACTTTTGCCACTTTTTTAGATTTCTTCATACCTCTACACATTTCACACGGACTTCAGCGTTATCCTTCTCCGCCTTGAGCTCCAGCTCCACGTTGAGCAAAGCGATCTTCGGGTTCTCGTAGCGTTTGGGCTGCATCTCAAATCCTGCGTAGGAAAAGGTTTTCTTGAAGGCAACCCCGGAGATCAACTGGGACTCCTGTGAAGTTTAAAACACAGAAAGTGTTGGAATCTCACATCGATGAAACACATGAAATCCATCCATCTTTGCCTAAGTCAGAGGATAAGTAGAAGGACTGTAGGAAACATGTACCAACCTCAAGAGCTCCTCCCTGGACCTTCTTGATACCAATCATCTTTAAGGACAGCAGCTCGTCGAGGAGCATGACAGCGTCCACCACCATTTTGGAGAAGAACTCTTTCTGACCTGCGATCAGCTTGGAGTTCAGAGCTGTAGCTGCACACTTCTCCAACAGCTGCCTCTGCTCCCTTATAAGACAGAGAAAAGAGCGTGATCATTAAAAACGTTAATATTCCTTCAGTGGCTCAGATCTAAAATGCGAAGAAGCTGCTGTGGGAGTTGACACTCACTGCTTGTCGTCTTTCTTCACGGAGACAGCGATGTCCTTTATCTTGCTGACGGCGAGGTTGGTGGCGCTGCGGAATGCTCTGATGATGGTCTGTGGGTGGAGACCCTCCTCCACATACGACTTCAACTGCTTCAGGAATTCTGCAGCCAGGAGAGTGACAGACGTGGTTCCATCCCCGACCTAATCAAGAAAACAGACAAATTAGATGATTTGACAATGACGTCGATTTTTCTCTTGAAGATTTTAACTGAAACGAAACATCCAAATAGCAAAACAGAAGCACGCTTCTAACCTCAGCATCCTGAGAGCGAGCGATATCCACAAGAGTCTTGGCTGCAGGGTGAACCACATCCAGAAGCTTCAGGATGGTGGCTCCATCATTGGAGATTGTGGCCTTGCCTAGAAAACACAGTCATGTTAGTGAAATTCAAAATCATCCTATTATCTATTCCTCTAATCCCCATCTATCCCTCTCTATACTCACCTCTGCCATCCACCATCAGTTTGTCCATGCCCCTGGGTCCCAGGGTGGTCCTGACAGCCTCAGCAATCACCTGGAAAATAAATTTCAGGTATATAATTAGACGAGCTTCAAAAATATCTTAAAATTTACAAACAGAAAGAGATGAAGATATTTTTTCTGACCTGGCAGGCATTGATGTTACTGATGAGCTGAGGAATGCCCTGAGACGTGTCCGTCCCCTCCTTCAGCAGGATAACCGGTGTGGGCTAGAATGAGGAAAGAAATGATTGGAAATTTACACTAGAAACATGATCAGGGAAAAAAGTTGGTGAACTGAAATGATCAGACATACCGGAGAGATATGAACAAGTGAAAACTACCACTATAATATTCTAAAATGCAAAAGTTCCTTGTTGTGGTTTATCACACCCTTGAGCAATTTTAAGTTTCATGTATACAGGCACATTGAGCAAACTGCAGAAATCAATCACAATCAATTCATGACAACAAACTAAGGAGGAATTGATCCTATCAGACACTATTTTTCAAGATAAACAATAACATAACAGATTTTTTTCTTTCAATTTTAAATAAGTCAAATTTATTAACAATGTAAAACCAATTGTAAGGTTACACCTGTGACACAAAACTTCAGTAGTTATCGTCCTCATGTTTTCCCCTTCATGTGCTCTGAAATGCACTTTACTCAACAAAACAAGTGGATTTATGTTAAAAGATAAGAGTCTTTAAAAGGTTTTTTTATTAATATTATTTTTATATAAAAGTGGGTCGTGACTTAAGGACCATGGGAAAATGTGGGTCCCTGAGTGAGACCAGTTGAGAATCACTGCAGTAGATAATTATTGTGATGCTTTTGTTTAGATCAGACAGACAGCTGAGTGACAGTCGAGAGCTGGCCATCTGTCTACAGCCTTCTTTTAATACTAAACATCGTAGAACCACAAGTTATGACAGCTTGATGCAGCAGTATTGTTCATTACCACTTCTCATCATGTAACCTGCATGCTGGTCACTCGATGTACACAAGACCCTCTCCTTTTAATAATATTCAGTCAATCAGTGCCATCTAATTTAGGCCAATTCAAACACTGAGAAACCAACAGTCAGTATAAGTTTATTATTAAGCTGTTCAGCTCTTCAGAGGTTGGACTATTTCACACAGACACTTAAGCTAACGGAGCCCCTCATACAAAGAGGGTGATAGCATACAGAGGCTAACATGATGACAACCGGATGACAAAGCAGTACAAACTCATGCTGCTGCAACAGTTTATTCCTGACATATACTTTGTAAAAGAGTCAAAGAAAAAGCTTCACAAGGAAGAAAATCTGTTATAACTGACTGCTAACATAATTGGTTTCCATCACAGATTGCATCGTATACGCCCATTGATGCCGGTAAAGCCGAGGATGCTAGCACGGTCTCGCTCAAATAAAACACTTCTAAAACTATTTTTCACCATCTAATTGCTTCTCGCGACCAACAAAGAGTACTACTCTAAACAATAAGTAGTTCCGATGCACATGCATGCTGATAAAGAGCAGGATGGACACGGATTACATGTATGTATTTGAGAAATGAAGGCTAACTCGCTCACCATCATCTTGGCAGTTCCTTCGAGAAGCTTTCCACCGGCATCCAATCCCACAATGCAGTTCGAAATGTAGCGTAGTTGAGGTTGTGTTCAAGAACACTACACTCTTTTCTGTGGGCAATGTGAACGGTGTTTCCATGCCATAAAAAGAACGAAACGCTTTTTATTGTCCTTTGTTTGAACAAATTGTAATGTGAAGAATAAAAGTAAAGTATTCAGCAAATATTAATATTAATATTAATAGTAAAGTAAAAATGATGAAAAGTTAGTGTTCTTTTTAATTAAACACTGTAGCCGCAAGGGTGTATAGATAGATAGATAGATAGATAGATAGATAGATAGATAGATAGATAGATAGATACATACATACATACATACATACATAGATATCCCAAATTGGGAAATTCCCATGTTACAGCAGCAATAAAAACACTAAATAAAATTGTATATAAGAAGTATGTACAATACAGACTAAATATACTAAATATATACAATAAATACAGACTAAATATCCTAAACATCCTAAGAGAAAAAAGTAACATATGAAAAAAGTGGGCTATCCACCGGTAGTACTAATATGAAATGAGTAATAAATATGAAATGCGAAATATACAGATGGGATAATAAACAATTTAAGGTGCTCAGTAATGTATCGTGGTAGGAGTTTTTAAAAATGGACTATACAGCAGACAGATGTGAGTTATTGAATAGTGCTATTGCTTGTGGCAGGAAAGATTTCCTGTATCTGTCCCTTCGACAGAAGAGCAGCAACAGTCTGTTGGAGAAGGAGCTCCGCTGTCTGTCCAGAGTGAGGTGGAGAGGGTGGTCAGGGTTATCCATGATGGATAACGGTTTGGTCAGTGTCCTCCTCTCCACCACAGCCTCCACAGTGTCCTGTTTGCAGTCAATCAAGGCGCCAGCCCTCCTGATCAGTAACTGAACTTTCATTTTTTAAATAGTACTACTCTATTGGCTGTAGTTTTCAAAGTTTCCCCTCTGTATTTACACAGTCTATTCCTATAACTCGAAATTGCTCAGCATCATTTGTGATCCAATGGCCCCAAGTTTACGAACATCTTTTGGAATTCTTGTGCCACACACATTGTAAAGGTGTTAGTTGCCTTTGTCAAACAATTACTCTGAGGTTTAATGCATCATCCATGAACATGCCACATTAGACATGCTGTCTGTGACTTTGCATACTGTGATGCAAACAAAATAGACCATATAGTAAAAGCCTTTTGAAATTTGCATAGATTAAAAATCAGGTCTGGTTCCCTGCACGGTCTTATTTAACCAATTCTCACTGATACTGAATATAATGTATAATGTGCTACGTCATTTTCCAAATGTGTTTCAGCACAGATAGACAAATAAAAACATGTCACACAAACATACAAAGGTTAAAATAATCCATTAAAATAGTAGCTGAAATCAATCATTTCTACTGCCACTATAAGAACGCCTCAGATACTTATTTCAAAGGACCATTTTCCACTTTTTAAATTCAAAATAAAGGAATTGGATTTGCTTGTTATGGAAACATATTTATTGACCACACAACACAAAAGTGTACAGTAAACAAACAACTCGGAATATCCCTTTAAATAGCTAGAAGGACTTGGAAAGCACAAAATGCTCTTGACAAACTCTTAACCTGTTTCACGCTGCTGTCTTTGAAAACCCTCATTTCAGCCACTGTCAGTTTGTCTGTCTGTCTACATCATTATTACATTAATGACACAGGTGTCTGACCAGTTGTTTTTTGACTTCACGCAGCCTGCCCAGTCTGTGCAGATAGAGGACAGGATGCAGGTAGCTACAGCTAGCAGCAGCAGCTAAAGATAAGGCGGTATACTCACATTTCAGTCTTTGGGCTGGAACTAATCCATCCATGCAAAAGGTGATGATGAATGGGAGGTAGTTGAGTGTTAAAACCACCTGTATGATGATGATGGTATTGAATGCTTTTCTCTTGATGGAATTCATCTCTTTTTTTGCCCTTGGCTCACTGCTATAAACTTCCACCACCTTTTTATCCTTTCTTCCTTCCCTCTCTCTACTGTTCCCTTGTTTTCCATCTTTGGTACTCACTCTTGGACACCCACTTTTTTCAGTCTTCAGTTTCTCTTTTTTTGCCTGTTCTACCATCTCTCTGTCCCCTGGTGGAGATTTTTGTAAATTTTTGAGAACAGACAAGCAGCAGAAGGTGTCTACAGCCAGAACAGGGAAAAACACGACACACGCTGTGACGGCAGAGCGCTTGAATATAACAATGGAACCCATGAGGATGTAAATACACCACGCAGCACCCAAACATCCCCATCTGTGCTGATTTCCCTTGAACCTGAGAAGGAACAAGACAGTCAGGAATGTAGGTCAAGGAATACTAACCCTGCTGCAAAAATAAAACTAAGCCAATCACCCTTCCAACATTGTGTACAACTACATCTAAAAACCTAAATTTCTGTCCTGCTCTTTATTTTGAATGTCTTAGGACAAAATGTTAAGTGCTTTTACCGTAAGTAGTCGATGGGTCGGACCACGGCCATATAGCTGTCCACACATACCAGACAGTGGAGCATGGGCTTCATGACCATCGCCATTGAGTAAAGGGTGCTGGACCCATTCAGCACAATGGTGCTCTGCCACAGCAAGTGATTGACGAAGAGCACAGGCAAGACCAAGAAGAAAACCAGCTGGGTGAGTGCCATATGAAGGGGGAAGAAGTCTGCAGGGAGGACACCTGCAACCACTGACCTTTAAATTAAGTTCATGATAAAATAAAGTAAAAAGGTGTCACAGAGGTGGTGGAAGACGACATGAAAAATTCTGATTTTCAAAAATGGTAAAACAACAAAGATACTCATTCACAATTAATGCTCATTTGATGTACAAAATATGTGATGTTGTAAGTGCCAAGTTACCTTTACACCAAAGTGTAAAGGTTTACCTTTTTTGGTGGATGTGGTAGATGAGCCAGATGTTCAAAGGGGCACCAACGAGAAACTCTAAGCAGTATGTGGTCAAGAGGATGATGAAGCCCATTGAAGGTCCATCATTGTAGGTCTGACACTCTGCCCAGTAATAATCTGAAGCTGAAGAATTTACAGAAGTATGGTTCATCCTGGAAAAAAAAAACAGATTTTTTTTTTTCTCTGTCTTGGTAAAATTACTATAGGACACATTTTATCCTGATATTTCTAATGTATAATTGAGCAGCTGAAGCAAACCTTTTGGTGTAAAGCAGGAGTGTCTCTGTGTCTCTGTCACTGTGTAGGAGAATCTCTTCATACAAAAGCAGCTGGGTTTTGTTCATCAACTTTTCCCCCCTGGTTAAGGGTTCATTTGAAAAGCTTTTGCTTTTATAAACACTTATCATGTGGGACGTGGTAAAGATTTGCATGAATATAACATAAAGCATACCTTTGCGTCTGCTTGGTATGAGTCCTTTGCACATACGTGACTTGCGCTTTGTCCTTTATGAACAGCATAGTTTGTTAAACATGTAAAACACTGGGATTTGATTCATTCTGGTCTGTCATAAACTCTTAGTACAGACCTGATCCTGAAAGTTATTGACTGTGTATCATTAAAATAACATGCTTGTTCTCACATGTGACTTTTAAGGCAAACCTAACTTTCCATGATATCAATTTGAATATGTAATTGGCATGTAAAGTACGGTGGCCGAGAACCGCCACTGCTGAAATAAAAAAGAATGCAATGGGCTTCGGTTTCTTTCTTTTTTCTTTTTTCTTTTTTTGCATCGGTAACTTTCGTTGTGACTTCTTTTTTTGCATTCTTTTTTATTTGCAGCAGTGGCAGTTCTCGGCCACCACAGTAAAGAATATATTTTAGACAAAGGTAATCACACTTTGTCATAATTTAAATACTTTTACAATGATGTATACTGTTTCATCATATTTAAGCTCTTTTAATTTTGCTCAGACACTAAGTAGCCTTTGTAATTACTATTTAACTTAATAATTTTAGTCTAGATTAACTGCAAAGTCGTCAATGTAAAATTGGTAATCACTGCTCTTGAACGCAGCTTTGGTTGCGTAACGGAAATGCTGCACGCAGGCCCCTGGTTGGCCAGTGAATTGTAATTGGAAGCTTGTAGTGTGCTCGATATAAAACCAGCACATGCTGCGTGAGCGGGGCTAGAGCTGTTATTGATTAGCAAGAGCGTAGACTCCACTCGTGCAGACATACGCAACAACAAAACACGCGTCTACAAACCTTTTTTTTCTAAGAACAGGCGCGGAATTTAGATTTCGTATATGTAACCGCGGCGGGAGATGTTGACACAGTAGGAACAACATCTGAAGAGCTCCGGTAATATTCGCTTTTGCATGAGGGCTAGGCTGCGGTCAGATGGATGATTTCGGAATTTACGCGATATTCGGAGTGAACGGCCCCCCACAGAGGTTGCTCAGGTAAGGAAATTATGGTTAATGACAGATTTTTAAACGGTACCGACATCAGCACCAGTTCCTCACCTTTAGATACTGTATCTGGAAGAATATCCAAAATTGTATCTAGAGACACCTACGGTTTTGTATGCAGTACATGTTGAAAACCATCGACTGTGTATACTATACACAGTCTATGGTTAAAACTCAATCTGAAGTGTCTCTGTGGCGCCTTTTAAAGTGCGCCATGTTGAAAGGTTAAATCATCAGTTTGATCATTCTAACTCAAAGCACGAGTCGATTTATACCTCGCCTCTTTTTCCTATTCGTTTCAATCAATTCTTTAACCAGTAACACCAGTCTAAATTTGTTTTTTTTCTCCTGCTAGTGCTGAAGGTTCATGTCGAGTAGCTGTTGCTGTACCACCAAGTGTCCGGCAGGTGGTGCTGTTTAGCAGCGGGCCATGGGGAGAGCGAATCTGCGTTAACGCAGAACTGAACGACACTGACAACATGCCCATAACTATTGGAAAGCTCACTCCATACAACAAGTAGGCCATTATATTGTGATGTTTACCTGACAAGTACACTCATACTTTTGCTTTTGGTTTCCTAAGGTGCTTATTTGACAGACATCTGATTAAAAAAAATAGGTTGGATTTAATGAGTAACCTTTGAACACATCTTGTGCCCTCCAGGTGTTTGTCATGGGAGCAGTGGGAAGAAGAGACATGGACAAGAAGTGTAATACTGAATGTCACCCTAGAAGGAGGAAACCTGGTAAATACTGAATTTACCCAAGATTCAGGGCTGAATTCTTTGGGATTTATGTTTAGTGAGACATGTATCTGTGAGACAGGGGTGTCAAACTCAACCACAGCAAGGGCCATAATCTGGATTTGGGTCTAACCTGAAGGCCAAAGAGGGTCAACATTTCACCAAAACTGTCAACCTCCTTTTCAAAAAATATGCAAAACAAAAAAAGCAATGATTATAAATAATTTGGAAATTCAAAAAAAGATTAAAAAATTAAGTTTAAAGGCAATCTGTGATAGAAAATGTTATTTTATTTTTTATTGTTTTAATTCTGTTTTTATTTATTAGTTCAAAAGATCAGAGCATGATATTAAAAATAGAAAAATAAAGCTTTTAAAGAGCAAATACATGAGGAGAACATTGAAATCAGATATAAAAGGTCAAAATATGACTTAAAATTTCAAATTGTAATCTAAAGTATAAAAGTTACACAAGTCGTGGCTTATAAAGGCCATTTTAAATAATGGTGCTAAAGTTTACATTATTATCCTGGAGGATATCTGCAGACTCCATACTGGTAGGTCAATAATAATGCAAATATGACATGATCTTGCGGGCCAGATTTGGCCCCCGGGCCTTGAGTTTGACACCCGTGCTCTAAGTCTTTAAATCCTTTTAATTTAACCATCATTAAATATAAAATATTTTTATTTCAGGTAAAATCAGAGCAACCAGAGCTCATCCTGGCTGTGACAGAATTCACACCAAAGGTAATCAAGACAGTTTTTGTGTTTCTTTATTCACTGCTGCTTATGTTGATTCTTAATGTACACACAAACCTTTTACATAGGTAAGAGATTCAGAGGACAAACTCTAAAGAATAAAACCAGAATTTGTGAAGAATGTTGACAACCATCTTTGTCATATGTGTAACATTCAACCAGTGTTAGCTTTTGTTGGGGCAGCAAAGAAAACCTTTTAGATATAACAGACATAGTTTTATTATACTTAAAATTTAGATATATTTATGTCGATCTCTTTTGCCTAAAATTTTGTATTTTCCTGTTATTGATGCAAAAATTTTGACCATGAGTCATAGCTGTTTTTTTTTTTTTTAAAAAACCACTGGATCTCTACTTACACTTAAAATCATATTTCCAGTATATGCTGAATAACAAAGACAGTTTTGTCCCTCTCAGGACACTGTGGCTCCTCTTGCAGCCCGGGAGCTCAACGGCAAGAGGAAGAGGGAGCACCTTTTGGAGGAAGAAGAAGACAAGTATCATCTGACCAAGAGAGGAGAAGAGAACATGTGTCCAAATGGTACAGTGGAGAAGACCACACCTGTGCGAAAGGGAAGAGATCAAATCAAGGGAGGGCAGAAGCTTTTCAGCGATGGAGCAATAAAAAAAACAGGTGAGGGAACCAGTTTATTAAAGATGATCAAATGTGACCACAACGGTATTTTTAGACATTTGTAAGTGTGTTTGGGAGAAGAGAGCAGTACATTTTCGTCTGTCTGCAGATGTTTTTTAGTGCAAAATAGTTTGGTAGTGGCTCAGTTTGTAGAAATCGAGCATTTCCTGTGTGCTGTTTCTTCTATGAAATGACTTTCCCTCTCTTGTCTCTAAATTTAATGGAGCAGGAGAGGCGCAGGGGATTGTGGGAAGAACGCCTCCTCAGAGTGCAGCCAGGACTAAAAGTAGGCAGGCCAAGACTCCCACACAGACTGGTGAGTTTGTTCATGCTCATAATGTATCTTTTTTTTTTATATTCACTTTGTGTGATATTGATCCCAGTTTCCAGTTTTCCCATGGCTGATATCTTCTATCCTGCTGTCTTGAATTTGCAGAATATTTATGACATGTTGAGGTTTTTAAGTCTCTTCTTTTCTTACAGCCCCCTTGGTCAGCCCCTCGGGTCGCTGGGGTCAGACTCTGTGTCCTATTGATGCTCAGACAGCCATTCTGATTGGGGGTCAGGGAGCCAGGATGCAGTTCTGCAAAGATCCCATGTGGAAGCTTTGCACAGGTCAGTTCAGAACCTGACTCCTGTTAAAAAAAAACAATTGCGAATTCTGTTGATCCATGACAGAGTGTGTGCCCCTTCTTCCCACAGAGGATATGTCCTGGTTTGCAGCTGAGACTCTGGCAGAGGGTCCAACACCAGAGGCGAGAATTGGACACACAGCCATCTACGACCCAGACTCAAGGCGGATCTTTGTGTTTGGAGGCTCCAAGAACAAGAAGTGGTTCAATGACGTTCACATTCTCGATACGCAGAGCTGGAAGTGGACCATGATTGAGGTGGGTTTAATAAAGTTGGTCCACCTTCAGCATAGATTGGTAGATTTATATTATCGCACTCCTTGTGAGAATGTCAGTTTCCCCATTAAGTATTTTTAGTAGACGATGTAAATTCAGTCATCAACCAAAGCAGCTTGAAGTCATGACCATTTACGCATTTTTTTCATAAGGGTTCTTCGTCCATTTTTTTCACATCCCCTTCCGCTCTCTTGTCTACCTCAGGCTCAAGGGAAGGTTCCTCCTTTGGCCTACCACAGCTGCAGCATGTTTCAGGGTGAGCTGTTTGTTCTTGGAGGGGTGTTTCCTTGCCCAAACCCTGAGCCCGACGGCTGCAGTGACTCTCTGTATATCTTTGACCCCAACCTCTCAATCTGGTACCAGCCGATTGTAACTGGAGACAAACCCTCCCCCCGCTCAGGGTAAGATAGCTCCATCCAGGGTCTGTTTTTTCACCCACATACATAAATCTAAACACTCAAATCTTTGCTGTTTATCCTCTTTTTTCAGTCACTCAGCATGTGTGATACAGGAGAGGAAGATTTACGTTTTTGGAGGATGGGATACTCCCGTCTGCTACAACGACATGTACATGTTGGACCTTGGTAAGCCAAACACACGTTCGACTTTTAGGAAACTCTTGGTTTCTTGTGTCTACACATGTGTGTTCAAACAGAGGAAATATTTCCATGAATTGAGGTGTAAATACAAAGCATTGTATGCATAACTGAATGAGACGTTTTTGCCTCAGGTCTCATGGAGTTTGCTGCTGTTGAAACAACCGGAAAAGCCCCTTGTCCACGAAGGTACGCAACGCTACACACACAAACACCATTATGTCAGGGGTAATGTATAGTTCGCTGGTGGTTATCTGAAATAGAATCCCCATCAAAAAGTCATAAAGGTCTTTACATGAAGCAAAGGGTTCTCCCCCACTCTGGTAGCAAAACGACCATGATATAATATTAAAATGTATACTGCATGTTGTCTACTGCTGCAATCGGAAAGTTATGATTTTATAAGACAGTCCACTTGAAGAGGTGAAATAATAGACAGTATACAAGATGTGCTGTAGTACCTCCCACACTTCCACAGTTTGATTTGATATGTGTGATCAGGTTGTCTCTGGTGTTCCCTTTTGTTAATTGGGATCAAGAACTTTTGTTGAGGAGTTTTAACCAATCAGGATAAGAGCTAGTGAAAAAAAGGTTGAATGTTTTTATTATTGTTAATCTGAGAAAAAAAGACAGAATCCTGTCCAATTTTTTATTTATTTTTCTCAGAATAATAATAATTTTAAAAAATTACAGTTTTTTTTCCCCCAGTGGCCCTAATCCTCTTCCATAGATGAGTAAAGAAAACCTGGTGATAAAGACTTTTATTTGTTCAAAGTCCTTAAGTTTTGTCAGATTTTTTTTAATTTTGGTAAAAGAGAAAAAAATTGTAACATTTTGTTTACTAAATTTTTTTTAATCATCTTGATATCTGCACAAAATTTAAATATGATAACACCGGAATCAACAAACTTCATAATCAACATTATAGCATCTGCAGTTTTGTGTGTGTGTGTTATAATTAATTGGTGTGTTACAGTTGGCACGGGAGTGTTGTAATCTCCGACACCAAGTTCCTGATCCATGGAGGTTACAACGGAGATCGTGCTCTCAGCGACACCTTTATCTTTGATACAGGTAAGAATGTACAGATGTACAGGTCTTTACATGTGAGCTTACATACTTCATGCACCCCCCCCCCCCCCCCCCCGCCGCCGCCGCATACGTCAGTGCCCTCATTTTACCACCCAGTCAAAAAGTCTGAACATGTGCCTACCCTATGACTCAAAGCTCAAAGTTAATATGACAAAATAACAATCCTTACAAATGAGAGAAAATATTCTTACATACTGAAACAAAGAATTAAATGACAAAACTCTTTCTTTTAGCACAATAAACTTGCCATCATTAATTTCGTCTTTTTGTGTCTTAAGATACCAACAGCTGGACAGAGGTGACTCTTCCGCATCTCTCCCTTCCCAGGGCAGGGCATTCCATCATCACCATGGAGGCAGATGCTCACCGCTGTATTTCAGAGGAAAAGAACCCAGGATCCATCAGCAGAACCTTGTTGGTATTTGGAGGCGGAGACAACGAAGGCAACTTCTACTCCGACCTGACAACTGTCTCTGTTGAGGAACTGCTCGCTGCTATTTCAAGAGCGTGAGTCAGAGGTGAATCCTCATTCCCTGTCAGCATGTTAAGCTGTGTGAACACCCCCACAGACTCTTAGGTATTTAAATTTCCTACAGTTTGTCACTGTTTCCTTTTTGTATTTGTTTCCTCTCTTTTGTAGACTTAAATTTTCTATGTAGCAGCAGATCAAATAATTTGATGATTTTTTTCACTAAAGACTTTAATATTCTGCTGCCATTGTCATGCATCACATACTGTCCAGGCATGTGAACGTGACTTTTTTTCCATGAGTAAATAGATCCTTGAATATCTCTTAAAGATTCCCATTAGTGACACTTGGACAGTACTGGATGCTGTAGAAGTGGAATATTCTTGTTTTTATTCATCAAATGTTTTGTATATTTTGCTCATAAGGGGCATTGCCTGATTTTTTTATAGACTTTTAAATACCTGAAAGTTGCAGTTATCAACCATGTTAACTGAGTTTCAGAATTATGGATTATTCTGGTTGTTGTCATCGTCTCCAAACTGATGCATGTTCTGTAAAAAAAATACAAATAAAATCTTTATTTATCTTCTAGTGACTTTTTATTTTGCGCTTGGATTTTTTTCTTCTTTTAATAATTTTCATGAACTTTCTTGAAGTGATTGTACGGGATTTCTATTAAATAAATTAAATGCACAATTGTAGAAACAGTTAAAAACTTTTGGGCTTAATTAAAACAACCTTCTGTTGTATGGCCATCAGGGCAATACTGGTGATATTTCAAACTAGACTAAACTGAGACCTATTGCAATAAAAACAACTAGAGATCAAGTTAAATCTTTTCGGCTGAATATCTTACACCAGCATCATGAGTAAACCGGGTCACACGTCAGTTAAAGTCCATTTTTCCATATGGGATGTGTAATGTGTAAATGTAGGGTGGATATTGGCTTATAAATGTTTTAGTTATAAGAAGTAAGGATACAGAGAAAAGTGGGAATAGAGGACATTATTTAATGACTAACACAAATAAAAATGACGTTAAATTTTTTCTCTTTGTACTAGGAACCACTTTGAGGCTGTTATTTTGGTTTCACCGTCTCATGCATTTCCTGTGTTAATGCAAAATCTTGGTTTCCTCCAAAAGATCCAAAAAATCTTTTAATGGATGAATGTCTTTTCACTGCAAGTCATAAAATATGCTCTGTACTTCATCATACTCCAGTCTCTGATACAAAAGAAGATTGTGTTGCACTCTCAGCTCCATCTGTACAGATTATTCATCCTATTTCTGGCTTTCCTGCTTCACAAAATTTGCCCACGCTGTGAGTCAATCTACTAAATTGCCAGGGTAAGTAAGGTTTGTCACCCTGTCGGTATGTTCGGCCATTAATTAGAAAAGAGAATTATAAAGATGAACATGCACAATAAATAATATTGCTAGAGTGTGTGTGTGCTTGTTCTCTTCCAGTTTTCCTTTCACTGATCACTGTAGTCATGTCTGGTACATGTTGCCTCACTGTTCAAGAACAAATGTGTATCAGCACAGAGTGTGATTATGTTTCAGGGCTCTGCTGTTAATATCTATCAATGAATAACTACTGGGAGCAAATCATCTCAAAGTTATACAGTTACACTACGATAGTTGGTACCGTAACTTTTCACACAACCTGGACTTTATTTGACATTTTTGCAACATTAATCCTTTAAGTATGTTTTATAATAGTGTGCTCATTCAGTGTCATGAGAAATGTGGAATTAGATATTGTTGTGTTTATGGCCTTTTTATTAATGCCACATTTACAGCCTCTTCTTAACATCATTGATAAAGTGTAATTATAACACTCTACCCCCCACACTAATATAAATGACCAAGATATTACTACAAGTAGCTTGCATTGATAATTGAGTAATGGTTGACACAGCAGAGATTACTTAACAAAGCTTTTTATTCTAGGAAGTCATAAAGCTGCAAACGGGACCAACTTAAAAAAGGTTTTTTTTATACACAGAGACATAAGAGTACCATGTCTCTGTAAACAGATCTTTAACGTGTCACAAACAACCTCTGCACGGACAAAAATGTGCATTTCTGTTCTTATTTCTTCTTTTTTTTCCCTCTAAACTTGATATTATAAATGGTTAGCAAAATTTTAAATCACTGCAACAGCTGGGTTATTCATCCTTTATTTCACTAGATTCTTATGCTAACCTGGTGTAGATGTTTACTTTAATTAGTAGTCACAATAACAAGATTTGTATTTTGAAGATAGTAGGTAGGGCTGAGCAAATTCTTGCTTTGAGGAGCTGAAATAAAAAATAAAAATAGATGGAGGTATCAACTCTCAACTGAATGCTAGTCTCTGTAGAGAGAATGACTGACCATATATTAATAATGACCTTTTTTTTTTTTTTACAGCCGGATACATGTGCTCACCTGAAGTAGAAGAACAGAAATGAAAAGGCATGTAAGTGTTTTAGTGCTCGTTGAATTAGACTAAATGCATCATGAAATCTGCTGCACCGTTCTGCAGTTCAACCTCCTACTTGAAGTATAATTTCTTCTTCAGAACAAAATAGCAGTGTGGCTGCCAAAAATGTGTTCCCATCCAAATATCACTGCTGCAAGAAATTGTGTTAGGGTATGCTGTAGGACTTTGAAGACAGACAGACAGACAGACAGAAGATAGATAGATAGATAGATAGATAGATAGATAGATAGATAGATAGATAGATAGATAGATAGATGTAAGAGGAAAGAGAAAGAGAGAAAACAGATCTTGTAATATATTCAGCTAACCTGCAGATGGCGACACTTAAGCATATTCTTTCACACAATGTATCAGGCTCTTTTTCAGCTCATGTAAAAACCCCCCAAAAAAGAGCAGAGTCAGTGAGTTCATGTGGCTATTAACATGTTGTGATGTTGTCTGACATTTCCCACAAATTGCTACACAATAGATGCAACATTCATCCTTTTATCCACCATGAAATCAGATATGCTCCAATACCCTGGATTGGAAATACAGAGGATACTCTGCCAAGTTGGATTGTTTGATACTGAAAGAGAAGTTCAAAGACATGCTCGATGCTACAAAAGAAAGCTAAAAATGTTATTGAAACACTCTTACAAAAAAGAGAAGAGTTTCCCGCTTGTACTGCCTTAACAATTCTCTATCTCTCATCAAAGATGTGATTTTTACCTTGGTTGATTCGGTGGGAAATCCTGTCAGTTGGATGCTTTCCCAGTCATAACAAACAAGCTTCTCATTTTCTGATTTCTCTTTTATTTCCTCCAATATCATTCTTAAACTGTGTGTATGAATAATAATTTGTTCTCTTAAAAGTCTCTGCAGAACTCTTTGATGAGAGACTTCAGATATAATCTCTTGCTATGGCAGCCATATTATCTTCATCAGTCCATGGCTGTTGCTAGGTAACTTGAAAATGTCGATGCCAGCTGTCAGCATCTCACAGTCGCACTTTTAGGTACATATTTACAGATTCACATATTTTCCTAGCCATGAATGTAATAAGGAACCACAACCAAGGCAGAGGATAGATTAATAAGTTTCTGTACCTTTGCACTAGTCAAGTCAAGTCAAGTCAAGTTTATTTGTATAGCACATTTCAGCAGCAGGGCAATTCAAGGTGCTTTACATGAAACAAGCAGGCAAAACATTCAACACAATTTAAAAAGTAAAAACAGCGTAAAAGACATTTAACAGATATGAAAGGGACAATATAAAAAAGAAGCATATTTTTCAAAAGCTTTTAAAGTCATTAACAGAAGAAGGAAAAAATCAAGGATCTTCCACCGTAGAAAATATTATTTTACTACATTTTTTTTGTACTGCTGCTGTAAAGAAAACATTAAACACATCTCAATTGCTTGAAAGGAAATTTAAGTTGATTTCTTGGCTTGTTTTTCATGTCCTACCTGTTATTCATCCATATTACTTGTACAATTCAAATGTCAGACTGCATTTGTGTGCACTTCTGGAAATTTTTTTATACAATCATTACTATATCTTTCATTGCCCCCTGACTGGTTGCTTTTTCATCTTTGTCTAAGATTTGATATAAGTTTTGACACTGAAGGGGGAGTGAAAGTATTTTATACTGTGTTTGCTCTTATCTTGTTCCTTTATTGTACTATTATTATTATTATTATCATTATTATTATTATTATCATTTTTTTTAAATTATTATTATTATTATTATTAGTAGTAGTAGTAGTATTGTTAAAGCATCTTCATTTGGCAGTCTTGTGCTTTTTCACTGCAAGTATTGAAAGGTGAAGTGTGTGATTGTGATTGATACAAAATTGAGTTGATTTCTTGGCTTGTTTTTCATGTCTTACCTGTTATTCATCCTCACTTTTGTACAATTCCATTGTAAATACAATTGTGCAATATTTATTACCCATTTCATATTTATTACTCATTTCATATTAGTACTAGTGGTGGATAGCCCACCTTTTTTCATAGCTCACTTTCTTCTCTTAGGATGTTTGGTATATTTAGTCTGTATTTATTGTATATATTTAGTATATTTAGTCTGTATTGTACATACTTCTTATATTTAATTTTATTTTGTGTTTTTATTGCTGCTGTAACATGAGAATTTCACTGTTTGGGATCAATAAAGTCTATCTATCTATCTATCTATCTATCTATCTATCTATCTATCTATCTATCTACAATTCAAATGTCAGACTGCATTTGTGTAAACTTCTGAACTTTTTTAAACAACTCATACTATATTTTCATGGCCCTCTGACAGGTTGCTTTTCCGTCTTTGTCTAAGATTTGATAAAAGTTTTGACACTGAAGGGGGAGTGAAAGTATTTTATACAGTGTTTGCTTTTATCTTGTTGTTTTATTGTACCTTTTTTTATCTGTAAAGTGACCTTGAGTGTCTTGAAAGGCACTTATAGATAAAATGTATTTATATTAGTAATATTATTATCATTATTAAAGCATCTTTAGTTGGCAGTCTTGTGCTTTTCCACTCCAAGTATTGAAAGGTGAAGTGTGTGATTGATACGAGGGTGAAAAGCATATGACTCCATGGTGGACAATCTGGACGCTTAGTATCATAGCTATGCACGACACAAGTGTAACTTTACAGAGAGCTAGGCCATACTGAAAGGGTACAAGTATGATAAGTTTGAATGACATGCTTTTGTACAATAAGATTTTGTCCTACTTCAAGTATTGTTGATAGGGATTCTGTCATTTGTGTTGGAACATTTCTGGCAGAATGGGAAGTGCATACACAATCCTCTGCACCTGCCATTTAAACAACCTGAATTGAGGGCTCGAAATAAGCCGAGTAGAGTCGAATGCAAAACAGACTCCCTCCCTCCTCAATCCTGTCGTGGTGCAAGCAGCCATGTTGCCGCGAGCTTGTTCCGGTATCAGGGCAGGATCGTGCGCATAGACTGCAATCGGGCACAGCTCCTCGCCTTCCTCCCCCTGTCGCCCGTCACACTAATTCGCGACGAGAAAAGCTGAGTTTAACAATAATGGATTTTACAACTTGATCATTCCCTCCTCAGTCTGCTGCTGGCCTCGGAATAATAGCATCAGTCGGGGTACCGACAGGACGAACTGGTATATCGCCACACTGCACTGCAGCACTGGTGAACGACCTTATTCCAATCACGCAACACAAGGAAGAGCGCCGGTGATTTCCGTGGATTTTGAGTTTTGAGGCTTGCTCTGTGGCAGTCACCGCCACTGCGGCCGCAGGAGGAGAAGCTAACTTGCTAGCTTTGTTTCGGAAGAAACACGGAATACGCTAGCTACATTGGCTAATATTCACAAGCCAGTGAGCTAGCGCAAACAACAAATTATTTCGTGTTTCTCGCCTACCATGTGACAATTCTACGTGGTTTTTTTGTTTTATTTTAGGATATCGCGCCCTGGATTTATCACTGGGAACATTTTGAATGGTTTTGTGTCAATTGGGAAGGTCGAGGCATCGCCGGGAATAACTTTGGCCTGAAAGTTTGCAGACTCCTGACTTGTCTTGAAACCTGAAAGGAACTATCTCTCTGACAAAATAGGAAAGGGCGTCGAGACTGCGTGATGAAAACAACTCCGGAGCAATATTTGTTGTGGTTTTAGACGACAGTTGTGGCTGCCCCAGACCTTAGTTAGCAACCTCACAGGTTAGCATGCTAACCACCTAATTGAGCCCTCGCTTGTTCAACAGCCATTGCCCAACTTTTTGTCAAGCTAGCCCAGGTAGCCAGCTTGACAAAACGTCACAACATCAGTTTGATATCTCACCCTACTGTCGACGTCGATAGATACTCATTGGAAATTGAATGTTTCACCCGCAGACCTTAGCTAAAGAAGAATTTTGCCTTTTTTAAGTTACGTGCTTGTTGACAAACATGGGACGTGTGGTTGCTGCTAGCTAGTTCTTAGCTAGCTGGCTAACTCGGCTAGTCGCTGATGTGGGATTCAACTTGTTGATTCTCGGGCTATCCGTCGTACTGCTAGCTGGCTAGCACTGGGCATCTGTTGGACATTTCCGAGTATCGTCAGCCCCACGTATTTTAAATGCAGAAAAGACATTAAAAATCTTCCCTTGACACCGTTCCTGTCTTTGCTGTGGAAACTTCAATTCTTTCAAAATGTCAACTAGGATCCCACTGGTGCAAGTCATCGAGAATTCTACCGGGCAGGTAAGAAGGAACTCCAAGAATATCCTCCTAAACATTATTGTCGTCGATTTTTTTTTATCATTACACCTCTAAATATGCTAAGGTATTCTTTATTGCTAGAGAGAGGCCCAGGCTGGCCTTCAGTAGTCTTTGCTTGTCTCTAAGCCTTTTTTCCCATTCTCTGTTGTCTTTGCCACACAGCAGTGATTCACCAGCTTGCCTACGCACTCACTCTGGATTTCCCACTCCTTGCAGAATAGGAGAATAAATTTAGGTTTTCTGTTTAGTCTGTGTCTCAGAGCATGTCCTCCCACTTGACTTTTCATTAGTTTGACCTGTCGCAACACAGACAACCCCAAGAGATGGTCTCACAAATGCTCAACAGCACAGAGGTGTGAAAATAATAATTTCTTATGACACCTGGAATTTTTTTTTTGCACCTGTAAAAATGGTGACATTGATAAGCCATTGAATTTAATTACCACTCTTATAGACTCATTGAATTCTTCCTTACTGGGTAGATGATTAGTTTTTGTGCATATCTTCATGCCATATGTGAATGACTATTTCTATGCAGCATTGTTCCATGGTGACTTCTTGGTTGGACTATTGAAGGACCCCCAAATATGGTCTCAGGTTCTACTGTCAGTGTGCTGAGGTGCTCTGGGCAAGACACTTTACCCCAAACTGCCCTTTATGACTGTGCCTGCAGTGTGTTAATGGTAGGCCTGGGCGATTTGGCAAAAAAAATGATCATGATATATTTTGTCATATCGTCCAATCTCGATTATTATCATGATTTTTTTTAAGCTGTCAGTTTTAAAGCATCTGTACGAAAAACTAAAGAAACTAGAGATTAGTTCAACATTTTATTAACATACAAAGTAAATAAAGCATATTGAATAAGATAAACTTAGAAAAGTATTAAAAACATTTTAACTCAAAAATACAACAAATGTAGATAAATACTAAAAAATTCAGTGAACTAGTTTACAGTCCTGAGTGTTTTTGCAGGTATGCAAGACCCAAAATAAACAAATCGCCCCTCAGGGATAATGATGACACCTTGAAATGTAAACATTAGATGATTTGAATGTAGATGATATGATTGATTGCTTTGGTCTGGTAGCTGCACCGCTAGTTGTAGCTAAACTGCTAATGCTGCTTTTGCCGTCAGCAGTGACAGGCTGTGCAGACTCTGCCCACATTTTCATGTTTACCTCATAAAAACTTTGGAAGAACTTCTTCAAATAATTAAACAGATCTGTTGTGTTGCCGATTTTTGAGGCACTAACCGTCGACATACCTTACACATCGGCTTAATTGCCCGACGTCACTTTGGAGATACTCGAACCACCGCCACACAACCAAAGTTGAATAACTTCTCAACAATAAGATCTTCGGAGGATGACTCAAAGTCATGGCTGTCAAAGTCATCTACTTCGCTCCGCATTCAGCTCCATGTTAGGCCATTCTGTTTACTTCTCCTGTTTACTTCTCGAGCAGGAAAAGCTCGACTCTGATTGGCTGTTGTGACACGTATTTCCGTTATGTTTGATCGAGTAAGTATGCTCACAGCTCATCACTGTGATCGAACTGAAATTTATCACGATCATATAATCGCCCAGTCCTAGTTAATAGTTAAAGTTAGTATTATTAGTGATTACATTAATCCTCTGCTATCAATGTCTAGGGAAAGGGCTATGTGATATCAGTCTATATACCATTGTTAATATTTTGACGTGGTCTTCATAATGACTTTTGGTGATGGTGTCTAGAAATATAAAGGTGTGATTTTTGGACATGAAGACCAATTCTAAGTTGCTCCTCTATACCAGAAATATGCCCTTTACATTCTCGTTGAGAGAACAAACTTGTCGGAGTCTACATCTATTCCATGGGTGATTCATTGAATGAACAATGGGACCCAAGGCACCACCTGAACATATAGAGATTTTATTCTAAAGATTGTCAGGGTTTGTCCTGGATAGTAAAATAAAAAATATCACAAATTAGAATTTAAAGATGTGGAAAACCCTACATCTTCTTTTACATGTCAAAGTTTCTTCTTTTTTTTGAGAGAGAGAGCTAAATTGACTAAAGATAACATGTTTCTTTTCATCATTCTATTGCGTTGTAAATACTTTGTGTACTTCAAAGACTGAAGGACAAATACAACTTGCACATGCTCTTTGTTAGACAGCAGTAACAAAAGCCGTACTTAAAAGACTGCAGTGTCTGGCTTAATCTTATTGGCAATTTTATCTCTCCAGTCTTTGCAAATCTAAAAGCCACAGAGACTCACATGAAAACCATTACAGTTTCCAACATAGATCATGACAAGCATGACTTGAGGACAGCTGTTGTCTGTCTCTTTGTGGTGAAATATCTGTTATGAGCGTTGAATGGAAAATTTATTGTGTCTACATGTAAACATGTTAGCCAGCAGATGATGTGAGTGTGAGTGAAGCTTAACCTGTTTCTGTATTTGTGGTGCTGCTTGAGTATTTTTAGGTATGTGAATGAAGCTGTGGTGAGGATTTGGGGTGGTGGATTATTTTAGGTGTCCGTCAGAAGCTTTGAAGACAACAAAGAGTGCAAACACAAATGTAGTATTGGTGAAAATCATAACCCTATCAGTTATCAACTCAATATAAAAAAGTGTCTGAAGTGCAGCATCCTTTGTCAAATAGTTATCTACCTTACAAATTGTAAGCCCATCCCTCGCGTGTAAACTGCCGCTGCAAAGCCAACCAGAGCACAGACCTGTTCTTGTCAGCCAATGAGGGAGTCTGTAGGTGTTGGACATTCAAAGGTTAAAAGATTATGTCCGTCTTCACTTGTACAAACAAATTGCTGACGGAAGTTGTGTGTTGATACCATGATGACTGTGTGCGTTGGCACGTGTCACACAGTGGATAACTGCTTCAACTGGAGTTTAAAGAAAAGTAGATTATCAGTTAGACTGGTGTGTAGGTACACATGGTGATATGAGTAAGACATAGGGATACACCCTTACCTGGAACAAAGGTCATAAACAGTACAGTTGGATAGTTGGATTATATAAGTCTTTGGATTTTCAGTCTCTCTCTCTCACACCACACACACACACACAGAACCTGTCCTCAGCCAGTGTAGTTTTTAACGTTGATGTCATAGTTTAAATCTGTTTGTTTTGAACATATTGATATAACACACAGTTGTACAAACTTGTTAGCATTGACCTTTGTTTTTAGCGAACGCTCTCGTTGAATTCATTGAAGGCGACTGTTTCAGCTTGGATAAAACCAACCCAAAAATATTTTTCAAAAAAGTTAGAATCTGCCCAACACAAGTATATTCAACAACATGATGTTCTGGACAGTCATGGGAAATATACATTAGGTAAAAGACTTGGTAGTGTGGAGTATTGTTCAACAAGCTACAGAAAGGTGGAGGGAGGGCAAAGTGCTGCTGTGGCAGTTTTTCATCCTTTCACATTCAAGCTTGAAAGAGTATCAAGCCAAAGTGCAGTACCTTGGTGATTAATAACCCTTACACTGAACTTCCTGGAATGCCCTACCCTGTTCCTAAGTCCTATGCCTCGTTTTGCTGTAGTGCCACTGTAGGCCCGTAAGAACCCTTTCACATCCTACCTCACTTAGAGAGGAATTAGGAGTGAAAGAATAAAGTTTAGGGTCATGACAAGACCCTAACTCGGTTTGTAGGCAAGAGGTCACAGTTGGGTACTCCCACACAAACAGTCTGTTTTAAAGTCCATGTATAGAGAGCCCTAGGTGTCAGGTCTCAAGATACAGGACAAAATGGCACCGGACATGAAGGGAGGCTTAGTGTTGACATGACTGTCTCTGTTTCTACTCTCAACTGTATTTTGATCTCATTGGTCAGTGACAGACTTAAAAAAAAATTGTAACCCTTTTTTCTTTTCTGCTAGAAGGCTGATTTAACCAGAGCTGTTTATTTTAGTGGTTTGTATTATGGTGGGCTCGTGGTTTTGTACTCGAGTAGGGTGGGTTATTTGAAAGACAAACTAAATTAGTGTCATAAATGTCAGCAGAAGTCTGTGCAGTGTAAAGCCACTGACCAAATCTGACAACAGTCAACAGTACATAGCTCTAGATAGGTGTCATATGTAGAGAAGTGGCTTATGACATCCTCCTAACTGTTCCAACGGCTGATATGTTGAGTGACTTTAGCTGTTGTTACCAGGTTACACAAGGTCCTTAAACTGGCTGTAAATTTGAGGAACTTATTTAAATACGACACTCGCTGTTAGGTGACACCTCTTGTAGGTTGATACCAGGACTCTGGACATAATACAGTATCAAAGGAGTAATTGAAAAAAGTTCATACAATGTCTTTGCTGCAATTTCATTTAAATAATAAGTTTAGTATTTCCTGAATTGGAAATCTACACTGTTGTGGACTTGAATGTTCTGGGTTTGCTGTCCCTGTCCACTCCCCCACTATGATCTCCTCATTGTCTGATTTCCTGTTTTACTATGTTCCCTTTCTATTCATCGAGCCACGTCTTCCAAAAAGACAGACTGATGCAGCCAGAAATACTGGTCTGTTACTTCATCCTGCACCTCATTGTTTGGGTAGCTGCACATTAGATGAACAAACCCAATCCTCACCCAGGAGGTGTGATGGGTTTAAATTGTGGGACAAATAGTAGGACATGGAAGTTAGAATCATGAACAGCAATTACACAAGCCAAAACGCAAAATGGTTCTCTGGCTTGTTTATTATGACCCAATTCTCATGCATAGTGTTCTTATGAGCTTGTCATTAGCCTAAGGGGATTTCTAATTTCAAGAAACAAAACTCAAAGTCCATGTCTTGATATTTGTATGTAAAGATTCACTGATCTGAACATGAATCGATCTTTAAATGTAAGATCATTCAAGTGTTCTTGAACCTATCACCCTGGATCTGTAATGTCTCATGAACTGGTTTCAGAGCAGATCCTGTTGTTTGAGGTTTTGCTGTGTTATTTCTGTATACGGTGTCTTTAAACTTGTGAGACTCGGATGTTGACCTGTTACCACGAGAGCATAAGCTTAGGTGGCTGTCAGGTAGTATTAGACAAGGGGATCAATGATGCAATTTTAAGTCTACACCTCGCAAATCAAGATATGTAGATTTAATATTAGGGGTGGAAAACTCTTCAAAAGTCTGTACAGCAGTACACTTTCTAGAAAAACAACCATGAGCATAGACTGCAAGACTGGCCAGTCTTCCCTGATAAGACCCTGTAATGGATTCTGTATTATAATGCTTACATCAATAAGCAGCCCTTAGCATTGAACATCAACCACAATGTAGAGAAATTTAAAGCTATCATAACATCTATATCCTCTTTTATTGCAACCTTACTGAGATGCTTAGAACAGTGGTTCTCAAGTCCAGTCCTCGAGGCCCACTGTCCTGCATGTTTTGGATGTTTCCCTGCTCCAACACACCTGATTCAAATGATTAGCTCGTTATCAAGCCATTCCAGAGCTTGATAACGAGCTGATCATTTGAATCAGGTGTGTTGGAGCAGGGAAACATCCAAAACATACTGGTTTTGAGAACCACTGGCTTAGAATGATGGCTTCGTGGTCAAATCTGTGTTAAGAGATGCCAAGCAGACAACATTAAATCTCGTATGAGAAAAATGATTTTCAAACGCAGAATGTACCTCTGAATGAAGAGCAAGTGGCAGAAACAATCGCCAATAATTAAGAGAAGAGAATAATGGCTTTGTATTTTTTTTTCATCATTTGTTAACAGTATTGCTGTTCTGTCTATCCTGTCATGTGCTGTTTGTTCCTACTTAGATTAATTAATATGCTTTGATTTATATTTCTCAAAACATAAATCTATTAAGTGCTAGGCCATATAAAACCATAGAGCTAGAGATGTCTTAGTGCTAACAAACTTTCATATTTCTCACTGAGCTGCCTGGCATAGTTTTTGCATTTGATAAAGTATAACAATAAACACAGCGATGGCACAGCATAGTTGTTTTTCTTAGCCAGAAACTGTTTGGATGGATTTTAAATTCATGATATAGAAACGCAAACATTATAGCGCAGGTATTGGCCAATGCAAATGAATGTCAGGATGTCATTCATGGGGGTGCTGATGGCCTAGTGGTCTAACCACAGGCCATAGTCCCTGTTGCAGCAGTCGGTGGTTCGATTCCTGGCCACAACTGTTGTTGTGTTTCTCACTCATTTTAACTGAATTAAATGAGCATAAAACATTCAAGAGTGTAAAAATCCACTCAAATCTAACACAAGGGCAAATACAAAATATGTAACAAGTAGCTTGAATCATTATAAAGGGATTTATTCTATGTTAGTGTTGCAATGAGACATTTGTAATCAAAATTTTACTTAATCTGAAATTGATGCACTTTAGAAATATGCCTTTTTTTTAACATCTATTTAGTATTTGAACTCCAAGTGTTTTACTGTATTATTAGTTATAATGTCATTATTGTCATACTCTTATTCCTTCATCAGACCCATTGCTTTAAACTTTTGGTACAACTCGAACCCCAGTAAAGTTTCAAGAACTGTGGGATAACCAGGCAGTAACTGACTAAGTTGGAAAAATGGGGGGGATCAGGATCAAATCATTTCTGAAATTTGGCAGCAGGTTGATGTCTACATGTAGTTTGACAAGCAACTGTACTCTGTACTTTCTTTGCCAAAATGTGCACTCAATGCTACATGCGTCATCATAGTTCAGAAACAGTGTATGGAATTATGTGTATAGAGCTGTACATGGAAAACTACAGGACAGATGGTGTGCCTTATTATGTAGGGGACAGAGCATGACAAACATACAGACAGATCCATGTTATCTGACAGGTCCTTTGTAAACCACCACTGCATTATTATAAAATCTGAGAACTGTTTTTTGAGCCATATCTGACTTGCATAGTCTCATGCCATTTCCTCGTCAATACATTATTGTCACAAATGTAAAATATAAATGCATTCTCCCTGGCTGAATAATTAGACTATATTTTCATTTATACTCCACTGTAATGAATAAACATGCTAGGATGTCATAAAAAGGAAATTTGCACAATATATGTTCACCTCCAGTTCACAAGAAAGAAAACACCGCTATGCTTATGATTTGATATGCTAATGATCCAGTTTCAGTTCATGCTTTGTTCCTGCATATCTTGAAAACAAAGGTTGTAAGCAGCTTTGATGTCACCGAGAACCAAAACTCAGAAGTTATCAGCTTACAACCCCCTCTCAGTTTGATTAAAATCAAGATTCCCATACGAGAACAGAAACACTATACTTCTTTATTGCATGGACATTGCTGTCTCACAGTATGTTCCACCACTGCCATGAGCCATCTAATTAAGATTATATTGTTTTCATTTTTTTTTAGCATGTTACGGTAAAAAAAAATGAGCAGGAAAAAATAAAAACAACAAAACAATAATATAGATAGACATAGTGAATAAAAGACACAATAGATGTTACTATTGTACGGCAAAAGTAAACAAGTGCGTCTTAAGCAGTGTCTTTAAGTGGAGAGGCTATATGCAGTCTGCACAGTCAAAGGTAATGCGTTCCACAGAGTAGGAGCTGCAACTGCGAACGTTCGATCATCCCTTGATTTTTAAAAAGGATCCAGGAAGGTCTAAGACCACCTGATTAGCTGACCTAAGGGCTCAGGTGGGCTAATGTGACTTAAAAAATTCAAACAGCTTTTACCAGCCCATTCAGAGACTTAAAAAAACAAACTGAAGAGTCTTAAAATCAATCCCGTACCTTGTACAGTAAAGCTTGGTCTTTAATGGTAAATACACCTACACATCATCAGCAAAGCAGTGAAAAGCAACACCATGCTCCCTTAAAATTGACCCCACAAGTAGCATATAAAAGGAAAACAGTAGAGGGCCCCGAATTGACCCTTGGGGAATCCCACATGTCAGAAGGGCAACTATGGAGGAAAAGTGGCCCATGTGCACAGAGAATGATTTTCCAGAGAGGTTTGATTTGAACCAGCACAAAACAGCGCCTTTGATGCCTAAACAGTGTTCAAGGCGTGATAGGAAGATTGTGTGATTGTGTCAAATGAGGTTATCAGGTTAAGAAGAATTAAAAAGACAAAGTTCCAGTGCTGTGAAGAGACTTAAATCCAGACAGAAACAATTCACAAACATTGGCCTTTTTGTAAAAAATCTTGGAGTTGGTTAAAAACGACTTTCTTTAAAACCTTTGAAAAAAAGGGGAGTTTGGAATTTGGCCTGAAATAAAACAAAACCAAGGGATCCAATTTTTTTGTTTTTCAAGAAAGGCTGCACTGTGGCATGTTTGAAGGAGGATGGAACATATCCAGAGCTGAGACACTGATTTATAAGAAGAAAAATAAAAGACTGAACTGAGTTGAAAACCTCTTTAAACAAACGGGAAGCGATGCTGTCGGATGGACAGTTAGCAGGACTTAAGTGTTCCACTGTTTCAGCGAGTGTAGAGAGAGAAACAAGCTGAGCTTGCTGTAGGAACAGAGGGGTCCGGGGCAGACTGAGGGGGCGAGGACCTAACAGCAGAAATCTTATTGATAAAGAACTGTAGAAAATCCTCACACAGAGAAGATGAAAGATCAATACAGACCGCATCACAAGGATTCACAAGAGGGTCAAAATACATTAAAAAGAACATGCTTTTTCAGTATGAATTGAGTACTCACATAGTGGATTTACTTCCCTCAACACCAATACAGCCACAGTTGTTGGTTTAAAAAAAGGAGTATAATGGGAGATTAGTGTCAGTGTTTACAATTCAAGTACATTTGGGCATAGCAGTCACGTTAGCTAGCGCTCTCTTCTCTCCAAGTTTGATGTCTGCAGCTAATAGTACTGCTAGTATTTGCATCTCAAATAAAACCAATCTACCTGCTTGAAATGATATTTCAAAAAATAACTAAGTTGTTTTGAGTCCAAAAATAAAAAAGGAGCAGGTTGTAGCTTTTGCTCGTCAACGTAGTGACTGCAACTCCTATAAATCCCTGCTACAGCATAGCTTTGCTAAAGGTTACTTAAATCAACGCACATTTTTTGTCAGACAAACTCTTCAAAGTAGAAGTCTGTGATAATTTTGAGTAACTACAATGTACTGACTTAAATTCATCTTGGAGTGAATGTATCTCCACTCAAGTGTTTTACATGGTGATATAAGACAGTTACCACAAAAGCCAAAAAGAGTGTAGCGTAAATTTAAAGTCGTATCGCCAGCTCCTGAGAGACGTTCCCCTTGACTGATTCATTTTGTGAGAAACTGCTATCATATATGCACACACACAGATACGCACACACACGCACGCACAGACACACGTGAACCAATTGCTGTCACGCCCAGGAAACCATAAATTATGCCTCTCTCCTTACCGGACCAGTCACTAGGCAGATGAACAGAAAGACAAAGCTAGCCAGGGCCCTAGCAACAGAGAACCTCTCTCTCTCTCTCTCTGTTTCTCCGTCTCTCTCTTTCTCTCTCTCTCTCTTACACACACACATTGGATCATTCACTCCATCATATTCACATTTGTTCTTAGTGGTGCTCACACGTTCTAGGAGTCGCTCCCCCCCTTCTCTCACACACACACATAGCAACGTATCATTAGCTGTTGATTAAACTGAGATCAGACGATGATTTGAGTCACGTTTTTCATCTTCACCAGAATTACCTTTTAAACAAGCATTAGAGGACAAGCAGGTGCTACCAAGGTGCCTCAGAAAACAATGCAGTGACGTTCAGTGCTTTGTGTATGAGTGTTTGTGTTGGGTTGTCTACGATAGCTGGGTAAAACAGGCCATTCCAGTTGAACAGAGTGGAAGGTGTGGCTGCTAACTGTAGATCTGCAATTTGAAGAGCTTGACGTCATTTACTTGGATAAGTGTGAATTTCTCTCCAACCTCTTGAAGGTAATTCAGACTTTCTGTTGAGTCATCTGATGTCAGTCTTTTGTCAGCACTCTGACAATCAGACATGTTTGGTATCGAGGAATGGTTTGAGGACCACTTTAACAAACTGAGGACTCATTTTTCTAGATCATGAAAAATTCACAATTACCTTAAGCACAAACTCTGTCAAACAAAACAACCAATAAAACAAATTCCACCAACCCTGTTGTGTGGCCATTAATAAATGATTCTGATTCTGAGAACTGCTTTTTATAATCTAACTACTACTACTTATTTACAGAAAGACATACATTACTTAGAAAGTACCTTTTTACCTCCATGCCTGTCACTGAAGCAAAGCTAGTTAGATTCTGGTTGTAGGGCTGTCCTGATACGATATTTATGTCGGATATCGGTCCGATATATCGAATATATATAACAAATATCGGCTTATATCGACCTGCATCTAAAATCTCCGATATCAGCACTCCGATACAAGCAGTCCATTCCAGACTCCACTCCGGCAACTATAGCTAGCAGCGCCCAGATCCGGCATGCAGAGCCCACGTAATCACAACAACTGTGTGTACGTACTAAGGTACAAACAAAGTAACAAGGAGTAGGAGTGATGTCGGCGGTGTGGCAGTATTTTTCACTAAAGCCCGAAAAAGACATTGCAGCTGAGTGCAAAACTTGTCATGCATGAGTTTGTGCCAATATGGGATCAATATCGGTATCGGCCAATACTGAAGGCTACACTATTGGGATCGAACCGGAAGTAAAAAAGTTGTATCAGGACTAGGGCCTGACCAATATGGATTTTTTGGGGCCGATATTGATTATTAGGAAGTGAAAAAATCTGATTACCGAATAACCAGACGATTTTTTAGACTTTTTATGAAGTTTTAAAATTTTGTTAATTTAAGTAATATATCAACATATTTACTTATTTTTTTAACAAATGGCTGCTTTTGAGCCTTTTAAACACTTCTCAGTAACATTAACCTCAGTAATATTCCACATATTCATCATGAATGAAACTGGGACCAGAAGAGCGTTTTAAACTTAGTGGATGTTAGTGGATGAAGATTGTCATGAGGTCGCTGCACCATCTGCAGGATAACTCGGGGTTCTTTTTAAATGGCGGAACATTTTCAAAGTAAAACCGAATCTTATTCTCCGCATTTTATTTCTGGAAATATTTGCGACAATCTGCGAGTTTTGGATGATTACCGATTAGTGTCAAACAGGCTAAAATTGGCTGATTTAATTGGCTTGCCGATAAATTGGTCGGGGCCGAATCAGGACACCCCCCATCTTGTAGTACCGTATCTGTCTTTCGGGTGATTTTTAGTCTTAGACCTGAATCCCATTTCCTACAACTGCTCTTTAGGGTTAACTGTATCTTTAAGTAGGAGTTCTCTGAGTTCTGCTGAGTCTCACTTATTCAGAGTTCCATTTATTAAATTGGGTTTGTTGGGGTGTATGTCAATCAGTAATAAATTAGCCCCTGCCACTTGCCAAATGCTTGAATGCCAAATTAAAACATAAAAGTGGATTATAGACAAAATATTTTTGTGCTTCAGAGAGGTTGATGATCGTTTTTTATTTTTTTTGGGCACATTTGCCTTTAATAGAAAGGACTAAAGAGAGACAGGAAATGTGGGGAAAAAGAAGTTGTGGCTGGAAATCCAAGGAAGCTTTGAGTTCGGTTTATGATTCTCTGATGTTCACCATTGATTACAAGACAACAGGTCAGCCAAGGACGAAGATACAGATGATGGTCAGTTCTCCTTTTGCTCAAACAAGAGCATAATGAAAGTGATTTCACATGTTTACTGTAGATTCAGGACAACAAGGAAGCATTGACTGCATGAGGTCATGTGACTGGTATTGCACATCCTACAATGTGCAATGGGATGTTCAAACAGAATATCACAGCCCTACTATAGATGTGAAGTTTTGTTTCATAATATGTTGTTGCTAGTTTTTAATAGTGATATAGGTGATATGAGGTAATTGTAAAAAGATGTGTGTATATATACATGAAAACTAGTGTATTATCAGTACCTGACTTCCAAGTAGTTTTATACATGCACACTCAGCAGTGTTTCAAATCAGCAAAACTAAAACAGACCTCCATACGATGGTGGCCCACATGCTTGGCTCAAGTTCACTCATAGCAAGTTGCATAGCAGCAGAACGAGGGCATGCAGGGAAGCGCTGTGCTCTTTGTCCAAACAGTGACAGCAGCAGAGCAAACAGGAGCTCTGAATTGATTTGATTCACACACACACACTCACTCACACACTCACACACACACGCACATAGATAAACTTCAGCATACCTAGGGCGCTAGGGTATTCTAGTTCAAGAGGACACACATGCAGACTTGTATTCACAGCAAACCAAGACCCAGCATTTCCCCTTCTTTCTTAAGTAAGGGGCTGTTAACAAATATACCCACCCCCCTGTGTGTGTTTAAGGGTGTGTGAACATTGTACACTTTAGTGCTATTAAACAATTCCTCTTGTCCTGCACCACTGTAGAGCTGGAGCATTCATTGACATTTCGACTCATAATCTGATTAGTTTTGTGACTGCAGCTTTTGGTTGTAGTTTAATTAATTTGGCACTACCTTTTAATGCCAAAATAGGTTAGGCTTTCAGCATTAAATGTTTAAAAATTCTGCTGCTGTGACCCCTCTCCAGTAGGTTTTTTTGATTGAGCACTTAACATCAAAATCAAGTGTGAGTCACATTTGTGTACTTCTGCTGTGCTGGAAACTAAAATTAGACCTGAAAGAATAGAAAAAAATGTCCCTTTTGTATATCTCCAATGAATATGTATCTGGACATTATTAAACAGAGCAATAGATAAAAAGTGGATGTATCAGCACTAAATCCACTTTAACTCTAACTATAGATCACTCTACAGTTTTTCCCTCCCTTCAGGTTAAGAGTCTGGGTGTTATCCTCAACAGCACACTGACTGCAGCGTCAGTCCGTGTTAAAAATCAAAATAAGGATTTTGATTGAGGGTCAGCATTTTATTGTTTTATCGTTTCATATTGTTTTAATAATGATTCTATGATGCAGAGATGTCAGATAAGTCCTTGACAACCAAAACTTTTTAACAAGCCCCAAAAATTTTAAATGGTTTTATAATGTCTTTTATGATCTTTTATCCAAGTCTTTATAATAGTATTTTTTACAAGTATTACAACAGATACAGACTTATTATAGCACTATTATTGTTCAGTGAGATAAGTTTCAGGCTGAATGACATTTTTCTTTTAAAAAAATGGACTTCCTGTCATTGTTATGTAGCTAATAAAAGGCTCCATGAATGTCGGGATGTAGAAAATGTGGATGAAATGATGGATTTTGAGAATGACTGTAAAATGATAAATAATAATAATATGGAATTTTTTCAGTGGGTTTTTTAGTCCACCAGTGTACGAGTTTTCCCACAGCCTCCCGTGCTTTATGAGTAGATAAAAACTCAACCACGAGTCTTTACCATTTCGGCTGCAGCAGCCTTTGTCAACCTACCTGTGTGACCTGTTTTCACCGTGGGTGGGTCTCTCCTACATGGACAGCTATGGCGAAGACACAATCTGAGACGCCAAAATCATAAAAGAAAATTAAGAAATGCAGAGCAAAACCCCCGAGTAAAGAGTAGCACAATATCTGACAGACTTCTGTTAGTTAGAGGAGGAACTTTTCTCTGTTTGGTCAGTCTACAATTGATTTGACCAAAAGAAGACATGTGATAAACACTTACAATCAAAAACTCAGATCGTTTATTATATAAAGCCTTTTTCCCGGTGAATTCTAGAAATCTAATTTATCAATAAAAGTCTGCAAAATCCAAATTTGGGGAAAAAAATCAAACAGATTTAACTGATGTAACTGATTTTATGGAGCCTTATTTGCAGTTTGTTATTTTTGTTTCCCTCGTCTGCACACATATGTTATTTAAAACTGTACACACCCTCCTGTTTAACTGGCTTTCCTTAATGGCTTAAAAGAAGCGAACCGCCAAACAGGTGTAGTAACATTTTACAAAGGCATTTGGCAGCTTTCTAACTGGGTCCTTTTTTAATTCCCTTCTCATTAGAGCAGTTGTTTCACATGAGTACTCCATAAGTTTTTTTTTTCTGTAGTTCCTTGTTATGAGCTGACATGTTCCAAGTAGTAGCTGTAGCTCAAGAAGACATAATTGGTATGTATTTCTTCGAGCTGCCGTGTAGCAACAATAGTCGTGTGATAAACGCTGAGGTTATTTCTGATCTATGTAGGATTTTTAAGCTCTTCATTATAGATTTGGCACACATTGTGCTTCTGTGTAAGGACAATAGCTGTTGCCTCTCCTTGTTTTCTGGAAGCCCTTCATCACATTAAAGAGGAATATTAATAGAAACATAAGCATATGAATTGTAGGGTATTAAAAAGGGAAGTGATAGGAAGGGGACAGGGATTGAACAAGAGAAGAAAAAAAAAACAATGATGAAAGAGATAACAGCAAGGATGTACAGGGCAGTTTCAGCAAGTGACAAATCTCCATGGAAACACAGCCATAACTGCCTAGAGTTGGGAAGTGTGTGTGTGTGTTTGTATGTGTGTATGTTTCTGTGCATTCCTGTGTGTCTCTGTGTCCACCCACCCGCAAATTTCAGAAAATACAGAATCTTTAAATGTGTTTGTGATATGGATCAGATTAACAATCTGTTAGGAAAAATATCTTCTTTAGGTGTTATGCTGCGTTCCAGTTACCTCGGATGTTGGAGCTAGGAATGACGCTACACCCAAGTTGACAGCATTTCAGTTAACAAGTCGGAAAACCAAGATGGACGCCTACAGTTAGCCGTTGTTAGCTGTACCAGTTGTAAACGATGGATAACCCAGTATTTTACTCTTACAAACACCATAGCATCGTGTTCACAGTTAGACGTTTGGCAGTACAACATAAACCACTTATTAAATTTCACAAAAACTAAACAGAAGTGCTAATAAATAAAACATTACGAGAGCTTTCACTGTTACTCTTCACTGTTGATGCACTGCGCTGCCATCTTGGATTATGACGTTGTCGTCAAGTCGGGGTTGGTGAGGATCGTCCGACTTTACATGTCGGAGATCCGATTTCAGGGGGGAGTTCCAGATGAATTTCCGACTGGGAGCTTGCTTTGCTTTGTTGTACCAATTTCCTGTAAGGTACTCTAAGATACGAATGAAAGTAGACTAAGGTTGTGTTTCACGCAGAATCAAACATTAGCAAGTGTTGTTTGTTTAGTTTAAAATCCATCACAAATTTAGCATTAGCTGCTTTCATACATTGTGTAAGTATTTGACTTTTATACACGGCATCTTTGTAACAGCACCATACCTGGCCAAATACTCAGTCATGTTGCTAGATTTTTTTGTCCTACATCTCTGACACATTCAAATAGGAGTGTTCCGATTAGCTTTTTTACCTCCAATATGACACCGAAATTGTAGCTCTCAATATTGATCGACACCCCTGATGACACATTGGGACACCCCTACATTGAAATCCAAACTTGTATTTCACTCATCACAGGGCCTTTGCTTGTCTTTCCCAGTCAGAATCATGCACCTCAGGATCTGGACTTTAATATTAACAACATTTTTCTGCCTTCAAGCTGCACATGTATATAAGTATTGCAGAAATAACAGTCCGGTAACAGAACAGTATAGTAGTAGTCCTCTGCAAACCTTGCGTTTGACCTCAATTTTCTTGATTTTTTTAGGAGTTTCAGTCGACAAAGTCTTAGCAGTTCTTAGTTTATAGTAGTTGTCAATCTGACTACAACCAAACCCAACCATAAATGCTTTCTTTTGTGTTTTGACAGTGAGCTAACTTTACACATTTTTACACTGACCCCATATTATGCAGAGTGATTGCTCACACTCTCTCTCCCCTGCACGCTCACACACATCTGGGCAGGTGAGTCATGAATGGGAGGAAGAAACTGTCAGTGTTAGTTGATAAGATCAGCAAAGCATCTTGTGATGTAAACTAAACAGGTCAAGCACAGGTGCACAGCAGAGATGCATTTTCTTGATACCCCAGTTTGAGGAAATACCACTGCCTGTTAAACAACACTTTCTCAGCTACTGTGTGACTGTGCTGAGCTAACCCACCTCAAGGGTGACTTTCTAAACTGTACTGTGTTCAGTTCTATCCAGTCATGTTTGAGTGGCTTCCTCTAAGAACTTGGATAAGTAAAGGTCAGTGATAATGAAGCTTTAGTCAAAACTAAACCAGTACTGCTGCAGATTTAATGAGTGCACCATCTGTGATTTGGTCATGTGCACATGTTTGTCTTTTCAGTGTGGCGGTAAATTTCTCTCAGCAATTACAGCAATATAAATCTTATAGCAATTATATAAGCAATTTAAAAAAATCCATGACGCATTGGTACTTCTTCATGATTTGAATCTTCAAGTCTATTTTCTGCTTTCAGAAATTCAATCAATAACCTTCACTTTCACTGTCTTACAAAGCTGCCTAGAGGAACCCATGGTTGTTGATGGTTTGCACAAGCTTTGTGGAGTCTGAATATTAAAGAAACTCTGAATTTGGCACCAGCTGGTCTATCCTAATAACATTTGTTGACACACGCTCCAGGCCTAACAAGGTCTGAGCTTGTAAAAGAATCTGATACCTAGAAACTCTCAGGGTGGACAAATTTCTTCAAATGCAAAAATGATGTTTTTTTTATTTTTCTATTGTTTGATTTGTAAACGTGACTTTTATAATATATAAATATGCTGTTTTTAATGCAACTTTTGCATACAGCAGTATATCTGTACCTGGGCATTGTTGTCAAGAGTTTTCATGGCTTGACACAGAGTAATAAATTGGTGCCAAATTTACTTCTGCTTACAACTCAGATTTGTCTTTTTAGTGCACTCAAGTTTTGCACTCTCTTGTTAAATGTCACCACTATATTACTGAGGTGTTGAGAAAATCATAATTGCTCACATTCAGCAATGTTTTGTTCAATTTACTCTCACCGCTTCGCCCAAGAGGGGTCCCTCTTTTTGGTTCTTAAGTCATTTGTTAAGATTCAACACTTAACTGCGCTATAGCCTTTTCAGACATGGATAAAGTTCCTGAAATTGCTCAGGTGAGCTGCTTGTGTAGACGCAAATAGCAAATTTTTTCATCCTGGCAATCACCTGCTATATTTCCTGTAGTATCCTTTTTGGGGTAAAGTCCAGGGGAGCTAATGTGAGAACACAGCGGCACATCCTCCAGATAATTCCCTGCTATTGACAGCAGGGTGAGTTAGGGCAGGTGATATTGATGTTTATTACGTGGCTGGTGTTCTATCTAGTTTTGTAGCTTGAGTAGAAGTTGCTGCTTTAGCGGGATTCTGTAACAGAGGCAGTTTGCGCTGTGTTTCAGGTCATAAACAGCGATAACTTTACTGTAAGGATAAGGCAGTATGTTTTGGTCCACTAGTACCCCCTAAAAATGCTCCTAGTGCAGACTCACTTTGTATTGTACCGCTGCTCTTTCCCTTTGAATTGTCTGAGTAGAAGGAGCCTGCTTTGATATTCTTTTCCATAATTAGTCATTTTGCTTTCTACAAAAGCTTACCATGATAGGCAGTTGTTTCGTATCAAATAATATTCTCTCCTTTCGGTTTGTCCTGTCTGGCTTATGTGACATTTTACTGCCTGACTGTTCTTGTGGTTTATCAGAGGTATAAACTGGTGGGCTGTGAAGGAAAGACGACAAAGTAAATGAAAACTTACGGAAAAGTAAAGTCAAAGGATCAGTGGTTTTAATCTCGGAAAGGATTGTAAAACATTACACCCTGATCTTCGCAGCATCCATTTGATGTCAGGTTCAGTCTCCTGAGATCCACTGTACGTGCCCCCTACCCTCACCCTGTAATTGACAGGGGAGACCTCATGTTGTGAGGGTGCATTGACTGACAGTGAAGCAGGTACAGGTCAGGGCTCCTGAAATCTCTGAGTGCATGCCTGAAAACAGCTTACGTCAGCCTTTGTGGATGTCCCATTACATTTCTTTTAGTGTCCACTAAATTAGTCATTGTTTGCCAATCTGCGCCTGTTTACAGCTGAGCTGCATGTTAATATTCACGATTCAAAAACAGCATGAGAGTGTAATGTGAGAGCTAAACGACGTCACTTATTGTCTTCCAACATATCTATAACTATAGATGGAGAGAGGGGGCTGATATGTTTTTTCCTGGCGTGGTTAGTGGGGGGTTGCTTGGCCTGCAGCTGCCGAAAAATGAAGGAAGTATCAGAAGACAAAAATAGTCAGACATGAAAGGGGATAGGAGAGAAGGAGGGAGCCAAGAGCTGAGGAGTGCAGAAGAAGGGAAAGAACGAAGAACTCCAAAATTTAGTCTCTGTCCACTGGCGGTCACGTAAATACAGGTACACCCAGGTTGTGTGGTATACAAACATGTGTTGCTGGTTAAGTTTTACCAGCCCTCTATAAAACAGGAGAAATGTCAGAGATCTACTTTCTCATCTTGACAGTTTTCATATTTAAACTGGTACATAAAAGACTTTGAAAGAAAAGGCAAAGGGAAAAATTTAAATGAATATATCTATGGCAATCTCAGAGATAGGACTGGATAAAATTAAGTAAATTATATGTTGGCCTACATCTAAAACCTCTGGTATCAGCACTCCGATACATTGCAGTCCATGGCAGTATTTTTGTTGAAGTCCGAAAAAGACGTTGCAACCGAGTGCAAAACTTGTCATGCACAAGTTCGTGCCAATAGCGGATCAATATCGATATCGGCCAATACTGAAGGCTACAATATTGGTATCGTATTGGAAGTAAAAAAGTTGTATAGGGACATCCCTACTTTGCACTCAAGGATACCCGCACAAAACAAAAAATGTCCTAACCTGTCCTCAGAGTTAAAAGTAATTACCTGTTGCTTTTACTTCCACTTCCTCAGCTTGCGGTAGGGCTCAATTTGGCCACTTAGCTAAATGCAGGTCTGAACTGTCAACATGAGGATGTGGTAGCAAGGGTTAGTTATGATGCAGTGAAACAAACACAATGAAGTAGTTCTAGTAATCCCTTTTTCAGATTGCCCTAAAACGGTCATGTGGGAGGAAAAGATTGATAAAAATGTGGCTTGTGGGTTAATTTTTTTGACATGAACGGAGCCTCTGATTTGTTGAAGCTATTGAGAGATACTGAAATGTCAGAGGGAGGGATGAGCGTTGATTTTTGCAGTACATCCTTACACCACACCAGCAGAGGGAATTTCACTGGACTGTTTGTGTGTGTGATTTATGCTGCTGCATACACCCGTGTGCATGTCTTTGTAGCCCTCACCAGTGTATATTCTTGTATCAGTGCATGGCTGTTTGTGTTGCAGCCTGTGTGTGTGTGTGCGCTCGTGTGTGTGAGTGTGTGTGTGTGTGTGTGTGTTTGCGTCTCGTCGCCCTGGAGCCAGTCGTCCTCTCCTCTGACCCTGATCCCTGTCACCTGTCCACTTGGATCACACGCTCTCACACACACTCACACAATTGCTGTGACCCTTTCCTGGAGTTGAAACCCAATCGTTGCCAATCATGCAAACCTGCCAGCACAGTAATGTTTTGTTTTCGAGTTGTAGGTGTGTATGACTTGAAAGACCTACTATCTAGGTTACGATGAAGTGCAGCAATGATACTATGAATAACTATACAGATGAGGTATTACTGCATTAATACACCATTTAAAGCAGCTCATTTACACTTGTGCACACTTCTCTCTTTTTTGTTGTGAGTAATTGGTCACTTTTTAAAAACACACCTACTTCCTCTTGCTCTCCTCCTTCTGCCCGATAGTTCATAACGCTGTTGCACATGTTGTAAATACTGCAGTTCATGTTTGACTGAGGCGGCTACTCACACCTGACATAGCCCAGGTTCGATTCCACCCTGTGGCCCCTTTCCTTTAATAGCATTCCCCCTATTTCCTGCTCTATCCACTGTCCTTAATTTGTAAATGAAGGCCAAAAGAGCCCCAAATGTCTGGTTAAAACTGCGGCCAAACCGTTACGATGTATTTGATCATTCTTGTAACGCAAGTATGGTTCTTCCAGTTCCCTTGGAAGTCGAATGTCGGAACTGGGAATAACTTTACCCCTGAGTTAAAGGCATTCCAGTAAACAAGTCGGAAAACCAAGATGGACGCCTACTGTTAGCCATTGTTAGCTGTTGTTAACGCTTGTCAGCTGTCTTTAGCCATTGTCAGCTGTTGTTAGCTGTTGTCAGCGGTTGTTTGTTGTTGTTAGCTATACTAGTTGTAAACAACGCATAACACGGTACTTTACTCGTACAAACACCACAGCACCGTGTTCGGAGTTAGACATTGGGCAGTACAACCAGTGCTGTTTTCGTTGAAGATGACGTTGACGAAATATTTTCATCGTCAACGAAAACAGCATTGCAGAATTTATGTTTAGCATTTGACTGACGAAAAGGCTCATTTTTGCAAATTTTGCAACTCTGTTCGTCGTCCACCACGAACGTTTTTGTCTAGTCTTGTCTCATCAACGTAAACGCACATGCTCACCAGTTTGCTTCATGAACTCAGTATTGGATTGAAGTTGATATTCAAAAACCAGGATTGTCTCTCTTTACTGGTTAGCATCAGTTGTTCCAAAAGCCACAAAAATGCGTCTTTCTAGCCGCATCAAGAACTCTCAACTCTGACTATGAGACATTTGAAACCGTAAATACTGGGAGGAAAAATATTTTGAAGTGACTTAAAACTTTTGGGGATTTAATCTTAAAGTTTCTCAGGACAGAACTTGTAAGAAGATTGTTTTTGTGCGGCTTCTTAAGTTTTTCCAATTCTACATTTAGTGTCTAAAAAAGCCAGAGTCATGGTGATCAATGTTGGTAATCTGTTCCAGGTCATGTATTCTAGTCTTACCACTAGCTCATACTAGATAAACCAGTATGATCTGAAACTGTGTACTGAATACAGCAGACTCTGACACGTCTTGATTGAAAAGTGTCTTTATATCAAGCTGTTATGTATTTCTCATTTGATCTTGTGCATTTAAGCAGTTTGGGCATACATTTAGTCATATGGAAGAGTTCACTGTAAAGATGTGTCTTGAAGACTTACAGACTATTCAGTTTTTGATGTAATTGTTTCATTGTATCTAAGTTCTTGGATGGTAGAAATGGGTCAGTCAGTCACTCTTCATCTAAAACGAAAGGAAAATTAAAAGCTCTTATGTTCTGTGTGTTTTTCTCAGGGTCAGGTTTACTGTCAATCTCTATTACCATTCGCCTACAATACCCAGCCCTCCTATAGTTACCTATTTCCTCCTCTCTTCTCAGGAGTCCAAGTCATCGCGCTCCAGCATGCCGCGATGTCGGAACTCTGTTGCTACAACCACGTCAGATGACCAACCACACATTGGTAACTATCGCTTGCTAAAAACCATTGGCAAAGGCAACTTTGCCAAGGTCAAACTGGCGCGGCACGTCCTTACTGGAAAAGAGGTAAGCATGCATGCACACATATCAGATTGGTCTCAAAGCTTTTAGTCTGTCTTCCTGGTTCATTTTACAGGGTCAGTCTTAAGCCTTGTCCTAAAAGCTGACTGTTAAAACTGATAGAAATATAAAATACTTGACCATTTTGTTCACTAATTATCAGGCTTTGGATGCTTTGTTTGATGATTTCTGTGATATTTCTTCTACCATTTCTGTTATATGACCCAGAATATGTTACCAAATTTTAAATTGTGTGTTTGCTTGTCTGTTACTTTGTTGGAACGTGCTGCTGTTTTGTTCAGGACTGGTTTGAGAGGGGACTCTATACTAGGGCTGGGCGACATGTCCTCAAATCATTATCACATTATATTGAGCCAGTGGTTCTCAAGTCCAGTCCTCGAGGCCCACTGTCCTGCATGTTTTGGATGTTTCCCTGCTCCAACACACCTGATTCAAATGATCAGCTCGTTATCAAGCTCTGGAATGGCTTCATAACGAGCTGATCATTTGAATCAGGTGTGAGGACTGGACTCGAGAACCACTGTATTGAGCAGATCACCTTGATAACGATAAATGGAGGAGAACTACTCCACAAGCTGCTCACCCCCTCCCAAATTAACTTCGTCTACTTCAGCCGCCACTTCAGTCGCCACAACTTTTGAACTGTCCTCCATCTCCTCACCTGTCTTTCCCTCTTTATTTATTATTTATTTATTATTTTGACACCGAATATACTGACATGGTCAAAATGATGTCAATTATTATTGTAAATTTCTGTATCTGTAAATTTTCAGTTTATCGCCCAGCCCTACTCTATACCTACTTTTTTCTGATACTGCTCTAATAGCTCAAATTTCTTGCGGTGGTTCATTAAAACATAATTATTTCAGCATTCGTTTTCAGCTGTTGTCTCTTCATGGTCAGAAATAATTAGACAGGACTCTTAAGGTGTTTCAGTTCATCAAGATGGCAGAAACTAGAACTGATGTTGTTGTTAATGTGGGGCTAACGTCTTTGGATTAATCCTGGTTGATGAGAAGAGGGGAGGGTTCACGCTGAGACACACAGTAGGTCTGGTCTGATCCCGGGCTTCCATGGCTTTGGAGATGGTACATCTGCTGCAGGAGATTAGAATCACCGTTGTCAGCTTGAACGGAGAGCCTAAATGGCCCCGGCTTACTGCGAATTCCAGATGTGACGTAACGCGGTGGTCTGGCCCTTCGAGGCAAAAAGCTGCATTTGCAGGGAGCTCATGCTGAGCTCTGTCTGAGGGACCAGTCAAGTCAACTCTCGGTCTGTGTATGAGAGAGAGAGAGAGAGAGCCGGAGAGAGGGGTGGGCGGGTTCTGTCAATGTGTGACAGCTCTGTGCCTGACACCCTGATAACACTCCATGTGACTCGCTTGCACACACACACAGACACTCACACACACACATACAGCACACACAGAAAACAAGGGAGAGTCAGAGGGCATGAAAGAGTCAGTCAGACAAGCACAACCAGAAAGAGGAGTGGAAGAAAAGAGTTAGTTGACAGTGGAAGAAATAGAGGGTAGAGAAATGTAGTCCTTCCTTTCCCTTTCCACGTGAACAGTTCATTCTTTGTTTCCCTTGTCTCTCTCTCTATGTAAATCAATTTTTTCTTTATTTGTCACTTGAATTCCCTCAGACTGTCTGATTTTTTTTTTTTTTGTCTTATTTTTCTGTCTCTTTCTGTTTCTGTTTTTGTGCCCCTCTGATTCTCCTTTGCCTGGTGTCCACTGTCAGATCTTGAACCTTAGACCTCATTATGCAAAGGGAACAGTTCCAGGTTTTAAGTTTGTCTATGCCCTTGTATTTATAGTACCCTGTTATGCAACTGTCTCGTGCTGCAGTTATGTGTTTTTATCACTTGATGCAGAGAGATTTGGTCGCTCACTTTGAGTGTGTGACGTCTTAAAAAAAAGGCAGTCCAGTGTGTGCATTCAAGTCTTTGTTGAAACTGGACTTGTTCCTCTTCTCTTCCAAAAGGCTTCTTCAGTTCTATCATGACTGAGACCAAAGTTGGACATTTATAGCCTCACCTGACAGTTGTAAGCAGGGTCCTTGACCTGGTTTCACCTGGGGAGGTGCCCTCACAGGTTTCTTTAGGTTTGCCATGATGGGGGGGTGCTGCAGGAGTCTGTGATCCAGCACGATGCGTTGTTTCGATTGCTGTCAAAAAGAATCCAAAGCTGAATTGTCAGTGAGGAAAAGAAGGGCCGTAGTCCACCGCTTCTGTTTAAGGATAGTTTCTCCAGTTTGACAAAGATGGCCTCCTTGACACCTCCTTCAAACCAGCAGTCCTCCCTGACCAGAATCTCAATACTTTATCGATACTGGCCAGAACCTACCTGAATGAGACAGCAGTGTGTGTTTGTGTGTTTGTGTGTTTGTGTGTGCGTGTGTGTTCTGAGGTGAGGTCACAGCCTGTGTGTGCAAATTGCATCAAAACCTCTGCAGGAAGTGAGTTTCAGGAAAAGATGTGTGATATATAAAAATAGACAAATAAGATCACCATGTTAATGTTTTGATTTCAGGTGGCTGTAAAGATCATTGATAAGACACAGCTCAATTCCTCCAGTTTGCAGAAGGTGAGTATCGTGCTCTTTCTCTCTGTCTCTATGATTCTCATTTCTTTCTTTTTTTCTTTTTCTTTTTTTTTTCTTTCTTTCTGTCTGTCCCTTTTCTTTCTTTCTTTCTGTCCGTCTATTTTTCTTTTTTTCTGTCTCTTTTTCTGTCCTGTTTCTTTCTATTTTTCTATTTTTCTCTTTTTCTTTCTTTTCCTTTCTTTCTTTTTCTTTCTTTCTTTCTTTTTTCCTTCTTTCTGTCCTTTTTCTTTCCTTTTTTCTTTCTTTTTCTTTCTGTCTATTTCCTTTCTTTTTTCTTTCTGTCTTTCTGTCTATTTTTCTTTCTTTTTTCCTTTTTCTTTTTTCTTCTTTCTTCTTTTTCTTTCTTTCTTTCTTTTTTCTCTCTGTCTGTTTTTCTTTCTTTTTACTTTTTTCTTTCTTTCTATTTTTCTTCTTTTTTTCCTTTTTCTTTCTTTCTCTGTCTGTCTATCTCTCTCCCTCTCCTTTCTTTCTCTCTCTGCCTCTTTTTCTTATATCACATCACGTTATTCTCTTCCTCTCAGTATTTCTCCATCTATCTCACTTTTTCTCTCTTCCTCTCTCTCTCTCTTCCTCTCTCTCCCTCTCTCTCTCTCTCTCTCTCTCTCTCTCTGTCTTGCTGTCTTTCTGAAGTGGTCTAGTTTTCAGAGAGAGTTTTAATTACAGGAAACAAGCTGCAATTACTTCTTTTGATCGTGGCAGGGTGGGGTCTGTCCACTCACACGCACTCTCTTACCATGTATTCTTGCTCACATGACACAAATGCTTCAAACTGCAGACATCACACATAAAATAGACACTGTTAAGGCACTCATAATTGCCAATTCATGTACACAAGGATGTAAAAGGTCTCAAACTGTGTACTCTGACCAAAACTGACAATTTGACAGTCTCCTTTTTTATTGATCATCTTTGGTGTCATTTTATATTTAATCCGAAGCGTGTTTAGACCTCATTAAATTTAGGCCCTCTTAATGAAGTATGTCTTCTAAATTATTGGCCTTGAAAAATGTTTAGTTCCAGCAAGACAATTGTGACCACATCTACCAATTTCTCACATCGGACATCACTCCTCAACACATTCACCACAGAGACGAGCTGAATTTGGTTGAGCTGATATGAGCGTAGTAAAATCTGCACATTATATGCTCTACTGTTTATATCAGAGTGAACAAGCAGCAAAAAACAATGTCTGTCCACATTTCCAGACCGTGAGATTTACCAGGCACTCATTTGCTCGAGTCCTTGCCAGTATGTCACCACCCTCCATGTTTTTTAGTTTTTCAACCAGTAATTCAACCCCGATTTTTTACAGCGGTAGGCTATTTGTATTTTTAGTGTTACTGATGTCATACTGACAACAACCTAAATCCTGTCTTGCAGCTCTTCCGGGAGGTGAGAATCATGAAGATGTTGAACCACCCCAACATTGGTGAGTCACACAGGAACGTGAAATTGGACCCTTTCTTCACTGACTGCGAACCAGAATAATCTGTATCTTCTGGTCATGTTTTAAAGCTGCTCCGTAACTTTCTTTTTTTTTCTCAGTGGTTTTGCTTTCTCTCCAACTCCTTTTTGCCCCTCAACTCTCCATTTTTTTCATACCCCTCAAATATACTCACTATCTTTTCCTCTCTTCCTTTACCTCCAGTCAAGCTTTTTGAGGTGATAGAGACAGAGAAGACTTTGTACCTGGTAATGGAGTATGCGAGTGGAGGTAAGTGCGTCTCACAGTGACATCTTCCCCCCCCGAGGCTTGGTGCTCACAAATCAGAGTCAGAAAGTCCTCAAATAAAAAAGCTTTCTTCTGTTTTTTAGGTGGTTTTTTTTATTTTTCATTTTCTTTCCATTTTCTTTTTAAGTCTCTCTGAAAATTTAAACATAAAGAGATGCAAACAGAACATGTTACCCGCCAAACAACGGCAAACTCTCCCCTTCCTTTTGCTGTCACCAGAGTAGTCAGACAAATTTCACTTGATTACAATATTCTGAGGTGTAGGGCATGAAAAATATCAGCCAGATCCTGTTCGCTTTGGGTTAGCTGTTTTTCAAAGTTAAGCTTTGGATATCTGAAAAGTATTTTAATCTTCTAACTACATTTTGTTTTTGTTTTTTTGTCGGTCTCTTCAGCGAATACCTCAGCTTTGAAGAAACAGTGTCAGGTCCCAACTCTGAATCTGTCCTCCTCCTCTTTTTCTGTTCTTCCAGGAGAGGTCTTTGACTACTTGGTGGCCCATGGAAGGATGAAGGAGAAAGAAGCCCGTGCCAAATTCAGACAGGTGTGTTTGTGCGTGCGTGTGTGTTGGATAAAAGATGCCAAACAAATAGTAAGAGTTTATGTTCTCTGTGCAGTAGGCATGTGCCGATATGAAAAATCACAGTATTGGTGGCCCAAAATATCACGATTCACGATATTATCACGATATCAGCGCATTGCTTTTAACGTTATTAATGATGCTGGATGGTGTTCGCGGAGGTGGGCACGTAGGTTTGAAGTGTTAGAAAACGGCGCTGCAACTTCCTTGCGGCATAACCTGCGGATTGGTGTCAGGTTTACCTGCTCCGTCTGTTTCGTGAAGCCGTAAAACGTCCATACTGCCGACGAAACCTTTTTAATAGGAGGAGGTGTTTCGTCATTCTCAGTCTGACTGTTCTGCTGCATCGTTACGTTGGTTGGAAATTGGAACGTGTGCATCAACTTTTTTTTTTCTTCTTCAAACTTTTTCCGGTTCACAGAGTGGACATGCTCCAACGGTGCTTTGGGTGGCCGCAATGCATTGTGGGTGGCTACGCATTTTGTTGTAAAATTTCTTCATTTCTCTTTTAATGTTCCCGGTTTTGTTAGGCTGGCATTAATGTACTTAATTCAAGAGTTTGTTTTGAAATTGGGACGACTGTTGTGGTGGTTTGTTTGTACATTTTGCTACAGAGGCTTTGACACCGTGGGTAAGACTACAAGTGGGTTAGGGGGGTAAGTACTCGGCTTTGCTTGCCTTGCTGAATGACGCTGCCACTCGTCCTCAAATTATAATTGTGGGACGATTATTACAGTACCCTACGATTTCATCATCGCGGCTGTTTCATATCGCACATAGCGATTAAATCGTGTATTGGCACATCCCTACTGTGCAGTCTTTTTTTGTTTTTTGGTCTGTTGTACGACGACAAACAGTTTGGGAGCAGAAGCAGCTGTTTTGAGGAATAGGCTTGCTAATTTTTTGATTTTAGCCTATAAAACAAAGGCAGAAATTTTCAGGCTGTATGTCAAAATTTACTGGCATACATCACTCAAATTAAATCTTACTTGAAAAAAACTCATTGACATTGTTTTCATTGTTATCAGTGATTTATAAAAGGTCACTTAAATGTGAACCACAGTTCATTTTTCCCTCTGAAATCCAGTCAAAGAGATTACAGCGTCTTGAATAATCATTTCAATCCACACCTCTTGTTTTCTGCTCTCTGTCTTTCTTGTCGCTCTCCTTTTTCTCTCGCACCTGCTCTGTCACTCTCCAGATTGTGTCAGCGGTGCAGTATTGCCATCAGAAGTGTATAGTACACAGAGACCTCAAGGTGAGAATACACAAGCAAGCGCACATTCTCTGTCCCTCTGCCTACCCACTACTTCCTGTCTCTATCCATATTAATCTACGCAGGATTTGACTTTTTCAGATGAAATCCCACAGTCAGCAGCAGGGGATCCCGAGGTTAATCACCAAGTCATATCCCACTTGAAGCACAAGGGCTTAAACACACATATATTGTACACTGTTACTGTCTTTTACTATGGTGCTGACTGCGTCCCTTACTCTTCCTAGTCTCTTTTTTCTTGATTAACACGAGATGTTTTCTGAATCCCGACACAGGATACTCACACACGGGTCAAATGGTTGGAGGTCACTTTAGTTCACAGTATTGTACAGAGTTGTAAATCCTCTTTTTGTGCCAGCAGGCAGATCTGTTGATAAGACATTATCATGATTACCATAAAGGCTTGTTTCATTATTAGTTTGGGCTTTTTGTCTAACATTTAGATGCTCGAACTAAGGTTAAAAAAAAAAAAGAAAAACATTTTCCATAATGCAACATTTTACGATGTTCAGCATTTACAAAAATGGCTGCATAATAAACGGGACGTTCTTTGGCACAGACAGTTCTCATTAGATAATGTGCACCATCCTGGACATTATCCAAATCACTCTGGACTATAACATCAAATCCAGCACACCTTAACACACAGCAGAAGTACATTTTGATTATCATGCAGTTTTAAAGCAGGCTCAGGCTGAAAACCCAATATAACCTCACGGCCTACATTCGGTTCTAATTCGGCTCTGAAAAGGTTAATTTTCAGTTTGTATTCGATTCGAGTAAGATATAAGAGGCTGGAGTTCATTATTTCTTAGATCAGAGCTTCAAGATGAAGTCACTGTTTTAACTAATGTGCACACACCGTTTCCTGCCACCTCTAACACACACACACACAGAAGTGGTAGAGTATTCAGTACAAGTGAAAAGGAGAGTGCACCTGTTGCTAGGCAACCCCAGCCTCCTCACACACTGGCTCACTTGCAGCTCGAGGTACAAACACACACAGAAATAAACTGTGCGGCTCACTTTGTCCATTGTGTGCTACTTGTAGGCCCCAAGCCATTCCCCCGAAAACCCCCTTTTCTCCCCCAGAAGGGTTTTTGTTGCGGAGAATGGATTGTCAGACAACTTCATTGAATTTTATCATCTTATAACTTTATTTTATGTCCTTTTTTTTTTTTAATTTGTTGCACTGATACCAACAGTGTATCAGTTCAACTGTGTTTGCAAATATATACAGCAGGCTGTAAATGCCATGTAGCACAGATCTTTACATGAGTAGAGGAAGTAGAAAAGAGAAGCATGATATGTAAAAAAAACAAACGAACAAAAAAAGCAGTATATGTCATTGGTCTCATTTCTGTTTGTTTGTTTTTTGACACAATCAGTAAGTGAGAAAAAAATCAGCATATTTATATTTTCCTTTTCCTTTCTTCTTTATCTTCTCGCTCTCTTTTGTAATAATTATTGTTTCCTTTTATCTCTCCACCACGTTTTGTCTCTGCAGGCAGAAAACCTCCTGCTAGATGCGGACATGAACATCAAGATCGCAGACTTTGGCTTCAGTAATGAGTTCACTCTAGGTAACAAGCTGGACACGTTCTGCGGCTCCCCTCCCTACGCTGCCCCGGAGCTCTTCCAGGGCAAGAAGTACGACGGGCCCGAGGTAGATGTGTGGAGCCTGGGAGTGATCCTTTACACACTGGTCAGCGGCTCACTGCCTTTTGATGGACAGAACCTCAAGGTAAAGATCAGAGAAAGTGTGTTTGTGTGTGTGCGTTTGAGTGTGTGCTCCATTGTATGTTTATTATGTAAGCAGGCTCATGTATTTCGTGGGTGGCTGTTGTATTTGTCATGGTAGATTCTGTTCTTTCTGCCCAACAAAACACACAAACTCAACTCGAGGGATTAAATGTGTTAAAGTTAACACTTGAACCTAAATAAGGTGGTGTGATGCATCAAGCAGACACTTTATTACAGAAGCATATTGCATTTATACAAAAAAAACAGCTTTGATTTTTTAGAGAATTTTTTTCTTTTCTGTTTTTCTGGTTAATTTTTTTTCTCTGTTTTTCAAAATATTTTCCTCCTGTTTTCAGACTAATTTTTCTGTTTTTCTGACTAATTTTTTTCCTTTACAATTTTTTTTGTGAATATTTTTCCCCCTGTTTTCAAACCAATTTTTCTGACTTTTTTTTTGTTGTTTTATTTTTCAGACTAATTGTTTTTTTCTGTTCTCTGGGATCATGTTTATTTAAAAACAGATGCTTTCATCCCCCTCTGCTCCATTTATTGGAAGCAAACCTGGCCCACTTGTTTAATTTAAGTTTTACTTTCTTTTGGGTTTGAGACACTGGGAGATACTCCTTTCTTCAGGAGAAGAAATATAGATGGAATCATCATAAGTTTGTTAACTTTGCACAGGCACCCTAGGATTTGCATACTCTATGTTTAACTAATAACACACGTTGCTCTCATTGAACATGTAGTTGAAGTTATTAAAGAGCTGGAAAATCTGCTGATTTGGAGCAGCCGCGGTGGTTAACGTTATCTGATTGCGTGAGATTCTCGCTGGGATTTTGAAGTATCTTGTTTAGTCAGGAGAAAAATAGTCCAAAAAAACAGAATAAAAATTTGAGGGGGAAAGAGAAAGAGGGGAAAAAACATTAGTTCAATAAAACAGAAGAAAAAAATAGGCTAAAAAATTTTAAAAAATGAATAAAAAAAAAAAAATTGTCTGAAAAACAGAGAGAGGGGGACAAAAATGTTAGTACAAAAAAAACAGAACAAAAGAAATAGTCAGGAAAAAAGCAAAAAACTGTTTCCTTCTTTTTTATTTATTTATTTATTTTTTATTTGTAAGTGAATGCTTCTGTATTATACCTTACTATGTTGTTTTCTGGAAATCTTTCTTTGATGTTTAGTCACAAACAATTGTCTTTCCGACCTGACAAACTGTGCATCTAGTCAGGACCCACATGACTCATTCTGACACATTTTTTAGTGAGCATATTTGAAATTCAATGCTAGGGTATCGATATTGAGATTTACAAACCTGCAAACTGCCAAGTAGGCTAATCCTCCATGCCTTTGCAGCACAGTTAGGCTTGTGAACGGTGAAAATGAGTGAGTTGAACCAACACATCATTCGTGGTTTTAATCACCAACTTTGTCCTTTTTGCAGGAACTGAGAGAACGCGTGCTGCGTGGTAAATACAGGATTCCCTTCTACATGTCCACAGACTGTGAGAACCTGCTCAAAAAATTCCTCATCCTGAACCCCTCCAAAAGAGGCAGCCTCGAGGTCAGTTACACTTCATTCACACTTCAGTGCTCACGAATTTGACTTTCAAACTGAACCACAGTTTAAACGGTTTTATCGACTCGATCAAAGATGTAGGATAACATTTCAGAGAAGACTAGATCAGTGCTTGTCCACTGCCTTACATAATGGTAACTGCTTTTTTGCACTTGCTTAACTGGCTGTATTTGAATGTGTGGCTAAAGTGTGAATTGCTTTTTAAAGACACAGTCAAGACTTGTTAGTTGAGGACTTAGGAGTTACTAAATGAGGTATATTACACGAGTGTTTGTTGATTTGAAGCTCAAGTTTTGACTGGAGGGAAAGTGGAAAAAAAGTTCAGAGTTGGTTGCCTTTTGAGGGGAACAGATTCTCATTAATGTTTTTGATTAAAAAAAACATTCTCTAGTTCAAACTTTGGCTCTGCTGCTCGATCTGCTTAATTTCCTGTCAGCTCTGTAACAATACAGACTAAAGACTTGAGGTCTGGGGTGAGAATTAGGTTCAATTATTTCTACCTCGCAGTTCCTGTCTGCTCTACTGAGCAGTTGTTGGATAGGTGTGGTTCAGTTTTCTTTGTGTCTCTGTTGTCAGTCAGTCTTTAATCTGCTACCTGCTGTTTAATAAGTATGTTGACTTTATTCTGAAGATGTATTTGTACATTGAGAGAAAATAAACCAGGCTTCTCCCACTAAAACTCATAAAACCGACAAATCCTCAAGATTATTTTACATATTTAACATATTCGGATTAATCAATGATGTTTGATAGACTTATCTATCCTTCTCTATTGTGAATTCCTTCTTGAATTCCCTCTCTTGAATTTTATTTTTCCATGGTTTGCCTCTTCCGTTGTGTTTGACATCTCTCATGGTTTGCTCCCAGCAGCAGATAATGAGGGACCGTTGGATGAATGTAGGCTATGAAGAGGAGGAACTCAAACCCTACATCGAACCCCAACCAGATTATAAGGACCCTAGGAGAACAGGTAGATAACAGAACCGTACTTACAAATAAAGAAGTATATGACATATCAGGGCTCGACAGTGTGACCATTTCACTTGCATTTGCGACGAAAATAGATGTGTGCAAATTTTAAAATGTACTTTAATGGCAACAAATGCTTTTTAATGTAAATACTGCAGTGAAGTTAGTTTTAGGTTGGATATTTGACGGACATTCACTGCCAGTGTCTTCTCACTCTCCATAACTGGGAATAGCAACAACAGCGCAGTTAGATCTACCTCGTCAATGTCAGGTGTTGAATAAGGGACCATCAATAAATTACCGGTTGATGTTCTCAAAAAAGGCTGTTTTCAATTGACCTAAAATTGATTTTGGATAATAGCACTGAGGTCAAAAGATAAGACACACCTCTTTATTTGCCAAATTTGTCCTCTTAAAATTTTTGGGTCATTGTGCCCTTAAAGTTCTTTGTGTGCTCCTTACTTTTTCAACTTAGGAGCACATGTTTTCCTTGTGAAAAAAAGTTAGTGTCAAGCCCTGCATATATCTATTCCACTGTTTGGTAGGTGATATGTGTGTTGTTACTGCAATACTGGAAACTCTTTATTTGTGTGGCTGCAGACATCATGTTGCAAATGGGATTCTCTCTGGAGGAGATTCAAGATTCGCTTGTGAACCAGAAGTACAACGATGTGATGGCTGCTTATCTGCTACTGGACTATAGGAACTCTGAGGTACACTGTTTGTTTCTTACGCCTACACGCCTTCACGCCGTGGCATACCAGTTGTTATTATTAGTTTTTCAGAGTCTTCTCACGTGGAGCCTCACCAATGTTAACTTAACAGGTTACGTTTAAAAAATCTGTACCTTGTGTGAAGTGAATGTTTTGCTCTACATGCATTTCCTCTTATCTCTTAATTTGATCATATTAATTTCACACTCTTGAGTATTCTCATAACACCACCATGAACAAAACTCTATATGTACCCCTTTTGTATTTGTTGTACTTATGACTTCTTTTTTTCTTTCCCCTCTCAGCTGGATGAAGGCGGCATCAAACCTCGGCCAGGAAGTGATGTAAGCAACATAAATGCCCCCTCCCCGCCTCACAAGGTACAATAAGAACACATAATCTCTCCTGCTAATTCGTCCACACACTGAGGTCTTCCGGCCCGTGAAAGAAGTACTCTGACTTCACCAAAACTAGAAAATTCTGCTTTTCTTTTTAGTGTGTCATTAGAAACAGATGTAATTTGGCTTTTTGCTGGTCTGTGTCATTATGTTTATAGATAAATGCTTCACTGACCTATGTGTCCATATTTATTTAAGGTACAGCGCAGTGTGTCATCCAACCAGAAGCCTCAGAACCGCAGAGCCACAGACCAAGGTAAGATTGGTGTGAATTGGAGGAAAAAGTTGTGTTGCACATGTTTTTGAGAAAGAAGCATTGAGATAATCCGTTATCAGGAGCTGAAGAATAAAATTACTAAGCCAGACAGACGGTTATACATTTTTCTTGCTCTTTGAAATTGAGGTTCAGTTAAAAAAATGAATCAATTCAAGAATTCAGAACTTCAAAGACCATAAAGAAGATGGGTATGGACCCACAAGTAGAAAAGTTTGCATAGCAAGTTGTCATTTTTTTGTGATACAAAACCTCTTTTTTCTGTAGGCTCCCATTCTAAGAGGGCGGGTCAGTCAGACAACAGAACTGCAGGGGAGGATTCTGGGAGGAAAGGTTCATCAGGCAGCTCCACTACTAAGGTGCCAGCAAGTCCTCTGGTTTCCTCTGATCGCAAGAAGAGTGCCACGCCTTCCACTGTGAGATCAATCGCTTAAATTGACATTTTTTACACTTCAAATTTAATTAAAAAAAAAAAGCATCAACATATTGTGGAGACCAACCACATCTGACCAATAAACTAACAGAGAGTTAACACTTGAATCTTAATGAACATACAGCTCTCTACATCTGGTAGAACTACAGAACAAAAGCAAGTTAAGAATTACAAAAAAAAAGCTTTATCTATTCTACATTGATGGTTTTATCCCATCCAGTTTTTTAATCTACTTAGTTAACCTCAATCTATCAACTTCTGAGCCTTCATTATAAGTTGGTCAGCAAATGCCTAACATCATCAACATTGTATAAAACCAAATATAAAGTTTATGATTGAATTGTGTTTCTTAATTTCCTCAAATCATTTTGTTATTTGGCTTTTTACAAATCAAACCTGTATTTAGACATTTTACAAGTAAAAAATATATTTTTTTTAGAAATGAAAGAAGAATTTTAGGGGTTTTTTTTTCGGTCTATTAACTGAACGTTGTCAAAGTTTAGGGTTTAGGGTTGTAAATGTGGAATTTCAAGTCTTCCACCTTTATCGTAATAATGGACAAGTAATCTGAGCAAGTAGCAAAATCTCTGAGCAAAAAAAGCAGAGTCATTGCAATGTAAATTTAGAAAAAACTATGTTAAAATGAAATAGCTTATTAATTGTTGAGTTTATTTGACAAGCTGCAGAAACTAAATCTGTTACAGGAAACACTATAAAGCCTCAATTTAGAAAAGATTTGATTACAGTTTAGAAGTCAGCCAATATTACTATTACAATTAGGGTTGGGAATCGAGAATCGAGAATCGATGGGAATCGAGACTAAAACTTCGATTCTTCTGGTATCGTTCAAATATTAAAATTTCGATTCCAAGTTTCGATGCCGGAGTCCGCCGACCGGAAGAAATAGCCGCCGAAAATCAACGAAGAAGAAGCCGCTTAACACCAACGAGGACGGAGCATATGAGACGAAGCCACACAGAAAGTGAAGAGAGACAGAGAGAGAAAGTACATTGCAACCCACAGCAATGCAGCCGCTGTGGGTTACAATGTAATCTCTCTCTGTCTCTCTCCTCTCTCTGTGTGACTTCGTCTCATACGCTCCGTCCTCGTTGGTGTTCGGCAGCTTCTTCTTCGTTGGTCAAAAGTTTGGCTAACTTTAGCAGGAAGAATGAGCTCTTATCTCAATGCAACATTAGCAATACAGTTAAATCATGCAAAGGAGGGTAAACGACAAACATGATTAAACACCTCAGGATTCATGGAGGAGAAATACCCGAGTGCTCGTCTTTGACGCGCTTTGCCGGTGTTATGCCAAAGAATGCACCCCTGCTGTTGAATGCACCCCTGACGGGAGCGCGGTTGAAAGTACACAACAAGGCGAAACAATCCAAGTTTTTCTTACCGTTGAACGGAATCTAAAGCGTGTGCCTTTAATGATTTCATTCAGGCTATTCAGATATGCCGAAAACAATAGCCCTCTGATTCTGAATATTTACTGTCCGGAAAATATAATGTTCTCTACATTAACAGCTTACTGTACAGTTTATATACCCAAGTACACCTCTATGTGTGCGTTTCTGAGACACAGAAAAACAAAACGAAAGTTTGCTGCTCCATTTGACATGTTGTCATGATCTAATACTCGTGTTTTTTTAAATATGAGATCATTGTCTTCCACTTTAAGAAGCTAATCAGTGGAGGGGAGGCATTCTACGGCAGGGGTGCATTCTACAGCACAACACCTGTCTTCCGCTAACCAGTCAGGATCAGATAAGTGAAACAATAAATTACTTCTGTCCTCTGCTAACTTTGAAGCGGTAAACAAATTGCACTGAGTACGGTGGGTCAACTTAAATATCCAACTAACGTTAGCCCTTGTGCTTTTTCATAGACAAACGACCTGATAACAAAAAATGATATTTATATACTGATTGAAAATAGCCCTGTGAGAAATTCATAGTAAAGTTCCTAAAAAGTTAATATGATTTAAAAATTCATGGAGAAGTTCAGAAATTACATCCAAAAAGAAGAGCTCCAGTTAGCGCCCTCATTCAAACCATGCTTTTTTTTTTTATGATATCCTGCCTTTTAAAAGAATCGAAATAAAGAATCGATAGGAATCGAATTCGAAATGAGGAATCGAAATCGGAATCGGAATCGATCAAAATCAAACGATACCCAACCCTAATTACAATACTACTATTACCTATTACTACTTATTCTATTACTACTACTACTACTACTTCTATAACTACTACTTGTATTACTACTTCTATTACTGATAATAATAATTATTATTATTATAATTAAATTAATAATAATTTGTATTATTATTATTACTGTTATTGTTATTTATATATATATACATATATATATATATATATATATATATATATATATATATATATATATATATATATATATATATATATATATATATATATATATATACATATATATATATATATATATATATATATTTATATATAATTATTATTGTTATTATTTGCTGCTAAACCTAAAGAAAGCCCATATTTAACTTGGTTCCTGAATGTAGATTATTCAGAAATGCCTTAAAACCTTTTCATTTTCTTCCTCTCACCCTACAGAATAGCATCCTGTCCACTGGTACAGGTCGTAGTCGGAACTCTCCTCTGACCGAGAGAGCGACATTGGGACAGGGCATCCAGAACGGCAAGGACAGGTACATGCAAATATGTGACTTTATAAAACATAGTGTAAAAAGAGATATTTCAGTCGAGAAGGGCTCTATTCACTCTCATCACCAACAACTCAAGAGGTTGCTGTGGGGCTAGACCTGCTCCTTCACTGACACACACACATAATAAAAACACACACCGTGGTTTGTGAATGAAGCAGTGCCACAGCTGGCTCAGCGACTGAATCCCAGACCTTGGCTGGTACTCAGTCGAGCTGTGCCAGCTGGCTCAGGGAGACCCAAAGCTTTCCCTCAGGGTGGGGTGAGCCCTTCAGGACAAGGAAATCAGGCTCCCTTGGGAATTTAGGCCAAACCTTCAGTAGATTACAGATTACTAGTGATGGTTTGATGGAGGTCTGCCATTTAGAGCAGGGGCACTGGACATGTAATACTGCGTTTGCACAAACACACGTTGGAGTTGACATACAACACAGTCGAGAAGAACTTGTTTATTCTCTAAACATTTTGAACCTCCTTTAGTTTGTTTTTTTCTTTGAAGTAAAATCTCTTTTTTCATTTCTTTGGACTCCCTCCGTTGTGTAATTGTGTCAAACCTGGATTTTCAAACTTAGCAAGTTCCCCTCCCCTTTCACTTTTACTGGAGAAGATATTCAACTTTGTTAACACTTATTCCATCCTTCTCAAAAGTAATTCATTTCTCGCACCGCTCACAAGAAGTTGCTTGATATGAGGCGCTTCTCCCGGGAGTCTAAACCTCTGACGCTGAATGCACTCTACACACGTCCATACATACATCTACATGCACATCATTCATGCTTAACCTGCCATAAGCTTTGTGTGCTTTTTTTTCCCCTATAGACATATAACATAACAAAGTGTGACGCAGTGTTCATTGTCATTACTGCTTTATTACTTATTCATGTATAAATCTCAAATGACCCCCTTGTTCACAGAATTGGGCAGAATAAACGGGCTAAACTGAATCTAGGTTTGAGAAGTTTGCCGATCTTTGCTTCGATCGCCTTCTCCAGAACAAAGCGTTGCACGGGGATCATTTGAGAGTGCATTGTCTTTTTTTGACCGCTGTGGTTCTGTTAGCTCCGTAGGCTTTGCTAACTTTGTAGTTGTCACCTTTTATGTTTTAAAGTAACTTTATTTGACCATCATTAATGCTTTAAAGTTTGGGCTTTATTATTGTTACTCCCATCCCCAACTCCCCAAATTTTCCTCCCCTTTTCTGTCTTTTTCTGACTTCGTTATTCTGTGTTTTTTTTTTGTCTATGTCCGAGCTCTCGTCTTTCTTAAGTCACTTCCATTTCAAGTATCTTTTCTTTCTTTTTGTCTTCATATTAATCTTCCCTCTCTTACTTTTTTCTCCCCTCTCTCTTTCTAAGGAGATTAGTTGGACTTGTGATGGAATATTAACTCTTACAAGCACTATATGGTCCCCATATTTGCTTCATAAGAGGCTTACGCATACACATACAAAGTCAGTGACACACGCACACACTCAGAAGCTTAAACATACACGTTGCACATACTCCAACTCTTGCCACACACTGGGTTGCCCGGTGAATGCAGTTGTTTTTCCGTCACTAGCTGTGCTAATCCCAGTCAGAAAGAAAGAAAGAAAGTGTGTGTTTCTCTGCGTTGTCCGTTTTCTGGTTTTCCTCTGTAAATGTCTTCCTCTCTTTCTCAGTTCTCGTTCCTCTGCCCGCGCTTCAACTCGTTTTCACTCTTTTTCTCGTACCACTCTCCCCTGTCTCTTACTGTGTTTGTTTTTGTGTTTGGATAAAGTCAAGTTAGAGCTGTCAGTGTTGTGACAAGCTTTGTAGCCCATAGCAACCTCGCTGATTAGAAGAGGTAAAGGAATTTACCGGTGCTGTTTTACTCGAGTAATTCCATAAGATACTCTTTGGTTTGAATTCAGTTATGATCGTTTACATGAGAAGGGAAGAAAGGATTAAAAAGATGAAGTAAGGCCGGCGAACAGGCAGAGGAGACTGAGCAAAATTAACTCTCTGACAAAATTGCATGACGGCAAATCCAACTTTAAATCCAAGAAACCTCACTGTAAAAAAAAAAAAAGTTAGTTGATTGTTTTTAAAAAGAAATAGCTTAAAATAGTCAGATTTAGTCCTCATTGATTATGCCGTGATTTGATAATGACTCTTCATTACAGATGAGTCGATGTAGTGTAAGACTAAATGTTTTCATACATGATATTTTATATTTTTGAATATTTGAAGTATTTTCAGCCCACCCAAAGTGATGCCCCAAAAATAGTCTTTGTGTTAAAACTGAAGGTATTTTAATTTGGCGTCACAAGACAGTTAAAAAGAGGCAGATTTACACTTGAAAGGTGATTTATTTCTGGTTTTCCTTGATAGTTTGAACAGTTTATTATCAAAGTCAATGTTATTTCATTTTTTTCTTTAAAATAGGTGAAGTAATTCCTTCGGGTGCCATGTTTAGTCGCTAAGTTATCTATCTTTTTGTTGAAAATACAATCCACCAAACGAGCATGGGCATTTCTTGGACATCTGTATCAACAATGAAACTCTTAAAAAAGATATGTAATAAAACCAAGCAATAAGGTTACAAAAACCTTTAAAAGATTCAAGTAAAAAGGGGAAAAATGCTTTCTTATTGCACTTGGATTTGCTATGAAGTTGTGGTTGCTGCTCCTCAAACTATGTTGATATTGTAATGGTTCAATTTTAGGGTTCGATTTTATTTGTTATTCATTATTGAGTCTTATTGCAGCAGCACATTTCTTGAGTGCATCTTGAGTCTCTCTTACGAAAAGAAAACTGTTTTTAAAAGTTGGTCTTTTAAAAGCGTAACAACAAAGATGGCCTCTGTGATTTTTTTATCGTTAAACCACGATGAAAATATGTTGGTAGTGAAAAAAGGTCGATGTTACTTCTGTGTGTCTGTGTCCTTTTCCTCTGTGTCTTCTTCTTTCTCTTTGTCTGCACAGTAGCTCCTCTGTTCTGTCCTTTCTGTCTCTGTGCTCTCTGTTCTTCTTCTCCCCTCCTCCTTCTCTTCCCCACCCCACCCCCCTGACTGTGTTTGAAAAGTGCTGCTTCTAACCATGCTCCACCTCACCTCCCCACCTACACACAAACCCCGCCCAATGTGTGATTGTGTATGTGTCGTGTTTGAATGTACGTTCAATTGTGACTGTTTGGTGTTTGCCCTGTGTCGGACTTGTATTATTGGTGTGTGTGTGCGTTTGTGTGTGTGTTCACTGGGCGGGGTACTCCTCCTGTTCCACCCCCCCTCTCCCAGCCTAAACACTCCGGGCTCCCGCGCCTCCACTGCATCAGCCGCTGCCGTCCTCTCCTCATCTTCTTCCTCGCGCTCCCGTCACCACAAGTCCCTGTCCTCCTCCAATCATCCATGCCCCTCTGACCTCCATGCACCGCGGCCCAGGCAAGTCTCTCACTCAGACTCTATCTCTCACTCACACACACGCACACACACACACTCCCTACTGCTCCCTCGGCCTCTTTCAGCACAAAGCGCTTTGTTCAGCACAGGTCATCATCTTTTCTGCGAGAACTCAATCACCATAAAGGAAAAAGGAGGAGAACTGAAGATGAAGTTGTGGTAAAAAAAAGTCTTGAGATTGAAGGGACGGGAAAAACTTGTCTCTGTTTTGAACCCTTTGGTGATATTTTATCCACATATTGACCCATCCTGCCACACAAGTGTGTCTTTGAAGTTTCTGTTTCTTATCTGTTCTCAAAATCTAAAATAACCTCAAACAGCGCTTACTGCGAGATGAAAACAATGGACTGCACTGACAAAGCAACAAATACTTAAGTTTGTCCATATATTCAGTATATCAGGGCGAAGGACGAAAGCTTAGATCATAAGCTGTAAGACCTGTAAGACTCATGTACATATTTGTTTTAACTCTTAGTTTCTTTTTCCTTTAATTTCTTTTTTTTAATCCGTATTCATGCTGCTGTAATTTTGGAATTTCCCCCTGTGGGACTAATAAAGGAATATCTTATCTTATCTTATCACTTACCAGTGGAGATCCCAGGGTTTAGTTCTCTGTGTTAGTGGCAGTCAGCATGAACAGCTCAAGTTACATAATCACTTTAAATGCACTACAATTAAAACATAGTTAGAAATATACCAAAAGTTACTCCAAAAACATCCAAACACCATGAAAACTCTGATTTCCTCATCAAAAGTCATACTACATGACATGAATTTGGTTGAATCAGTCTTTTCACCTGCAGATGTGTTGTTTTTCCATTCCTCCAAGAATCGCCTTTATTTGCTCTTCTAAAGATCTACCTGTGCATATTTACCTGTATAACATCATCATAGTAAGAAGATCAGCATTTCCAAGGCTAGCTATTACAGACTCTCCAGTTCCTTAGCAACAGCCAGGAAGTAGATAGTCAAAACAGCTTCAGAAAGCAATAAAAATCTAAACTTAGTGCAGAGATGCTGGCATATCTCGTCATTCTCAAACCTCACACTGAACAGAGAGAACTTGAGAACAAGATGAAGAGACTTAAAATGTGGATGTTTCTTGAGAGCGAAAATGCAAAGATCAAGTCAGAGTAGACACATTGATGGATCAGCTGCAGTTGATTTCTACTTCAGGATTCCTACCCAAGTATGGAAAGTATGGAATAAATTTGATCAATTTCCAGGTCTTAAAAAGTATGTAAAAATATTTATGTTTCCAGACTATTACCACTGTAAAAAAAATACTGTTTTCTAAAATAGGAAAGTAGGTATTTCCAAAAATAATTCTAAAAGTAGGGTATGGAAAAGTATGGTAATTCTAACTGTAGAGAAACGCTGCTTCTTGCAAAAAACCACCTCTAACCATAAGAATACAAACAGAGCCGTATGCAGTGAGTTGGCAACTTAGTGGGCATTTAACATGATAAAAATTGTGCACATCAATTGTCAACTTGTACATTTTTTTATTCTATTTTGAGACACCATGTAGAGATGAGTATCTCAGAAGTTGTACTCAGTGTAAATAAACTCTTTAACAGAATAGCACTGTGCCAGTAGGCAATGGGAGTAAAGTGAAAGAAATGAATAAATAAATATACAGGATGATTGTTTGATAAGTTAGGAAAAACATAAGCCCTCTTGGACAACCAATCAAAATGCAGTATTAGTCCTGTTAATGCACTCTGCTCTGTTATATATTTATTTTAATTTCTCCCTTTATTTGTCTTTCTGGCTTGTGATCATCAACAGGATTTTTCCAAATGGTGATTTAGTTCCAGTTCTGTGTATACAAGGATAAAAACTTTAAAAAACCCTATTTTAGTATGAACTCTACTTTAACTTTAAATAATCAGTGAAATAGAGTAATGACTTGACTGTTGTTGTTTCAGCGGGAAACATTTTGAAGATGTGCAATTTTTTTGGCAGGTTAAGTCACCTTAAATGTCTTCCCAACCGTCCTTCAGTGTTGTCGTTTTGCACAGAGACCCTTCCCCTTTTTGTGACAGTCGTCTGGTTGGAAAAAGAACCCCGCAAATGTCAGGCTAAAATTCCAACAGAGAGAAAATGTCAAGGTGGCCCTGTGGCTCTATTTGCTTTTTCTCTGCTCCATGTTGAAGTCTTGTTCTGTTGCATGCGTCGACCGACAGTGAGCTCGGGCTGTTCAGAACCTGGTTGGGAACTCTGGAGAGAAGGTACTGCTTTAAGACGTAGACTGTTGCCTGAGTGAGACCTTATCTCAGAAGACAAGTCCCATCCATTAGTCCTTAGTCACCCTTGTAAAAAGAAAAAAAATAGCAAGTAATGCTGATAAAAATTGACATAACTGTTAAAAACGTTATACAATTAAGAAAATAGAATAAATATTTGAATAAAGTAGAGATGCAGCGCACTCAATGCGAAATAAAATATTGGAAAATATGACTTTTCTGTGAACAGAATGTCGTCATTGACAGCCGCATTCATAAATGTTACCCAAATAGTTCGCCCTCCTAGCCGTTCCTCCCCTGCAGCTGTATTCATAGAAGATCTGTGTGTGCAGTGTGTGGGGTGTTTGTCTTAATGGCGTATTTTGCAGTCCGTGCACAACTTGAACACATTATTATCAAATCAAAAGATGTGTTGAAGCTGTTCATCATAAAAGTACCCTGATTCTATGGAGAGCCTCTTTTTCTTTGTGGATGCTCAACTGTTTTAGAGGTCTGCAAGGGACTGTGTTTTCCCCCGGTCCTTCACTAAAACTCTGTTGATATTCCCTTGTGGTCTACCGGGCACATCATATCACTGCTACCCACTTCTGCAGTGCAACAGAGTTCAATATTGAAAATCTATTATTTAAAAATATAACCCTGTTTGACTCTCATAACAAAAATCAGCCTGACATAAAATATTAAAACAGTGAAATCCGCAAGGTAGCAGGTAGTACCTTAATTACTTGATGGTTAATATTGTGTCCCGTATTAAAGTAATAGACTATAGAATACTATGTTTTTGAGTTGTTCGTTGCAAAAGATAAAATTCACTTACCAACTAAACCTTTGCTTGAATGAGCAGGAATATCAAAGAAGAAAATAGTGAATGCACATTTTACAAATACAGTAACTCTGCTTTCGAGCTTTTGTTGTTCTTGGATGTTGATACTGGCGACTCACGGAATCCTCACCCTCTTTACAAGTCTGACTGCAGCCCTCTACAGTCGATTGTCCGTGTGTATGAACTCCTTTACTCTCTCTGTTTCCAGTTCTACTTTGTATTCGCTCCTCTCTGAGTGTTAGTTCTTTATCAGTTTTGTTTGGTGTGTTTGCAGATCCACTTTTGCCACACTGGTACGCAAGATTGATTGTATTTTGAACTCTGCAAGTGTCTGCGTGAGAGAGTGTGAGTGTGTGTTTCTCACTGATCCGATGCTGACTTGAATATTGAGTCGACTGACATGAGTGGGTTAACCTCAGGGTGAGCAGACATTGAACTGACACTCTGGTCTTCCTTTGAGGTAAAAATCAGATGAGATGGAGGTAACTGTTGTTTGTCTAACTGTATGTTTTCCTCCTCTGTCCCTCTACTTTGAACCCTCTCTCTTTCTCTCTCGATTTCATCCTCACCACCCTTCCTCTCTACTTTTTGAATTCCTGCTTTCTTTTCTCATCAACTTCCCAATCTTTGTCTCGATGAATCTGTCTTAACACCTCCTCCTCCTCTCTTCATCCTCTCTGATCGCACCTCCCATCCTTTAATCATTCTTCAATCTTTTCTCACTTCCTCTGTCTTCCCTGCTATTCTACACCCTCCCCTCTCTGTATCACCTTTCTTTTTCACTCCTTCCCACCCCTCCAACCCTCCTGTATAGTGCCCCGAGTCAGCGGGCACCCGGCGCCTCTCCATCTGCCCACAACATCAGCAGCGCTGCAGTGTCAGACCATCCCAACTTCTCCCGGGGGGTGGGCATCCGCAGCACATTCCATGCAGGCCAGCAGCGGGGTGCCCGGGACCAGCAGGGCTCTGCCTACCCCGGCGGGCCTGCATCCCCATCTCTGTCACATGGCAACAGCCAGGCCAGGAGACCACATGGTGCTACAGGGATTTTCAGCAAGTTCACATCCAAGTTTGTGCGAAGGTGAGTAGTGAGTGAGACAATAACATAGAGGGTAAAACAGTTTGGGTTGATATTCTTAGACGAAGAAAGGATGGGACTGGATATGAGGCAGAAGAATGAAATTGGTAGCTTGGTCAGCGCTCCTCATGTAGTTGAGGTCGTTGCTGTTTTACTTTTTATTTAGCATTTTCCACCGCAAGTCCAGTTTTTAAGGTCTCAGCGCAACACACAAAAAAAAACGAGTTCATGTTACAAGCCATTTCGCATGCTCATTTCCTCACAGGAACAACATACTGTATCTCCCCTGTCATCACTGGTTTCAGAGCATTTCTTTTAAAGGGGCTGGTTTCATCTCTATCACAAAGCCAGTGCTGATCTGCTGCTCTACAGGGAGTAGAAAGGGAGAGGGAGGCAACAGCTGTGTCTTCTCTGTAATTTTGTTCGGAGCAGTAGTGGCGAGGGAGTAATTTTGGTTTTGGTTCCACGTCTAGCCCAGTTTTTATCTTCGTCTTCTAGTGCTGGTTTCAGCTCCAGAGCTGCTCTCATTGGTTAACTGAGTGTAACAGTAGCTGAACTCGAGTCCGACTCTTGTTTGTCAATACTGCGATAAAGCATAAGACTGTAGACTTTGTAACTAAAATAGAAGGAGAGGATGAAACGGCTGGGCCCCAAACAGTTCTGACTACAGCGTCAGCATATTTTAGAAAAAGTAGGCTAGTCTTTCTGCTCTGGCTTTTGTCTCAACTAAAAAGCATTTTAAAGATGTATAAATCTTATTTATATTATTTCATTTATTCAGTCATAACAAGAACATATAAAACTAGGGTTGGGCGATATGGCCTCAAATCAATATCATGACATATTGAGCAGTTCACCTTCATAACAATAGATGAACGATAACTACTCCACAAGCTGCTCACCCCCTCCCAGATTAACTTTGTCTACTTCAGCCGCCCAGTCTCCAACTTTTGAACTGTCCTCCATCTCCTCACCTGTCTTTCCCTCTTTGTTACGTACTGGATGGGGTGGCATCACGTCTCCGATGTAGGACAGTGTCTTAAAGGGACATGAGACCATAACCTACCTACACACATCCAAAACCAACTTTTATTTATATTTTTTGACACTGCAGGGCTCAACAGTGAAATCGTTTCACTCACATTTGCGACTAAAAATAGATGTTTGCAAATTGTAAAATGTATTTAGGGGCACATGTGCGCATAAAAAAATCTGTCAAGGCAACAAATGTTTTTTCATGTAAACACCGCAGTGAAGTTAGTTTTAGGTTGGATATTTGACGGACATTCACTGCGGATATACTGGTGTCTTCTCACTCTCCGTAACTGGGAATAGCAACAGCAGCGCTGTTAAATCTACTCGGCACCCTCGCTGTCAACGTCTGGTGTTGAATAAGGGACCATCAATAAATTACTTGTTGATGTTTTCAGAAAAGGCTGTTTTCCTTCAATAGCTATTGATTTCAAATACTAGTTCTTATGACAACCAATAAGACAAACATTATTTGATCTTTTTTCATTGTGCCCCTAAAGTTCTTTGTGTGCTCCTTACTTTTTCAACACAGGAGCTTATGTGCTCCTTGTGAAAAAAGTTAGTGTCAAGCCCTGCACCAAATATACTGACACGGGTAAAATGACGTCAGTGATTGTTGCAAATTTCAGTATCTGTAAATATTTGGTTTATTGCTCAGCCCTATATCAATCTGTTCTATTCTATATTTGACTAGCACTAAAATGTTGGTTATTAAAGATAGTTGTTAGCACTTTACTGAGGAAAATGGTGAGTTATAATAACCCCCCGAAAAAACACAGACTTCAACTTCACATAAACTTCAAAATTAATCTACAGAAAAGCGAATGAGAGCGAAGAGAGGGAGAACGCCTGTAATTAAAGGGTTAAAAGGTGGTATAAACTGAGCAGTACAAGGTTAATGAGCTCCGAGAGCAGCTAAGGTTGAGATTTATCCAGGTTTTACCCAGAGATGTGATTATGAAGGATTTTTTTCATGTGTAGGTAAAGACAGGGAAAGAGAAGCCCAACTGCAGAGTGTTATTTTTATGATGATGTTATTCAAAAAAGAAAGAAATGGAGAATGATCCTGCATGTGTGGGTGTGTCTGTGTGCATGTGTGTGTGTGTGTGTGTGTGTGTATGTGTGTATTTAAAAGGCGGGGGTACAGGCACAGCCACTCTCTAGGCCTCCCACTCAGAGATACTGTAGCTCCGTGGCGACAGTATCCATGGTTACACCGGAGATATCACTTTTCCCTCAACTATAAATACCGCCAGTGGGGACACCTTGACACACATGCATGCATAGACACTTACACACACACACACACACACACACACACACACACACACACACACACACACTCATAACTTGGCATGCTGGTAGGAAGTCGAGGTGCTGGAGACAGAGATTGTGTTTCATTTGCACGATTCGACAAAATGCATACTCATATAAGCTGAAGCTGTGTGTTTTGATGAAAATATCCTTTAACCCTATCACTGCATTTTCCAGCTTGGTCTTCAGAGAGATGTTTGTCCGTCCTCCAAACATATGTCCGTGTGTTTATCCACGTCCATGTGAGAGTGTGTGCTTGTTTTCCTGCAAAGGAGATTAAGTTTCTTAATGTGTGTCAACGATTAGGTTGTCGCTTAACCTGTGCCTTTTTTGAGTTTTAAACGTGTTTATGTGTGTTTAGGATGTATTTTTCTCTTTGTGTGTCCTTTTTTTTATTATGTTTGAACTCTTTACCCCACAAACACTTCTTTTCAGATCACCCAGGACTGCTCTGTATATGAAGGAGGGCTTCATTCAAGCTGGGGAGGGGGGGGGTCGGGGTTACTGGAATTTCCCATGTAACTCATTAAAAACCTGGAAGGGGGTTGAGTGTGTATGATATTCGTTAACACATTTACACCAGTAACTCCCACCTTTACTCACCCTTTGATGAAAAGTCAGTGACAGTAACACTGGTTTTCTTTTTTTTTTTTAAATGTTTGATATGCTTGTTGCTTCATCCCGTTAGTCTAGTACATGTTGGGCTTTTTTTTTCTGACATTTTGTTTGAAAGTTTGCTTCTCAAAAAGCAGCTTGTCTTATACAGGAAAGTCATGAGTCTATACGTTTTTATACATACGTTTGTTTCTCTTTCTTTCTTTATCCCTCTTTTGTTTTTGTAGAAATCTCTCGTTCAGGTTTCCAAGAAGGTAGGCAACCACCCAGACGTTAAATATAACCCCTTTATATATACGTATATCCTCTTCTTCATATATATTTTATATATATATATATATATATTTCCCCCCTTTTGGTGTTTCGTGAAGCTTTTTGTTAAAATCTTACTTTGTGCCTTGAGCCTTCTCTATTCCTTTATTTCTGTGGTTGGCCCCTTTTTTTGAGCCTCCTGGTTTTGAGTGCCGTTTTATGGCTCATATTGATTTAGTTTTTATATTTCTACTAACCCCCCCTTCACCAAGCCATCCACTCACTGAACTCACCCACTCCATCATCATGTGGCACAATAACACCTCACCCCTCTTTTCCTGTACGTCCCTCCATCGTCCATCCTGCCAGGCTCTTCCTCCAACATCCCCCCATTTCATATCATTTACCCGGTTAAGTCTGTGTGAGCTCATGTCCCCGTGTAGCAGCCTGGATTTAGGTCGAGGCTTGATGGTGTAATAGATCAAACAGTTTCCCTCAAAGTCTTAACCCTTTTCATTTCTTAGCTAAGTTACCTTCTTTGAGTTTGATGGATATCTTCTTCTCCAAAGTCTTAAAAACTAGCAACGTCATGGAACAAAATATGTTGCTAAACAAATATCCTCATTATAGTGATTTATAGGTATTTTGGTCCTGCTGTGTCACATGCCTGCGATAACCATTACCCAAGCTAATGTCACCTACCAAACCTTTTACCCATCATCCATCTCACCCCTCTGCTTTCATAGTTTGAAGTGAATCTGTTGCACACACTCGTCTTATGGTTTTAGTTTCTGGCGTAGGTTATTTGTAGAGATAAGCCCCCGGCTGTGGTCTAAAGTTATAAGATGGAGGTAGAGAGGATGAGAGGACTCAGGAGGGACGGGACTGCAGTGTTTTCTCAGGCTGCACTCTTTTCTGGAGGCTGCACTCTTCTTCTGTCTCACTAGTCTGTTCTCACTCTGGCAATGGCTCTCTAACAGCAGCAGCAACAGAACTGGATGGCTTTGACCTACACTGGCTGAATACCTGAAATATCTTAATCCTGTGAACACACACACCAACACACACAACACTTCATGCACATGTATGTAAATTTATACTGGCATACCTGAACATGAAAAGAAGACGAGAAATACAAATGTAAAACACATCATTAGTTCAACAGTTAAGCGTTCTGTGCTGGACACAGATTTCACTACCACATTTGCGGGTAAGTGCTTTTTTGTCCAGGAGGTAGAGCAAGTTTTTAATCTGGACATTTGCTCCACCTGGTGGTCAAAAGTTGCAACTATATCTTACTATTGAGTGTTTCTAAGAAGACATTGGATGATGCCAAATCCTTACATTTGAAATTTCCTCTGAGAGAATATGTTAATTTTCTAATTATTTGTATAGAAAATGGGGACAATTGTCATTTTTATTGTGAGTATATGAATAGATTGTATTCGAAGTGCACTCTATGTAGTGTGGAGTCAAAGTTTTTAAGAAAGAGACCATTGAGATCCATTTAAGTTGAAGTCATCATCTCAGCTTTTATGTTACAGCACTCCTCCTTTGGGAGCCATTCTGCATCCCTTCATAATCCGCTTAATCACTCAGGGGATGCAAAACTGCAAGAACAGCAGAATCTGACATTTTTTCATCGATGTATCTTTATTTGAAGGAAATTCTTGTCATTTTTTTGCCATTTTCTCACTCTCCCTTTTCCATATGATATATTTTTAACCATTTGTCTATTACAGGAGCTTTTACAATGCAATGTTTAAAATATTTTTATAAATGGGGCAAAACAGGAATGATGCCTCCCCCTTCACGGAATTACTTAAAGATTTTACTTTTTTTTAATGCCTTTCCTGCCATTGTCTGCATGTGTTATGCTATCATACGTCTTTGTTTTTTTTTGTTGTCTGTTCAGTGTTTTGACAGTCTTGTCTTTTGGTATGAGAGAGAAAACGTGTGAGTGTATGTTTACATGTATGTTAGTATGTTATATAGAAGGTAGTTACAGTGCTTCCAGGGAGTGTCTGTGTGAAACCACCTATGTTTAGGTACAATGTTACTAATAGAGGTTCAAATGCAGTGCTGGGATTATTAATGCTCCTAACCTCCTTAAGTGGCACGACTTGCCCTCACCATGCTGACCATTCTGTTCCAAACCATTCCATCCAAGTCCAGACATCCCATTTTTCTTCATTTTCCCATCATGACTTCTTTTTGAATCATTTTGTATCCTGATCAAAGCCACTCTGCTCCAAACTGCATCATTTACACCAGCAGATTTTGTCGAGCCAGCTCTTTTTAAATAGTAAAAATAAAAGCAACTGTATGAATCAAGGATGTTGCAAAGTTTTTGCAAATTCAAGCTAGGATTTACAAATTAAGAAACAGTAATCCAAAAACGAATAAACTGTACGCAAAATCATAATATGTGAAGAAATCCAACTGTCAGGATCAGGTAGTACCATCAAGGTTTTCATACTTAATCTTACTTAAAAAAAAAAAAGACTTTTCATTAAGGTGTACTTCAAGAAAGGTAAAGGTTTTGTTTTTTTTTAAAGAATAAAATAAAAAAAGGAGTTATAGTTTCAACCACGGATATAAGTAGGAAACTACATGTACGCAGTACGCTGTCGCAACCTGCTAAGCTACGCGCCAACATGGCAGCCGTCTTAGTCGGGGAAACTTTCCCATTAAAGGCATTAGATGTACATGGGAAATAAATCATATCTTGCTCATTTCCAAACCAATTTTCATGCGTACTTCATACTTTGTTTTCAATGCCAAATCATGTGCGATTAATACAGAACATTCCTTGTTTTTTTTTATTTTTAAACCAAATGTTTTGGCGTTGACAGTAAAATAAACTGCTTGAAAATCAGTTCTGAGATGAGCAAGATATGATTTATTTCTCATGTACATCTAATGCCTTTCGTGGGAAAGTTGCCCTTACTAAGATGGCTGCCTAAGCTCAGATAAAAGGAGCATGTCGTATCTACTGCTCATACTATGGTTTCAACATTATTTCTCCTGTTACAATAGGAAGTTCTGTAATCTGTAGTGACTTCCTGTTTACACAAATAACCGTTTTTGATAGGACAGCCGTACAGATATTGTTTTAGTCTATAAAGACACATCTTCTTTAGAGTGTTGCAAGTCTATTTGTTAAAAAATTTAAAAAATTAGAGTGTTGATTTAATTTTCATGAAATGCTGGTGCAACCCAATACTTATTTTCACTCATTCTTTCAGCCCATTGTATCCTCATAATTTCCCCTTCATGAGAAGCATTAATGCAGTACTTGCACAGAGTAGACTGGCATTGGTTATGGGGTAATCGGCATTACGGTTGTCAAAGTTCTCAGGTGGCTATGGACTTGAATCAGAGCAGCTGAAATGAGAATAACACTTGGTACCAAGAGTGTGGTTGGATTGGAACGTTCAGGCAGGCATGGCGAGCAGAGCAACTGTGTACAGACAGCTGATTAACTTGTCTTTTATTTCTTATGAAGAGTCCAGTTGTTACCCTTAGCCCTCAAAAGACTAAACTTGTGTTGATTTTTCTCGAGGAGTCCGTATGAGGGAGAGGGTCGGGATGAGGGGAGCAGGTGAGATACAGAACAGCCCGAAAACCGAAAATTCCTACAAATCCCCAGGCTCTCCCAAAACCGCCTGCCAATCAGTAGACTGGAGCCTATTAGTAGATGATCTTTGAGCTTGTTGTGAATGGCTGGGAGAGGGGCGGGGGGGACTGGGATGAAATTGGGTATTGGTGATGGTGTTTATCTGCTTAACCAATCAGGAGTTGACAGATGAGCAATAATGAATGGAAGCATCCCATAGAGTGAAAGTGCTGGTGTGGAGGTTGACCTGCATGGTGGTGTGTGTGACGGAAAATCAAAACCAGATTACCCCGATGTATGTTTGTGTGCAGGCAGATGAAAATTCATGGAAAAATAAAAAGAACAATTATAAATCCTCATCGTTTCAAGTTGAAGTTTTGTAACTTGAAAGATGTGCGCACACAAATGCACACAAGGGTACCTTAATTTTTTATTGTCCTGATTTGTTTCCACAATCTCATCATGATCCTTTTCCTTTCCATCATTCCTTCGTCACCACCCTACCATCCCCTCCTTTTTGTCTCTACTTTTTTATGTAATCCTCTCAATTCTTAAACACTTCTTTTTCTCTTTTGGCTTACCTGCCCTGTCTTTTCCCCCTCTCTGTCTCCCTGCTCCTCCTGTCTCCTGCTTTTTCTCCCCCTACCTTTTCCTCTTAAACTCTTTGTCCTCTACTCTTTCTACCTCTGCCTCTCACTTTCTGTGCCACCCTCCCATCCCTCCTCCAGATCTATGCTGAGCAGCGCAGTGGACAAGTCAGAGAAGACATCCGGTGGTGTTCTCTCCTCCTCTTCCAACAATGATGAGAACAACTCCTCACCAGGATCTGGTAACACTGGTATGTTTGCTTCTTGCAAGGGAACTCAAGCTTGTTGTGTTGTTACTCTTTCACTTTGCCACAAGATGAGAGTCCAAAGTTTCAAATAAGGGAAGTATCTGACAACCAGAAAGGGCAGATTCATTTTGTGGCCCTTCTTTGTGAGAAAAAGACCAAAACTTGTGATTACTCCTTCGTTTTTATTGGCATGTTTAAAAAAAGACATAGTGCTGCGTTCGAGTCAGTGTTGTTTTCGTTGACGATAACGTTGACGAAATTGTCAACAAAAACAACACTGCAGAATATATGTTTAGCGTTTGATTGACGAAATGCTCATGAATTTTGCAACTCTGTTCGTCGTTTTCGTCTAGTCTCGTTTTGTCAGTGTAAACGCACATTCGTCTCCTCACATTTTAGTCATCTAAGACTTATGTTTAGCTCATCAACGTCACGTCTTCATCGTGGACACTGGTTCAAGCTACCTCTGAAGTCAGAAGTCTGAGCTGGGAATGACGTCATACCCAAGTTACTAGCGTTTAGTTACCAAGTCGGAAAAAAGCCAAATCTGGGCGGAAACAAGATGGCTACGTTTACAAAAGTTATATTAGCACTTGGAATGTCCGAATATAAGCGGGACAAGGCAAGCGCTAAAATTTTGTTTTTTTTCCGACTTGGTAACTGAAACGCTAGTAACTCGGGTGTGACGTCACTCCCAGCTCAGACTTCTGACTTCAAAGGTAACTTGAACGCAGCATAAATAAACTGTGTTCATGATGGCATGGTCACTGCGTCACTCTCACCTGTCACCCTCTCATCCCTCTTTTTTCCTCCTCAGGTGGAACCGGTACCCCTCCGGCCATTGCCAGCCAGAAGGACTCGGCCAAGCCCCGCTCGCTCCGCTTCACCTGGTCAATGAAGACCACGTCGTCCATGGAGCCCATGGAGATGATGCGCGAGATCCGCAAGGTGCTCGACTCCAACAGCTGCGAGTACGAGCTGCGCGAGCGCTACATGCTGCTGTGCGTGTCGGGCAACCCGGCGCGCGACGACTTCGTCCAGTGGGAGATGGAGGTGTGCAAGCTGCCTCGGCTCTCCCTCAACGGTGTGCGCTTCAAACGGATCTCCGGCACATCCATCGCCTTCAAGAACATTGCCTCAAAGATTGCCAACGAGCTCAAACTGTGAGTGAGGAGGAGCAGCGAGGAGAGATAAGATTTAAGGGTGGAGGTGGGAGGATGAGGAGGGTGATAGCCAGGTTGAAGATGATGCTATGAGTATGATGGGGGCAGTCAGAAAGTAAGCTAAGGGTGGGATCACTTTTATTAACATGATTGTTATCTGGGCAAAGGTCTGAAGTAGGGCTATTGGTTCTCTGAGACTAGAAAATGTGTCTTTTCTAGAAGTTTTGTTAAGTTTGCAAAGGCCCTGCAGTTCGAAACTCTGAGTTGATTTCTTCTGAGTTGTGAAGTACTTACAGACCAAGGTCTTCTCTCTTCTCTGCTGGGTTAATTTCATGTTCTACTTAGACGTTCCACTCTTCTGCATGTCCGATCTCTGTTTTAGAAGTCACACTTTTATCACTTTGACCACTCCTGTCACTTCTTCCTGCTATTTATTCAGTTTTTTCTGCACGGTTCTGCTGCCAGATCTTTTCTGGTGGGAGGGACACTAGGTAAAAAGGTGGGGTTGGATGGCGGACAAAGAGAGAGAGCAGAGGGATCGCTGAAAGCCTCTTTAACGATATCTCTCTGAGTCTCTGATCGAAAGCTGTGAGGGACAGAAAGTTTGGAGCCTTATTTTGCTGGAAAACTCTAAAGGAGTTTTGATTGAACTTGATCTGGTTCAATACTGAATGGACTCCAACCGAGCCAGGACTTTGGTTGCTGATGCCTACTGTCTCTTACACACACACACACGTACACACACACACGCACACACACAAAAGGACATCGAATGAACGAACTCTGCTGTTAGTAAACGGACCTTCTTCATCCCCTCCTCCCTGACCAGAAACGAACTTCGAAAAGATCCACCTGATCGACCCTTCCTCCACTTCCCTTTACAAACACACTTACACACACACGCTCGCTCGCTCTCACACTTCTAAAAACACTTCACCAACCTCCCTCTTCTCATTCAAAAAAGAACTCAGCACAAACACATCCATCTTTTTCACCATTTCACTCCTTTTTTTTTGAATTCTCACGTGTTATCAAGTCCAAGGAGGCCAGTCAGACTTGACGTCTTCATTGATTATTCGGGCTCTAACTTTGACTTCAAGTCCGTACTTGATTTTTTTTTTTTTTTTTTTTGAATATAATTTTAGTTTCTTTGTCTTTCATGGCTTTTAAAGAGTTGTGCACTGGAAAAGAGGGGCATACTGGGTACTGGGGAGGGTTGGACCTTACATGGACTGGGTTGTTCCAGGATTTTATGTTGCCTTTCTTTATAGAATAAAAATTCTTGGTTTCATTTTGTTGCATAAGTCAGCACATAAATATACAAATGATTTATTTGTACTTTGTTGTTTGTTCTTCAGTTGGCATCATGCCTTCATAACCAGAATGTCAACACTGAACCAACACATTTTTATTGTCCACTTCTTTTTCTCCCCCCATTCCCCTCTGGGCTACATCGATCCCCAAAGAGCAAACCCGCAAACAAGGTGTCTTTGGAGTATGTAACCACCAGTATGTGTGTGTGTGAGTGTAGTATAAAAGATCACTGGAGAAAAAACTAAAAAAAAATAACAAAAAGGACAAACAAAAAGGATCGACAAGGACGACGACGAATGGTGAATTATTTTCCTCTTCTACTTTTGATTTGATAATATATTTTTGTGTCGTTGAAAATTTTGGGCTTGTACAGATTTGGATCTTTTGGGGCAGGGGGATCACGATGGATCATATCATTGCTGCCTTTTTGGTGTAATGCACCTTTAACACACACACACACATAACACACAGCCTGTAGTGTATCAGATTTAACACAAACACCTGTGTTGCAGACAGGAGTTATTGATGTATGTGATGATGTTGATGATGGTGATGCTCGTTCATCTTTGGCTTTTTTTTTTTTTTCCTTTTATTGTTTTAATTTTTTTTTTTTTTTTTAATTTTAATTTTTTTTTTAAAGCCTTTCGGGTCTGAAAGGCTTGAAGCAGAGAGTGAAGTACAAAAGACTTCTTCATCAAAACGTTTCTCACATTAGAGCACATTTTCACGTTTCGAACCATAAACCACAAGAAGCAACTTCCTGTCTCTTTGCGTTTAAGCTCCTGTTTGTGAAAACAGAGGAAAGCAAACACACGCGCGCTCTCGTAGGGGGTTTTGAAACGAAGGGGGTGATGGGGACAATGTTCGGGTCCCATCAGCTGGTTGTTCCTTACTAAACACTTTTCTTTCTCTCACAATGACACACTGTCGTTTTATTATTTCTTTCAGTTTTTAATACGTCAGATTTTTCTTTCAAAGTTGATCATTGTATTAAGGTGCTGGGTATTGAATTCTAATTATTATTCTGGCTGTTGCTGTTATATTATCTCTTTCAGGGTTGATTTTATTTTACATTTTTTTCGTTTTACATTGCTGTAATTTACATTGATTTTAAATGTGTTTTGAGCAAACTGTAACTGTAGTGGTGGGTTTGGGGTTGGGAGGGGTGATCAGCTCCTGAAAAATGTATTATTTGTTTGTTTTTTTTGTGTAAAGACAAAATGATGAAAAATTACAATGATAGTAATAAAAACAATGATATAATGATAGTGTGCCTTTGCAATTTATTATTTTATTCCATTAAAATATCCTATCTGGAAGCCCCATAGTTAATCTCAGCAAAAGATATGTCAATTTTGGGTGTCATTAATATGATTGTTACACATTTTTAGCGTTTGTCCTGACACTACCAACACATAAATTATCGAGTAAAAATCATGTGCAGAAGTTTTATAACCAATTCCTAGAGGTCTTTACCTTCTTTTATGTAAAAGTCAGTTCAAAGATGAAGATGCTGGTCGAAGCCCATTACTTATTTGAATCCTTAGCATGCAACACAAATGCTTGTGCTTACCATCACCAGAAGGGGGTGCTGTAAATTCTTACATATTTTTGCCTTTTTGTAATATTTATTCTAGTTCCTTGGTAATAATCTTCTTTTAGTTAAACAATGGGCTCTGTGCACAGCTCCACTACTTCCCAAAATTAAGGCAGCTCCTTTATTTCCTGTCTTACATTAGTGGACAAATTGATTAATCCAGGTGTGTCTGATTAGTCACAATAATTAGTCACACCTGGAATCCTCAAATAACGTGCACGTGCGTAAGCAAAGTCCGCGTGCTACAATATCGGACTGTAGAAACCAACCAGAAAGTACAGAACAATGTCAGAATCCGACTTTGTTCATGACTGCCAACACAAGCAAGACAACAAAGTAAATTCCGGAGACTCTGGAGGAATAACGGCGCTAAAAAGGAGGTAGACCGGACAAGAGCTATGAAGCCGGGTCATAATTAATGAAGCATGAACGAGGGTCTCACGGACCCCGTAACCTTTCTGCTGGACAGGTAAACCGCTTTAACAAAGTAAGCAAAGTGTCTGTAACAGAAGTGTTTACGGTCAAACCGGACCTGCTGCATGTTGTAGCGCTGCTGAACTGTTTACCCCGGGTCCTGGAGTATGTCACTTTATCCTAGTTGTAGAAGTCCTGAAAACAATGTGTTTGCTGGTAGTCTGTTATGTACGGTGGCCGAAAATGGACACTACTGCTGCTGCAAAAAAAAAACAAAAAAAAAAACGCCACAACAGACGTTACAGATGCACAAAAAAAGAAAGAAAGAAAAATCTAAGTCTGCTGCAAATAAAAAAAAGAAACGGTGCAGATGAAAAAAAAAACACATTGGAATTTACCAATGCAAAAAAAGAAAAAGTTACTGTGAAAATAAAAGGATGCAAATAAATTAAAAAAAAGCCACAACAGAAGTGAGCTGCCGGGGACCAATAATGATGATGCACTGGTGTTTTATAATCTGGGCACAGACAGAAGATGACAGTGAGAAAACGAGCAAAGAAGTAAGAGGAAACATTATTCATTTCGCTTCATGTACTTTTCAATGTGGTTAGGCCATGTTGCACCTGAGTCAATATGGAGTTGAACTGGAGGATGCCGGTGTAGTGTTCGCTTCAGTTCAACTTCATATCGGCTCAGGCGCAACATGGCCTAAAACATGACATATTGAAAAGTAAACAAAGCGAAATTAAACAATACTTCTGTGCCCAGATCGTAAAACACCGGTGCATTATCATTATTAGTACCCAGCAGCTCACTTCCACTGTGGCTTTTTTTGTTTGCATCCTTTTATGCTCGCAGAAAGTAACTTTTTTTTCCATCAACCCTTTTTTTTTTGGCATTGTTAACTTCTGTTATGGCTTTTTTTTTAATCTACACCTTTTTTTTTTTTTTTTTTTTTTTAAATCTGGGACTCCGTTTCATTTTTTGCATTGGTGATTTCCATTGTGACTTTTTTTTTGCATTCTTTTTTTTTTATTTTTATTTGCAGCGGTGGCGGTTCTTGGCCACCGTATGAAGCATCTACAGTAACACCAATGCTTTTTACCTTCTCATTGACTGGGCTCCATTTCTAATTATCTGTAGTATTTGTCTGCATTATATCTGAATTTAATTGAAACGATATGAGCGTGTATGTGGGCAGGGCTTGCTGGAGCAGAGAGGGAGGGGAGAGGAGGAGCTGAGGGGAAAACTGGTTGGGAGGGGTAGTTTCCATCACGATTTCTCCCAAAAACTGCCACTTCCTCAGATCCTGCCTACCCCACCTTTTAATATCAAGTGTTTTCATGTGGTTTGAGCTGAAAAAAAAAAAACACTGTTATTCCCATGTCTGTTCAGGTGAGCTCTTCTCCAGTGTTGCTCAGGAATGTTGAGGCTGCAGGTGACCAAACCTGATGAGAATCAACAGATGGTGTTTGTATAGGGCTTAGCATTTGAAAACAGATCATGTGTTCATGAAGCACACACATATCAGCCGTTAACCCACGATAAAGTAGTCTTTTGTTTGTCCAGTTGTCTCCTGATTATGAGAAACCCTAGCTACATTTCTTCAAATTAAGACAGACTTGTATTTGGTTATTTATTTATTTATTCTAGAAAAAAAAGACATTTTTCAAACACAAACAGTTCAGTTTCCACAATGTAAACAACTTCTCACATACAGTACACACAAGCAGTTTTTGGAAGAAGGGACTAAAGTACGAAAACAAGTCCGGGCAAAGTCAAAAGGCAAGCCGCTTTAAAGCCAAACAGCGATGGGCCGCTCTGGTTCCTGCTCAGTGCTGTGTGAATTAATCTGGCAATGCGAGACTACACCATAAGTGGAAAAGCTCTGAACACAGTTTATACATGAGGTGTAGTTCCACATGTGCTCAAAAAAAAGGCAGTAGAGACTATGACAGGAGGAAAGGCCAGGACTGCCAGATGATACCACAAATAAATAACAGCAGAGAACCGCTCAGATACTCCATTGCAGTAGATTTAGACACAAAAATACAATACTCGTGGACACAGTTCATTGGCTTAAACAGTTTACCCAGATTCCCTTGAATCTTTCTAGCCTCATTCTGTGCCTCAAAAACAGGATTATGAAACAGCAGATAAAAGCCATGACAGTTTTCAAACTCTCATTTGCATTTATTCTGACATTAAACAAAGTATAAAATTCAGTCAATCTCAACCAACCTGTGCTTGTTCAGCCGTCCTCTCAAAGTGTTGGATGAGCGGTTTGCTTTGAGGTAAATGCACATTTAATTTCACTTTCTTGCAAATGTTTACTCATCACTCTTGTGTCTGCATGGCGGAATATGAAACGACTGTCAACTATTAACTAACTCAACACTCATTAAGACTCATTGCTTGGCTTGTTGGGAAGTTCCCTCCCTAAAACCCATTCTGACTCATCCTTGTTCAAAATCAACAAGCTCCCACTGTAAGGTTTTTAATGTGCTGCTCAACAGCTCACTGGATTTAGGAATTTGGTGGGTCAATGAGCTTTTAAAGCAAGGAAACACTTTGGCGGGACATTTTCATTTTGCAGTGTCTGTAGGAGGTTAAGGGGGGTAAACAGCGCCCTTCAGTCTGTGAACCTGGTTTAAGATTAGTCCTCTGAACCCATTTTAACTGAAGCTAATGCTGCGTTCGAGTAACCTCGGAAGTCAGAAGTCCAACTGAAAATGACGTCGCACCCAAGTTACCAGCGTTTCAGTTACCAAGTCGGAAAAAAGGAAAATCGGATGCGGAAACAAGATGGCTACATCTACGAAAGTTATTTTAGCGCTTGCCTCGTCGGAATACAGGGCAGGCGCTAAAATAACTTTCGATGGCTACATCTATTAAAGTTATTTTAGCGCTTGCCGTGTCGGAATATAAGCCAAGCGCTAAAATAACTTTCGTAGATGTTGCCATCGAAAGTTATTTTAGCGCTTGCTTTGTGGGAATATAAGGCAAGCGCTAAAATAACTTGTAGACGTAGCCATCTTTTTCCAACTCGGTAACTGAAACGCTGGGAACTCGGTAGTGACGTCATTTTCAGCTCCGACATCTGACTTCCGAGGAAACTCAAACGCAGCACAACGTTTCCCCTGGTGTTAGCGGTCCACAACAATGTTCCTCAGAAACAATGAAAGGTTAGCATGAAGCCAGTGGAATTGAACAAACTGCAGCGAATGTCTTTAAGAGTTCAGTCATATGAGTTCAAGGCTTTTTTTCCTTAGTGCTCAGTCAATCCTCATCTCCTTAGTAAAGTTTGTACTACTTCAACTACTAACCACTAACTGTTTAGCTAAGGCTCACTTTAAAAATCTAGTAAAAAAAAAAAAAAACAGACAAAAATAAAGGGAAAAATACACACCAGTTTAATACTAGAAATACATGGCTATGAAAGAAGAGAGGTCTGATCTGATCTCCTCCTCTTCTCTTCTCCGTTTTTGCACCAACAGCTTCGGCATTTAAAGGTCATCAAAATCAACTCTTAGCTTTGTAAAGCTTACTTTTACCTTTTTCTCCTTTTTATGGGTGTGAATTTTTAAAGCAAATCCCATCAATCAAAAACACGTGTTTCTACACTTCATAGCCAGCCGTCTGATGGATCCTCTCCGGCTCGGGTTTGAGCGACTCTTCTTCTCGTTCCCTTATTTTTTTGTACTCTTTGATTTTCCTGAAAGTTGCTCAGACTACTTGATACCTGCTCGGTGGAGTCTACAGCGCGAGTGTGTGTGTATGTGTGTGTGCATGCGTCTTTGAGCGCACTCTCTTGTGATCCAGATGTTCGGCGGTTGCCATGGTGACGGGGCAGGTGGGTTTTCAACTCTGTGGTCACGGCTTTCTTTAAAAGCTCGACAATCCAGTGTCTCCTTTTTTTGTGTGCAGGCAGGTAGTGTTTGTTTTTAAAGTTTCTCGCTTGTTTGTTTTGCGTGCATGTGAAGGTGTGATGATGACCGGTTTGGAGGTAGGTGTTTGTTAGTACAGTAGAGGGGGGGTTTCAGACCCCTGTCTTAAAGCAGGAAAGGTGGGAAGTCCTCACACTCTTTTCTGTCACACTTGTAGAGCTGTTACATCATTCAGGGACCTGAGTGTGTTTCTGTGGTCATGTCGTGTGTGATGGTCCCAGGAGCAGAGGCATCAGACAGTGTAGGAAAGTCTTTGTTTGCCTGCAGACTAATTTGTGTGTGTTTATGGGTGCTTCTGTTTCTATCAACTAATTTGTGTATGTGCGTGTTTGTGTGCATGAAGATGTGGGCGGATCAGTGTGAGCTGGGCTGCTCCACTTTCACCCCCACCAGTGACGGAGGTACCTGCACTGCAGCAGAGGAGGAAGTACTGGGAGGCGAGGCCTTGAGGCTGGAGCTCCCGGTGGAGGAGGAAGAGGTGGTCACTGCGGGTCTAATGAGCGGAGGCGGAGGGTGGTTGTGGGGCGCTCGGTTCTGGAGCGGGCGCGTCTGCAGGGGAGGAGGCTGGCGGAGGAGGCTGGGGGGAGCAGAGGGAGGGGCCGGACGCAGCAGAGGAGGCGGCTGAGATAGGGAGGAGGGGGTCTGGGTGGAAGAGGGAGGAGAGGAGTCACCGACGAGGTCTGAGGGAGAGTCCTCCATCTTGACCTGACAGGAGGAAGGAAAGTAAAAGATTATGTGAGAATTAGTCAGTTCAGAGTAGCTGGAAGAAAATCAGGACGAGGAAGGAGGACGAGACAGTTGAAGCCGTTAGATCTGGTGACAGTATCATGACTGCTGCTATGGTTATCACAAATGGTCTGATTTGATGTCCTTTACAGAAAACAACATTCTGCTGCTTTATTGTAGATCAGTCCAAGGTATTTGACTCATTAGACATTCATTATGGGACCCATCCTGTTCTCTATCTTTAGAAATGATTTGAGTAAGGACATTAAAGCTAAGTTACACCTTTATGCTGATGACACCGTTATCTACAGCCACGCTCCCCTGCTACAAAAGCCATGCAGGAGCTTCAGACAGAATTTCACTCTTTACAAACAGCTCCAATGAATTTAAATTTAGTTTTGATTATCCTCATGTATTCATCTCCTTTGCAATCCCTTGACTCAGTGTCCCGTGCATCTCTTTGTTTCATTACTAACGCTAGATCCCTCACTCACTGTTGTTGTATTCTTGATGATTTAGTGGGTTGGACTTAATTGGCAGTTGGCAGATAACAGCACTGGTAATTTTCAACTATAAAGCTACACCATTTTACCTCTGTACCCTCCTCTACACCTGCTCTACTGTCTGCCAGTTCAGATCCTCTAATCTGCTACCTTTCTTTGTACCCTGAGTTCTGACAGACCTGGGGAAAACTGTCTTTTCCTGTAAAGCACCGTGCTCATGGAATCAGTTTCTAAAACAGCTCAAACTGGACACACTCATCTCTCTGAACAGATTTAAAAGTTTTATAAAACTTTGTTCTCAGAAGTGTGTGGTTGTTTTTTTTTTTTAAATTAAATTATTATTGAACAAAAACAGTTTGACGTTCACAACTACTAGATGTGGGATGATGGTGCACATTAAAGCTATGGTCTACCATTGGGAAGCTTGGAACTTATTAATAACACAGTTTATAAGGCCGTTATGGTCCTATGGTCCGATCTAAGCAATGTAAAGTTAAAAAAAATAAAAATTCAATATATCTGCTGCAAAAAGGCATAATAATCGACCAATCCAAACCGCCGGGGTCGGTTTTTCAAATCTGTCTCAACAGACAAACTGGTTTTCAGATCGTAGACCATAGATTTAACTTGCTGTGATAGCAGAGAGTTAGCTACTTCAACATGGCAGCTATTTTTAAATACATAACTTGATAGTCCCTTTTTTTTGTGTGGACATGGGTTAGGAAAAGAAGCAGATTGTAAATTTGCTGTCATTTTCTTTTCAGTCACAGACACTTAAATCTTAAAGTTATCTTAAACTTAAAGTTGATGAAAACGATAAAAAAACCTGCCTGCTTCTTTAGCTCTGATCAGAGACGATAACTCGAAACTCTCATGTATCTGCTTTGACATCTCACCTCTTCCTCCTCTGCAGCTCCATCTGTATGAGCTGACAGCTCTTCCCCACTCCTCCTGGGGTCTCTCTGGTCTCGGCTGGTTGCCACTTGTTCGGCTGCCCACTCTCTTAGCACCTCGTCCAGGTTGAACCTGCGCCTGTAGCTCACGAAGAACGAACTCACCTGATCGCATAGGAAGAGGACAGAGTTAGAGAAACATGGAGGACAATCTGTACTGCAGTAAGGATGCAGAAAATAGAGTTCAGGAGACAAATAAAGGAGGTTGAATGAAGATTATTACTATCCTGTAAAGAAAATGCTTTTCTAGACACAAAAAAGTTCAACATCAGCTGCAGAAGACTCTGACCTGAGCTGGAGTCTTGGTCCCTATCACCTCAGCAATGGCTACAAAGTCTTTCCCATAGCGGCGAATGGCTGGAAAAGAGACGAGGTTGAAACTGTTAAAAATCTGACATTTGCAAGTAAACGTGAGGAGGAAGAGGAGAGAGTGGGCAGCATGAGTTGACTCTGTAGGAGGGGAAGGAAGATGATGCTGTTGATCGGCTTACCCTGCACAGCCAGGAGCTGCTCCTCTGTGGTCCAGCGTGAGTTCATTTTAGGAGCAGGCTGAGAGAGAGAAAAGGAGAGTGAAGAGCAGATTAAACCTCAGTCCCATAAGGGGTGGCATAATATGTGGGGGGGGGGGGAGGGGGGGGTTAGGGAAGGAGAGGGGGGAAACGAAGAGAGGGACATGCTGGAAGTTAAATATAAAGAGACTTACCTCAGTGGGTCTGCAAGATTCAACACCTTCGACTAGGCTGTGTTTCAGACTGCTGTTGTTCTGTTTAATAGACTGCACCTGAGGGAAACAGGAGCGCAAAAAAAGGACAATTTTGTAAAATTTGCTTCGACATGGAGACAATCAAGCAAGTTAATTCACCAATAAAAAGAAAACTTTGAGTCACTACATTTGTAAAAAAAAAAAAAAAAAATTAAGGACACTTAAAGTTCCCAGTTGTAGCTAAAAGCTAACTTTTTAGGAAGAGTAGTACACCGCCAGTTGCTAATCAATGAAGCAGCAGCATCATGACTGCAGACAGGAACAGACTAAAGGCCAGCTCTGTCCTGGGCTGCCCTCTGGACCCTGTAGAGGTGGTGGGGGGCAGGAGGATGATGGCTAAGCCGTCGTCTCTCATAGACGATGTTTCCCACCCCCTACAGAGCGCTGTAACAGCAGTGGGCAGCTCCTGACAGAGCGATGTGACACAGAGATACCGCAAGTCCTTCCTTCCTGCTGCAGTCAGACTGTTTCACCAGACCTGCTCCCAGTAGTCCAGGTTTTTTTTTAGCACAACTAGCAGACAATAACTCAGTGCTACCTTTATGTGCATTATTGACTGGCTCGATATTTATTACAATTGCAAATACCAACATTTCCCCACCATGGCATGAATCAATCTTATCTTCTCCTACTCAGCTCAAGAAAGCCAGTTCCAGAAAGCCAGGTAATACACACCTGTCTCTTCAGTGATACCAGCTGTGTGTCCAGCTGCCGAACAGTTAGCACCCCTGCGTCATGGGAAGCAGACAGAGACGTGATGTCTCCCTGCTCCAGATGCATGCCCTTCGGTGGCCTGCGCCGAGCTCTGAGCGGGTGGTGGCGGTACTGCGCCCCAATACTTTCTTTTTTCACCGGCCCAGAGCGACTGGGGGTCGCCTTGTCAGAAGTGGCGCTATTGGGGTTCTGTTTCACTGCCTGTGTGGATGGAGAAGATGCACGAAGGCTAAAAATCTGTGTTTTTCAAGAGTGCAGAATCTCATTCGTGTATAAAAATGAAGCCCAAATTAGGCGAGTCATGAATAACAAATCACAAAATGTTGTACAATCACCCTCCAAGAAGGTTAGCCAAACAAATACTGTTGGCTTCATATGGCTTACCTCTTTCTTGGCGTCCATCTCAAAGTCACTGTCACTGCCAGGGTCCCCTTCCTCCAGGTCATCATTACTATAACAAATGTGAAAATGTAGAAATTCAGGTTAAATATATTTATGGTTAGTTTTGTTCCATCAAGTTTTGTATAAAAGTCGTATCTCTGAGAACTTTGTGTCCTTCTCGCTCAGTCTTTACCGCCATATTCTTTTTTTCCCCTCTGCCCACCTTGTCACTCTCTCTTTACACGTCACATTTCCTAAGAATTCATACCTGTCATCTTTCTCTCTCTTGCTAACCAGCCTCCTGGCCTGTCGATCCATGACAGAGGTTCTGGTCCGGGTCTTTTTCCAGCTGTAGTAGTACTTCACCAGACTGGAGATCAGTTTGTCTGGAAGCTGAGAGTGAGTGCAGGCATTTAAATTTTAAGTATTAAAGTGGCTGGTAACACAAATCAACAAAGACTTTCTATATATGATAGTTATGGTCATGTGTAAATACTGTAAAAATCCAGTGAGGATTTGTTTTGAGTTTATCAGACCATTCAGCTACGAGATCAACAATCATATCTTAGTTTTTAACGTCTTAAATCAGTGCAAAGAGATAGGTATCTGGCAACTGAAGAATCAACAGGAGAGACATAAAATATTTCCAATAACTGATACATTTAACTGTAGAAAGTTAAAAAGCGCTGTATCTGAGAGTTAAACTTATTCTAAACTAAATATGACTCAGTGGTCTCTCACCATCTGCTGGATTCGGTGAAAGCTCTTGCCGTGGAAGCTGAAAGCCTGCTCAAAAAGGACTTTATCCTCGACTGTCCACTCATCCGGGAAGGGGGTGAAGTTGGCCAGGTCAGCCAGCGAGCGTTCGACATCGTGCTTGTGCCACAATAACATGCCAAGAGCCTGATTGGACAGAAGGTAAAAAAATACAGGGTCAGAAGAGAGAGACACAAACAAGCATCAGACACAGATTGACTTCAATCTGGTTTGTACCTGCTCCATGTTGTATCCGTGTTTCTCTTTGGCCATCAGGATATACTCGTCCACTGAGAGATGACAGAGAGTTTGGAGAAAGTGGGAAAAAAAAGAAGACAAAAACATATAGAGTTACAAAAGAAGAAACCAAAATATGGTAGAGAAATCAGACAGAAAGAAAAGGAGAGAATGAAAGGTAACAATCCAAGAACAAAAACATTAAAAAAACAATGCTTTAGAGCAGTGGTTCTCAAGTCCAGTCCTCGAGGCCCACTGTCCTGCATGTTTTGGATGTTTCCCTGCTCCAACACACCTGATTCAAATGATCAGCTCGTTATCAAGCTCTGTAATGGCTTAATAACGAGCTGATCATTTGAATCAGGTGTGTTGGAGCAGTGAAACATCCAAAACATGCAGGACGGGGGGCCTCAAGGACTGGACTTGAGAACCACCGATTTATTTATTAAACAGAGGGTAAGGGGAAAGTGTATGTGTGTGTGTGTGTGTGTGTGTGTGTGTGTGTGTTAGTACATATTGAGCTTACACATGGCATCAGACAGCTGGCTGTTAGGACACCACACCAACATACTCCTTTGGTCCTTCTCGTTGTAGCGTGTTGGACTGTCTGAAGACACAAAAAAAAGGATTGGTTTTCATGATTATACAGTCATGTGAGCAGCCGCCACCAAACCATTTAAGACTGTTGAACTCCTCAACACTGTCAGTTATTATCAAACACGCTGACATGTACTAGCTCTGTCCTGCTTTGTTCGCACATGTCCTTGATCAAATCTACCAAAACTGATGCCAGGCTTCAAGATGTTTCAGTGAATGCAATGCCATTAAATCAAACCACATCATTTTCTACATTGGATTACATTCAGACAATTTAAAGAAATAAAAAAAACTGGCTGCAAATAGTTGTTTTTCTAAATCATTAAATATAGCTATAGACTATTGACGCACATGAGTAAAAGGCTAATTTGTGTTGTTGCCCTGGGAAGTACAGTGCAGGTTATTGTCTACTCCAAAAAATACAACCAAATGTAAGAACATTAGAGAGAAAACTTCTTTTTAGAAATCATTTAGGTACAATCACTGAGAAAAACACTTTTTATCAAATTTCAATGGTAACTCCAGTCCATTGACCTTAATTTCACTCATAATCTGCATGTACCTCTTTCCTCTATTTTAATGTCACCCAACATTCCTCATGAACTCCATGTCTCCCTCTCAGCCATGTTCTGCTCTCGCCCTCTCTCTCTCTTTTTTACTCCTCTTTCCTGTCTCTGGGCTTACCTGGTTTGAACTCTGGGATCTGAGCCTGGTAGTCTCCACCCACTCTGATCATACTGTCTGCAGAAAGAAAAAGAACAGAGAGAGAGAGAGATGCAGGACTAATGTGAGTTTTTGTTCATCTGATATAAAGTCAGAGCTGTAAAAAGGATAAGAGACAGATGGAGTATTACCAAGTGTGTGACAAAGGAATTAAATGAGGGTTATAATGTTGAATCTTGAAACATGCTCTGTTCTCCAGAATATCTGTGAATATCTTATGCATCTTAAAACATAAGAATATCATCATGTATGTAATTCCATTCAAAAAGTGAAACTCATACTCATTATCAAAATGAAAAGAAAGACACTTGAAATCTATCAGTCTGTATGTGACTCATCTATTTGATATGAGTTTCACTTTTTGATGATACTCTGATTTATTCAGATGCACCTGTAGACCTTAAACCTGTAAGCTAGCAAGACATTATGAAGGCCAGTAAAGTACATATGAGGACCAGAACTTGGAGTCACTCACCAGTGTTACTCAAAGATTTTGCCAAAACACAAACAAGCTAATTTCCTCTCACTCATGCAGCACCATACTGCACTGCAGAGGCTGTGCTGCCTTTTAAACACAAAAACCCAACCTTTCCCAGATCAGCCCCCATACCACTACCAGAACAGTATCCAGTGAAAGACAATCCCATTAAAGATTCTTACGACGAAAACTTTGATTCAACTATTTTTTGCTGTCTGATGTGTGGCAATGCTTGGTTCAATTGCTGCCAATTAGACATGCAGCATACGAAAAATCAATGAGCCCCCTACAAGGCAGAACCATGCACACATCTCATCTGAAAACCAGTATGACCAACACATGATAGTTTAAAAAATACTAGAGCCTGACCGATTTACCGGCGAGCCAATTAAATCGGCCAATTTTAGCCTGTTTGAGACTAATCGGTAATCGGCCAAAACTCGGTTTCACTTTTAAAATGTTCCGCCATTTGAAAAGTTCCCCGACTTGTCCTGTAGATGGCGCAGCGACCTCATGACAATCTTCATCCCCCTTCAACCCACTTCACGATGTTCCCCGCTGTGCTGGTCTCGATCACGCCGAGTTAACGGTGAAGCACCATGTAATATGCAAGCTAAAGTTAGAGTTAGCCACCTGCTATTAGCCTTGCTACACTGTTAGCCGTGCCAGTAACAGTAGAATAAACAACAGTTCACATTACGTGATCGAGCTACTTCTCTTACTGAGGCAGCTGCATGTCTCCTGATGAGACCAGACTGGAAATGAGTAACGTGAGTTAAGACGCGCGCTTTTCTGGTCAGAGGTTGATCAGTCGGCGTGAGGAGCAGCAGCCTACAGTATATCTATAAAGTATACTGTAAATTTTTTCCCCCCTAATAATCGGCATCGGCCGCAAAAAATCCATATCGGTCGGGCCCTAAAAAGTACCTGGTCTGTTTTTGTCTTGGTAGTGGAGCTGTACTGATTTCTAGTCACTGAACAAGTGTATTATCTTACTTGATAAAAATGTTGGAGTCAGTATGTTTTTATGGATTTTGGGAGAAGAAAAAAGTCTTAATACTTTACTGGTACAGCCATTTTCATGGGGATGGATATGCAGACAGAAAAAGATGAAGGAAACAGGCAGGAAGTGAAACAGCTGACAGGGGAACATCAAGAAATTAATGCAGTGTTTATAAGAGTGGAAGACAAAGAGAGAAGAGAAAGTACACAAGTTGCAAGGAAGCATAAAAAGAGGAGGAGGGACACATTACTGTTTCCTTAGGGACACAGGACAGGAAGGGAGGAGACAAGAGTGATGGAAAGCGGAGTAGATGGGTGGGAAACAGCAGGAAGGGGGTGAGTGCAGATGAGAGAAGATAGAATTTGTTGAAAGGAAAAGAGGGATGCAAAAACAAGGAAACAAAAGATGATGAGGATTGGAAAGATGCTTGGATGTGGAAGCAAGGATGACCCGAATATCCTGGTCATTGTGAACTTTCTCTAAACTGTTAAACTGCTAAAGAAGTGTGTTTACCCAAATATCATCTCTAAAGTCTGAGAGCCAAGAGCAGATTAAGGTTAAAAAACGAATGATCAACAGGAAGTCAGAGGGTAAATGACAAAACAGAGATGGAAGAGTGTGGGAAAGGGTTGAGGAGAGAAGAAGGGTGCCAGAGGAGTGCAGTGACAGGGACTCAAAAAGCACCAAATACAACTAAAACAGCTGACATGACAAGGTTCAACACTGGATCCATATTTGGAGATAGTGCTGGTTCAAAGTTCTCCATAGTCGTCCACGTGGCTCATGGAAGTTTTGGCAAACCTGGAATCCATCAATTTGACTCTTACTGCCATTTCAGCTCATCTGAGTAACTTGGGGACATTTTCTGACACTTTGTGCATGTCTAAAAAGGAGCTCTAGAGATAAAGTAGCTGAAAGATGTTTATGATTCTACCATGAGCGTGCTCTTCGTCGCTGCTCTCCTCTTCAGAGTGAGGCTGGCTGTTGCCATTAGTAACAGTCTTAGCTCTGCTCCTGGACAGGACCCCGGCCGAGCGCTCCATCACAGAGGGCATGGCTGCAACACAAACACAGACATGAATTATCAATTAACAGTCATCAAAAACAACATGATCTGTTTTAAGCATAAGGTGCATAACATCATTAGACTAATATTGAGAAATATTTAAGTTTTATAACAGGTAAAGGAAAGTAGAATTTGGGGTAGAGAGCTGCATTAGATTGCCCAAGTGTTCACACTGTTATGATGGCAGGTCAGTTTATATCAGTATTAAAAAAAATCTACTGTTTCAGTTACTAGAAGTACTACATTGGCATCAACTTAAATTTCTAACTGAATCTGTTGAAATGCTGTTAACAGAAATAATTGATGATTATGTAATAAATAAGAGGACTGAGGAAATGTCTTCAAGACTTCTAAAAAGATTTGGCACAGATATCAAACTGAATCTATATGGACCCCGTCTGTATGCAAATGTCGGCTGCAGAAAAATGACGATCATCACTTTTCAGTTCTCCAGCTGATAATTAAAACTGATAGTTATGGTCAACCAGTAAGCACAAAAATCACAGCCCCTTACATTTGGGGTTTATGGAAAAGATAGTAATATAACTGATGGATGCCCTTGATTTTTGCTAAATTTATTATCAACTGATTAGGGCTGGGCGATATGGGAAAAAGTTTATCACGATACTTTTTTATCATATCAGTCAATATTGACATCACAATATAAAAAATGAAATTTAACAGTGTTTATTGGTAGCATATCTTTTGCAATACAATAAGCTACTTCAACAGTGAGGTCTTTTTGTCTCTTGGACGTTTTGTTACAAGGCACTGCGCTAGAGAAAGTGGACTGAATGGTCGGCTGTTTCAGCTGCACAGACGCCATGGGCTCCTTTCTCCGCTCGCGGTTTGTAACCTCTTGCATTGCACGTGCTCTACCACATGGCACTGCTTCAGGTGGTGAAAAAGATTTGAGGTACTGTATTTTTCGCACTTTAAGGCGCACTTAAAATCCTTTTGGCTTGTCCGAGCACTGCAGCTACCGTAGCCTCACGGAGTTATTGAATGAGTAAAATCAAGTTTGACTTATCTGTTTTGTTTGGCTTAATGCGCTTTATAATCCGGTGCGCTTTATGTATGAAAATAGATGCGAATAGACGTGCTCATTGATGGTGCGCCTTATAATCAGGTGCGCCTTATAGTGTGGAAAAATACGGTTTCCCCGCGAGAACATAAACTCAACATAATTTGCAGTGCGCAGTGCAGTTGCGTGTAGCTGCAGCCTGCTACCACACTGTTTTTTGCTACTTGGTTCTAATTCAGCACATGATTGGTTCAGCACTAAGTGGACCTGGAGCAACCCCCTTTTTCATTGGCTATTCGTATAGTGTACCGAAACATGGCAGAATGCCAACTATCAAAAAGCATATTGACCATGTTTTATATTGATATTAAGGGAAATTAATTTTCGATATATATGGTTATCATTTTATTGCCCAGCCCTACAGCTGATATATCAATAATATAGATCTAATATCTTTGACATGCACTCATATACAAAACTTTTTCAACAAAACACGGTGAAAACAAAGTTTAGGGTGATTCACTCATAAGTTTCATCAGAGTTGGTAGACATTGTGTAATCTAACATAAATGCTCTAAGTTATGTGTTCAAGACTTTAGTCTTCTGGGCATGACTTTATCAGTTAGACATCTGTGTACAACAAATCACTTAACCGATAAGATAGTTCACATTCAAACTCATACGGACTACATCTCTTGGCATCACTATTTAGTGCGGCTGCCTCCCTTTACTGTGAGCTTTAATCCATCAGGCTACGATGCATACTCAATTTACACTCTCCATCATAAATGTATGAGATTGGAACAACCTCAGCGGTATTGGCACACTTTAGGAATCTATTTCTAAACATATTGGTACATGCTTATGAACTCCAGAACTACAAGCAAAGAGGTAAACAACACGGAGAACACGCCATGGATTGTCATTGGCTTTAATTTTAAGTGTTATCCTCAGTCTGTGGAGGCAAAATCATTGCGTGGCCAAGCCTCTCTCTCTCTCCCTCTCTCTCTCTGTCTTTTTCTCCTCCCTGTATCGCCGGGGCAGTGAGTCTCTCAATAGCACAAAAGACTAGACGGTCAGCTCAGGACACAGCTCCACACAGCAGAAAAAGTAACCCACCAAAAATTCCCTCCTCCCTTTCAAAACTCACCGCGGTAACAAACGACAGGTGATCACACAGGCAGACCCATCTGTGTAGAAACACCACGTGTGTGCAACCAATCATACACACTCACCCCCACCCAACACTGACTGACCCCCACATCAACAACTTCACCCTAAGTTACCTAAGTTTGAACTGCGATCAGGACAAAACAAAGACGAGTATTTATAACACAGACGAGCAACAACACGATCACAACACGACACAGGAAATCAATCCAAGCCGGGTCTTTATACCACCACATCTACCAAACTCCGGCAAACAATACGAGTGTCTGAGGCTCTCTGGGGGTCTTTGTCTATCATGGCACTCGGTGGCTCCCACAGTCTTCAACGGCTGTCCCCATCTGACTTCCTTCAAAATCTAATTTTCTAATCCCAAACACGACTATGTCTCCTTTCACTTATATCGGTGTTTTGAGTCTATCGGAGCTGCTTTGGATGTATCTACATCCACATCTCGAGAAACGTCTAATCCCGCCGGTTAACTTTGAGAGTTTGAAAGCAGCGATAGGCTCGACTCGGACTCTGCTGTGGTAGCCTCGATCTTCGGCAGATTCATAACCTATGTACTGCCATTACAACCAAACTACATATGGCACAGTCTTATAGTACAAAATAATAATCTATAACACCCGTTTGTGACTTTTGATTGTATACTGATCTCCCACCACAGGGAATTTAACTCGTTCACTGCTGTTTGTAAATCTGATATGATGAGACAGAAAGAGATGCTGGACAAAAACTAATCCATGACACACTTGAAGATGGTTACTCAAGTTTAAGTTAGTCTTTTAATATAGAATTTCCCCCCACGATATTTGAATGTCTATTTTCCAAATCTAAGTAAATGAAACTTACTATAGTATCATTTAAACGTATGTGAACAGATAAATCTTATCTGAACAATAACATTAAAACTATAAACTCATGTTTCAGTTATGATCTAAAACAGTGGTTTTCAACTAGTGGGTCACGGACACGTTCTGGATGGGTCACGAACCGCCGGTCGAAAAAGTAAACAACATGTTTGATATTTTTTGTACACGGAACTTCAGTAGTTGTCGCCTCATGTTGTCCCCTTCATGTGCTTTGAAATTGTCTTTACTCCATAAAACAGTGGATTTATGTTAAAGATTAGAGTCTTTAAAGGTTTTCTATATATAAAATTAGTATATAATATATAACATTTGCTTGGTTTGAATTCTATAAAAGTGGGTCGCGACTTAAGGACCATGGGAAAATGGGGGTCCCAGAGTGAGACCAGTTGAGAAGTATAAATTTAGACCAAACTTATTGAGTTTGGTAGAGATTGCTGTAACCCTGGCATGTGCATCTCATCTTATAGAAATACTGTATAATCTAATTTTTAATTTTTGATTCAGTGTGACTGAGATTAATATCAAGACAAACACACAACAAACTAAATTAATAGACTGAAATGGCTTCCTTGGTGACACTTGGATTAGACAAAACAATAATCTCACATCTTTTCTCTTCAGTCATCTGTCCTATTTGTCAGACTTTGAAATCCTTTTGTTTTCCTCACGCTGCTGTTACCACGACTACTACCAACTCCTACTACTAATACTACTACTACTAATATTCGCTCTCTGGATGAATAAAAACTCAAGTCGACTGTGACCGTTTGGGTCGTTTACTACAAATGTGAACAGTTCCGACTTTTAAAGTCGTTTTAAAACGACTCATTGTAAAGCAGGCGGCATCCATCCTCATTGAAGTGCATCTAGAGTCAACCCTAGTTTGTCAATGGAGCGCTAACGTTAGCCAGTTAGCTTGCGGGCTAGTACCTCTGCGTTACAATAGTAATGTGTAGTTGAAAGTCGGGATCATAGTTACACTGTACCTGTGTGCCGTTTCTTTCCGCTTTTGAGCTCTCAAAACTTCTCCGCGCCTCAGTCCGCGGTCAAACGTCCTCTTCGAAGTGCTTCGGGGTAGTTATTTGATCCGAAAAGGCTTAATTCGTGCCTAATTGATGAGCAGAGGCAGTACAATGAAGTGAACTGCATGGATAGATGGTGGCAGCAGCCGTGAGTGTGTGTGTGAGTGTGTGTGTGTGCCGGGGAGACGGACAACACCCGGGGAAAAGTGAGGTGGACATCCGCTCCGATGCTTTCGCCTCTCCCAACCAGCCGTTTGGATTGAAAAAAAGTAGTCCTACTAAACTATTACTTCAACAAAACCCCAAATTATGTATCCCTTGATGTTATGCGTGATATTTTATACGTTGCTCTTTGTATATTCTCACAAGCATCTTATTAAGAAGCTTTGCCAAAATATCAGTTTATAATACTCCCTACCCTCTAATTCACACTATTCATATTTTTCATAGTCTACATCGTTAAAACAGACCGGGAAACAAATGGGTGTTGTATTTGTTTTAATAAATAGATGTTTAGTGGTCATAATCTGCCATCTATCAAAATTCCATAAATTAGGAACTACTTGCCAGTGTGTCAGCGGAGGGATTCGTCAGCTGCGCATCTCTGTGCTGGGGCAGGCTGTCCAGACTTGCACTGATGCATGCATGGTGGAGAGAAGGGATGAGTGAGTTACTGTTGAACATGCACTGTTTGTGTGTCACTGTGTGTGTGCCTTAGAGAGTCCAATCAAGTAAATGCTTTGGAATTACTTTAATAGTAAGCTTTATCGGACTATGTGCCATTTTTTTTTATTTCAATGTTGAACAATTCAGAGTTCTGCCTTTTGTGTGTATACCTGTGCGTTATTATGTGTGCACATGTTACTGCACAGGTGGCATAGTGAGAGCTGTAGTAGGATTTCTCACACCTGATGTTGGCAGCGAACACAACAACACACATGCACAGGACCTGCTGCTTAACAAGTGCCTGCTGCTGACATGTAACAGCCTGTTACACACTCCTTTAGGTCTCCTTCCTTCTGCTCTCTCGCTCTTTCCCTCGTTGGCATTACGTCCATTGCTCTCTCTCCCCACTACCTTAACATCATCCTAGTTTGCCCATGATCCTCATCTCCTCTATGATCTCTCTTGTGTCACCACTGTCCTGCTTCCTGCTCTTTCCTGCACCCCCTCAAAGTATTAGCTCGACCTTCCTTCACTTCTTTTTTTATTTTCTCTCCCATACTTTCTTCCTCCTCCCTCCTCCCTCTACCTCAGAAGTCTCTGCCCTAGTTCCCCTCTTTCCTCCCTCTCTTCCTCTTCTCACTGTCTGTACCCCCCCCGTTTGATTTTTTTGTTTCCTCTCCTTACCCCCCATTATCTCTCCCTCTGCCTCTCTCCTTACTCCCACATCCATTTCCTTTGCCTCCTCTGCTCCCCCCCTATCCTCAATATTTCACCCCTCCCTTCCCTGCTCTTCTACAATCCTCTTCACTTTCTTTTCTGGTGATGATTCCACAGCTTTGTCCCTCGAGCCTCCCTCCACTTCCTCCTCATCCATCCTCCTGCTCCTCTGCCTCCTTGTCTCCTTCGTCGGCTACTTAGCTGTCCCCCTCTCTTTCTGTCTTCCTCACATGTCGCTTTTGATTTCAACAGTGTGTGTGCGTACGTGCAAATTCTTCCCTTCCCTTACCCTCCCCCCAACCTCCCCCTCCGGTGACACAGTATAAGCAGCTTCGCTTCACTCACCTCCAGCCCCCTCCCTTTTTCTTCTCTTCCTCCCTCTTCCTCTTCCTCTCTCCCTGCCATCTCCACTCCCCTCGCCTCCTTCCCTCCTCTCCTCTCATTAGTCAGTGTCCATGAACTCACCATTCCACGGTTTCTCCTTTTGCTCACTCCTCTAGTCCCTCTCTCATTCTCACTTATGAACAACTGCTACATCTCCCCCGCATCCCTTCACCTCCCTGCAGTCCTCCCACTCTGCCCTCTTCTCCCTGTCCTCCTCTGTCCTACTCTCCATTTGTCCCTGAGTCTTCCTCTCTCCTTTTACTCTGTCTTACTCCATTCTCCCTCGTTCTCTTGGAAGTGAGCATCTCTCCCACTCCTCCTTTAGCTCACTCTTGTTTCCACTTCTCTCTTCCCCCCTACTGTCTCTCCCCACCTGTCTCATTCCCTTCTCTACTTGCCTCTTTGTCTGCTCTACTCACTAAATGTCTGTCTCCTCTTTCCTCCTTGCATCTCTCCTCACCCTGACTCTCATCCATCCATCCGTCCTCTGACTCTCTGTTATCTCAGGAGACACACAAGCTAGAATCAGATGTGATAGAATGAACTCTCCCCTCTGAGTAAGCAATTGTGTGTTTTAACGTTGGGTACTGACTGTGATACTCACCTCAACAGAAGCACAGTGAAATGTTCCTTGTGCCATTGCCAGCTCATTATCATATGATAATATTCTAGGAAGACATCACCACTAAAGTCATCTCTCTGTGACACACCATGTGACTCATTTCAGTCTGATAGAAGCTTTGTGACCTAATTAGACCATGCTATGTCAAGCCAAAGACTTCAGTAAGGAAATAAAAGATAATATTTAAACTAGGTTTTGAATTAACCTCTTGTGCATGTGTATTGTCCTAGGTCAGTGGTTCTCAAGTCCAGTCCTCGAGGCTCACTGTCCTGCTTGTTTTGGATGTTTCCCTGCTCCAACACACCTGATTCAAATGATTAGCTCGTTATCAAGCTCTGTAATGGCTTCATAACGAGCTAATCATTTGAATCAGGTGTGCTGAGAACCACTGTCCTAGGTAAATAAAAGTTCAGGAGCTGTTTCAGATTTATACCTTTTTGCAAAATTTATGTCTCAAAGAGGAAGATGTTCAAAGAAAAACTGTACCCCAATATCAACGTTTTTCCTCTCAGATAAATGTTTTAAATTGCTCCTGGCCCCAATTCCCAAATTTTATCCCTATTCTTATATTTTTGACCGCTAAATCATAACTAAGTGTATCCCATGTAAAGTCTGCCATCAGTATAATTATCACACAGAAGAAATGCAGCTACAGAATTTATGTGTATGGTAGCCAACAAGAGCAAAAGTGCTGCAATGGCACAAACACTTTCTATCAACAGCAAATACAGCCAATAAAAACTGTTTAAAATGGTTAAAAATAAAAAACAATTTAATTAAAAAGGGGAGCAAAAAGCTGTATTATAAACAAACAATTGCAAGTAAAACAATGGTAAACTGAATATTAACTCTTGTGTCTCCATTAGCTGGTCTTGGAGGAATTTAATAGCATGTAAACCCAAATAACTTTACGGCATGGTTTTTAAGGACAGAGAGGCTCCTCTTAATTCATAGCATTAATTTGGTTAGACTCCTGAGCTTGTCACTTGACAGTGCATGTTATCCGCCACTCTCTCTATTTCCCCACATTTTCTGTCTCTCTTCATCTGCCCTGTTAAATAAAGACCCCAAACTAATCAAACAAAAAAAAGGTTAGCCAAGAATCTCAGTTAGCTACTATTTACAGCACTTATGCTGATAATGCAGTTGTTTCAGCTTCCTGCATTCTGCTTTATCTAGATGTGGCAGGTTTCTGTCATTGCTCTTTTTGGACTTTCCTATGTGATTGTGAATTTGCATCACAGTTGGATAGGAATCATTTTGTCTGTTTCAGCATGATTGCCCCTCTTTGCCACTGGAAAATTACATAAAATATGTAGGACACAAGAGCAAAAAAAGAAAAACATTATAAGCAAAAGAAAATGTTTGTTTTCTGGAAAAATGACAGGCTTTTAGAGCATGAATTTTGCTAACCACTGGTGGCTCATTATGTATTTACCTGGGTGGAGCCAAAGGAGTGTTTGCATAGTGTAAAAAATAGAAGATCCTTTTGCAATCGTGACTCCTCATTCTTCAGATAACAGGGTTGGAACAGATTACATCTGGATCCTAAAGATGCAAGACGAAAGCAAGGAAAAGAAAATTTTCTCGTAAAGATCAAAAAATAAATCAAATGAAAATCAGGCAAAAAGTGGTGGATGAATTCTAAGGTTTCTGCATCTACGCTGTAACCATCATAACCCTTGAGGAAAAATACCCCCCCATTATAATTCATGTTCACCCAGGAGTGCAGTGTTATGGTGGGGGATTTATTTACACACCATGACCATTAGGTTATCAAATTAAGCTCAAATTCCTAAAGTGAAAACCAGTCTGGCTAAATTTAGCTGCTCCAGTTGAGTCAATGTCAGGCCATATCTCAAAATATGGAAAATACAGATATACAGTCATAAATCATCCTGTCAATACAGCGATATATGTAAGTACAGCTGCAGCAGACAGGTAGCAGACATTCTCAGGCAGTGTGAGGAGGACTTACTGTGCAACCATTTCACCTCAGCAGAGAAGCCTTGTGAGAAGGCTGTGCAGTCTATGCGTTGTCATTCTATGCTGCAGGGTTTGCAGTGTTGAGAGAGGCCTCGTCTTCATCCTCCACTACTCTGCCCCCTTTCCACACTGCATCTGTTGATTCCCTCTCTCATCCTCCTCCCCTCTCCTGCTCTCTTCACTTCTATTCTCTCCCTCCCTACCTACCTACCTCTGTCTCATCTTTCTCCTTCATTCTTATCCTTTGTCTTTCTTGTCTCTTATCCAGCATCTCTATAACATTATGTCCTCTTCACTTTCTCCTTCTACAAATTCATCTATCTTTATCTAAAGGGTATTACAATATGTGTTTGTATGTTATTTTGATTGGGTAATTGTGTGTCTGTGCTGTGCAGGTTGCAGGGGACCAGCTTAAATGTTATTGCAGATAAAGTTTTAAAGACTTTAAATATTTATAGACAGAAAATAACATGTGTATCGTAATGCAAAGATGGGTTGATAAATTGATGTTTGTCTCAGCTTCAGGGAAAAGCAGGCAGGGAGACTTTAAATGGCATCAGGCCTCAGTACAGATTCTCAGCGCCTCCCGCGCCTCCCGCGCCCCCTACTGACATATGAAATAAATAGTGTTTCTGCAGACAGCCAAGAGACAGATTCCCTGAAGACAAAAGACTGTAGGCGGGGTTTAGAGACTGGGCCATCTGCGTGCTGGGGAGGGCAGTTGTGTGTGTGTGTGTGTTTGTGTAAGAGACAGAGAGAGAGCGAGGGAGAGACAGAGCCCCCCATACAAGGCCTTTATTTGCATTATGAAAAAGTGGGTAGGCTTGTGAAGGTGGCCATCTCATATCAAGAACTCACAGACAGAGCCAGAGACAGAATTACAACCCTGTGCTTTTGTACTCTGTCTTTGTAAAGCAAAACCAACAGGGCTGAAATAGTGTCTCTTGACACACAATAGTCATACATGTTATAAAAAGGGACACACAATGACCTGAATATGAAGCTTATTTGATATGTAAAGAATATTTTGTATCTCTGATTTTGTATCAAGATTTTTGTTTGCCTTTTTAAAAATTATTTATGAGGGTCAGTTAGACAAGAAAATGGAGGGAGACAAACTGTCGTAAAACTTTAAAAAAAGACTCACTAAAATGCTGTAACTCTTCTTCTTGTATTACTCACTGCCTCTGTCCTTCTAACGGTTATATGTGTTTATTTTCATGTTAATTTTTGATAGTGTATTTAATGTCAGAGTTTTTGGATATCTTTTGGAGAAAAAAAATCAATCAATTACAAGAAATCACTTTGAGTATAAAGATCATAGAAATCTTTCTCAGTGAAAATGGTGAGGGTTATTTTCATCTTAACTGCTGATGAAAGAGTTAAGTGGGCCATAACTTACTCAAAATCTCAAAATGTAATATGTCATTATTAGGATCAGCCTCCACTCAGACAACATTGCTACAGTAATCCCTTGTGGTAAAATGTTGTGTTCCTGTATACTCTAGTAACTTTAGGTAGTTAATGACTACTCTTGTATCTTTTGCCTCTCTGAATTGGTTAATAATGATATCCATGGGGAAATTATGAAGCATGATTTTGTTTGAGCCCTGTCTACATCATGGTCTATATCATGCTCAACAAAAGAATAAAAGCTATATATCCTCAAACTTTGTCAGGAAAAAACAGATACCATATTTTGTTCAATGCTCTACCACCAGTTTCAATGTGTTCGAGGTGAAAGGATGGGGAAAGAGGCCATGAAGCTGTGGTGCTAAGAGTCACTTTATGGCAGTTCATCTTCGTCCTGTTCGGGACTTAATTTGGGGTTTGGAAAGAAATGAAATAAGGGCCCTGTTATGAACTGAATGATTCCATATTTTTTATCACCATCTAGTGGTAATGTCCATGAACTGCCCCTGAAATTGAAAAAATATATCCTAGAAATGCATTGGACCAAACCCTTAGGATTTTAATTGAAATTTAATATTTAATATTTTCGAAGACATTTTATTTAGCCTCTACTGGCAATGCTAAAAGTCCTTCACTGAAAACTTGAGATTGTAGCAGTTGAAATTGTATTTGAATATGGCCCATGCAGATGTTGGAGACACAGCATTAAACCTTCCCTCCAACTGACTGCTTTTTATCACAGCAATTTTTCATATTTTCCTTGTTTGATTCATTATTCAATCTTTTCATACAAAAGAAGTTTTGTACATCAGAGTTGTAGCAATATTGAAGTCTATCCGAAATCCCACTTTCACTTGCAAATTAAAAAAATAGATATTGCCTTAGGCTTTGGTTGGCTACATAATGTTCATCTCCCTAAGCTCTCACTTTAGAGAAAATTAAAACAGTTTAATTTGATGTTTACAGAGAGTTGACGCTACAATTTCTTTTCCTCAGTCAACATATCCTCCTTCACTGTAATAAGGATACTACTTTTTGGACTGTTAACAACAAAGACTAATACATTTTTCAATTGTCTGTTTACATGTTTTGTCCTGCACAGGCTGTTTCCGTTTCTTAGTTTGCTCACTAATCATGTATAAAAGAAGTGCATACTAAACAAATGCTTAAAGATATGGGACGTCAATTGTCCAGGAGAGATGCACATACATACACCTAAAATCTTAGACAGGGAACTTGCTTCATTTCAAAATGCCTTAATAAAGCTTTAGCGAGATCCCAAATATCTCACATGAGCCACATCGACCTTACATCAAGAAACTGATCAGGAATTTTCAAAATCACAGCCTTTTATTAGAATTACAATGAAAGTTTTTCTTATTGCAAATATTAATAGACCTAACCTTACCTTGGATGTGTGTGGAGTCAAAACTACTTCACACATTAGTGCTTTTGGGAGTATCACAACGATTGGTTAGGTTAACAATAATGTAGTGTTTGTTTTTTTAGAGTCATATCCCTTTACCCCCACCGCCATCCATTTAATAGTCAGTAGGCTATCCAAGAACAGAGGGCAACTTTTTGCTTATAAACTTGTGTATTAACAGGTAATTTTACTTCTACTTTGGTAAAATATCATGAAAGTAGCTATGAATTTACATCAAAATTAGCTCCTTAAGTTCAACACACATCATCTGACGCATCAAGATCAGTACATAACCACAAACTGTTTTGTGGGCAAGTCTTACCCAAGTCATATTTTGCCCTCTAATAGGGATTGACCTTCAGTCTCACGACGTGCAAAGAAAAAGCAAATCCAAATCATCTGCGACTCCTGCTGCATATGCAGGATTAATCTGCTCTCTATTCAGACCAGTCATTGTTTTAATTTCACTGCTGATAATGAGGCAACACTTATGTTAAGGAGCACCCATGGAGTCGTCTGGAAATGCTGATCAATTATCTCCGTGGCTGTTTTATAAAATGGCAAGGAAAGTGGTTTTAGGGCAAAAGGTCATCCATCAGCATCGTGGAGTACAGAGCCTCTTGACTTTATAAAGCCCTCCCTCGAGACTGTCGTCACTCTTCAAACAAGGAAACTACATTCGCGCTATAGCCGCGATGCCTTCAAATACCGTCGGAAAAAATCCCGATCAAACCTTTCACGTGTGTTTGCAAATGGTAGTGTGGCCAAGCGGTCTGAGGCGCTGGAATAGGTTATTATGGGGGCGTGAGTTCAAATCCCACAGCTGCCGAGGTGCTTTTCAGTAAAAACAGACGTATTCGTGTGCATTCTTAATGAAAGAAATAGAGTTTACATGAAGCCACGAAAGCAGACGTGAGATCACTCGGAAGTAGATGAAAAATTCGTCAGGACACGTGCTTCAAGATCCCCCCCCCAGCACAGTTTACTGTGAGAATAACCTATGAATTTAGGTGTGTTTACTTAATAAGAGTAGTTCTCCAAGCACAATCATATAAGTTATGTGATCCCTGTGTCATTAAACGTTCCAACCTTACCTGAATACTACCATTTACAACAAATACAGATATTAATTGTGTGGCACAGTCAGGGGGAATTGGGCTTTTAAAAAAGTATAATCATAACTTGGTATGAAATAATATTCACTTTGATTAACTGTTCCTGTGTATAGGCTATAGAGCAGACTGTACAGCGTCATCACAGCGACTCTCGGCGACTCTCGTCGAATGCGCACAATGGTACTGCGCAACGCTAGTTTCAGGAAATGAAGAAAAATCATGGAAATACCAAGAGCTTGTTGGCTTCAAATCCGTATACAGGCGGTTGGCGGAACCAAGTTGTCCATAGTATATACAGTATATGGTCAAACGTCATCACAGCGACTCTCCCGCTGAACGTGCACCATGCTACTGCGCAAGTAGTGCAGTGCATACAACGCTACTGCGCAATATTGGTTTCAGGAAATGGAGAGAAAACGCGGAAGTACTGAGAGCTTTTTGGCTTCAAGTCTGTATAATGGTGGAAGGCGGAACCAAGTTGTCCATACAGTCTTTGAGAAGACAGTAGTGTAGCTGCTGGATGTGATGCTGTCCGTCTAACACTGCCCCCTGTCAGTAGGAATACGAATTTATGTACCATGAACAAAAGTCTATGGCTATGTTCACACTGCAGGTCAATTCTGATTTTTTTACCATATGTAACACATATCTGATTTTTTCATGCAAGTGTGAACAGTGCAATTCTGATTTTTTCAAACCCGACCCAGGCCTCTTTTGTATGTGGATATAAATCGGATATGTATCCGATGTGACTGCAGTGTGGACACTCAGGCGCGTTCATCCGACCTATACGTCATCAATATGCAACAAACGTCACCATTGTTCGACAACACAAAAAGGCGCGGAAAGCAATTTGTGCTTTGTGCGCATGCGGGTCACTTCACGGACACATTCTGTTCACATTGGAGGCCGCATTCAGTTGTAATGTGAATGACCACACAAAAAGATCAGATTTAACAAAAAATCCAAAATGTGCATCATAACCTGCAGTATGAATCACAGGCTTCTCTGTTAATTTAGAATTTTTTTTTTTTTTTTTGTATTTGTTGTCAAGACTTTTCTTTTTCATGTCCCATGGCTTAGGAAACATATATTTTTAGAAAATTTATTTGGAAGAGAAAACCAAAATGATTTTTTTTATGTTGTCTTTGTTCTTCTTCAAAAAATAAAGTACTCAAATAAATTAGATAGTGTCTTGAACAACCACAACATAGGTATCAAATTACTGCACCTCTGCGAACAATAAGATGAAACATACAGGTTTATAACACTTACATTTTTTTTTTAGATTGATTTTGGTAATGTTCACAGTCTTGTGACCACCTTACTTCCAATTATGTAATTGAGTTTTTAGAGACATCTACTGCTGCAACCTCCATTTTCATCAGGTCATAAATAACCCTTCAAATATAATAATAATAACAACTTTATTTGTATAGCACTTTTAAAAAACAGAAGAGCACACAGAAAGGGACAGATAAAAACAAGAAGCTCAGTAAAACCAGAATTGAAGGCCATTTTCATATCATAAGGAACCCAGACAATACAAGAACCATGCAACATAAAATGAGACCACGAGGACCAAAATAAAAACATAAAATAGTTAAGAAAAAAGGAAAACGCAATTAAAAGGGGAGACGAAAGAGGAAACAGGATAGTAAATATAAAAGGCAATATCAACAATGATAATGAAATAATAACAGGCAGTCCTGATAATGATAGTAATGATAAAATAGAGCAACAGAAATGAGCAAGAGATAAAACAATAAAAGGCCTAAAACACAGGTGTCAAACTCAAATCTGGCCCGTGGAACAATTATATGTGGCCCACAAGATCATATCATATTTGCATTATTATTGGCCCACCATTGGGAAGTCTGCAGATTTCCTCCAGGATAATAATGTAAACTTAAGCACCATTATTTAAAATGTCCTTAATAAACCATGAAAATCTGGGAAATTAAAGAGTAAGAAAGATTTGATAAATAGTCAAGAATGTGGGGGAAAAATTATTTGGTGTTTTATTTCATGTTTTTAATTTTGCATTTCAAGATTACAAGTCAAACATGACTGGATTTTTTATTTCATGCTTTGATTTTGTTCAACTCAGTATTGAGATTTATGTCACATTTATACTTTAGATTCCAATTTGAAATTTTAAGTAATATTTTGACCTTTTAAACCTGATTTTAATGTTCTTCTCATGTATTTGCTCTTTAAAAGCATTATTTTCTATTTTTAATATCATGCTCTGATCTTTTGAACTAATAAATAAAAATAGAATAAAAAACATTTTTCTATCTCAGATTGCTTTTAAACTCTTTTTTTTTTTTTTTTAATCTTTTTTGATTTCCAAATGATTTATAATCATTGCTATTTTTGTTACATATTTAAAACAAAAAAAGGGGGTTGACAGTTTGGGTTAGATGTTGACCCTGTTTGGCCCTCAGGTTAGACCTAAATCCAGATTATGGCCCTTGCCGTGGTTGAGTTTGACACCCTAGGCCTAAACGGTTAATTAAGAAAAGAGGTGGAGTATAACAAAAGCTAAAAAGACAGTAAGGGCGAAATAAGATAGAGGTTAAAGAGATAAGAGATGAGAGATGAAAGTAAAAAGATAAAAGAAGGCAAAAGCAAGTATGCCTAAGCAACAGCTGTGGAAAAGCAGCTTGACTTGTCTTTGTAACAACTATACGTCAAAGTTAAACATATAATAATAATAAAATGCTACAAATTTATACAGTGTGCGTATTTTTTTGACACACAGTAAACTATTTTAGTGAAAAACGTAAGAGAAACCCAGTGTTATTTCTCAAAGTGAGTTTGAGGATCAACGGGTTGTTCGAAATCGGAGTTTATGAAGAGTCCGCGAAGGCACCGTCGTTTGACGACGGAGACGAGAGGAAAGAAAAGGGCAAGGAAGGGACTTGTAATAAATTCAGCCTCTCACTCTTGGCGCCAATCCGATTTAAAGACAAAAACCTTTGAGTTTCTTTTGACATTTTCGTGTCATTTGCGGCGGACCGCTGCTTCTACCCTAGCCCTCGGTCGGTGCTGTAGCTAGTTAGCCTCGTTAGCACATTATCTATCATTGTCATATTAATCTGGCCCCATTCTCTCTCTCTGTAGTCACGATAATAACTCAGCAACAGTCAAGCACAGGGACAATAGAGGTGTGTTCCCACAGGGGCATCGATAAGAGACAGCTGCAAAATGGGGGTGAGTCGATTGTGTTTTGCCTATTGTCTGGGAGATGATACAGTGAAATGTGGATGTTTTTTGCCTCATTAATGTGTGATGGTGAGAAGAGAAAGACAGAAGGAAGGAAGGAAGGGGGGAGGAAGGGAAAGGAAGACAGACAGACCATGGTGGATGGATTTAGTTGAAGGTGTTGGTTGGCATTAAAGCTTATTTGGCAGCGTTAGCATTTCAGCTGCCTCGTTATGTCTTTGAAAGCAAAGTAAGCTTAGCACCAGGGTACACTTTGATTTCTATGATGATTTTAGCTTTATTACTGCATTGTCCTTGCCCACACACACTAGGTTGACTTGTAATATGTTGTGCCATTGTTAGCGTGCTAGCTGTGTTAGCCACACAGGAATGCCACCCATAGATGAGTCCTTCCCTAACAGTTTACCTTACAACTAATAGTGTGTGTGCTCACCTTTTACAACAAAGCAGACTTTTAATTTCTATCAACACACCTGGTTGTAATAAAGTCAGACTTGTTGGATGTGAGTAATCTGCATATCAACACCAACTAGGCCTACACTCATGCCTGAAAGCTGACCATAACTTTAGCCATGGTTGACTTAGTCCCTGTGCAGACTTGAGTTTATCCTTCACTTTCACCACAGAGAAACTAATGCACGTGTTTCCATAGTCTCAACCCGGTCTGCAGCCCCTCTGTGGTGCCGGGTACAGAGTTAATACCTAAAGTTGGAAAGGAAATACATTCCTTCCCATAGTAGTTACCTCTGCTGTTGAGGTCTGGATCTAATGAAGGGATTTAGTTAATACCCGCTTGTTTGTTCAATCCTTGTCCATGAAGCATCAATGCAGCATCTGCACTGTAAACTTGTCCCTGAAAGCTAGGCAAACATGTTTTTTTTGGGGACAATTGTATGTTCAATAGAAAACAGATATCAGCACTAGGGATGGGAATCGAGAACCGGTTCCAAATGGTTCAATCCACTGACATAGTTTAGATTTTATCGTAATGATTCCCTTGATGATTCCTTTCTCCGGTCTCCTGAGGGACCAGAGACTTGGAGGAAAAAATGTGTCGAAATGTAAGCAGAAACAATCTGAAGTGTGGCTTCATTTTATTCATAAATGTCAAATGTCTGGGGCTTTTTATGGAAGTTTTGAGTTTGTGTAGCATGGAATAACTGACCCAAAAAGACCCTCAAAATAGTAGTAGTGTCCTTTTGTTTTTGGTAATCCAGAATATGGTCACCCTAATTTGACATATTACTGACCGAAGTTTGTTTGATTATTTTGAGACTCTCACTGAAGGTGACATACATCTTTTTCGGTTATCAGAGACTCAATACAATTTTGAGTTAACGGTGAAAACCTATAGTCTAATTTTTTTTTTTTAATCAAAGAAAGGCATTGATAAGGGAATCGTTAAGGAATTGAATCGTTAAGCAGAATCAGTAATGGCATTGTTATTGGTAAAATCTTATCAATTCCCATCTCTAACCAGCACTAAGGGTATCAGTTGTTATGACAAAATCCATGATAGTTTCCAACAGCTCGGGGTTAGGGCTGGGCGATATGGACCAAAAGTCATATCCTGATATATTTAGGCTGAATATCGATACACGATATATATCCTGATATTGTTTTCGCAAAGTGAGAGTGTTTAGTCACAGTCAAAGCCAAATATAACATGTCACACGTCATTCTACTTAAACTGTCTGGATGAAATTATGCTCAGCTGTTCAAAGAACAATAAAATGTAAACATAAATACTGTATAACCACAGGAGTACCTTTTTTTTAAAATTGGAGCTCTATAAGGTGCACATTGATTTCTTATATCGATATATCGCCCAGTCCTACTTGGGGTGAGGTCAGCTTTTTGTGTAACCACAGTGGTCCAAAACTTAAACCTACCTTGTACAACATTTTTTACAACAGGGATAAGAAGAAAATCCGCTATTGCAGTGTGACTTAGGGATTGATTCGTCAACAAAATTGTACGAGCTTATTTCCTCGGGGTTAAACAGCTTATTCTTCCAGGTATGCCAGGTCATAGTTCAGCTAAGAAATCCTAGAATCCACAGAACTTCTTATGAAACTGTGTAAACCACATTCATATCAGCTGTCTGCGAGGCTCATATGCAGTCAGGGTAATCTGTGGGAGTAATTTGTGTGGCTACACCATTGCTGATACTTGTTGGAAATGGAGCCAAGAGCAGGCTAAGTAAGAGTATCCATTTCAGAGATTTGTTCCAATACAATAGTCCTACAGTGAGAGCAATATGCAACATCAGCGACATAAACACACCTCAGCTTTACACGACGGCATTGACAGATGTTTGTAGATCAAGCTATGGAGAGGAATATGAATATGTGTGTATTATTTTCCCTTTTTTGTTTTTAAATGCTAATATTCATAAGAGATAAAGGTTTATTTTCTGTATTGATGATCTTTCCAAAATTTTCCATGTCAGCCAAAATCTCTCTTTTGTTCTGTTCTGTTTTATAAAGATGTCTTGTGATCTGACAGACCAGCTCTTTTGTACCAAAGTGCAGCAATTCCCTGTCATGTTATACCGAGAGACTACATGCACTTCAATCTATTAAGCAGGGATACACTGAAGACAAGGATCGTGTAACACCAGAGGCAGACAGCACTGAATTATATTAACAGCCTCACAGTAGATAATATCCAGATGAAAAAGGACTGGTTTGGATGTTTAATTGATCACATGAAATCGAGGAGGGAATTGAATAAGAAGGAAAAATGGAAAAGACGATCTCATTTCTTTGATTTTTTACAATTTGGGTGAAGATTCAGAAGTACAGACTTAGTTTCTGGATTATTTTAGCCTTTTTAATGAAATAAAAAACTAATTTTCTGTCAAGGAACGGTGAAGAGTGATCTGATTAAAACATGTGGTGGGGGAGAAATAGTATATTATGACACATATGTGCTTTATAGGTGTTCCCCCTCTGTGTCATATCCTCCTAGTACTTTGATTCGCTGCTACTATCTCAAAAACAGCTGAATCGATTCGCCCTAACCTTGTTTCCTTGTTTCCTGTGTCCAGAGAAAGTCTAACAGAGCAAAGGAGAAGAAAGCCCGGCGTTTAGAGGAGAGGGCAGCTATGGATGCTGTTTGTGCCAAAGTGGATGCAGCAAATAAGGTAATTTTCGTCGCAGTCTGGCACAAAGTTCTTCAGGGCAAGTTTTTATTGTATTATTTAGAACGTAGGGATGGGCGATATGGGGAAAAAGTTTATCAGCATATATTTTTTCATATCAGTCGAAATAAAAAAAATCACTTGTTGATCTTAAATGTTCCCTGTTACTTTTAAAGGATATTTAACATGTATTTGACATAATTTGCAGTGCACAATACTCTGCTTATATCTGACCTAAAAAAAACCAAAATATCTCCATACAACAGACGTTTTCATGCCAGCCATTGTCTGATGTCATCATCTGTTGAGCCTTCATTCGCATTTCTGCCGGGGTAGCATGCATTTTCATTTTTCTCACCAACTGTGCTGTCGGCTTCACATGTTAAAGTGCCATGGTTCAGTGTTGTTTTCGTTGACGATGACGTTCAAGAGAATATTTCGTCGTCATCTTCAACGAAAGCAACACTGCAGAATATATGTTTAGCGTTTGACAAACAGAATGCTCATGAATTTGCAACTCTGTTCGTCGTCGTCGTCGTATCATAAATCATTATTGTTTTATCGCCCAGCTCTACTTAGAACTTTCTCTAAACAGAAGTTAAGATGTTGACTTCCAAAGAAGCGCAGAAATTAGCATTTTTGTGTTTTGAATGTTTCCTCCTGGCTCTCGATGTGTTGTTTCAGGCTTTCCTCTGGATTCAGACTGCAGCTAGAACAGCTTCCCTTATACACTAGGATTTTAATCACTTAAAAGTCAATGGTAACATGTGAAGCTTGTGATGCCCTCCTCTCTCTCTTAACAAACCAGTAAATGAAAATTCACATTACAGGATCTGCCAAATACAGAACCATATGTTTATTTCTGCATAATTTATGAGTGTTTTTAAGATTTTCACGTCTAATTAGGGCACACAGCTGACAGACTCTGCAGTTTATAGGCAGACCTCGGCATTAGTAAACCTTGTTGAACACTGCAGATGAGAAAAGCTCACTTGTCTGAAGCTGAGATATATTCCCCTTTCCAACCAGTTCTTCACAGGCCTCCCTGCACCCCTAACTTTTCTGTGTCACATTGTTCCAGAAAAGGGGAACTCTACAGTGCATTTCGCCAAGAAATTCTCCTCTAAGTACACAACTATATTTGTTTATGCTGTAGTCATCAACAGAAGTGAATCTTGACTTTGGCTGGTGCCTGAAATGAACAAATAGTGCGTTCAGTGTTCCTGAAAGATTTTGACTCTATCTAGGAGTTTTTCCACTGTCTTAAAATAGAGGACGGTTTGGCAGACCTACCAGGCAAGAGCCCAAAACAAGAGTCTCCTTTGTCACTGAAAAAAAGTCAAATGACTCATCAAGTGGTTGTTGTGCTAAGATTTTTAGTTGTTTTTGTTTTAGTTGTAGTCTAAACTATTATATTCCCCCCTCAACAAAGCTGCATAACTCATGTCTGCGCCCGGAGGCCCAGTGTGTCATTGTGAAGGCTGAAGAAAAGGGGGATATGTAATTTGAGATAACTCATGGGGCCGAGGGAGAGCTGATTTTGTGGGTAATTACTATGAATGACCAATGGGGCTATAACACTAATAGCCCTCCCATTTTCCGGCCCGTATGGGTCCCACTTGGCCCATTCAGACCTCGGAGCCTGTAGCTGAACCTGAAGGATGCTTTCATCAGCAGGACAGTTTTCCTTTTCCCCTCTCTTTTTGGAAGATTTACTGCATTTACAAATAAAAGAACTTCCTTAAAAGTAGAAACGCGCCTGGAGATCATTTTCATAATCTGCCTGTTGTTCGATCAAAAAAATTTTTGCCTATTTTTTTTTTTTTGGATCAGAGCACACAGAGGATTTCCAAAGACAGTACATACAAAGACAAACGGCTCATCTTAATATTTAAGTTGGATCAAAAAGACTTGAAGAAATTTAGCCTCAGTTTTAATTTTTATTTTTTTTTTTGGAGGACTCTTGATCTAATTTCGCTCCTTGTCTTTACAGCTCGATGACCCCCTGGCTGCCTTCCCAGCCTTCAAAAAATACGACAGAAATGGGTACGCATCCTTTACGAAGAACTCATTCAGTATTTTGTGAAATGTACAGAGCTCAGCATAAATGAGTAAGAAAGCCTTTAGTTTCCTTTCAACATCAACATTTTCTGTCAGACTATACAACAAAATACTCCCCCAAATGTAGGCCATTAATTGCAATACAAATAAAAATCACTTTAAAATCAGGATGCAAAAATGAGTACAACCCAATCAAAGTTCTGGGAGCAAAACTAAATTTTAGTTTCCATGTTACCCTTATTTTCATCTAATGGTGAATAAAATGTTATATTAAACTCAGCTTTGTTAAAACTTTGTACTTTTGCTTATCTAGATGTTGAGTAATACATTACTTTGAATAGGAGGTGTACTGACTTATGCTTGGTGCTATATATTATCTTCATTTTGTCCATGTGGGGGAGATAGTGGGTCTTCGATAACTTTTATACCTATTTTTGTTTCTTTTCTTCATTTCATTACAAGTTAAACACAAACAGCTACTACTTAAAAAACACACAAAAACCTCTGAGATGTTGCTGACCTTCTTTTCTCGTCCTTCTGTCCAGGCTGAACCTGCAGATAGAGTGTAAGAGAGTGACCTCGCTTAACCCACTGTCCGTGGAGTGGGCCTTCGAACTCACCAGAGCCAACATGCAGACACTGTACGAAGTCTGTTCTGTCCTATTTCCTTAGTTTTGAGCTGTAGATGAGGAGCACAGATGAATGAGAGATGTTAATAGTAGATGATAGTTTCGGAGAAGTGCAGACAAGTCTAAAATTCGAGAGTGACATGAATCAGAGAGTTTAGACTGCGCCTGTGGAGATGCAGACAGATTTAAGATCGAAGCAGAGTTATTATATTTGTCTGATTTTTAATGTTATTCAGTTTGGCAGCAAGTCCGTCAAAAAAATTCATTTTTATTCAGGGAAGAAACGAGGGAAGAAAGTCAGAACATTCGAAAATGATGTTTTCTTTCTTTCCCTTTCAACTGCAGGTATGAGCAGAGCGAGTGGGGATGGAAGGAGAGGGAAAAACGGGAGGAGATGAATGACGAGAGGGCGTGGTACCTCCTGGCCCGCGATGGCGACTCCGCCCCCGTGGCCTTCTCTCACTTCCGATTCGATGTTGAGTGCGGGGAAGAGGTTTTATATTGGTACGACACTGATCCACGAGTCCTTTGATTTCAGCACAGCAGCAGGTTTTCTTTTCAGGAGAGGCCGGAGAAAGACTTCTTTCTGATCTGACTTTGTCTCTTCCCTTCAGCTATGAGGTGCAACTAGAAAGCAGGGTGCGAAGGAAAGGACTTGGCAAGTTCCTCATCCAGATACTTCAACTCATCGCTAACAGGTAAAATCTACAGCTGAGATCATTTCTGCGCCACTTAGTGTTAACTTGCTTCGAGGCCTGGGTTCAGAGAAAACCGCACTTCTGGCTTTATATTCTGCTAATAGCTGAAAAAGAGACTTTGGTCCCATACTAGAAGATTACAGACTGATTGGTGAGCCATTTGATGGGGCTATTGAAGTAGACCTGCAGACCTGTTCTCTGTGAATGAAAGGTTTCAGTTCAGATCAAGTTTTCATAGTTCTTGTTGTTACACCTCGTCTCAAAAACATGTGATTAAAGAGAGCAGCAGCAGGACTAGATATAATCGCCTCTCCTGAGTCATTTTAGATCTCAGCCATGTCTTCATGTCGGAGGAACCCCCCACCCCCACCCCCACTTTTCCCTGTTTTGTTTGTTTTCATGATGAAAGAATGCTGTATGATCAGCAACATGATGTTTCTGTCGTTTGCATGCTGTTTGGATATAGTGTCACAGCAGAGCTTTCTTGTTTTCATATAGCCAAAACTGGAAATCATTATTATATTATAGTAGAAACATGGATAAAAAGCAGCAGTGTAGCAGAAGAGATGGTTATCTAAAAAGTCATTGCCTTTTTTCAGCTTTGGATTTTCATTTTGAACTTGAGTTTGTTTGCCAGAAAACTCTTCATTGACGTGTTTCTTCTCCACTCTCGTGCTCCTGTTCAGTACGCAGATGAAGAAAGTGATGCTGACTGTCTTCAAACACAACCACGGGGCGTACCAGTTCTTCAGAGAAGCTTTACAGTGAGTTACATTTTTAAAAAAAAAAACTACAGACAGTGAGATTTTTATTTATTTATTTCTGAGGTCAGACTTTGAGAACAGGAAGGAACGGTTTTCAGGATACCACAGCAACAACAAAACAAAACATACAGCTCAACTTCTCAGGCTCTTTCCCCTCATCAGGACTTCCTCATTAAAAACGACAGCATCATTTTCAGCATTGATCCTATTAAAGATTATTGAAACAGTAAATTAAACACACTCACTCACAGATATATTGTTAGGGATAACCTTCCAGAATGCCTAAGAAGCTGATTTTACATCTTGACTTGGGATCATCCCATAAGAGACTGTAAGAGATTGAAGGTGTGTGCTGTGCCCTACTCTTCATAATGTGAGAATCAAGACATGTTTTTTTTTCTCAGTTTATGTATATAAATAAATATGTATGTATATATGTTGATAGATCGTTTTGTTTATTCATTCATATTACTGTATTTTTTATCGCATTACCATATTTTTCGCACTTGATTATAAGGCGCAACATCAATGAACATGTCTATTTTCATACATGAGGCGCACCGGATTATAAGGCGTATCAGATAAGTCAAACTTTATTTGACTCATCAATAACTCTGCGAGACTTTGGTAGTTGCAGTGCTCCGACAAGCCAAAAGGATTTTAAGTGCGCCCTATAGTGCGAAAAATACGGTACTTTTCACCTTAAAAAGGGCCAACAGAGACTATACTTTCTTAAGAAACTGGTGTACTTCCAGGTTGATAAAACCATGTTGAAGATGTTATACAGCCTTTTTGTGGAGAGCGCTTTGGGTTTTTCTATCGTTTGTTGGTACGGGGCTTCAACAGAGTCGCAAAAGAGCTCCCTCAAAAAAATAGTAACCGTTGTGAGCAAAATGCGAGGAAGTCCTCTGAACAGCCTACAGCAGTGGTTCTCAAGTCCAGTCCTCGAAGCCCACTGTCCTGCATGTTTTTGATGTTTCCCTGCTCCAACACACCTGATTCAAATGATCAGCTCGTAATCAAGCTCTGTAATGGCTCAATAACGAGCTCATCATTTGAATCAGGTGTGTTGGAGCAGGGAAACATCAAAAACATGCAGGACAGTGGGCCTCGAGGACTGGACTTGAGAACCACTGACCTACAGGATATTTATTTACCTTGGGCCCTGGACAAAGCTAAGAAAAAGCAAAGCTGCTCCCCTCAGGTCGTAGATACCAGTGCCCAGCCTTCACCAGGAACAGGTCCAGGCAGTCATTTGTACCACAGGTGATCTGAGATTAAATAAACTAAAATAACTGTGAGCAGCTTTTATTTTTATTTTGTGCTGGTCTGAGCGCAGATATCAACTACTGGACCATTTATTGGAATGGTTTTTTATATATTTGTATTTTTTTATTTGAAAAGTACAGTACAGTGGTATTTTTATATTGCTTTTTACCGGGTTGTTTGTTTTTATGTGCGACAGTGTATGGATTTGTGTATGGCTGTTGTCTTTGTGTTTGTTTTTTTTCAACTCACTACAAATGAATTTCCTCACGAGGATAATAAATTCAACCTAACCCTAAACCTCAACCTTCATCCCCTTGGCTAACACTCCTCCCCGTCTCTCGTTTCAGGTTTGAAATAGATGAAACTTCACCAAGCATGTCCGGGTGTTGTGGCGATGACTGCTCTTACGAGATCCTGAGCCGGCGGACCAAGCACGGCGAGGCGTCGGCCGGACACACCCACGGTGGCGGGCACTGTGGGGGCTGCTGCCACTGACCCACTTCAGCCTCTTACCTTTTACGATTGGTTAAAAGCCAGCAACTTTCATTTGTGGCTGTGTGTGAAAGCTTGAGCTGCCTGCTACTCTGCAGACATATTTTGAGTTTGACGGCCGTGGCGTGCTGTTTTAAAAATAAGCGAGCGGTGAAGCACCTGGCTGCAGATGTTGTCTCATTAGGGTGTGAGATTTCTGTGTTTCTTTTTCTGTACTCCTGCTACAATGGCAGTATGCAGTGTGAGCTTTCACACACAACCTCCGTTGTTATTTCCTACGTCTTGGTTTAATGTCCTCCATTTTTTTTTTCTCATTTTCAAATCTGAATCGAAGATGACGTGTAGTTCAGAGTCGAGATCAAGCTAAGGCATTACTGACATCCTCAACCACTGCAGTGACCCTCATCCCAACCTGCCCCCTGTTTCAGTTGTGTGATACCTTGAATCATTGTGCGTCAAGACTTCACACGAACACACCACCTCCTGTCTTCGTGTCCAAAACCAAATTAAGACGTAAATGTCTACAAATCATGCTTTCATTTCTGGGTTGATATTCGGTTCGTACAATCCCCTGATTTATCCAGGATCTCAATCTGAGATAATTGGCCTGTTTTGGCAAAAACGGTATGAGATGCCAAGCTGTAATGTAATATCAGCAACTTCCACGCAAACACTACCAGGCTTGTAGGTTTCCAAACAGAATTACTGCTTTAACTGCTGTAACTTAGAGAGAATTTGTCCAATAATGCCTTTTCGAAGTGTTTTAATCTTTACGGTTGAATTAAGTCAAAGTGTTAATTTCACATTTTGTTGCGAAAAATTTGCCTCCACTGATGAAAACAATCCCCAATAGACCGATTTGGTTTGTTCAGATGTTACACACATGCCCCGTCAGATTTCCTAATCAGGAGCTTATGTCGTGAACTAAAAGCTCGGATAACAGAGTTCTCGTGGTTCATGAAGGCTCTAGCTTTTTCCAAGATTGCATCCTCCTCCTCTTTTCTCTCCTGTTCCTCGTGCCTCTCGTTCTCCCTCCATGTCCTAAAAGCGCTGAACTGTCACTGCAGGCCTGTTTCTGTTTCCATCTTTACCCACCTTGTAAAATTGCATCACTCCTGCTTGCCTCTTTGTTCACTCGTTTACTAAGAGGTACTTATGATAAACAAGTAATTGTCGGCGCTAGGTTTGTTGTATTTAAAAAAAAAAAACTAAAACCATCCTGCATCCCTTTTCTTATCTATTCTGTTAGCATGAGCAAATCATATTGATTTAATATGGATGAGGACTGGTATAGATAATCTTCATTTTTGGGCCGTTTAAATGCTTTTAACTTGGAGGAAGGAACATCGATTGGATGAATGAATGATGAGTTGATGATTGCAGGGCACTGAAAGTGTCTTTATGGTTGTTATTCCTCCTCTCCTCAGTTGTCTACAGTTTTCCCAGCCCACAGTCTTAGTTTGCATGAGTATACTGTAAAACTTTTTAACTAAACTTGTGATCAAAAACAGGATTACACACGAGCAGGGCTGCTCCTCTGTTTCAACACTTGAGTTAATCTTTAGGCTGTTACTAAAGGATTCTTGAATATATCATATGAATCTCCCTGAGGTAGAATTTATATGAAATATCAGAATAATGTTGATGTGTGGTACTCCTTTGAGATTCTCGGCACCAACTCAGCACTAAGATTTTGGCAAAGCTGTACTTCACACGACTGTCAAGATCTTTTGTAGGAGTTCCTCTAGAATTGAAAAGATCACCCTTAAAAGACTGCTGTCACCACTTTGCTCGAGTCGATTTTATGTTTGTATACAAAAACATTCAGGGTGTCGGTTAGGTAAGAAGCCTTGTTAAGAATCAACCAAAACCTTTAACTCCAGAACTTTGATCTGATTGTACTTGTGGGCTGGATGTGAAGATAAAGAGTTTTCGCTGTCTCTCTGAGAGACTTAACTGCTCTTAGAGCATTTTGTAATGTTTTTAAGGCAAATCCAGCTTCCATGTTACGTAAATGAATGCCTCAGAGAATGTGATGTATGTGAGATTGAATTATGGAGACAATTTCTTAAAAATACTCAAATTTAAAGTAATATTTGTGTTACACAGGAACAAATGCACCATTCAACCAAAAACTTTCAGACAGCTAATGGAGTTACTGGGGTGAAAGATTTTGGTAGTTTCCAAGATAATCAATGGGAGATGAAGTATCGGGGTCTCATTCTTGTTTGATCATTAAAAAAAACACAAAAAAAAAAACAGTTTAACAACATATTGCTTGTTTTAGTGCTAGATTACCTTCTGATAAGAACCGTAAATCATTTTTGTACTGCATAGCTTACAAGAACAAGAGGATGTTGTACATAGTGGTAGTATATCAACCGACTGACAGTCTCTCTCTCTATCTCTCTCTCTCTCAGGTTAACCAAACGTAAACAAACCTCATCTGTTACATTTAACAGCCATGTTGTCAGTTAGCTGTTTGCTGGGTTGGATTAGCCAAAACTCTGACTTCTGGTCAGTTTTAATTTGTGTGTCATGTCAGAGTATCTAAAGAAACAGACTGAAGAGCGCTGTCTTGACTCAACCTTGAGTGGTATGAATTTTTAAGATGCATTGAATAGAAAGGCTGCTGGTCCCATCTGAAATTGCTTTATGAAGACACAAAGTTGGAACTGACCCTGGATCAGTGCTTTGGTGTTACATTCATTCCAGACAGATGGGCTGTCTTAAAAAATGGCAGTAAAACTGCTTTTGTGAAAAATTATTAAGTTTAAAATGAGCCAAAACTTAACCAGTTTATTTTAGTCAATGAGTGCTTTTATTTCATAAAATGGTTGGATGCCCTTACGGTCCGCTTTTGTTTCTCTTGGTCTTTTCTCTATGTATATAAATATAAATAGGCTGTTGTGGATCCATCTTCATTTTCATTTCTTGGCCTTTTACAGGTGAAACACTTTTTTAGACATGATGTTAAAAGAAAAAATCTCCATGTTTGAGAGTGAGTGTTAATGTCCTGTCCATATTCGACAATGAAAGGGAAAACTGAGTCATTATGCCTTGTCAGTGTTTTATTTGTACGTAACTAATAAAGGAAAGTTGTTTGACTTTTCAATGGATTTGGGATTTTTATTATTTTTTTAATATATTACTATTATAACGGTTGGATTGTATTTTCATGCGATAAATCAAGAAAAATACTTTTTTTGTTTTGAAATTCTCTTCTTATTCAAAAAGGCCCAACTTCACAAATATCATGACATACTTACATTAATTCAGTTTGGACACAGTGATGTTGTCCATACTGCCCCTCTGAAGCTTTTTCCACTGACCCAAACCTTTCAGGTGTGAACAATAACACAAAAACTACAGAACCGGGGAGCACACCCTTCATACAAAAAATTTAAAATAAAATAAAAGAGGTTAGGTTTACACAAAGCACAAGTGTGGACAAATAAAATCAGATCTGATTGGTTTTACATACTCAGTCCATTTGGTCCAGATTTTATAAAAGATTTCCACCTCAACTTTGAGGGAAAAAAAAATCTACTCTACTGATATCTACTCTGTGTCCAAAGTTGATAATGATATACCTAAAGCTAAAATGTTAGGTCGACAGTTTTAAAAGTATAAAAAAATACGAGTTTGGGCCAATAAGTTGGGGTTTTCAGTGTAAACTGCAAATTTTCCTCGTATTTTTTTTAATTACTTTTTTGCTCAACTTCATAATTTCGTCATATATTTTTGTAAGTAAAAATAGGCTTCTAACTTAGTTATTCTTTGAGCTTTTTTGGAAAAGGAAAAAAAAAGCTGATAAAATTCTTGACTTCTTTGAGGTTTTCGATGTTTAAATACGGCACCTGCGGAACTACTGTATTTGTATTTACACAAGATCCTGGGGACCCTTAGCGGTGTTGCACGACAACCGGAAGTTGTTGGTAGGTTGCTGTGAAAATGTTCTTTCCTCGGCGGAATGAATGGATGAAGCTCTGAAGCTCTGAAGCACTAAGGTGCCTTTGCTCACATCTGTCCAAGATGACATGAATCGTTGAGCTCGTTTCTGAACTCTCACGAGCTTGTCTCCCACGTTCCCTGCCTTTGGTAAGTGCGTGAAAATGTTAGTCGAGCTTTTATCTTTGAAAACAAATTGTTTACCTCGCATAGCTTTTAGCTTGCAGTGATTTTTCAGCAAGTGCAAATTGCTTTTGTACGGGGGGTTGCCACGGAGCCCCCTCTTTAATCCTAACTTTAACACGTAGACTCAGAGAGTTGAAGCTTAATACTGATGGATAACAGTGCTAACACTCTATACGTGAATGGTAGATTTCAAGCTAAGTGCGATTGACGTGAAGAACTGAACTGTAGCGCTTTTGGCTCTTCTACATCTCTGTGACCTTTATATAATCCTCACACCTTAAAAACAACATTTACAAACAATGAAGAAAAACAAAGTCACCCATGCAGTGCTAATACCCTCTGGAAAATAATGACTTCTGTCTTTTTGTTGCTCAGTTGTCCAGGAAACCATGGCAACAAGGATGAAGCTGAAGCTGAAGACTGTGTTTGTCCTCTATTTCATGGTGTCCCTCATGGGTCTGGTCTATGCACTGATGCAGCTCGGTAAGTGGTTACCACACAGATTCAGTCCGGACTTGATCGGTCCAGATAGTAATCTCCACTAGAAAAGCACTCAGAGAGCGCAGACCTCTGCCAAGCAGCTCATGTCCCCCCTTATATTGTGATTCACACCAAAAATTTTACTGTTACGTGTCTTTTATTAACTTTTGTTTGTGTTTAAACTGGTATGTTCAGTGTTCATAATGTTCCTAAAACAACAAAGCTCATATTACATACATAAATGCATGATTTATTATGCAATATTGTAAGCGTACACTTCCTTGTATCTTCATTGGTTATCTTTCTTTTAGCATTTCCAAGCAACAGGGGGTGGCTCAACTTACCCCACTCTCTCCTATACATGTTCATCACTTCTTTTTGGTCTGGACTTTATAGTAAGCTGAAAAAAAGGGCCCCCTCTTTCTCCAACTTGTCATTTGGACATGGCCAAAAGTCTGCTGTCAATTATGAGCAGCTCCATACAAAAGAGAGTGGGGGTACAGATAGCTCATTCCAAAGGCAGAGGGATAATATGAACAAGTGCAATGAACTGCATAGTTTAATGGGTGTGTTTGTGCATAAATATCATAAACACAACATGCTTTCTGAAATGATGGTGGCAAATGACGCACAAGTCGTAGTGATATCAACAGCCACAATCCATTTATTGGTTTTAGTAGGTTTGAGAAGAAGTTCATTTCAGTTTTTCTCATTTGAGAGGTTGAACAGGTAATCTTTGGTAGGGAGGGTTGAAAAACACACTCAAACTAAAAACTAAATAAAGTGTGTATTCAATTTAAACAGTGAGTTAAATCCACTCTTTTCTCTCAGGTCAGCGCTGTGACTGCACAGAACACGACATGCCCAAAGATCGTACCATATCCCGACTGCGGGGGGAGCTGCACCGTCTTCAGGAGCAGATGAGGAAGTCAGAGGCAACCAAGCAACCCCAGAAACAGCCATTAAAGCCCACTCCTCTACCTATTATCTATGTGATCACCCCTACTTATGCAAGGTAGCCTAGTCCTGTTTTATTTCCAACATCCTTTGTCCCTTTCATAAACAAACACGCGCAGTTACATTTGCTGTCCTTCCTTTTCCAGGCTGGTGCAGAAGGCTGAGCTGACTCGTCTCTCTCAGACCTTTCTTCACGTTCCTCAGCTTCACTGGATTGTGGTGGAGGACTCACCCCACAAGACACCTCTAGTGACGGACCTATTGGTGAAGAGTGGCCTTACCTATACTCACCTACACATGCCGACTGCCAAGGACCGCAAAATGCAGGAGGTGGGCAGAATATCCCAGGCTACTTTACACACTCAAAAATGATAACAGTCTTGTGTTTTCTTTTAAACTGAATCAAATGCAGATTTTAGAGTTTAGTATTACTACATATGTAAGGATGAACAAAAGCCGGTTGGTAATCTTTCATTACAAATCCTGATTCTTGTCCCCAGGGCGACCCCAGTTGGCTGAAGCCCCGTGGAGTTGAGCAAAGGAACGAAGGTCTACGGTGGCTCAGAGAAGACAGAAGAGCTCAGCCTGGAGGAGACAACCAGCAGGGAGTGGTTTACTTTGCTGATGATGACAACACATACAGCCTTCAGATATTTGAAGAGGTGGGGGTCAAAGTTTGACATTGAGTGACAAGCAGTAAAGAGATCCTACAGCTGTGGGAGTGTCTGCTGTAAATTTCACATATTCTCTTTTTCAGATGAGGAACACAATGCGAGTGTCAGTGTGGCCCGTTGGGCTGGTTGGAGGGATGAAATATGAGAGACCTGTGGTTGAAGGAGGAAAGGTAGGAGGAAAAGATGTGAAACTAAGAAAGGTATTTCAGAGATCACCAGGGAACCAGTGTTTTAACTCATTAAAGGAATAGATTTATCAACCACTTCAGGCTTTGTGTCAAGGCCATTTGAAGGATAAGGGCCATCATAGGAAAAAAAACCTTGTTGTGTCTTCACCAAAACATCAAACTTGGGTTGTAACATAAGAAAACTAAATCTTTTGACAAAACAAAAAGCTTCTTGGTGAAAGCTTCTGAAAAAACGATCACAACCTTGGTGTGGTCGGTTTTGCCAAGGTTTGGTGTAAAAATATGCTCCTTTTTAATTATTTTTTACATTTTGACTTTCACATAAATATTTTAATTGAATTCATTAGGGAAAACCGGGGCTTGTTGTCACACTTTTTACACTCGTATATTTCTTGGAATCAATACATCAAATACAAACAAAATGTGTGCCAGATAAAAGACCAAAGTCTCAGGTATATATTTCGCATTCATGTCATTTTCATATCATGTGTCAGTGCAAAGTTATAATCAATCAAATAGAGAGCGTGAACATGTGACATGCTGCCCCACCATTGGGTAAGTTGTCTCCCTACATGGGGTAAGATGCCACAGTGGATTTTATAGCTAAAAAAACAAGGACAAAATTATTGTAGTTCTCATTTTTTTATATGAAAGTCAGGCACAGAAACTCAGGATGCCTTAATCTGTCCTCTAACAAGTTCACATGTATCACTGCTAGAATTTTTTTATCAGGAAGAAGCTTATTTTAAAATATATAATGTTAAAATTTTTTACTTTGGGTTGTGCAAAATGGTTAATTGATGCTCATCTCAGTTCACAATGTGCTCTGCAATTCTCTTCTCAGACAGGACACGACCCCTGACTATGTAAAGAAATAAAACTAATATTACTACTACTACTATTTTTCAGTTGCGCCCTCTGGTGGCAAAGATAATTGCAATGTGACAACTTACTCATGTTACAACAAGCCCTGGTCTCCCCTACTTGACATCTAGCTTTCTATTTGTATCAACAGTTGTTCGCAGACATCTGTAAAGCTGCCCTGAATATCTTATCACATACCACAAACACTTTGACTAAATGATTTCTGAGTATGTGTGTGATAATTCATCAGGTAGTCCGCTTCCATACTGGCTGGCGTCCCAGTCGCCCCTTCCCACTGGACATGGCTGGCTTTGCCGTGTCCCTTAAATTGGTCCTGACCAACGCAGAGGCTTGTTTTGATGGAGAGGCGCCGATGGGCTTCCTGGAGAGCAGCTTCCTGCAGGGTTTGGTAACTATGGATGAACTGGAGCCCAAAGCAGACAACTGCTCCAAGGTACAGGAGTCTTTGTTTGTGTGCATGAGATAGAGAGAGGGAGGGAGGGTTTGAGGGGATGTTTTACAGTCTTTGAGGTGTGCCTGTAAATTGGGAAGGATGAGCCTTTGTTATGAACTGGAGGTGAAAGCAGGTGATGTGTTAACAGCAGAATATGCAAATGTTTTTGGCAGGTGTGGAAAAAATGCTGCAAACTAAGAATGCCTTCAAAAATGTAAATAATGACTGTGTATTTCTCAATTTACAAAGTGCAAAAGAAACATCTAAATTACATCAATATTTGATGTTACTACCCTTTGCCATCAAACGAGCACCAATTCTTATAGGTACACTTGCAAAGAGTCAGGGATTTTGTAGGATTGTTGTCAGGTGTATGATCAACCATTCATACTAAACAGTTGCTAATGCTCGTCAATGTCACATGTAGGTTGAAAAACAGTCACTACTGAAACAGACACATCTGTGGCGGAGGCTTAAAACTGGGTGAGGAACAGGTCATACACTATGGCAACATGTCACAAGGTAGTCAAACTGCATAAGACAAATATTTCAAAGTAGACAGGTGTTTCAAGATGTGTTGATCAAGCTCTTTTGTAAAAGCACAAAGAAACTGCCAATGTTGAGGATTGTAGATGTAGTGGTAGGCCAAGGAAACTTAGAGCAGCAGATGAAAGACACATCCTTGAAATATGGAGATTTTCAGCTGTGCCATCAACTCAGACCTGCCAGAAACCAGTGGGACCCAGATACAGAAACCATGCACAAAATACATGAGGTGCAGAAAAATGGCACCAGGTGCTCTGAACTGATGAGTCAAAATTTGAAATATTTGGCAGTAGCCGAAGGCCGTTTGGTCGCTGAAGGCAAGAGTGAAGTATAGTGGAGGTTCCTTGCTGGTTTGAGGCTGCATTTCTGCAAATGGAGTTGTACATTTGGTCAGGATTGATAGTGTCATTACATTTCTCTTCTGTTCATTTGACTCAACTTAATGCCCCTTTTCTGTCTGTTTGTTTTGTAGGTGCTAGTGTGGCATACACGAACAGAGAAACCTAAGATGAAAAGGGAGGAGGCCCTGCAGGCTCAGGGACTAGGTTCAGACCCTGCAGTAGAGGTCTGAGGAACTCGCACACACACACACACACACACACACGCACACACTCTGACTCGTTGTAAAGCATAACCTGCTGTTTAATGCTGCATATTTAACTCTGCACTGTAAATACTGTAAATGAGAAAATATTGCTCAGAGTTTAACAAGAAATCTACCTTGTTATGATTCCGTTTTTGTTTTGTTTTTTCTTTGTTTTTGTGTCGAACAGTAAAGGTACGTGTATATATTGAGTGAATGTGTGTGTGTTGTCACAACTGTGCTGGCTGTACATTAATGTAAGTTATGGGTTTTCTTGTATTTCAGTGAGTTTAAAAAAAAAAAGCCTCTGTGTGTGGACTTGGGAGATAAGACAGTTGCCTGATGGGGGCACCAGTGTTACATTTTTGCAAAGCCATGCTGTTACATCACTAATACACTTTCGCTCAAAGATGGCGGCATGATGCATCTGACTACATATGTCCATACTCGTGGATTTCTACATGTTGCTTGTCGTTGGTGGTAATCCTGCTGTGTAACTCATTCCAGTTAGATATTTAGAGTAAACTGGGTCTGACTGACCCAAGCCTCCTCTATCTTGTTCACTTTACTCAACTTAGTTCATGTGGAGGTAAAGTTGCAACCGACACTTGATTCATGCATGGCTTCTATCTTTCAATTAATTAGCCATAGAGACAACATCATCATAGTTAGGGGTGGGAGAAAAAAATGATAAAGCATAGTATTGCAACATTTTGTCTGGTAATATAACGTATCGTCTCATTTACCAAATATTGATTTTTCAAATTAATTGCTTATATGAAGTCAAATCTATGATAATGGAAAAATAAAATCAACTGTTTGTCTAGTGAGGTTGGTAGAGGTGACATCATAGAGCAGGAGAAAGCTAGTGCAACAAATATATATAAAGTTTCCAAGATGTGCTACATGAAAATAAAATACAGCATAAATAAAACAAACATAAAGGAAAGACAAAGGCTAAATTAGCTAAACAGTTGACAAAATTATTTAAATTGCAATATATAGCATTGGAATACTCACTGTATTGCAAAATGTTAAATATCGCAATAATATCGCATTGTGGCCCAAGTATCGCGATAATATCGTATCGCGGCTTAAGTATCGTGATAAATCATATTGTGGCCCAAGTATCGTGATAATAATGTATCGTAGAGCCACTAGTGATTCCCACCCCTAATCATAGTCATAATAGTAATTTCTATGCAGCCTATCTTAACACAAATTTCTGCATTCGCGATCAAAGTTGCAGTATTTTCCAGTGAGATAGTAGAAGGGTGCATTTTTGTAACAGACAAATGCTAAATTAGCTAAACAGTTGAATAAATTATATAAATTGCAATATATGGTATTGCAATACTCACTGTATTGCAATATTTTAAAAATCGCAATAATATCATATTATGGCCCAAGTATCATGGTGATATCGTATTGTGGTCCAAGTATCGCGATAATATCGTATCGTGGCCCAAGTATCGCGATAATATTGTGTCGTGGCCCAAGTATTGATACACTCGATAATATCGTATTTTGGAGCCATTAGTGATTCCCACCCCTAATCATAGTCATAATAGTAATCTCTATGCAGCCTATCTTAACACAAATTTCTGCATTCCCGATCAAAGTTGCAGTATTTTCCAGTGAGACAGTAGAGAGGTGCATTTTTGTGATAGTAATCAATATACATGACATAGTAACCCCAACACAATGTGCAAAGTGATCAAGAAAATGCTAGGTAGTTGTTACCTTATATTGAGAGTATTGTTATGCACCTGTGTCAAACACACAACTTGTGCAACTTTGCAACAAATACTGCAACAATGACAAAGCAAACACACAGAGGCTGCGGTTCCACACGCCCACTGTAGCTTTAGCATAAAGCTCAGAGCTTTAAATGCTGGGATTGATCAGTGTCATAGCACAACAACAACAACAACAACAGAGAATCATAGCCAGCATTTTATTGTGTATATTTTTAGAGATGCTTTTAAAAACATAGGGCTTGGTTTTGAAAATAATTTTGAAGCTCCAACTATGGAAATAACCGCTCAAGTTCATATAAGCCTTATGTAATAATCAAACACGAAAACAAAGACAATTGTCCATGTCACATGTGCATTATGATGACAATAAAAAGACTTGGATTTGTCCTGACAGGCAGGAAATCACTGGTACTTTACAGCAGCAGTATTTTAATTATAACACTATAAATCAACCTACCTTGATAAGAAGTTAAGAAGACATTAGACCAAAATATTAAAACAGCTCTATTAAATGTATGATACTGTAAAAACATCTAGTGCCTGCTTAGTAATTAGTGCCTGTAAGTTACTTCTTTACTGGTGTATGATGTATTTATTACTGTAATACTGTTCCTACAATCTACAGTGTAATGTCTATCCTTGGCCTTGACAATAAACTCGAGTAATGTAGTAAAGTTCTGTGTTGTTTTTTTCTTAATTTCTACTGAAACACAGGGCCCAACATCATCACTACTAACACCAGTGTCTGCTTTTAAAAATAAACACCCTCTCTACCCTTGAGCCTCCCTTTTTGGTTTGAGAAGTGTGTGTCTTTTTACATTTCCAAAGCAGCTCCATGAAAACCACATACCTTGTAAATATTGTCTTTGATATGAGCTGAGGAAAACAGCCCTGTAATGATACAGTCAACAACAGTGTATCATTTTCCATTTCTTAACTTTAATTATAATTGAGTTTACAGCAAAACCTCATTTTACAGTGCTATACATTCCTGTATCGAAAAACTAAGTAGCTACCTGCTCAACTTTAGATTAAAGGGATATTCCGGCGTAAAATTAATTTAGGGTCAAACACACTGTAACATTGAGTTAGACACCCCCGACTGCTTGCTTCTCTAGTAATATCAACAGTACATATAGGGTCCCAGCCATTTCCATGAAGAAATGATCATAAATGTTCTTCCTTGAGCTGCACCCCCCCTGTCTCAGTCGATGATGGACTGGTCAAGGTCTCGCCACAAACAAGCGGCTGCTGGAAGAGAGTAGGTGAGTTGTGTTTAGACTTTTTGCTAAAGAAATTAGGCAAAGCGTTAAAGATGTTTGGTGGCTAGTACTATGGCTGGGACCCTATATGTACTGTTGATAAAGTTAGGTGCTGTTCTGAGCATTATTTGTGGCTATAGAGTGGCTTTTTGGTTGAGGTTTATTTATGGCTCCTCAGACCACTGTGTATTGCTATCGTGTGGCTGTTACTAAAGTTGGTATAACTCGAGAAACAAGCGGTCGGCAACATTCATCTTTTGAAGGGGTGTCTAACTCAGTGTAACGGTGTGTTTGACCCTAAATTAATTTTACGGAATATCCCTTTAGAATGCAACTATAAAACAAGTGAACCATTGTTCAGGTGCACTTGTCATACTTAGGATATAATTTGGATGACGTAGATAAGCAGTCCAAGTGTTACTTAGTTTTAACTGAGTTTTAAGTAATGGGTTAACTGGGGCTGTCGTTAGAAGCTGTTGCACTTAAAATACAAAAGATTCTCTTAGTTCATGGTGATTCACTGAAGCAGGAATAACGGAGGGGAGAAGGTTAAGAGTGAGATTTGACAGAGAAAAGTTACAGATGCTAGACTTTGATTAAACTTGTTTTTTTTTTGTGCTCTTTTTTGTGAAATATTCATAATATTCAGGGTCAGACAACTTTAACAATCCCAAAGGGCAATGCCATCAACCAACAGTCCAGTTATGTCAGAGACAATGATAGATAAACAAATCAGAACATAGTTTGAGGTGTCAGCTGACATCCTTATGTGAACCCATGAACGATGACTCAACAGTTAATGAATGCATCATACATTACAATATACCACTATGTTCTGTGAAGATCAGACAGATGTGAATCCCTGGTTTAACAGCCTGATTGCAGCAGGAATGAGGGACTTAAAATAGCAGAGAAGACACAGAACAAGACATGGTCATATTAGGTAATCATAATAGTACTTAATAGTGATAACACTATAGGTACAATGTGACCATATAGAGTTATTAGTTTGTTGCAGGTGGTTCAGTGTCTGTCTTAAGATTTCTTTTCTTTTGCACAGTCAGCTCTGATTCATCGTTTTATTTAAAATAAGCCAGCAGCACATCTGTTCCGTGAGTGTGTCAGGCTATACTTAGCAGTGTCACACTTCGCCAACTTGTCATGCAGTATGTCTGTAACCTTTATCACATGTCTGTCTCGACTCTTTCTCCCAGTATCGCTACATCAAAATCCAGACTGATTGCTGACAGCAGATTCAGATCCGTCACTTGTTCCTGCTTGTCAGTGACCATGGCAACCCGCTGCCAGCGTCCAGTTGTGTCATCAGTGATTATCCGTGAGGGGAAGGATTCTCTAACCTCAAAACAGCTGCTGTTTTTACCGGCCATGTGATTGACAGCTGATCCACCCACTTAGTGAGGAAGTTGCATGATGGTGACCATATATGGGGGTTGGGGATTTAAGGATTTAACTCATCAACCAGCAAACGCTCACACAGGGCCTTGTGAGATGAAGGGGCACTCGGAGGTGAGTAAGAGGAGCAGACACAAAATCCAAGATGATTCATTCACTGACACACAAACTCATGAACCTGGGGGCTAGACTAGAAAGTCTTTGTGTTCCTGTAGTTTTAAACTATCATTATCTACACTGTCATGCTTTCACCCTTAAATAACACTTATCTCACTCTACATAATGTGCTCCTGCTGCATGTGTTCTCGCATGGGCACAGCATGTGTGTTTATGCTTGTACAGGACGGTGTGGACTTGTGTTAAACAAGCATGTAGATAATTACCCAACACACACACACACACACACACTTTTCTCTTTCTCTCTCACACACATATGTTTGAGCATTTGACACTTTCTGTCCCGCCCAGTCACAGTGTTTACCATCTACACATAGAAAGATAACATTTGTGACCAAACTCATTCATCTTATCTGCACACACATGTTATTTCCACGAGGATATACCAGCTGATCATGGAGAGTTGTGTTTTTCTAAGTTTTTCTAACATTTAAAATCAAGAATGGTTTTGCCCTTCATTTGGTTTGGTAGTAGCAGAAGCTGACGGGAATGTTGTTAGTTGTCCAGTTGGCTAAAAAAGTTGATATATGGTGCCTGCAGATAATCTGGCAAACACTATAAATGTTTTGGACAAATTTGTCATTTTATTCGCCAAGAAACACAACTTTGTTACAACAGTGAAAGAGGCTTTGAATATTTTCATCAATTATCAAAATTCTGACATGGACTGTAGAGGCTAAATTATAGTTATAGTTGCATTTAAAGTCCCATACCTCTGGTTAAAAGTCCCAGCCTTTGGTTAATGATTAATAACCACTGATGCCACAAAAGGATGTTTGCTCATGGTGATATCTGTACCAGTATCTCCTATTTGTTTCAAAGGCTTTAAAAGTCTGAGTAGCACATTGTAGAAAAATGTGTGAGTTTAAGTAGAGAGTGAGACAAAAGGTCTTTCACTGTCAGAGTGCTGTGCTGTGTGTGTGTGTGTGTGTGTGTGTGTGTGTGTGTGTGTGTGTGTGTGTGTGTGTGTGTGTGTGTGTGTGTGTGTGTGCCCTCTGTGCATGTGAGTATTTGCTTTAATGACGACAAAGCTGCAGGTTGGGGCAGGGTGGGAGTATGACGCTGTGTGTGAGGGGAGTATCCTGAGCTCTCAGCTCCCAGTCATTCACTAATACACACACACAAACACACACACACACACACTTGGTCATACTCAAGAGATATTGCTCACCGGTGCTCACAAACTCAACTCCAGAGGAGAAGGAGACAACAGCAAGAGATCAAGTAAGAATTTCAACTTCATATCACTTACAGTCTGCTTTCTCTCTGCTTTGTTAATTGACTTCTTTAAAAGTGTTTTATTAGTGAATTAATTACACAAAGTCACAAACAAATGACCTGATTTGACATGACTCTTAATCTCATGCTTTTTTTGCTTTTCTAAACTCAGGACACTGTCTGAAGTCATTTAATTCTAGTGACTTTTCTCTCCCTGCCTTCTTTTAACTTCTTTTCTACTTTACCTCCATTTAAATAGTCAAGTCTCTGTCTTTTGTCTTATCTGTGAATTCGGAGCTGTTATGTAAGAAACTATCTACACCTGTTTATGGCTGTACCGTAGCACACATCTTCGTTATCATAGACACTTAGGTAAGCTAATTTTAATGATAAATGATCAACTTACTGGCACCCTAACCTTAGAAGGTAACTCGTGCTTGAACTACTGTATTACACGGTTGTTAGTCTACAAACATGTAAAAAGTGTAAGTTTGTGTTCAATGTCATTTACATGTTGAATTACGAATAATTTAAGTCTGTCTTTATGTACAATGCAAAATGGCAAACTTATGTTATAGTGGACAAAATATAAAGATTTAAGGCCACTCAAATAATCCACCTGTAAAACCAAAAGCTATTGTTTTTACGCTGAAGTTGCTGCATGAATTACAAAGGTAAAAAATGTTAATCAGCAAGCTTTAGTCGAGCTAAGAAGAGGCAGATGTGTGACCTTTGCTCCAGCAGGCGAAATGTTTCCCCCTGTTTTGAGTCTTTATGCTAAGCCCTGAAAATCAGCTGCTTGTATTAGTTTTGACACATAGGCGTACATGTTGACGTTCACATTTTAATTTACACTCTGATTCATGCAACTATTTTATAGCCCAGACAAGAGTGTCTTGAATTTTTGACATAACAGAGAGACGTCAACATCCAGACAGGTAGAAGCAGGGAAACTATGTCGTCAAACACTCACAAGACCGTGAACAAGTCTACTTCTCTGTGCTACTAAATGTGACGAGACAATAGTGGTTTTCAAGGAGCTGCAGTTTTTATTAACTGAATAAAACAGACCAAAAGTTTTTAATCGGAATGTCATTTAATATTCTAAAATAAAGACACTGCAAGGACAGATTGAAAGTGCACTTCAGTGTTTAGTATTGGATGAAATAGGCCGTGATGTAGGGTCAAACTTGTAAATGTTGTTCTCTCTTTTACAATTTAGACACTGGGCACTTTTAAGAAGCAGCATTTGTGCAGGCTTGTATTCTTATATAAGGAATTGAATAGGATTTATAGGGTAATTATCACAGATTAACAGATTGTTTTTACAGTTAGTTAAAAAACGCTTTCTTCTGTGAACTTCCAATCTGATGATATCATCGCTAATAAGCCAACATAGGGGTGATTTAGGCATACAGAGATCAAGAGTCCATATGAAGTCATTGATTTTGGCTACTGTACAGGATCCAGCTGGTTAAATCAGTGCCAAAGTCTAAGTCTATGTGTGTGTTTGTCTTTCGTCGTATGGACATTGTGTCTTTGACATTCAGTTATCATCACAACTTTGATAACACTGACTTTGACCTGACTTTGAGACTCTTGTACATTATGGTCATGTCTGCTACATAACTCGTGATCTTCACCTTTATTTAGTCTGAGTTTCACCCATTTGAACTTAAACCCTTCATGAAAATCACTGTGAGCTGCATGAAATGATTAAGACTGAGTGCAACAGGAGGAGACCCAAAATGGGTAAGGTTTAGGGATGGGTTATGTAACAGACTTAAACTCTAATCTTTCTTACTCCTCATCTTTCAGAGGTTACAAAAAGAAGAGTGGAAGAAGAAGCAAAAAGAGGGAAGATGACAATTGGTAAAAACTCCAGAAAAAGCTCTACAAGGAGCTCCATAAGGGCGCCAAAATTTCTTGATAAGTCAAGCGGCTTTTATGGACGTCTGGATGAGCCTGAGCTTGCTGGAGAAGTGGAGGAACAGAGGGAATGGAAAGGAACAGAGGAAAATGTCGGAAAAGACATGTCTGGGGAAGATCAGAAGGGAGACGCTGATGTGTTTGATTTCAATGAAGGGATGATGGAAGACGACGGAGAGACTCTTCTCCAGAGGAATAGCAGTCGTCGCAGCAGCAGGTGGAGAAGAAGCTCAAGGAGGAAGCAGAAGGAAAGGAGAGTAGAGGAAGATGCGACCCAAGATGAAACACCAACCCAAAGCGATGAGAGTCCGTCCGACCCTCATGTCCTGGATGACATCAGGGTTACGATTGAGAAGGAAGGACAAGGGAAGGAGCCTGTACTTGTTCACTTTACAATCCGAGAGGAAAAAGACGACCAGGTCCTGATCAGAGACAAGAAGAGAGGGAGAGAAGAGGAGGAAGAGGAGGAGAGGAAGATGAGGAGGGAGCAAGAAGAGGGAATGAAGATGGTGAAGAGGAACTCAATGAAGAATTACCGCAAGGTAAGAGAGAGTAAAATTAAATATACGAAAAAGAGGCACTTCTTTTGTTTCTGTCAACAAGCGCTAGCCACTGCTCCCTGTTTCCTACATCAACATGAACTCCATCCAGCTCTACCCAACCTGGTTAAAATTTAAGCCCCTCAAGGTTACATAACTGTGTCCACAGAGTTTGTAGAACAGAGGGCTAAAGTTCTCTCACATCATCCTTCACCTATGCGCACGGGGCTATTAATCACCATGGAAACTATCTTCTTAATTACAGATGCCCACAGGGGGTCAAGGTACGGCAGCCATTGGTGCATGTCACCGACCTGTTTGATGACCTCATGTGATGGGATTTTTTCTTTAGGCCTACATCACATTAGAAATTATATCAGAACCGGAGTTGAACCAACAAGTTTTAGCTTCTAACCTTCAGTGTAGACAGAATTCTGCATGTTCACTGACATGGCCCAGACTTCTTTAGATCCTTTGCTCCACTGAAACCTGTAGACTGAGGTGACATTCCTCTGCCTCCTATATCATGGCCTTTGATCAGTGGAGTGAAGTATGCCCGTGTTGACCCGCCTACTAAAGCCACGCCATAAAAACATTCCACTGCCGTTAGCCAATCAGCTCCACCCATAACCCACAGAGGCTAACATCCTCTTTAAATGAGGACGATTTTAAGACAGAAACTGGGTTATTCACCTGGATGCCAAATCGATCAATCGGCAGCACGATTTCTATATGTTGACAAAATCACAATAACAATAGCAATTCATGTTTCATCACTAGTTTTGAACAAAATACCTGCAGCCAACGATAGTGTCAATTTCCACAACATATTTAAGTGCTTTTATGCAAAGTTGTTATTGTGTCCCTAGTTTTCCTATAATCAGTATTTTACAGCAGAGTTGTACCTTTGAAACTTACAGGGTCATAATTTGAAGTATAAAAATGAAAGCAGAGGAATTCTTCAGTCCGAAGAACAATGCCCTAAACACATTGAACCACCCTCGCTGCATGGCCACAAGGAAGGCAAAGTCCAATAATTGGTCCTGACGTGTGGCCTTTAAAAGATGACTCAGATTGAGGCCTGCTAAGACACTAGTCTAATCATGTCAAGATTTGTGATTTGGCTCCACCTTTTAGTATCAGCTCATCTCTCTTTTAACATCAGCAAAATAATGGTACCAAGCACTATCCACAACTTTTTAATTTAACAATAAACCTTAAAACTTTCCAGGTGCTGTGTAAATAAACCTCTTTTTGAATTTGCATGATGAACTCTTCTCCTCCTCTTAATCATTACTGTTTGAAATCACATAATAATGACTAACTCTGCTATCCCCTTGTTCCCATCAGGCCTTGGACCGAGCCTTTCGTCGTGGCTGGGAGGCTTTCGTCGCCAACCTTTACAGCGTCACGCTCACGCCCGTGACATCATCCTCACCCCCATCTTCTTCTCCTTTTACAAAGAAGAGAGAGCAACACAGCTCTGTGCTGGCCGAGTTCCAGTAGACCTGGAGAGAAATATGAACAATAACATAAATCCAGTTTTAGTATTTTACTTTACATTCAAATCACGACTATTTTGGTCTTCCCTTAGTAACTTAATTGTTTTGGACACTGGCCTGTGTAACATTTGCTTCGCCAATGATGAGGACTTTTACTTAAACATGTGTGTCACATGTTTAAGTCATACATATGTCCTCATAAATAATTCGTTAAAGTTACTGAGTCTTAATTACTCATCAAAAAGTTTACTGCTCTGTCTTCTTGTGCTGCTCATTGATCAGCACATACACTGCCGGTATTTTGTTTTTTATTTACCGTTGTAGTCAAGCTGTTGATTTTACATTGAAGTCAGTAGGGCTAGCATGAATAGAGAAGTCTAGTCTTCATATGACTGAGTTCAACTGCTTCTGGCTAACTTTTACAATGCTGCTGATTTTACACTTTCGGTCAGCGTTTGATGAGATACAAATCCGGTCCACTATTAAGAGCTCGGTCACAGATAGTCTTTGCTTCCTATGGTTTGGCACTATGACCCAAGTAATGTGTTGATGTGTTACCAAAGGGATAAAATTTTCCGACCATATGGCTATGACTGATTAGTGGACTTAAAGATGTGGAAATATTTATTTCTGTTTGTTAATCAGTGCCATTTATTGCGGTTTGTTGGCCAATCAGTAACCAGTTGGAGTAAATGACAAGGGGGGGAACTTGTGATTGTGATCAACATAGCATACAGAGGCACATACAGACACTTGTTATATAATTTCGAGAGAGAGAGATAAACATTTTTACTAGTATTAACCTACTTTAATAGAGCTTTTCTAGCACCGATAGTGTTTCTCTCCCACTGTGTGTTCTGGTGAAGGTATTCAACCTGAAGGGACAGAGAAGGAGTATGATTGAATGATTGTGTGTGGTAAAAATAGCAAACAGATTTAACTGTATATTAATTTATTTGTCACCTTTGCAACGGCACAAAATGTTTAAAACACCTTTGCATGACCAAAACTGTCCCTTACTGGATGACAAGAGGTCGAAAAGTTATTTTAGAACTTTCTTTTAGTGCTAATTGCAAAAGGAATTAAATAAGAGTAAATTATTCTGTAAAATTCATAAGGACTTTTTGTTACTGTATATGTTAACTGTAGTTTGAATGAAAAAAAATCTACTTAAAATAGATGTGTTAATTTTCTGTTTAACGTGGTGCATCTGTTTTTGTGTTACCTCAAGTGTACTTGGTAATTCTTGCAGAAAAGTCTGAAAAGTTGTGAAAACTTCTTTGGATTATGAATATGACTGTCAAAAAGTGTGCTAATTTTATTTAATTCAAAAAACTTTTTGTATAATTATTAAAGCTTCTGGAGTCACAAACCGGGAGAAGCAATTTCCTGACTAAATAAAGACTTAGTGTGTTGAACTGGTTGTTTCTTCATTTCGATTCAGGTTTAATTGACTTGATATGCCCAAGTCATCATTACATGGATGCAGAGTTGGTCCAAGCCTCAAGTCCTGGGCCCTCTATTTCTGCCAATAGTATTGATTGTTGATCATTCACACACCTTCACCAATCTCTTTGATTAACATTCCATGATATGCAAACATACCTTTCTCTTGGTGGTTTTTCTCTTCTTCCTCTTTCTTTTCTCTGCTCCTGAAGGAAATGTCCTTTTTTGCGACATTGTTTTGCCCCACAACTACCTGCGCTTTGGATGCTGAGTGCACATTGCACAGCAGAAGGCACATTGTGATCGTGGAGCTTTGCCATCAGACTAAAATGCACTAAAATGTTTTTTACTTTATTTTATTTTTACAATAATATATATATATATGATCATACAGAAAGCATCACTCATATATGCAAAAAATAAAAAATATGTTCTCAAAAAATGTTCTTGAGGGGCCCCTAAGCAGGCGCTGAGTTCACTTATGCCTTGGGCCGGCTCTGCATGGATGAATCAGAACCATAGACTCTATGATCAGAACACATTGTCATGTCAGATACATGGGAAATGTTGTCATGATGGTACCAGCGACATCAAAATAAATTATGAAAATATTAAAGTATAGACAGAGGATCTCATTCATACACAAAAAATTAACATTCCTTAACAACTTAAAAAAATGCACAACTTAAAAGACGATTAAAATTAACCTGTGTACATAAAATACAGAATAAATACTATTGAACAATATTCCAATATTCTTGTATTAAAAACTAAAATAAAAAGAAATTCTGTCCAATGTTTCGACTACGCCATGTTAGTGTCTCTGCCTCTCTGCTGCCACCTCCCGAACACAGTCCATACTGCTTTATTTTACCGGAAATTACGTACGGAACCGGTGCGTATAAAAATCGAAGAGCCCTCTCCTTCCTTCCACTTCCTCAACATGTCTGCATCGGGTGAGTTTACACGCAACTTTCAGCAGCCATCTGCAAATTTAAAGTTTTTAAATCATAGCATTGTTCTGAGCAACATATTTTCAGTTAACAACAAGAGCATGCGCTTAGCTTTATTATTTTAATCCTGTTTACAAGCGGAGCGGCGTTAAGTTAGCTGTTCATGTGCAGAGAAGACTCAGCCGCACTGACTTAATGTCGCCGCAATCCTTCACCATCTACAAGCTAATCGTCAAAATATCTCCACACTTCTCATTATTATAACGTTGAAGTTGTGTTGCCTCAATGTTACACCCAGTATTTCATACATATATGCTTTCTAACCATCTAACACTAGATGTGAGATGGCCTCGACTAGTTCAGTGTGGCCTCATGCAGCGTCTCTATATGATGAGAATTTTCACAGACCTGTCCTGAATGACTGTGATTGCATATTTTTTTCTGATTTGAGACGCTTTCAAACACTTTTCCGACTAATTTGTGCGGGTGTGAGCCCACGTTATGTGTTGGTCACGTGTTAGCCGACACAGGAAGTAGACCTACTAAAGCACTATAACTCACTGATTTTATTCTCTTTGGTATCTAGCTGACCTGGAAAGATGTGGACCGACACAATGCAAAAGTAAGCTTTAATTTCCACTGTTATAAGCATGATTATCTGCTACTGTGATGTTCCATTTGAACTCTCTCACTGAACTTTTATTGAGGAAACTTAATCTCTCAAACTTCTGAGTAGCTCTCACAGTGAGCATGTCTTAAATCAACCTTAAACATGTCAATAACTTTCTCTCCATTGTCCTCAGGTGTAACAAGACTCCTCCATTTAAGGTAACTATACTCAAATTCGCATTAATGTCTGTTGGTTATTGTTGCACATCCTTTGACCAGCTCCATGTGCTGCAGTGATGAATCTCTGAACTCTCTCTTACCGAATCAATTTTGAAGAAACCCCTTTACCAGATTCTGAGCAGCACATCCATCTACTGGCATTAAAGAGCTCCCCCTCCAGGAGATTAAACTTGACACTCATTTTAGCTTCAAAAACAAAAACCTGAAAGATCTGTTGCTAAACCTATTTTTTTTTTTTTTTTTTCCCTTCAGTTTGTCGAGGATGAAAGACACTGGCAGGTAAGAAACCTGAATTAAGATTACAAAGATTAGTGTAAAGGTCCTTACACACCGGGGCTGACACAAGAACGCAAAATTAGAAATATCTGGAGGCGAATTTTGATGCGCCTGACTATACACGTCAAGCCCAATGCGATTTCGCGACTTTTCGCGATAAAGACGCATCTGGGGGTAGACTTTTGCTGGGGAAAGTCCCGCCTCCTTCGCCTCTGTTGGCTAAAAAAAGCTGGAAATGTCATCACATGCTCAAGCCAAACAGCCAGCACTTATAGCCAATCAGAGGTGATAAGATAAGCACATGAAACTATGGTAACAACCGTTAGCTTATGTTGGCACAGATGAAAGTTAAAACAAAGACGTTTAGCAAACTGTTCCTCATGAGAGATACGCTTGTATTGACAGGATACAGGTTTGAAGAAAAAAACATTGACATCCGAAAAAATCACACGACAAAAACTGTCCTGGTGTGAAAGTACTTTAACTCTGCAAAGGGCCTTATTTGATGAATTTAATCAAGACAAGCATATGCCTGACTTCTGTGATGCTAGATATAATCTGATCAGCCCATCAAAACACTGAAATTATACTCATCTGCAAGTTTATTTCTCTGACTAATCACTTATTTTTTTCCTTCAATAGGCTGGTCTGCTCTGTAGGTGAACTCTTTGAAGCCACTTGTCTGGATGATGAGGTGAGTTAATGATGAATATGGTAGTTAATCCAGCTGTGGAGAGTTGGTGTGATGATTACAATTAATGACAAGCATATGCCTGATTCAGATGATGTCAACCTGTAATCTGACTGCCCTCAAATAAACTTGTGTAAAACAGTTCATCTTTTTAAGCATGCAACTAAAATTTTGCATCTTTGCCAGATGGGACATTGAAGAGAAACTGGATGGATGCTACGTAGACGTCTCAACATGTGAGTCTTTGAGAAGTTTGTGTGATTCTAACAAATACCCTCCTTGCTGTGCAATAAAATATATACTTCTGCCTAATTAGGGTGATTTTGGGTCACCTCAGTTCTAGTTTAAATCTTGAAATCTAATGCAAGGTGGTTCTGACAGTTTGAAAGGATGAAATGGGATTATTCCCATCAAATACCTGGACGACTAATGTCAAATGGCAGTTTGTCACCAAAGCCCTGATCAAACCTGAAATGACTTTGTTCCTGATGTGTGTTTTGTTGAAATTGTACTGAAGGACTGATTTGTCTTTTAGCCTTTTTCATGAGGATATCAAGAAGGAGAGAAGCAAAGAGTCTTCAAGGTAAGATTTTTCCACTAGTCTTGTTTTTTAAATATTGTGAGATCTGTTTTCCCTTCATAATGCAGTTCCAGTGATGATGATACTTAGCTCACTTTGAACCGATGTGAAACGACACGAACATCTGAGTGGCTGCATTTGTAAATAACTTCTGATTTAGTTATGATCAAGTGTTATGTATTCAGGGAATTGTCGAGCTTCAAGCAAGTTAGTAAATTTTCATTTTTGTATCAACAGATGGTTGAACCGTCAACAGCGTGATCATCCTTAACTGAAGGTAAGCCTCCATTTTGTGTTTTCCTCGAGTCCAACACTTGCTGAAAATGATGAGATAACTTTGGAATCTCGTTCGTCTGAACTGCTGTTGAGAAATGGAATATCTGATATCAGCGACTGTAAAGAGCCGAAAGAAAACCTTTTAACTTGTCCTTCGCTCAAAATTGTTGATTTTGTCTTAAAGGTTTTTGGAATCTGCCATTCCAGAAGATGCAACTTTCTCCTCATCAAAAGATGTTTTCCAAGGTGAGTGACACTTGAACTGAAGAGAAAAGCACCTGAATGACATGGTAACCCCTCCTGTTGGTTCAAGACTGTTCACTGTATCCGCTTCATAATGTTTCCTTCATGATGACAACCGCACGCGTCTTACGCCTCGCGTTAATACCAGAACCTGAAAAGGTGAACCCACTGGTGTTACCTTGGCAATAAGGGGAAGACCCGTTGGGGTTACCAACAGTCTGAATGGAAACAAACTCTTGCACTTTAGGTCACCATACTCGGCTCTTGTTGGTTTATGGAGTTACTTGTCCCTTGTTTTGTTTACACAGTGATCTGTAGTGATATGAAGAGCATGTCGGTGGTTATCTAACTGAACTGTTCTTGTCCACACTCTTTTTAGGACAAACTGTCTGTCACATCTAGAATGGAGGAAAGATGACCCAGATATGTCTGAACCTGGAACATGATACTTTGAACAGCAAATTGGACAAATGAAGAATGAGCTTTGATCCATGGTGTAAGCTTCATTGCTATGAAAGAGGCTTGTTCCCGTCCTAGGTGGAGATGCAGATGCAACTGGGACTAAGGTGTGTGTTTGGCCACTGCAGTCAAAATGTTAGTTTTCCCTTTTAACAAAAATGATGAGTTTCTTTTACCGCCCCAGTCTGAGAATTCATGACTGATTGGTATCCCCTCTGACTGTACCAGAAGTTAAGAATAAAGCCACTGATTTAACAAGGTGGGCTGACACTGTCGTCTTGTTTCAGGCTGGTGAAGCTGCTCTTCATTGGTCAGTGCACCGACACTTGGGTCTTCAACAGGTAAATAAGACAGTTTGATATTGGACACTGTAATCATTAATATTTCAGTCCTTAAGTAAATGATGAGTTCTTTATTACCGCCCCAGTCTGAGAATTCATGACTGATTGGTATCCCCTCTGACTATACCAGACGTTAAGAATAATAATATTGCCACACTGAATTAACCAGGTGGACTAACACTGCCATCTTGTTTCAGGCTGGAGAAGATGCTCTACATTGTTCAGTGCACGCAACACTTGGGTCTTCAACAGGTAAACAAAACAGTTTGATAGATAGTGGACACTGCTATCATTAACATTTCTGTCCTTTAGTAAATGATGAGTTCTTTATTACCGCCCCAGTCTGAGAATTCGTGACTGATTGGTATCCCCTCTGATCATGCTGTTGAAATTGTAATCTTTTCATAAGTATAAAGTTTTCTCTAAGTGTTGCGTTTGTGGTCTCCTCAGGCTTTGATGGATCTGCTTTGGTCTCTCTGGGGTTTTAAGGTAAGAATGAAGAACGTCAAATGTAAAAAACTTATCTAGACGTGATGAGTTTCTTTTACCGCCCCAGTCTGAAAATTCATGACTGATTGGTATCCCCTCTGATCAAAAGTTGAAGCTTGCACATACTTGTTAACAAAAACAAAGACTTTTGCCCATTCTGAAGTTCTGTTTTCTTTACAGACTCAAGTCCACTGGAGTCTTGACTGTTGACACGTCTGCTGTTCCTGGAAAGCTCAAGTGTTGCTAGGTGGAGCACTTGTAAGGTCTTATCAAACATGCCATGCACCAGTGATGCAGGTCGCACAAGGGTTACCATGGAGCGGTTTACCGTGACTGTCAACAAATCAATACTCGATGTTTCTCAGATGATCAGAAATGAATGTAAAGCATTTTGAATTGCAGTGGCCATCAGTTTCTGATGGTTTAGAAATTTCAAATAAAGCACTAAATACAAAACCAAACTCAAGATTGGTTACTTTATGTCAAGCGTTTTTCCTTGATACATCCAACAGTATGAAAATACCTTTTCACGTTCTAGTTCAGTGCTTTGACTTTTCTCCAACTTTATAATCCTGTCAATTAACAAAGTCTGAATTCTGACTAGATTAAAATGTGTCATTTTAACTGTCCAAAAAGACGTTTGTAGAGGTCCTTCTGGTTGTCTAATAAAAAGCACAACTGACCCTGAACTGCATTGCAACAGGGTTCTGGTTAAGGGTAGTCAACCTACTAAACACCTGATGTCATTTAGACGTCTTTTTTGCAGGCTAAATCACGTCGGCCCATCATGGCTGTAATTTAGCCCAAAAAAGACACAGAAAACTGGGCTTCACTGAGACTATCTGATTTGGTTTTTATTTAGCCCAAAATGGTATATTCATTCGTATTCAACAGTAAAAGTTCTCCATCTCTTCCCACCCAGCAAAACCACTTTTTTTGCTGGGTGGGAAGAGATGGAGAACTTTAACTGTTGAATACGAATGAATATACATCTTTCAATAAATGCACAAAGTACTGAAAGTCAAGTGATTTCTTGCTTTTAATTTTCACTGACTGTACACTTACAGAAATCAGACATAACATGTGATGTACTCTTCACAGTAATGAGGGATGAAACGATGGGGTTTAACATCTCCACAAGTAATCATACTGCTTTTAGTGTGTGGCCTATCTATCTGCAGACATGCGGTTTTCCATTATGTTGCAGTGTTAGGGATACTCAGTTAAAATATTGTCAGTGCAGAGGTGTAAAGGTTGTAACCAACATGCTGTAGATCAGAACAGTCAAATGTAAGGATCCAAATATAACTTGTGCCTCTTTGCGAGGTAACTAAAGGATTTGGTAAAGTAGGAGTACATCTGAATAAGAGCCCATGGTGTGTCATGGCTGGTGTAATTGAGCAGATTGGAGACAGATGAGAATAGAGCAAAGCTGCATTTAGAAGATAATATATGATTTCCTTAACTGTGGTACTTTTCAATCTTAAATGTGAAATCAAGATGTGAAATTTTTAATCACCCCACTGTGGTTTGTGTAAATTCACTTGATTCCCTCAAACCAAATACATGTAATCTCAAACTTTGATTCCTCAAGTAAGGCATTTTGATGTTAAATAAAGGGAATGTGTCAAAGTATAGAAATCCAGATTGGATTTATAGATGCTGCTGATGACAGCTGCACTCCACAGTCACCAAACATAAAACTTGTTAAGCTGCATTTTGACTCTTTTTATCATCAGAATCCAATAATGATGCTGAAACAAGTCAGAGTTCCCCAACTTGGTTGCTGTTTATTAAATAAAAACAAAACAAAAAAAAGAAAAACATGGTCACACACAAACTCAGTCAGTGGTGAAAATCCTTGCAGCAATATCCTCTAGTAGCCAGTCCACTCCAGCTAACAGGTTCTCTCCCGTTACTGCACTGCAACCAATGATACACCAGTGATGACTTTTGATCTGATCCAGAGCCAGCGCCTGCGGGTTACAAACAGGAAGAAGACAAATTGTGATTCCAAGATCATTTCGACTTATCCCACAATTTAGAAATATTTAACTGATTTAAAGACTCCCACCAGCATTACTGATAACTGTAAAGAAAGTTCAGATCTCACCTCTTTTATTGCCTCTTTTGACAGAGCTCCTGGTAAATCCTGTTTGTTGGCAAACACCAGAAGTGTTGCACCAGCTAACATCTGGGTAAAGACAAATCATATTATGAATAATAATGACGGCAATATAAAGAGAGGAGACTCCTTTAGTTTACACTCATCAGTCTATTGCTTCTTACTTAGAAATGAAGGATTATGGAACGTGGTAATATCAGGTAAACAACAAACCCTAAAATGTGCTTCCCAGTTATTTCTGTGTGTGAGTGTGTGTTTACCTCCTCCTGCAGCAGTGAACTGAGCTCCTGCCTGCAGTCCTCAAGTCTCAGTCTGTCTGCACTGTCCACCACCCACACCAGTCCGTCTGTGCTCTCAAAGTAGTTCCTCCAGTAAGAGCGCAGTGACTTCTGACCACCTACATCCCAAATATTCAGTTTAAACCTAGAAAACGGTGTGCAAAAAGGGGAATTACACAAAGAATTTAGAGGGAAACAGCTTATTATTTGATGTAGATGAGGAATATATAGCTTGAATATGAGAGAATTAGTGTCTGTGAAAACATTTAATAATCAATTTAGTAATTTTACATAAGAGGAGAATGCAAATAAAATAGAAGTGGAAGGATGAGAAAGTTTAACCCAGGAACAAACAAAAGGAGGAGACTCAAAGGCTGCCCATGAGGATTTTACAGTAGAGGTGGTGTGTGGTTATGCCAGAGGTTTGAGTGATTCGTTTTGTGTCATGCTTGTTTTCAATTAGTGCTTTTTTACAACCGACAAAACATTAGTTGTTTTTTTTCTATTTCATCTTTTGCCTGGCCAAGAGGTCAGCAGCAAGAATCTTATATAATCTTAATAGTTGCTCTTAATGATCGAAGAATTGGAACAATATCTGTGATAACACTCTGAAGGTAAAGCCTCTTTTCACAGCAGGCATCTTGATTTTTAAAAGACAACCAACTATAACCTATATCATGACTCTTGTTGATCCGTGTCCCAGTAAATCTTTGCAGAGTTAGGATAAAAATCACAAATACCCTGGGACTAAAAAAAAGTCCTAATGTTATTTGTACATTTGTACAGTCTGTGATGGTACCATGCTAGAGTTGGTCAAGTCAATCATAGTTTTGTCTCTAACTAGTGTATCTGCATATGTGTAAACATAACTTGTCATGTCTTGATAATATAGCATGCCAAAAAAAGTGGTCTCCTATGGTCAACTTACCCCGTGTATGGGGTAAGTTGACCATAGGAGTGGGGTAAGTTGAGCTGTATCCCTACTATCATGACTTTATTAGTCTTCTAAGCCAGTGATTTTTAACTAGTCTCACTCTGGGTCTTAAAGTCGCGACCCACTTTTATAAAATTCAGACCAAGCAAATGTATTTTTTAGAAAATTGAGTAAAGTGCATTTCAGAGCACATGAAGGGGACAACATGAGGCCAACAACTACTGAAGTTGCTCTCACAGAAAATATTGAATATCTAATAAATTTCGCATTTAATATTTACCTTTTTGACCAGCTGTTCGTGACCCATCCAGAACGTGTCAATGACCCAGTTTTGGGTCAGGACCCACCAGTTGAGAACCACTGAGCTAAAATGGTGGACTTTTATGCTAGGTTTTTGACCTCATGTTGTAGCTCATAGATACCACAATTGATGTATAAAACAAATTTAAAAAGATCTTTTTTTGGTCTGAACACAATTCTAATAAAACTTATGACAGACTAAATTTACTTTCAAAAGTGAAAAATGTTTTTTTTTTTTTTGGAAATAAATGTCTAACCCCTTCACCCATGTGCTTCTAACCTTCACAGACTCCATGAATTGATGCCCATATCCTAAATATTTGGTCACATGATCAATTTCTCTTACCATTTCCAAGCAACAGGGGGTGGCTCAACTTACCCCACTCTCCCCTATAGAATAGTTTGAAGTTTTCCTCAAATTGTGAAAAAAGATATTTCCGTATATTCTATAATGTTTAGATACACCTGTATACCAAACTTTACTCTTGGTCACAGGTGAGACATACTGTGTGAATGCAAGTAGCGCGTGCGCGTTACCCTCTGTGCTCCAATGTTTTAATGTTGAACCCCAGTGTCGGTGAGATGGTGCTAACGTCCTCTCCATTGAACTTCTTCAGGATGGTCGTCTTCCCTGCGTTGTCTAGACCTCTAAAAAGACCCGAGTTAAGGAAGTACAGTAATAATAGTCAACTTCAATGTGCGTTATAACTGAATCAAGACAGTCAAACCAGTACAGACAGCTTACACTGTAGCGTTAGCATTTGACAAACACAATGAGAGGAGGATAAAAATAAGCATCCTGGAATCATCTCCTCATGGATCATTCAATACTCTTGTTTTAGTGACACAGATACAGTAAAGGTTGGTTCATGCTACTTATTCCCAGCTAGGCTAGTCCGCTACTCAATACATTGTCACAGTCAGGATACAACATCAGCAGTCGCATTTCCCTCTCCTTCTGCTTCATCTTCTTCAAAATCGTCAGCAAACCCATCGCAACGCTGTCCTGGAGACTTTCGTTTGATTAAATTGGCTGTTTAAATTGCTTTATGGTTTTAGTTGAGAGATATTCATGGTTAATTTTTCAGTTTAGGGAACTCGGAAGAGGCACACATACTAGTCCCGCCCCACATGGTTTCCAATTGGGCTATGTAATACAGCGAATGTTGATTGGTTGTGGGGGAATTTAAAGCCGCCTGATTGGTTAGTAGTCATATAAAGGCGCGGCCCTCATGTGGCGCCTTCATGCGTTAACGTTGGAGCTGGTGATGGGCATGGCAGTTCTTTTAGATGTACTGAATCACTAGAATCAGTTCACTTAAAAGTTCGTTCAAAAGAATCAGAATCAGAAATACTTTAATATTCCCCAGGGGGAAATTGCTTTTTATCACAGTAACTAAAAATAAAAATAAAAAATATAAATAATAGATAAAATAAGTAAAAAAAATAACAATAATATATTTTTTAAAAAGTTGGTAAAAAAAGTTAAAAATAATCATTAAAAGAAATTTTAAAAGTTAGTAAAAATAAGTAAAAAAATATATATACTTTTTAAAGTTAGTAAAAATAAGTAAAACAAATAAAAAAAGTTTTTTAAAAAAGTACATAAGTAAAAAAATAATAATTAAATTCATTCACTGAATCACCGATTCATTCAGTGCTTGATGGGAGGAGCCTGCAACTCCAGTTCCTGATCTTGTACACAGCTGAACGGTTCAGGTTTTCAATTCTGTAAAAGACTTCTTGGACCAGACAAGAAAGTGTTGTGGCTGTGTTGCCTTTGACAAACATGTTTGTAAAAATGAACTCATTAAGTGTACTGTCCTATAATATGGTATTTATCCGGTCTACTCTGTAAAGTAGGCTCAGTGAGTGATTCGTTCACTGAACATTTACCCCACAGTGCATTCAGTGAGGGATTCCCGCGCTTGCCGGCTGCTCGCCCGGCAATGCTGCTTGCTATGGCAGCCGCTCTGCTGACAGTTCAACTGAAGTGAGAAACGAACAAATCACTTGAAAAAGTGATTCGGTTCAGTTTGTTCACTTAAAAGATTTGGTTCTTTTGAACGAATCATTCGTGAACAGCACAACACTGGCTGGAGCTGTAGTTTCCATTCAGCCCATGTGGTTATTTTCTATTAGTCTAATTTCTAAGAGAGCTGCAGAATATATTGGATAGATAGATAGATAGATAGATAGATAGATAGATAGATAGATAGATAGATAGATAGATAGATAGATAGATAGAATAGTCAGCGCTGCACTGACTTTATATTTAGGTAAGAGATCAATCATTGCTTTTGAAAAAAGAAACCCCAAGAATGTCTACAGAAAGGTCACTTTTCAGAGCTTTCGATTGCACAACTTTGATCCAAAAAGTAAAAATTGAACAGTTAAAACGCCGAAAAAAAGTATTTATATTTTTGCAATGACAACCTATGATAAGGGCTGTTATCTCCAGCATCAACATTCATAGATAAGTCAAAACAGCTTACTTGTCATTTGTAAAACATTTAACTCATGATGGTCACATCCTTCGAACAGAAAGTCTAAAGAGCAATACCTTTACTTAACACTTTAACCTTGCATCATTTCCTGAAAGTTGTCGCCAGCTGTCTGGGGGCTTGGTTGTTAATTTCCTGGCAAAAGCTATTGAGAAATTCCCTGTTCACGTGGGGGCGTAACTTCTTTTATATGGTCATCCGGTCTCGAGTTAATCCTGTCCAAGAACATATTTGTGGCATATTTTCCCATTCAAGCAGGCTTGAACATTATGGTGCGTTCAGGTGATATCAAGGGAAAAAACGGGTCAGGATTTATATGTCTAAAATCAAACAACAAAGCTCACATATTATGGGTCACTGTTTGTCCTTGTTGGGTTCAAACAAATAGTAGCTGACAAAATGTGATTTTTAAAAAGCTGATTTAGAGTCTACAGCCTATTTAAGGTGCTTTAAAGCAAACACATATTCAATAGAAAAAGATTAAAACATGCTTAATGCTCTTTCCATGTTCATAACTATTGTCTGTTTGTCTTTGAGCAAAGAATAGCGTCAGTTTGAGACAAATTCTGTCATTAATCTGTGTTTTTAAATCTGCTTGTAACTACACAGACTTGGAAACTGAAGAGTACGGACTGTACGTGAAGGCGGCATTGCCTCAGCAACGTTTGCTGTGAATGGGTCGTTTTAAAATAAAGAGAAACTGAAAGTTGTCTAGGCTCACGTTGCATCATTAGCGGTCGGATGCCAAACCTCCCTCGTTAAAAACAGCTATCACACCCGCTGGCTGACTGTTTCACTCCGGGCTATCATCCGTCAGACACATAAAGTTACCAAGCAACCTGCAGACTTCAGTTTTGCATATACCCACTGAGCAAGCCACACTCTTGTTCTCCCATAGTGAGTAATCCAAGGCGCTGTTATAGAAGCCAATTTGGGATTTGAATGGCATCGTTTCTACATGAGAAGATACTGAACGGCTGATCCGGGTTGAGTACAGTCAGTCAGACAGTTTGGGACGAGATGTCCCCGTTATTCATGGACACCGGCTACGACACCAACAGTCCCAGCTCCATGTCAGCTGAGGAGAACCACAGCAACAACGCTGGTTCGGTAAGTGCAACCTGCACACCACCTTTAATCAACTGATCAAATAACTAAGCAGGCAAAAACACAGTAACTACCAGTAAACACAGCCTGTGGATGTTTTATTGCTCTCCCACAGAAGAAAAGTAAAACTTGGTCAAATTTTCACTTTTGTTTTTACAGCTAAAAATATCACATGATATCTCGTAATCAATATTTTTATGGGAATAAATAAGGAAAATTCAACAATACGGATATGGTCTTGACCTGATCTCTAAATTTCATGTTCACATTTTGAAAGTTTTTAATTTTATTTGAGAACTTAAATTATTGGCTAATATTATTAAAATAATCAAATCCCACAGTTCAACATTGGTCAGTTCATCTCAGTGTCAGTGACATTTTGCAAGTCATTCAATCTCTTTCCCCTTTTCGTCTCTACCACCCTAAACTATCATGTCAAATGTCATAAAATGCCAAAAAAAATAGGAATAGATAATCACCTTTGGATTCAACTTTGCTCAAAGATGCTTCACTAAATGGTAGGTAACTACACAAGTATTACCTCTTACTTCACAATAATAGTATGCTGGTGTAATGCTGTAGTTATAAAACATGGACTGTCATTGGTCATTAGTCTGGGTCCATAATTTCTGCTTCAGCACAATTTTTTTTAATAGATGATAAAGCACTTCCCAACATCTTCCAAAAAGTAAATACTTGTAAATGCTCTTCTGCTTGATTTTTTAGCTCAAAGAATGTACTTTGAAAAGTAGCATGCAGCTATTTATTAGATGTTGCTTTGGATTGAGGTATTTGTAATGCCATCATATATTTAGGGGGAAAGTACTCAATAGGGACAAATGTATTGTGTGTTTTGTACTGTTAAGAGTTTATTTGATTTATTCAAGGTAAACACTGATAGACCTTGTGGGGAGGCTGAAATGACAACTTTGTAGCTCATCAAACTAGGTTTTTAACTTGACACTGACTTTGGTCCTAATTTTAATATCATGCACTAATACACAACAACTTCCTGCCATGATAGACTGACCACATGTAATTTCATGTGATAGGTTTGTCTCATGACCCCTGTGAGCTTTCAAAGATATCAGTGCAAAGCCATCATATGTTTTCATCATAAATGATTGGGGTCAACTTTGTCTGTTCTATCTGTACAGGAGAAAGAAGGAGAAGAACATCAGGTAGGAAACAGAGGGACAAAAAGACAGGAAAAGAACAGAGATGCTGCCAGGAAGAGCCGCAAAAAGCAAACAGAGAGAGCAGACGAACTTCATGAGGTTTGAAACATTCAATCCTTGTTTTCATTCTCTCTTTTGCTGTCTCCTTTCTTACAACCTTACCCTGTGACACACACATTTACACACAGGCTGTGTGACTTGCTGCGCGTGTGTGTGTCTTGAGTAATCTGAAGCAAGCTCAAAGCGGTTTCTTGTAAATACTCAGTCTTAGGGGAAAGGCTTACCCTCCCACTGCCCTCCTCATTGGCCCATCCTTTCACACACACACGCCTCTGTTTTTCCAACAGTATGTGTGTGCAGGTTTTTTTTCCCTCAGGGTCAAATTCCACAGGTGGTGCTCCACAGAGACACACAGTCATACATATAACAAACTTTCAGAAGCACAAATTCAGATTTTACATGTGATTAAATTTCTGACTCAGAAACTCTGTAATGTGAATCTTCAAATTAATAAAATTCTTTTTAAAATTTAATACATAACATTACTTATGTCCTCCTGAAACACTGTCATGTATATGTTTTTATAATGAGAAACTCCAGGTTTGTAAGGTGCAAAGAAGAATTTCTTTAAAGAATATAAAACAGTGCACCATTTTGACACTTACAACAGCTGTAGAGAAGCATCAATAAATGAATTCTGAATTATTTTAATATTTTAAAAAGTTTCAGTCTCTGTCCATAGCTGTAGCTTGGTAATTCAGTCTAGTTTCTGCATAATCCTCCATAAAAACGAATAGTGCAGATATGTAGTTGGAATGGTGTTGTATGTAGTTTTAGCACTAGATTAAAGTTTGATCAGTCTGCACTGGCCATGTATGTATATATGTATAAAGCATGTATAGAAATGTAGGTCATGTAGAAACGCAGTGCCAAAATTAATGCTGTTTTGGGCCAAAGTAAAGCAGTGAAAATACTCAAAGACAAATATTTATGTATTTAATGTAGGACTTTTTGAAACAGCTAAAGTACATTGAACAGGCTAGAGAGGTGTGCTGACTGTGATTTACTTATGTAGTACTATTCTTTCAGTTGAAGTGTCTCATCTGTTACTTCAATAACCCAAAATATCCATGAAAAATAAACTTACAAAATACTTCTAGACCTGAAGACTTGAAAGTTAATAAAAGTGTAACCCCAACTCAGATGGAGTATTGTAGTAATCTTTTCATCCAACACTTGGCAAGAAGATGAACACCTTTGTTTGCAGAGATGTCAGACTAATTATCCAATTTATCCTATATCGTGAAATGGATGCAATTTAGTTTTTCACATTTTTTAATTTTTATGTTGCTTCAAGTTAAACCAGTGTAGAGATACTTAGGTTTACAAGCTATTTTAAGGTGCTCTATTGCAACACATTGTTCCTTAGAAGATTGCAGGAGGCAAACCAGCACTTCTAACATGCAGGAGGTGTAAAGTAGCCAGTTTGAGTTGAATTAGGTCTTCACTTGATATTGATTGCCATTATAATTTCTAAATGGATAATACTGCGGCAGCTCAACAAGTACTCTAACTATGAGTTGTGTCGTCAAATTTGTGTTTTTTTTTCCCTAATAGGGAAACAGCGTCTAACATCCAATTTATCATGGGGAGGGGGGTTCACTTGGGGGAGGAAATATAGAAAGCCAGGGGCCTTATTTGAAGGGCAACCAGTGGATTCTTGTTTGGGGCACCTTGAACTTTCGAAAAATGCTGTTTGCACACTTTTCCTTAAAAATGCCTACTAGGTTACATGATTCTCATGAAAGAACATAAAGATATTTTTTTACTGCCCAGAAAGCATACAGTGTTGCTTTCATTCTGACACCCCAAATCTGCAATGTAATAAAAAGAAAAGAACGTAAAGGTTGAAGACAAGTTGGATGAGTGTATTTTTACTTCCTTTGTAAATTGTGGGTGTGTGCCTCTGTGGAAGATGCCTCAACTTTCATTTTTATTTCTTCCTCTCTTTCTGTTCTGTTCCTCCTTAACTGTAATTTTGAAGAAACTTTATTGCCACAAACTGGTTTGGTTTACTGAAGATACAGGCAGTGTCAGCAGTTTATGTTTCAACATATGTAAAACATAACTGCAAAGAAATTGTGCTGTGACTCCAACTCCGTGACCCTCTTGACTTTATAGGGCAGAATACTAACAGGGAATCACTACGCCTATTCAAATATGTTCTTTAGGTAATTTGTAATCTGGATTGTACATGAAAACTAATTCTGGATTCTCAGGATTCACTTCTATGGTACCAATTTGTTGTACATTTGTGGTCCAACCAGAGTAGACCATAAGCGGGCTTGCATGAACAGAAAGCACTCTCTATGGATAGTAGATCAGATAGCAGATGACAATCCTAATTTTTTATTTATCCCCATAAACAGATATCTACATGCAAGTGCAGCTGGAATTGGTTCGAGATCAAGTATTTCTACTTTAGTTACATACCCACTGAGCATTTTTTGTCAAATAGAGATTTTATAGATGTCTAAATGTAGTCTAGATGACTGGTCTAAAATCAGGCTACTACAGGTCTAAAAATGAAACTTTTTAGACGTCTACATTTAGACCAAGTTCAGATCAAGTCTAAGTCTGGGCTATATCTATACTTCTCTGTATATTGCTAAATGGCTATCATAATTATTTTGGTTAAGTACTTGGAGATCAGTTTTATGCAACTCACAGTTGCTTTTTGAAATAAATAGTTATCGAATAACGGGTTAAAGTGCAACATCTAAATTCTATCTAAAAATATACATAGTCTAGATGGTTGAAATTAGGTCTAAAAAAAAAACTAGACGTCTAATAGCCGTCCATTGCTCAGTGGGTATCAGACTGACTGTTAAGCCAGTTAGTGTTTACATTTACTAAAGCCTTAGGATACATCAGCAATGATCGATCAACCTCCTTTTAGACAAGAGAGCATTACAAGTGTTTACACTAAATTAGATTAGATGAGATAGAACTTTATTGATTCTTCCGGGAAGTATCCTTTGTTAAGAGAAATTAAAAAGTAAATATCCGTATTAATGAGTCTAAAACACTATACCACTTGTTCATACCACTATTGTATGAACAAGTGAAACCACTGTGCAGCTGTTTATTTACAGCCAAACTAAGACCAGGAAAATCTAATACTCCAAGAAATGCCTGCATTTATTTTTGCAGACAAATCTGACGGGGGAAATGTTTCTGTGTTTTCGATCTGAGCGTACAGTTGATTGAAAAGTTGTCCTTCCTTGAGGCATCTATCACTGCCAGATTACAACTGATGAGCTCTGATATTGGATCATTGTGTGCAGCATAACAAACATGATTTCTAGCTGTCATGGAGAACAGCTGTTTCCCGTCTGCACTTGTATTTAAATAGATCATAAAGACAGGAGTTAAGTTGATCATTACAAGATAACTGTTCTTACAAGTTTTAGTAACACAAATTTATAAATTCACAGCTAAATGTAGATTCAACTCTGCAGTATTCAGCCTTCTCTGTCAGTCAGGATCCACCTTTTTTCGCTCTCTACCACCTACCCTCTGTATTCATGCTGAACTTGCAGAACTGTCACCACCAGCGCAGTATTTCAGTCCTCCTATGAGATTTTGACTCACGCTGCTCATCATCCACTCTGTTGCTGTTGTGATTTCTTTTACAGCTCTCAAGAAGAGTTTTGAAGGAGAGCGCCATTAGAACTGCTTGGCTTTTGTGTTTTATTAAAGCACAAGCTCAGGCCTGGTGTTGATATATGTCTTTAATCAGTTTTTATGGCTCAAGATGGACACTCTTTGGGATAATAAAGTAAACCTGACTCAGCTCATCATTAGCTATCTGTCATACCTGACCTTCTTTTTTCTCTGTCTTACCCTCCACTACTTTTCTCCCCCCGCAGGAGCTGCAGAGTTTGGAGCAATCAAATTCAGCCCTTCATAAGGAGATTGCCTCACTGAAGAAAGATCTCCACATGTATACGATGGCTCTGAAGCACCACAAGCCTTTCTGTACCCTCAAAGCCTCTTCATGTAGCTCAACAACTGACCTCTCAATTTCCCCTTCAACTGACCGTCAGACGGGCTCCAGCTCTCTTAAGGCCTCAAGCTCCTCTCAAGCCTCTGCCCCCTCACTCTCTACCTCCTTAACCCCCAATCTTAATCTACAAACCCATGGCTGCTTAGAAAGGTCCCATCTTTCACCCCAAAGCACGGTCTGCTCCGCTCCTGTCTCCACATCTGTGCAACACTCAATCCACGAGAGTTCAACCAGTTGTTTCTCCACACAGCCTCCTTATGCTCTGGATACCTCCCAAACAAAACAAGCCTCTTTTCAATCTCTCATATCAAATGCAGTCCCCCCCTACTCCCCTATAGTGTCAGGAAACACAGGTCAAACATCACTAGGTTGTCCCGTGAATTTACCACAGCTCAACCAAGGTAACTTCATGAGAAATCCAACTCCTCAAGATCCTGCTTCTCAGTCCCTCTCGGTTTCCCCTCGGGTAAACCTGGAGCTGTCTGCAGCTTTTACCATAAAGCCAAGTTACAGTCAGCATATGACACCAAATCCTTCACCCCGTCTTTCCCAGCTCACTGTCCCAAGTCCCCCAAATGTACCTCAGAGTAACTCTAGCAGCCTTGAAGGACTGCTCTCCCAGCCCTCGCTCCCTCTTCAGACTTCAGGGGATTTGTCACTTTCTGAGCTCCTAGAGATCAACGATTGGATACTACAGTGAGCAGGACTACCAACTAGCAGCACTACATGTCAGACAATACAGACGACCAGATACTCTGTGAACAGATAATTAATTTATTTCTTTAGTTAATATCATATCCGAATCAAAGGAACCAGTTTTTTCAGCCTAGTTGGACGAAGATGTACAAAAGACAAATCAGTTAAATAAGAACTTGTTTTTTTGCTTTAATAACTGAAGAGTCTGATGCCCTAAGTTGTACCTGACATTTCAGCTCATTTTCCTCAAACAGCCTCTCAACTGTCTAACTTTCTAATAACATTACATAGACATAATGACTATATTTTACAAGACAAAATGTGAACCAAATATAGAACCAAATCAGGCAGCTGCAGGTTTTACTCTTTGGGTGGGTGTTTATACCTTCCTGAGTCCACGGATGATGTACTAGAAAAAAGCTGACTCCACACTCGAATAACATAACTTGTAATTTCAGCACCGATGGAGTACTTACTTCCCTGAGGCTCTGAGGAAATGTCCACTTCCATCGAAGTATCAACTCAGTAACAACATGAGTATGCATATTAATATAAGTTAAAACGAACCACCCTGTCAGAGCAAACTATTGCATCAACCTTTACTTCCTTTTTTTTCTGAATCACACAGTTTAGCTGCTTTCTTGGAAAGCACCTTGAGATAACGGTTGTTGTGATTTGGTGCAATATATATCTATATATAAAAAGATTTATTGATGGAATTGATAAAGTATCTTAAGTAGTTAGCCTTTTTACAGCTGTCGGGCAAATCATGTTTATACAAAATAAAAAGTAGAGGATCTAGGATTGAACCTTGTGGAATTCCTATTTTTGCAAGTTACACACTTGTTGAGGTTATTGCGCGACCAAGAGCAGACATATGTATGAAATCAGTCAAATACTAAGGATAAGCTTAAAGACTGTAAAACTTGACTTCAAACTCTATGCTTTGACTTACATTAACAGATACACTGATCTTTGAGTGGTGAAATGGAGAACAGGATGAGGTATTAAAGTTGAGTATACCTGAGTATGGGACTTTCACTGATAGCAAGAGTTTCATAGGGCTTTTGCAGTAGATCAACAGCCTTAAACATGTATAAACAATTTTGTATTTTCTATTTTTAAGTAAAAATGTAGCTGGGCTTTTGCACCATGACTGTATTTTGATGGCGATTTGTTTTTTAAAAGGTGATGTATGCATAATTGTGAAGTATATAAATAGGAAATAAATGAGAGTTTGCTTTAGATGAAATTCATTATTTATCTGCAGTACTGTTTGTGGATGTATTATTACCTTTTTATATGTATCTTTATTATTATACAATATTTTCTTTTACCTTTGAATTTGTACCCCTGTTCCACATGTAATATATTTCTTTTAGGGGACACAAGTGAATGAAGCAAGGAGAGATATTTATTGCAAATAGATTGTATAATTTAAAGTACAGTACTGCAAAAAAGCCCCCAGCTGCCCCAGCAGCAGTGAGATATAATCTCGTGGAGAGACGTGGGTGTTGTTCTGAAGGTTTCCTACAAAGACCATAAAAACAAATAAAAGGAAGGAAAAAAAAACAGATTTTCAGAAAACATCAACAAACACTCTTATTCACTTCACTTCCTCTGTAGGGAGAAATGTATTGAGGGGAGTGATAAGAGTCCATGAGCAATGACCATTTTGTTGGGCTCACTGCAGGTGCTCCTGTCAAAATGGGTTTAAGACAATGTGGCATTCATAACACCTTTTGGCCTTTCTGTATAGTCTGTAATACCCTGTGCATTTCATAATACACCAGTCAATGTAACTGGCTATGTTGAAGTTTAGAAACAAGAGTTTTTTTTTCTGTTGGTAAGTTCCACCAGCAAGAAGAAACTAAGAGCTTAGATGCTTCCGATCATGAATCTTTCTGGCACGGTGAGGTTCTGCTCACTGATTTGAACTTCAGATTTTAATTATAGTTTCAAGAAAATACCCTCCTTTGTGTTATGGTGGTATATCAGTCACACCAGCTTGTGTGGGACAGTGTATTTTGTGCAAGTGTATTTCGAGATAATAAAACAATCTGGGAATTCTCCTCGATAAGGATATTTACTCTAACTCCCATATCCAACAAATCTCCAGAATTGCCATTTTCCACCAGCACAACATGGCAAAAAAAAATAAATAAATTCAGACCCATCCTGTCTCAGATCGACACAGAAAAACCTCTTGGTTGGATTACTGGGATTCCCTCTTATCAGGCCGTCCTTACAAGTCTTTCAAGACTCTTCAGCTGGTCCAAAATGCTGCAGAAAAGAGCACATCTCCCCTGTATTAGCTTCACTACACCGGTTTCCTAAAAGATACAGGGGAAAGTGGAGTAAGATGAGCTGTTTTTCGTATTTTGGATCACTACATCAAGGTAATTGTAGCTTTGTCTCAACTAGTGTATCTGCATATATTTCAAGATGTCGTGCATCCCTGCAAACCAACAGGATGAGTGTAAACATGACTGTCTTGATAATATAGCATGCCAAAAAAAGTGGTCTCCTATGGTCAACTTACCCCGTGTTTGGGGAAAGTTGACCATAGGAGCGGGGTAAGTTGAGCCATATCCCTACTACCCCCCCCCACTCTCAACCCCAGCCCTCCCTCATCTTCTCTCTCCCTAAATAACAGTCACTTCTTCACATTCATGTATATTTTTATCTATTATAGGCTATTCAACTGGTACAATAGTTCTTTTTATCATTATTACATATAACTGCTAAAAAGCCAGTCCACTCCAGTCCTCGAGGCCCACTGTCCAACACACCTGATTCAAATGATCAGCTCGTTATCAAGCTCTGTAATGGCTTAATAACGAGCTGATCATTTGAATCAGGTGTGCTGGAGCAGGGAAACATCCAAAACATGCAGGACAGTGGGCCTCGAGGACTGGATTGAGAACCACTGCTCTAAGCTAAAATGGTGGACTTTTATTTTAGGTTTTTGACCTCATGTTGTAGCTCATAGATACCACAATTGAAGTATAAAACAAATTTAAAATGATCTTTTTTGGTTTGAACACAATTCTAGTAAAACTAATGACAGACTAAATTCACTTTTAAGAGTGAAAAATCTTTTTTTGGAAATAAATGTCTAACCTCTTCACCCATGTGCTTCTAACCTTCACAGACTCCATGAATTGATACTCATCTCCTAAATATTTGGTCACAGGATCAATTTCTTTTCCCATTTCCAAGCAACAGGGGGTGGCTCAACTTACCCCACGGTCTTTTCTATGCCCCATCCTGCTGTAGGTTCCTCTGGATCACAGCAGCAGATCTTTTGCCACCTTCTTTCCAGCTGCTTCAACTATGTACATCAGTCTCACCTCTGTCCATCTCTCTTTGTCTTCATTTCCCTCTATCCCCACTTTAAACCTTACAACGACTTTGGTCATTACTGCCATTTTTCTAGCGGGCTTTAATTTTGGTTAGTAAACCATAAAATAATTTAAAAGCAATTTAGTAAACCTTGTTATGCTGTGTGTGCAAATATGAAAATCATAACAAATCAAATGTGTACATTCGAATTATGTTGCCTGTTATTACATTAAGTGAGGGAGACTTGAGACTGGAGAAGACTTGATATTTGCAAACGGTTTAGGAGTTGAAGACATCATGTAGCTTTTTGACGGCATATCTTGCAGGCGAATCGGAAGCAGACCAGCAGAGTCCCAGCCTCTTACCGGTCCCCCAGTGTTTTTCCCCGAAGGCAACCGGCTGAGCTCATCTGCGACATAACAAACAGGAGAGGCGGAGGCACATAGGAGGAGAGTGGGGCGCAAGCACACGGGATTACGCACGCCCATGTTCTGGGTACAAGAGGAAAAAAAACTGAAGTGAGTTTTATTGCAAGAAGAGCCGTGAGGAGGGTTCAATCCTGGCAGCACAGACACGCCAGCAATACACATTTACATCAAACCAAGGTGTCACTTTGAGAGGGAGATAAAAGCGCGTGGATAATTGCACTTTTGAGTGCGCGTGTAACAGAGAGGCAGAGCGAGGGAGAGAACAAGTGGCTTAGGGCAGAGAGGAACAATGGATCAGACTTGATCCTGTAAGCCAACTACAACCTCGAGTGCACGAATAAACAACACACACGCACATGCGCGCGCTCACCTCAAATAGGAAGCGAGGAAAATGAGAAAAGGGAGGGGAGGAATGAGAGAGTCGGACTAAAATACTGATAAATAGAGAAAAGGGTTGGATATTTCATAAAGAGGTGAAACAGCAGGCAGAGGTTCGGCAAAGGTGAGGGCGTCGCGGTGAGTTAATGGTGCACCTGTTTAAAACAAACCAGGTTAAATAGATTTAGACATGCTACATAAATAAAAGGTTAATAAATAAATAAATCTGTCCTATAGCGTCATCCGCAGTGAGGAGCCTCTTTCCTCTCTCTCCTTGCACCAGCGTTAGGCTGAGGTACCAGCGGTAATTCAGCCGGAGTGAGATGGGCAAGCATCCGGTCAGGGCTTTTCATAATAAAACTCCTCAATTAAGTCACCTGCTTGAGAGTAGAGTTTCACTATTAGGAATAAAATATGGCAGTGACCAAGCCTTTGCTTTGATATACATATGAATTTTGTTACAGGCTAGTGTTGTGTCGTTCGCGAACGATTCGTTCAAAAGAACCAAATCCTTTTAAGTGAACGTACTGAGCCGAATCACTTCCTCGAATGATTCGTTCGTTTGAAGTGAGAAACAGCATTGCCAATCGAGCAGCCGGCAAACAAGGGATTGCATGCACCGACACCTGAATAACTTAGTGAACGAATCACGCATTGAACTACACTCTCTGGAATCATTTTTGTCAGACAAAACTACCTTTTATTTTTTTACTGCTAAATTGCCACCACAGCAACTTGCATACAATAGGACACAGCATGTAACAAGTAGTGCATTGAACCTGCAGCATCCTATCATTGCAGCAGTTTGTGAGGGTGCATTCTTCTAAACATTCAGTGAACGAATCACTCACTGAGCCCAATTTACTAAGCAGACCTGATAAATAGCATACCATTGGACAGTACACTTAAAACATCATGATTTATAAACAAGTTCATTTTTACAGACCTGTTTGCCAAAGCAACGCAGCCAAACACTCTCGTCTCTCAGAAGCTGATTCCTGAACCGTTCAGCTTTGTATCAGTTCAGGAGGTCGGAGTCACAGGCTTCTCCCGTCAAACCCTACATGATTCGGTGATTTGGTGAAAGAATCTTTTGAATGAATCCTTTTAGTGAACTGATTCTAGTGATTCAGTACATCTAAAAGAACTGCCGTGCCCATCACTATTACAGGCCCAAGTCCCAATTGCATAACATACACCACAACATTAAGAGAAATAGACAATATATAAAAAGAAAAAACAAAACAAAACAAAAACAGATACAAAGACACATAGACCCATAAAAACATACTCTTATTCACAAGTCTTAAAAGGCACCCATACCCATGTTTCCACAGATATGACTGATATCTGACCGAACTGCACCTGGGGCTTGTAAGCATCATTATAATACAGTTCTGCGACTCATCAAGTCGAGACATGAACTTAAACATCAGGTTCCTTAGTAGTGCCTGTAAAGTGGTTAGCCCTGAGTCACAAAAGAGATGACTGGCACTGCTGCTCCTGGGCTTTTTCAGCAGTATCCTCAGACAGTCATTATATGCTACCTGAAGTTTGCGCATGGTCTCCTTTCTGTAGCTGATCCATAGTGGGACTGCGTACATAGGGGTGCAGCAAGCACGGAACAAGTTCACTTTCAAGTTGTCAGAACAGTGATGGAATTTCCTGACTAGCATGTTTGCTTGGACATACAGCGTTTGTCTCTGCCTGTACATGTCTGCATCATCTTCCATCTTGTCAGTGATAATGTGATAATGTTGTCGAACGGTTGCTTCTTAGATTTGCCTGATTTCTTTAGCAAAGAGACTAAACACAACTCACCGCCTCTCTTCCAGCAGCTGCTTGTTTGTACGGAGTCCATAGACTGCAGTGGGTTGACGCAGCTCAAGGAAGAACATTTGTGATCATTTCCTCATGGAAATGCAATCAGACTGAGATGCTAAGGCAGAAGAACTACCGCGTCTGCAGAGCAAAATGGTTTATTACTTCAAGGATATGATAAAGAAATGATCATAAATGTTCTTCTTTGAGCTGCGTCACTCCACAGCAGTCCGTAATGGACTCGCCCAGAGGTCTCAGTACAAACAAGTGGCTGCAGGAAGAGAGTGGGTGAGTTGTGTTTAGTCTCTTTGCTAAAGAAATCAGGCAAAGTTAGAAAAATGTTTGGTGGCTAGTACTATGGCTGGGACCCTATATGTACTATTGATGAAGTTCGGTGCTGTTTTGAGCATTATTTGTGTCTGTAGAGTGGCTTTTTGGTTGAGCATGTGGCTCTCTGTATTGCTATCTGCGGTCATTACTAGAGCTGGTAAAACTAGAGAAGCAAGTGGTCAGCAACATTCATCTCTCGACGGGTTGTCTAACTCTGTGTTATGGTGTGTTTGACCCTTACTTAATTTTATGCTGGAATATCCCTTTAAGGAAAATTAAAGACAATACATACTTAAAAAAAGACCAAAATACATGTTAAGTATTGGACAAGTGTTGGTAAATTTATTGACTGAAATGTTTGGTTGCTTCTAAAAGATAATGCATTAAACTTTCAATAACTATTTGGTTAAGCTCCTTTAATTTTGTATATTTAAAGTTCCTGTGCTGCAAACCACTGAGCCAACAGCCCATAGGAAAAGTACTGGCATAAAAAAGAGAGAAACAAAAATTATTTTCAGAACAATTTATCATTAGTATGAGTATAAATATGGGCATTCATCCATTTTGATGCATCACTTTAAATTTAAAAATTTATACTTTCATTTTGAAAGTTAAGATCCTTTATATCCGGTACACCTCTGCCTCAGTGAGTGCGCCTTGACGCAGCTCGGTGAGCGCTGTGCGACCGGATAACGGGATCCGAGAAGGGGAACAGGAGCAAAACGCGTCAGTCTGACAGACATAGACGGGGTGCTATTGTATAACACAGGCCTTGACTCTTTTTTTTGTACTCCCAAGTTTCTGCTTTGGAGAAACCTGACATCTCTCTCTTCTTCTTTTCTTTTCATCCTTTCTCACCGCGGAGGTAGAGACGGGGCTGATCGGCGGGGCTCGGTGTTGCATCGGTTGGCGGAGGACCTGCACATGTCGGCGCGGTGAGGGACGCTTCGTTTCCCCGCCCTGATACGGTTTGGAGGACGGCAGGAAAGGGAGGTTGTGCACAAACCGAGAGCAACCTTTATCCGATCACCTCCGAGGAAAAACACAAGCAGGTGCGGCCGTTTGATTGGTCGAAGGAAGATCGGTTAAAACGAGCGAGAAGGACAACAGTGATGCGGCAGCCGAGGTGGGCCCAGATTGATGATTTTATGATATCATCATCCACCGCCAGGACCGATCACTGATTTTACTGATAAGGAGCATCATCAGGAGAAACCGACCTGGGATCTGTTTGTTTGTTTCTCATCTGGATAAACACTAACAGGGTTATCGATTGCTTGATTGCAATTATTTCTTTTACATAAGGAACCGCGTGATCAATTATAGAAATAAATCTCCAAATTTAGGCCCATGACTTAGTGTGTGTGACGCCATAAAGCAGCAGAGAGGCGTGTGTAAGTGTGTGTGTGTGTGTGTTTGTGTGTGAGGAGACGCGCCTGTCTGAGCATCATCTGGTAGCCTAGCAGTACAGGCTACTCCTCCACGGGGATGGTACACAAGCGAGATTTCATCTGTGCGTGAAAAGCTGCAGATTCAGGGATGCTGCTGATGTTGCTGCTGCCATTTCCTGTCCGGCTCTGATAGATAGAGACAACGAGGCGCACAGCTACGGGACTGGACACCGAGAAAATCTTTCCGTACCTCTCCTCCGCCTCTGCACCTTCTTTCCCCCCTTCTCCTCCCTTTTGCTCCTCTTCTTCCTCCTCTTCCACCAACAACAGATCGGAGCTTTTATTCATTCCGATCGATTGATAACCCATCTGTGAATCAGAAGGCCATCCACTCTTCCATCCTCTCCTCCATACATCCTCTTCACCACTCTCACACGCGCAAAGGCACGCACGCACACATCACCACCACCACCACCACCACCTCCTCCTCCTCCTCCTCCTTCGCACCGCCATCATGGAGACGACCAAGCTCCCTCCGTCCAGCCCGTCCTCGCCGACCACCAGCTTCTCGGTGCCGTCCGCGGAGAAAGTGGATGGCTTCCCGCGGAGGTCTATGCGCAGAGCCCGGCAGAGGAGGTCCCACAGCTCGTCCCAATTCCGTTACCAGAGCTCCCAGGTGGAGCTCACCCCACTGCCTCTGCTCAAAGGTGAGCCACATGCTTTGATTAAGCTGCAGGTGAAGCCATATCACATTAGCAGGCCTACTTTATGGATTGAACAGACCAGCATAAATCGACTATCTAAACTGGTATAAATCACCCTACATGAAAGTTAAAGACACCACCTTTCTTTACATAACACTCTCACTGATCAGCTGGAGGGGTGGGGACGGGGGTGATGTATTCATATTGTCTATTGATAGTTGTTCACTGATTATTAGTCCTTGTCCTTTGTGGCCGATTCAAGGTGATACCAATAGTGTTGAATTGTTGACTGATGGTAGGATAGGAGCCAGTCTGCTTGAGGTGTCCCATTAAAGACCTAAATATTCAGATTTTGGATAACAAGAAGCTGTTTTCATCATCAATGTACTATTTGTCTCTTGAATGATGGAAAATATAAGAAAAAGTACCTAGATGTCCCCCATCCATCATGCCAAACCTCAAAGAACTTGATTTAAAAAATGACCAATTCTATTATTGATCATTGAAAGATAGTTTTTCACACATTTTTTGCAACTAGACCTAAACTCGCCTAATAATTCATCAATTTAAGGTCTGTTCTGCAGGGTATTAGCCTAATATTAAAGGTTAGTAAACTTCAAAGCTGCTGAGGATAAAGAAAACAAACTGCAAAAGGGATGAGACTTTTTTCTTTTAAAATTGTGCAAATTTCTCGCAGTAATTATTAACTTAACATGCTGTTCAGAGGGGATGATTTTGGACTATTTCTTGCACTGAAGCTCATCCAGTTATGCAAGTTACAGTGCTTTCTTTCCTTAAGAGCATAAACTGCAGCTGAGATTTATTCTGTCAAAGCTTTCAAGTTCAAATGTATCCATGCAAAGTCGTTTAGGATGATGTAGGACACTTAGAAACTCATTAGAGGACTGTACTATCAAACAAATGCTCCTTTTATTTGTTTATGTGAGAGGAATCCTTCCACTGTTGAGAAGGGTAAAAGCTCCCCCAACCTTCAAGCTAAAATACATAAAACACAAAACATACTTGTGCAAATTAAAGCAGTGTAAAATCTTTGACATTCAGACTAGTGAAACAGCCCACATTGAGGCAGTCTGAGCTGAACTTTCTAAAGGTCTCCTTTGCTATAGCTCCAACCCCAGAGCTACTAGTACTACACAGAGACCACTTTGATGTTGGAGAGCCTGTTCAATATCTGCTCAGAATGAAAGCAGGAGGTTACAAAGACATAGAACCCATTTGCTTTGGATTTATGCTGTTCTGCTGTCTGTATTTTCTAACGACTAACCAGCTCAACCAGCAGATATGTGGGACTCTGGATATGAACTACCTTCCTCAGGGTTGAGACACCTATGTTGATAAAGAATCAAAATAAGTTATTATTGAATGAGAAAATATACAGAGGTTTAGGTTAGGGCTGGGCGATAAACCGAAAATTTACTGAAATTCACAACAATAATCAACATCATTTTACCAATGTCAATATATTTGGTTTAAAAAATATAGAGAAATAAAAGTTGGTTTTGGATGTGTGTAGGTAGGCTATGGTCTCATGTCCCTTTAAGACGCTGTCCTACATCGGGGACATGACTCCCCCCATCCAGTCCATAACAAAGAGGGAAAGAAAGGTGAAGAGATGGAGGACGGTTCAAGAGCGGCGGCTGAAGTAGAAGTTAATGTGGGAGGGGGTGAGCAACTTCTGGAGTAGTTATCATCCATTTATCATTATCAAGGTGAACTGCTCAATATATCGTGATATTAATTTGAAGTCATATTGCCCAGCCCTACTCTAAGTGATTCAGAAATATCTTTTTAAATATTACCATTTGTCACTATTTTGTGTTTAAAATATTATAAACTGAATGTCTTCAGCTTTAGATGGCTCTAAAAGTAGCCTGAGAAATATGTCCCTTCTCTGTCTTGACGATTAATCCATGAAAAGTAAAGAAACAACAGAAAACCTGACAAAAAATTTATAGCACAATTGACATCAAAGCTCCTGCGAGGAAGTTTGAGTTTGTTATGAAACAGTCTTAAATAGATACTGATGTCTCTTTGTGTGCCACAAAGCAAACAAGACCAGCAGCAAAAAGATTAAGACAAAGTTATTTTCAATGCCTGAAAATGTTGCTGCGGGCCAGATTTCAGATGAATAACAGCACACTGCTTTCTTTGGAGAAGACTGTAAAACTACTGATTGTTAAAGGAATAGTTAAAGGTCATTCAAGATCGTTAAAGGTTAGATTTTATTCATTCTCTAAGGCCTGACTTGATCATGAATGACTATGATGACCGGTGGTAATGGACAGAGGAAGATCAGGTGGATGTCTGAAGACTGCTTCAAACTACATGACTTTAATGATGGTTTTGTTAGCGGGTTATGATGTTGTTGGAAAGAGTTAAATTCATTCAAGTAGCTGATTACTTTTATTAGATCATCACTTTGTATCAGATGGAGATGAAATGATGATGTCTTTTTAATTTCATGGCTGTTTTTCTAAGTTTCTCTCTCGTATAAATGCGCTGATAACACAGTTAAACAGCTGTTACACTTTCTAAACAAAGCACTGGTGGCATTACAAGCTTTGAACACACTAGTTTTCACACAAGTTCCAACAAAAGTTCACCAAAGTAGTCCATCTGTAGAAGGTTAACCATATACTAATTCCCCAAAAAGAGGAGTTGGGGTGGAGTTGTGCACGTGTAAAATTTGGAGGTTTTTCGTGTTGGGTTGAGTGTTTTTTACATGCTTCAATCTCAGTTAAACGCGTATTCCAAATGAACAATTGATCGTGTATGGCAAATATAATGGTCTGTGATGCGAAGATAAAGTACATGCTACACAAACTCAAAGCTATGGAAGCCCGTTTCCCCCAGTGGAAAAAAAAGGTGAGATAAAATATCTTTTTTTTAATCTTAAAAAAAAAAAGAAAAAGAGAGAGACATTGTATCTCATCTTTTTTCTTTTTCACTGGTGGAAATGGGCTTCTGTTAAAAACCCCATACATTTGACAGATTTTATACACTCCCCCCTGGACAGCCCACCAAAAGAGGACATGTCCAGGTAAAAGAGGACATATGGTCACCCTAATCTGTAGTGACTAGCTGCGTTCATCGGCTAATGCTTGCAAACCTTGATGTTTTGTGTTACCTTCATTACAGATTCACTTTACTTCTACTTCAGTGCTGCTCCTGCGCAGCTGGGTTTTTAGCATGTTCAGCACATTCCCTGTAACACATAAAAGCGAGTATACATCAAAGACAGCTTGCTCAATCATTTCCTTTGGTTTTCACTGTGAGAAAGACGTCCATTCCTCCATGTTCTTTCAGTTTTCCTATATTTGCTTTCTGTACAACTGCACCATTTGTATTTACTCATCTACACCTCCTTTTCTCCTTATCATCTTTCATTTTTGTGCGTGTGTGCAGCACAAAGACACATTGTAAGTCCTCATAGATGCCTTTGACCCCTCTTTTATGAGGTTACTCACCATTTCATGTAGCCTGCAATCTCTCCCCCATTTACCCTCTATGAAGAAAAGACCTCTCTGCTTTCAGAGATGGTGCAAAGAGCGCGCAGCTGTATGAATGCTCTGATGTGTTTTTACATCTCATTTACCCTGCTACAACTTCCTCTCGGGCCTTTAAGTGAGGGGTGTGTGCAGTATGGTGGTGGCGGGTTTTCACTGCAGCGGTGCTCTACCTTTCAGACTTTGCTGTCTGTACCTGCTGTGGACTTACAGACAGAAGTCCCAGTTATCACATGTCTGCTGCACCGCTGCGGCACTCAGTCTGGATCCCCAGGAGGAAGTGATAGTAAGATTTTGCAGCACCGGTGCAGGAGAAAAGCCTGTTGTAGGGATGTCTGAAACGGTATATAGGCCAAGTGTAGACAGACTTGTGGGTGTCTAACCCTCCAGAGAATCACACTCCCGTTGTTAATTTGAACTCCTCCTCTTGTTAAGAATAGCACAACTCTTCTACTTTAAACCCAGTGTAAATAAAATATTGTTCCTTACTCAAAGTTTAAGTCACAGAATGAGATAAAATAAAAAGACAGGTTGGAAAATTGTAAGCGGCATTTGAGGCTAAATCCACGCTGAAACACTTGGACACCTTCCAGAAACAGCTCCCACTGATGAGTGTTGCCTCTCGTGGGTTGGTTTTGTTGTTTGCTGCATCATTGTCACATTGTCAGCGCTTACACGTCAGTTTGACAGCAAGGTATGCATAAAATGAACAAAAAAAGAACATCTCTAAATATCAGCGAATAGAAAAACTTTTATTATTTTGGACCAAATTGGGGAGAATCCACTCTAGAGAGCGAAGCAGAGATGAAGATTCCTGGTCAGGATTAATCAGAATGAAGTGGATTCACATCTTACATCTCTGTTCTTGATGTGTGTTGTAAATGACCACATCAGGTTAGTCAGTGTATGGAAGCAAAGGCAATTTAATCGGTCAGTTCCTGAGACTAATGGTGGACTAAATTTAACACCGCCTTTTGTAGTATTTTTCATGCTTAAGTTCAACTCCAGCACAGGAAGTAAATGTTGAGAGCTCTTTTGTAGCGTAGGGTCAAGAAATCAAGAGAGCAGAGTGGGTGTTAAGTGTTTCACATTTTTACAATGTTGATTTCAAACTTTTTACTTGTGATTTGGCATTTAATATTAATACACTGCTGATAGGACTGTTAGATCATAAACAACCTGTGTACTCACATTTTTATTGTTTTTATGTCAGATATGTATTTTCAAAGAGTTTTAGGAACAGCTTGTGGACTTCCTACCAGTTTAAAAAATGAACAAAATCTTTGAACTTGCATCAAATTTTCTGTACGTTTTGTACGTCAGATTTTTATTCAACTTAAGGTCCTTTCACACCGGGACCGTTTTTTATGTGTGATTATTTCGGATGTCAATATTTTTTTTTTAACCCGTATCCTGTCAATACAAGTGTTCACATCAGCGACATTTTCCCGTTCTGCGATATTGCGGCAATTATTTTTTCGGATCATGGTTGATTTTTCTAAAGTTTCACATACTGTGTGTCCACTTCTGACCAATCAGATCGCGCGTTGTTGCGACGTCAGATTCACCTGTATATCCAACATGGCCGACTGGCTGAGTGTTTACGTGTTGGAGAACAGAGTGCTTTTTGATAAAAAAACACAAATATTCCAAAGATAACGACCTGAAGGACAACATAGCGCCGGATCTCTCATATAACGTCTTTGTTTTAACTTTCATCTGTGCTAACGTAAGCTAACGGTTGTTACCATAGTTTCATGTGCTTATCTTATGGCCTCTCATTGGCTATAAATGCTGACCGTTTGGCTTAAGAATGTTATGACTTTTCCCCGGCAAAAGTCTTCCCCTGGATGCATCTTTTTTCCCCCCGGAAAGTCGCAAAATCGCATCGGGCTTGAAGTTAGTCAGGCGCGTCAAAATTCGCCTCTGGATATTTCGTACTTTTGCGTTCTATATTCGTGTCAGCCCCGGTGTGTAAGGACTAGGGTGACCATATTCTGACTTCCCAAAAATAGGACATGACTATGTGGGAGGCAGTGTCACAGAGCCGCAAAAAGTTAATTTTGAGAGTTTTCGGTTCAATCGTGTGTCTTTTACGCGCTCCTAACTCAGTAATTCCACGTGACACAAACTCAAAACTTACATACAAAACCACAGACGTTTGAAGGATTTTATAAACTTCCCCGGACAAAGCCGCAAACCTGAACAGCCCCCCAAAAAGAGGACATGTCCAGGTAAAAGAGGACATATGGTCACCCTAACTTAAGCAGTCTACTGTTATATTAGTAAACTACCTAACAGATGCATCGCTGAATTAAGCTTTGACTTTTATTGATGTTCTCTACCTGACCTAACCTCTGAGTCTACCTGGGGACCTCCTGAAAGGATTTAGCATTGTGTCTTTAGCGTGTTAAATGTGGAATGTTATAAATATATTTGTTCTAGAGTAGATTAGTAGAAGTTTCAGTGATTAGATAAACTGTCACAGATGACGCTGAAAACCACTGAGGTGACCTGATGAGCTAGGAGTGTCAATTTGAACACTTTTAAAAGATACTTTTAGAGTGGATTTGATGGTCGTTGCGCTTTTTCATGCCTCAAACAGTGATGCAGAATGGATGTGAATTTACATTAAGTTTTTCCTTTTGGGTCTCTTATTTATCGACATAATGCCTGTTTGATATGGGAAGAGTTAAACTACTAAAAACTGTCAACCTGATCAAACTGAAAACCTGCTTGTGAGAAAGAGAGATACAGTAGATCACTGCCATTTTCATTACAAGCTATTTCAAGTGGTTTCCTATTTTTACTGTTTCAGTGTGACTGGAGAAAGATGGAGCTTTGATGTAACTACTGCTGAACGTTTTCAGACAGGTCCCCAAATGAGACGATGATTAAGTCACAGTGAGGCACCGGGGCTCGATAAACTCTGAGTTTCTCTGGGACCCAGGAAAATTAAAATGTGGAATATCTGCAGTCACTGCTGCCAGATTTGGTAACAGAAATATTTTCAAACATTTAAAAAAAAAATCTCTACTTCCACAATATATCTGTGCTGTCTGACAGTCAAATTAGATAACAGAGTATGTTTGTCTAAGGATGGTGGCCAGTAAAGATGGTGCTGGGAGTTAATGGTTCTGGAAAGAAGCCCAGCTTGGCTGTTTTCTCCTTTCTGTTTCCATTTGTATAGAATTGTCTCACACTGCACTCAGCCAAAATATGCCTGTTTGTTTATCTATCTATCTATCTATCTATCTATCTATCTATCTATCTATCTATCTATCTATCTATCTATCTATCTATCTATCTATCTATCTATCTATCTATCTATCTATCTATCTATCTATCTATTCTATCTAATCTATCCTCTCTTATCATATCTATTTTATCTGTCATAATCTGATAATAAAATTTAGCGGAGTAAAATTCCTTTTTTTACTGGCTAAGACATGTGTGATTCAAGGAAATCTGCACCAATGAGCTGTATTCCGTGTAGCTGATTATGTATCGTGTCATTTTTTTCTAGATGTATCACTGTTAGGGATATTGAGTTGGTCCTCGGCTTTCTTCTAGTTCTCCTCCTCTCAGGTCTTGAATTTCACTGCAGTTATCTGTCTGACCGAAGAGCAGGCTGTTGGCCCAACCCTCCTCCCCAGCTGTGATGCTCTCCCCTGGGGCCACAGACACCAGTCAAGCCTCCCGATCACGAGTGTTGTGCTGTAGCTGGCAGGCTAACCAAACAAAGGTCACACTGCTGCCACACATGTAGTCAGCAGATAGAAATACCTGCTAGGATTTATGTCTTATCCACATACCAAAGCCCGTTTTCCAGACTGTTTTTTTTCTGTTAGCAAAGAATAATACTATTATATGTGTCGTTGAGAATGTAACAGCAGAGCAAAGCAAAATTACACTCTTTCTTTGACCTTGAGATGTGCTCAGTTCCCAATGCCTTAAAGTAAATTGGTAGGCTTTTATCTTTCCTTAGGCTTGTTAAAATTCCACCTTAATCCTATCATCAAGGAAAAAAAGACAGTTTATGCACTCATTATGCAACTAAATCAAAATATGATGAACCTTTCAAGGTTACAAGGCTTGTATGTAGATTTGAATTCAAGTTAAATGAGCATCTAAGGAAAAAAATACACTCAACACAACAAAACTGTAATTTGTGGAACATTTGCAGATAAGGGATAATGTACAAGTGAGCAGGTTGTATGATTTCTACTAGGGATGCACTGATCTGCTTTTTCACCTCCGATACCAATACAGATATCTACAGTTTAGTATCGGCCGATACTGATCCAATTCCGATACAAAAAAGCTGCGCTGAATTACCTTTTTGTTGTAACCTGAAGTTTTACCACTGCCCCTTGGGACGTTTACTGCGCAGGTATTGCAATTGGCCGTCGAGCTTGTAGGCTGAGGTATTGTGATAAAGTTCAAGATAGACGACCCTTTTGCTCGCTCCATTTTGAAAACAATGTGGGCATTCGCCGGTGTTACGGTGTGTAGCATAGAGTTAGACTGAATAGATCGGCCCCTATGCATCGGGCTCATTGTCACAATACCTGATCTACAATTTACTTCAGTATCGGAACCAATACTGGTATCAAATATCAAATTAGTGCATCCCTATTTACTACCTGACTTTTATACCAATCAACAGGCTGTGTGAAATACTTGGTTATGATTGGTCAAAACCGCCAAACAAAGGTATTCAACTCTGAACTTTTTTTTTATACAACTTACACACATCAAATCAATCTGCAGATAGAAGTCTGGCTTATTTGTGACAGAGTTCATGATTTCACCTCTTCTTGTTAACAATGTGTCAAAGATGTTCATTTCTGAGAGCAGTGGAAAACAACAGAGAATATTTTTTAATTTTAACTTTAATTCACTTAAGTCTCGTGGTTAAAAGCTGACCAGTCAACAACAGAAAAAAAATGAAAAGTGTCTCAAGTGTCAATCACCTCTATAGTAGGGTCTGAGGTGAACTGATTCCTGGTCGATCGTCAAGAGTGTACTGTCAGTTCTACCTTTCTTTATCTTTAAATTTGTATCATTGTTTCCCTGTCCTGTCAGACACACTTGAATGCATCACATCAACTGACTTTAACATAAAACAGTTTTTCTATTCGCTGTATGGGGCGCAAAGATGACACTCTTGGCACATTGCCCAAAGACACAGCAGGAACCTGGCATCGCTATGAGTGGTGGTGGAAAGCTGTCAGTCAACTGAACTGCAACAGCCACACTTTCAATGCACTACAGTTTCTGATGCTAAAAGCTACAGTATTATTGTCACCCCTGTGGGAGTATTGTTTTTTTTCTCTGCTCAAAATGTGAAGTGCATCTGTGTTGAATGCAATGCAAGTGCAAGAAATGGTGCTGAGATGCTACCTGGTGCTACTTAGTTTCCCTAAAACCGTTCTTCTAACTCCTGAAGAGGTTGAGTTGAAGGTTCTGTTAGCAGTAGATCAGTCAGTTTTCACCAGGCCTAATACTGTCGACTTAAATGATGGCAGATTGTGGATAGCATCAATCACATTCTAGATAAACATAGACTATCAGTTATGGCCATGGTTCTGTGTGCAGACTGGCAACTATGCATGTGTGCGGTTAAAATGCTGAAACTGTTAGCAGTAACTTTAAAAGTGGATTTAGTTCAGGAAGGTTGGGCACCCCTGACCTAGCATAACAGACTGAATGACAGATTGCAAAAAGTATTTGTGATGAATTTCTACTTTGTTTGAATTTCTTCATTATGACTTCCCTCCGTTATCTACCACTGTCAAAGCAAAAGGAACATTCAATGCTAATGTTTGCTCTGCTTTTTATACTGTTACAATGTGAGGAGTGGGGTTATATTATGGGGGGTTCAGTGCATCATGAGGTATCCTTTGCACCATTACAATCGGTTTAGCTGTATAACTTTATATTTAAATAGTTTAGTGGTCACATACTTTTCACATGTTTTAAACTATTTTCTAACAAATATAATTCATGTAGCTGCAATTGTTTCATAAATTAATAATTTTATAATAAATAGATACAATTGTATTCAAATCAATACTACAGTACATATAAACTTATTTCCATCTTTAGTTGATAGCTGGGTAATTATCAAGTGTGGGCCATTTTATTTTGTAGTTTTCTCTGTCAGAGCCATCCCTAACAACAGTCTGTTCTCCATAGCAACAGTCTGCTATCTACAAACTAGAGACTGTTGATATGGATGTTATCAATAATGACTTATCAAAAATCAAGCCAAGTAAAAACGAGAATAAAATGAATGGAAATGTAGTTGCAGGTTGACGTATCATTATTGCATGGCAGTAGATGGAAACATGATCACCTCAGAATCATTGTAACAAGCTGAAACAACCTACATGTGTAGAAAAGAAGTATGGTAATAGAGCATTGAGATGTAAATACTGATGCAGATAACGTATTGCTATAGGCAGAGATGTAAGCTGTGGATGGTTTTGACATTTGTGAGTTATACTATGGAGTGAGTCAAGGGTGTAATTTTAGCAAAGCATGGATGACATCTTGTAAAGGCCCTGTAAGTATGTATTAGGACCTGAGTGTGTGTTTGTGGTTGTGTAAACGTGCAGTGTGGTCATGGGACATGATCGGATCTATCTTGAGATCTTTGGGAATATTGTTGAAGCCCAGCAGCTATCTCAGCAGGAGCTCAGCAAGAAACACGAAAAACCAGACTTTCTGTTCAGCTTAGCTCACTGATTTGCTCATCTCACACTCCATTTGTGACCACAGTCAAATATAGAGACTAGCCGACATGATAGAAGACCAAACATGAAAGAAAGGTTCAGATAGACTAAACCATCAGAGGATAGACTTGATGAATTACCAAGTGGAAGCTTCAACCTGGTGTGAAAAAACAAACGGAAATAAACACAAAATTATTCATGTATTTAAAAAAGAGAAATTATGTTTTTAAGTGTGGAGTCACAAGATAATCATACCACCAGTTAGTAGAACTCTGTGTCGTCTTGACTAAAGGAAAAAGTACACCATATGACCTGGAAAACAGCAACAGATAAAGCTAAACTTGTTGGAAGTTCATTATATAAATAAGTCAACTGTGGAATTTTACACTTATAAAAAATGGATACCGAGCTGTTAATAATCATCTTCAACAACCATGTGAAAGCAGCAGATCTGCAGACCAGCAGGTCTCAGTGTTGTTTTGAAAGTAAATCCAACACACTCAGCCGCTGTTTGCTTATCCTAAGATGCGAGATGCTGAATCCTAAAAACAGAAAATCATTAATAGAAAAGCAATTATAGAAAGTTATTCATAGATAGGAGCTTTAACATAAACGCTCCTCTGTTTGTCAATAACATCAGCATGTCTAATTGCTATTTTAACCATGCTTAGGGAATATCCTTGTCACCAAATATCCATGAATGATAGTTTCTGTCCATGATGCTTCCATCATTTGTTATAGAAGCTTTTCAAAGAGCTGCTGAGTGGCTTTGAATAACAGTCAGGCCCTAAAGGATGGTGTGTGTGCTTTGAGTGTTAAATCTCCCTTACCTGCGTGAAACCCATCATGCCGCTTGGCTTTAGCAATAAAGCATCCCTAAAAGCCCCAGAACACCCTGCAGATATACAATGAGCTCTACTTTGTAATTGAATCAAGCTTTGTAGCACAGTGGAGCAGATGGTGAGTTGAACCAGGAAGAGTTCAATGTTGTCATTTTAGGTGAAGTGACAACATGGAGTATCAGTAGATGTGCTCCTGCTACCTGTTACTGTCAGATAAACCCACCAAAGCAGTCAGTCTTTTGTGGTCAGCCTGCAGTAATGATAATAAACACTTGTCTGTTTATACTATCAGCCCTCTGGATGCTGTTTAACCTGTAAAAGGTGTTTTTACAAACCCTCTGGTTTGATTAAATGAAATGCTCCCACTGCTGTCTACAAAAGACAAAAATATGCTGCTGTTTGTGTTTCATAATGTTCCCCAAAAATGGGACATGATCACATCAAACAATGAGAGGGATTAGAAGGAAAACATGCAGTCAGACATTTTAAATGACAACCTCAAAAATTATAACAGTGGAATTTTATTTTTAGAGTCCCACTCCAATCGTTTTTTATTTTTTTTTTTACGACAAAGTGTTCTCAGTGGTCTATAAATTGTGAACATGCTCTGCACACTTCTCTTCATGCTAGCTTGTAGCCTAACATTATCGGTGTAGTAGAAGTGGCAGGTAACATAGGAGCGATTCAGCTCTCAGGCACTAATATCTTTGGGGACATTATGAAAGATAATATCATAATTAGCTTTCTTATGAGCATGGCGATCCGCTAACGCACACGTTTGTTCCGCGATCTTCCTCTCTACTTCTACAAATCTGGCCTTCAAAGTGGGGCTCTGGGGGTGGAGCTTGGATTTGCTACATGGGAAATCTCACTGAATGTGAGCCTGCTGTTTGGGTCTGCCAGAGATTCACAGCGATTTGAATGCAGAAATAGCCAGAAATGCAACTTTACTCTCCCTCTTCTCATGATATGTCCTGTAGCATCATAAAAATGCTATATGAACATGTTGACAACAAGAAAAACATGATTTTCATCGGAGTGGATCTTAAAGGACAAAAAGTCTAAGGGCAAAACCAAACCAAAGGAGTTGCATATTGCACAGATACCCAACTTTTGTAAATCTTCTTTTAATTCAATGAAGCATTTCTTTGAATTTTTAAAGTAATAATCCATTATGTCACTGTCAAGGTCAAGCCATACCCTACATGATGTGAAAAGGTCGAATTTTGTTTTCAGAACAGCAAACTTCGATATAATTGGCATAACTTTGTAACCTTTGTCCTACTAAATCTGGAGTTAAGATTTTTTAAATACACTCAGCAAAGTTAACATCGTAGCAAAAGTGAAGAGGATAAACATGAGCCATGATCTGGACCACACTTACAAACTACACCCACACATTCATTTCAGCGTCACAGATAACAGAGGTAAACGTTGTGGGATTAAACAGCAGCTGCAGTCCTGGCATCAGTTCATATTCTCTGCCAAGCATCGTTCTAGCCTACAGGCATTTGATGGTGGAGGGGACAGCCTCGGTTTCAGCACATTTTACAGCAGCATGTCAGGAACCCTGATACCCAATTGGCGCGACAGAGCATGGCTTGGTTTTAAATACTTGACCTACATGCCCAGAAGATCAGAATTTTGGATGTTTCTTGTTTCACATGAAGACAGCCGTATCATGAAATGCCAGATTTTGCCCTTCAGCTGTGTGAGTTTTTTTTTCTGAGGACTGTTTTTGAGCAATGGAGGATAAATGAGGAGGTCTTAGCTCACCTTGACTAAAATGAAACTGGTCCATATTCTCTTCATACCTGACCTCAGTCTTCACTCTGAAGTGAACAAGCATTTGTCATCAGCTTCAACTTTATTCACAGGCAGAAACCCCAAGTGAAACTGGACTTGTTGGAGAACGTCCATCTGCCACCAGGGATTAAGCTGAGAGAAAAAGATGCAAGAAACCATGGTGTGCACTACTTTTTAAAACAAAACAAAACAAAAACTGAGTTTTTTTTTGCCATGGTGAGAAAGTGCAGCAGAACAGGGACAGGAGATGTGGGGTGTGGAGAGTGGTGGATAACATGCAGCAAATCAGGAGTCAAAACAGTTACTGCTGTGGTCAGGACTTCAGCCTCTTCATGTGGGGCGTGCACTTTAACGCTGAGCTAAACTTACAACCTGTTTCGGTATTTCTTACTTTCTAGGATGTGTTGACCACCATGTTTTGCCTTCATATTACATTATTTTGTTAATCTATGTGTAATAATCAGATGAAAGGTATCTAGATTTTGATAGGATTTTGTATGATCCCTTTATAGAGTCTCAAAGAGGTCAAACAAAAAGGCTTCTGTTGCTGAGTGTGTTTTTATACAGAATCAGATCAGTTAAAGAGAATGTGCTACTTTTCTGGGACACCTATAGTATTGAAATGAATCATTTATTGTTGTTCATACTGAGCTGAAAAGAGTTACTGTCCTTTATACAAAAACATTTATATTACCTGAAGCTGACTGTTACTTGCCAAAAAACCAAGACTAAACTGTAGGAGCAAATCCCTTACATGCAAAAGCTATGTTTTTAAAAGCGTTTAAAAACAGACTATCTATAGTATTCTGAGTTTATCGGCTGATTTGCGATACCGATCCAATGCTACTGTTGAATGAATGAACTGTATACCTTTCCCGGTGAGTGAAGGCTTGACATTAGCCTAGTTAAAAAAAGGTAACAAATTAACACAGATATAAATTTACTTAATATAATTTATCAACAAATAACAAATTTCACATTAGCACACACCAAAAAGAAGTAAGACTTCCATATATTTGAAGGAAAATTAATTAAAAGAAAAAAAAAAGACTGGATCAGCGTCATTCATCAAATATCTGATCAAGTTAATTTGTCAATATCGGACCCGATATCCGATCCAAATATCAGATCGGTGCATACCTAATTAAAACAGAGAAATTCTTTAAATACTGCAGGTTTATTTGGTACCATTTAAGAACGACTGTCAAATTTTGGTCTTTGTGAATAACATAATCAAGGAGTAGAGTCTAGACTTCTTTTTGTACCGTATTTTTCGCACTATAAAGCGCACTTGATTATAAGGCGCACCATCAATGAACGCGTCTATTCACGTCTGTTTTCATACATAAGGCGCACCGGATTATAAAGCGCACCAGATTATGAAGCGCATTAAGGCAGACAAAACAGATAAGTTACATAAATAAGGATTGATTGATTGATCTTTTTATTAATTTTAAAAATTGTGCCCATGTCAGACAAACAACACAGAGCGTTTAAGGCGGGTTCACTTGCTTACTTGTGACCTTGTCCACATTGTGATAATGTTTTGCTGAATGGCATATTTTATCTGCTATAAGTAACGCCTGATTTAGTTGCCATAGTAACCAACATACAGGTAATATGTTGTTCATACATCCCTCTCTTATCCCTGTTGAATATTTCTGTCCACCCTATAATAGAAAATGTTCAGTAGGCTTTTCTTCAATATGTATTGTTTTCTGTAAAACAGACAGAGTGTAGGTGGGAGATTGAATGACCGTGTGTGTGTGTGTGTGTGTGTGTGGGTGTGTGTGTGTGTAAGGGAGAGGTCAGCTGGTTAGGGCAGGGTGTTGGGTTACAGAAGGCATGGAGTAGTTTCTGCTCTCTGACTGTCTCAGATCAATTAAAAGGGAGAGTCAGGCAGAAAGTGAGGGGGTGATGAAAGAAATAGAGTGAATGAGGAAAGAGGAAATGACTGAACATTAAGCTGACAGGTGGAGGAGGAGGAACAGAGGGAGGAGGAGGGATGACGGGATAAAAGATTTGGAAATAGGCCGAGGTTATTGCAGGGAATAGGATGTAATGAAACGGCTAGCAGTGCATAACCGTGGACACTGCTTTGGCACTGGATTTTTAAAGGAATATGCTAATGCTTTGGAGAATCATGTCCCTGATTTGATCAGTACAAGTGCTCCTTTTGTGCATGTTGACTAATAAACACAGTTTTGTGGTTTTAAGGCAACACCAAGTCAAGCGAGCAAAGAAAATCCAATATTAGACACGTCAAGGTGACGTAGTACGAATCCCGCTGGAGGGAAATTGTTGATGATGAATTTATTTTGGATTGGATGTTATACAAAGAGCAGAAAATATGTGCAAATGCTCGCAATGATTTACAGCCTGCTTTCAAAATCAAGCACCAGGAAAACTGAGCATTTCTCTTTTCATTTCTCACATGATCTCGTT